CTGATATTCGAGTTGTCAAAAATTTTATTTTCTTTTATTTACAAACATTTCTATGTTAATCTTAAAACTCTAATAAAAATCAATAGAATAAACAAACTTTATCTCAAGTTTTTATTTCAATTAACATAAAAATCTTTTTAAGATCCATCCCCAAATGATTCATTTTGGAATGTTTTAAACATTTTATCAAGCAATAATCCAACATTATCGTGTGATATGTAAGTTGAACCATCTGATAACGTTGTGATGTTTATTGATTTAGTTTTTGGTTGATCCGTAGAAATTCTATTAGGAATCCAAACCTTGTGAATTTTTTGTAATTTCTCAAATTCTTTTGCAGTTAAGTTGAATAAAAAATTGGATGATGTCGGAATAAAAGAAGCAGATATTTCAGGCAATGAACCAAAATAACAAAACAGAGTTTTCTCGTTGGAAAAATCATCTGTGGTTGTTGAATTACAAACTAATAGTGAATGACTGTACAATATTTGATTTGAGATGTAGATTTGTGACTCTCTTGAATGATCATTTTGATCATACCGACGGTATGTGATTATTCCATTACTACAGAAATAAACCTCATTTTGAATCTTAATGTTGATTTGTTCAACATCAACGTCATTACAATGCAATAATGGTTTGTTAGGTGGAACGTTCAAAGGCAACAATGTAACCAAGTTGAATGCAATGGCAGCCCCTGCTCAATTAATGTTCATGGAAATTAAATAGATCGCTTTCACGTTATGAAATATTTTTACCTAGAACTGCAGCTGCTGGCAAATACTTTTCCGATCCTTAAATCAAATATAACAAAGCACATTATGGAAGTTCTCATTGTCCTTTAAACTCACCTGGAAATTTATTTTCAAAGTATGGAGCTTTCGTTGTCATTCGCCATTTTCTGTCATCAATTTCACTCCAGAATTTTCTGAGTGAATTTTGACTTTTCCATGACGAACCATAATGTTTTCCACTTCCATAAAACAATGCTTTAGTTAACAACAAAGAACTGTTCACAGATTTTACTCGATTTGAAAATCTACAATCTACACAGTAAAAAACAAATGAAAACCATAAAAGTTTAAAATGTTTTGACATCGTTGAATAATTTAATCAACTGGCTAGTTATTATTTCGCTACTGATAGCCTGACCCCGCTCTCGTGAAAAAATATAAACAAAATCACTGAATGAAAGAGAAGACTAACAACCACAATCTGAGAAAAAGTCAATGAAATGAGAGATTTTCAGAAATTTCTATAAAATTCTCACACTTTCCCGTTGATAAGTTGACGTTAAATGAAAATTTTAATGTTTAAACGGCTTTACGCAAAAATAAAATGAAATATTTGAAATATTTTTATTTAATTCTGATTCTTCGAAGTACTTGCAGCAAACGGAACCTTCTTATAAATGTAATCGTAAAAATATTCTTTTCCTAAAATTTTGGCTGCCTTGTAGCTTAAATATTCTTCCAAATTCAATTTGTTTAGTTCTACAACGTTTGTCGAATTATCTCTTGAAGGTCTCATCATCACATAAGGACCTCCTGAGTAAACTTCAGGAAGTAATGTCGTCGTTTCGTCCAAGGCAGATTCAGTTGTAATCAGAACCTTTTTGTAGCTGCCGTCATCATAGAAACCCCATTTTTCAATACCTTCATAAGTGATCGTATCTAATGCATCCAATGGTTCATCATACACCCGAATTACTGAACCATTTTCTACTTTTACCCATCTCCCTTTCATTACAACATATGGAGCTTCAGTAGTAGATGTAGTTGTCGTTTCTGGTGGAATTGTCATCGCTTCGGCAGCCCACAACTTATCATCTTCTTTCAAAGTTAACCGAGGATCATCTGTGGTTGTAGTTGTGGTTGTTGTCGTTGTGATCTTCTTAAGTGCTTCTTCCTTTCCGATGATTTTCATGAAGAAAACATGAATCCTTGAAGGCACAGAAAGATTCTTCTCAGTCGTAGTCGTTGATGGTTCTTCGGTTGTAGTTGTTGGGATAAATGAAGCCAACTTAGCATTGATTTCTCCTTTGAAACAATTTAAAATAGTCAACGTTTCGTTGTATTGGGTTCCATTCAAAAATGTCGTAGAATTACAAACAAGTGAAGATCGACTAAGTAAAGTTCCATTGTCACAAAAGATTTCATCATTTGAATGCTTGGAATGACATTCCATGGTTTTATTTACACATTTATCATCTTCATTGAAAACTTGGTTCTCATTTATGAAGTCGCAAGAAGAAATCAAAATACTTTTGTTCGAGCATCTGTAAATTTTGTCGTCGATGTTGATGGGTGATTGTGCAATTTCAGTTCCATTGCAGTACATTAAAGGCTTGAATGGTGGAACATTGAGTGGAAGCAACGAAATTAATCCAAAAGCAGTTGCAGCACCTGAAGATTGAAAGTTATTAAAATATTAAGATTCAAACTTTGAAATTCTTACCAACAACTGCAGCTGCTGGTAAAACTTTTTCAGATCCTGGAACTTTATTCTCGAAGTATGGAGCTTTTGTTGTCATTCGCCATCTCCTATCATCTTCATCGGACCATGACCTATGGCGATAAGAATTGTGACTTCCCCATGAATATCCATGATGCATCCCAGCTCCATAAAATAAAGCATTGGTCAAGAACGGTGATCCGCCTGAATGAGATCCATAATAATTGTTATGGATGTATGTGTTGCCTCGAAGGCCCGTGGATCCAAATGTTGATCCATAGTTTGGATAGGAATTGTAACCCGAATATCTTGTGTTGCTGGGACTATAATATGAAGGAGGATTTGAATAACTGGGAGAATATGATGGCGGAGAATTTCCGTATTTTACTGGTCGATTGCTAAGTCCCGGATAAGCGGGTGGTGGTCCACTAGGTTTGTTGACATTCCATCCATAAGAAGGTGCTGGTTTATATGACGAATATGATGGAGATGGTGCAGGTCTGCTACTGTAGCTTGGTTTAGAGAACCAACTTGATGATGAAGATGGTTTTGATCTGGAAAAGCCACCACCACGACCAAATCCTCCCCTTCCTCCTTTGCATTCGTATTCATTAATTAACACAATTACAACAAATAAAATACGTCGTATGTTTGTTTTCATCGTTTTTCAGAAATTCTGAAACGTTATCAAATATTTCTGTTCGATTCTCTTAAGAAACTTTTCTGTTTAAATGAATAAAGCAGACTGAGAGAATTTTAATTTCGATTTGCTTTAAGTATCAGTTGAATATTTTTTATAAAATGAGAGAAGAAATTTAAAGTAAGAATTTGAACACAAAAACATAATATGCAAAGTCCAGTTTCCTGATATTCTGTTTTTCTCACAATTATGTCTGTGAATCATTAGTTATGCTGATAACCTTTTTTCAATGAAATTGAGTAATGTTGTCATTTTCACGTGCCAGTTATGACCATTGCCCTCAAATGCCTTCGGCATTTGATGGTGGTTCCTATATATGGCCAGGATTGGCCTATATGTGCCTGTCCTTGATCNTGAAAAAAGATCAAACTTTTTGTTTGTTTAAGTATAAATGTGGTATCTAGATAACGTTTTATTGTATTCATTTACTAAAATATTGAGTTTTAGATTTTAAGCATGTCTCACACATGACGTGATTGATGTTAGATATGAAAAAAGTGAAAGAACTTAATTTAAGCTTAAACTATAAGATTTAGGTACAAGGTGTGTTTGAGAAAGTTGTTCCTAAGTACACTCTGCAACTCCCCTTGATATGTCACACTTCAATAAAGTGACCCCAGAGGGCGCTAGAGATAAAAATGCTAATAAAATTTGAACAAACCTAATTACAGCTTGAACTATAAGGTCTAGGTATAAAACGTGTTCGGGAAAGCTGCTCCTTAATACCATTTGCAACTTTTATTTCTGCATCATACTTCGGTTAGGTGACACCAGAGGGCAGTAGAGGTGACTTTTTAATTAATTCACCTCTACTGCCCTCTGGTGGCACCCAACCGAAATATAATATTGGAGAAAAAGTTGCAGCAGATAATAAGGAACAACTCTCCCGAACACGTCTCATACCCAAATCTTATAGTTCAAGCTGTAATTAGGTTTGTTCAATTTTATTCGTTTTTTATCTCTAGCGCCATCTAGGGTCACTTTATTGAAATATGACATATGAAAAAAAGTTGCAGAATGCATTAAGAAACAACTTTTTCAAACACACCTTGTACCTAAATCTTATAGTTTAAGTGTTTTATTTTGTTTTCATTCACAAATTCAGAGCGTCACGAGAGCAACGAACGAGAGCAACGGTAAGGTTCTGGTAGAAAATACACAGGAACTAAAATTTTTGTTCAAATTTCTTGCAATTCTCAGAAATCAATCTTTATTAGTTCCACAACTTCTTCCGAGTTTTTCAGATTTTCCACTCAAATACTTTTAGAAATTTTTGAAGTTGAAAATTGCATGTGAAAAGTGGTATTAAAAAAACGAACGAGAGCAACGGTACATTAAGCATTATAAAAATTTTCCTGCTTAGATATTCGTTTAGATTTTTCTTTCTAAAAATAGTACTTGGTAAGCCCTATTTGAAAGTGCAAGAGGTTTCAGTAAAAGCTCAAGCATTACATGCTATAATCAGCTTTGAATTTTGTGGCCGTCACGAGAGCAACGATAAAAACCTCCATATATAAAATATGGAAGGACAGGATGCATTTTCAACATCGCATGATTTACTTACAACTTTCCAATCTTCTGAAAGGAAAAATATATTTCTTAATTACACATCCAAAGACAAAAATACTAAGTTAAATTCTGAATCAGAAAAAAAGTTTTGTTAAGTAATTTGTAATCAGAGATTATAAAGCACAATTTATATTTGCATTTTGAGAATTTTCAATTTTTCTTGCTGAAATTGAATTAGAATTAAAAAAAGGAAGGAATTAAACTGAAAAATTGTATTAAACATTTAATAATTACAAATCTTTATGACTTAAAAACATCGAAACATTTAATTATCATTATCATTCCTTACAGTACTTGCAGCAAAAGGAACTTTCCTATAAATGTCATCGTAAAAATATTCTTTTCCTAAGATTTTGGCTGTCTTGTAAGTTAAATGTTCTGCCATGTTCAACTGAATTAATTCTACAACGTTTGTCTCATTATTTCTTGAAAGCTTCATCATCACATAAGGACCTCCTGAGTAAACTTCAGGAAGTAATGTCGTCGTTTCTTCCATGGTAGATTCAGTTGTAATCAGAACCTTTTTGTAGTGGTCGTTATGACCCCATTTTTTCGAAGATTCATAAATCATCGCATGTAATGTATCCAATGGTTCATCATACACCCGAACTACTGAACCATTTTCTACTTTTACCCATCTTCCTCTCATTACAACATATGGAGCTTCAGTAGTAGATGCAGGTATCATTTCTGGTGGAATTGTCATCGCTTCGGCAGCCCACAACTTATCATCTTCTTTCAAAGTTAACCGAGGATCATCTGTGGTTGTAGTTGTGGTTGTTGTCGTTGTGATCTTCTTAAGTGCTTCTTCCTTTCCGATGATTTTCATGAAGAAAACATGAATCCTTGAAGGCACAGAAAGATTCTTCTCAGTCGTAGTCGTTGATGGTTCTTCGGTTGTAGTTGTTGGGATAAATGAAGCCAACTTAGCATTGATTTCTCCTTTGAAACAATTTAAAATAGTCAACGTTTCGTTGTATTGGGTTCCATTCAAAAATGTCGTAGAATTACAAACAAGTGAAGATCGACTAAGTAAAGTTCCATTGTCACAAAAGATTTCATCATTTGAATGCTTGGAATGACATTCCATGGTTTTATTTACACATTTATCATCTTCATTGAAAACTTGGTTCTCATTTATGAAGTCGCAAGAAGAAATCAAAATACTTTTGTTCGAGCATCTGTAAATTTTGTCGTCGATGTTGATGGGTGATTGTGCAATTTCAGTTCCATTGCAGTACATTAAAGGCTTGAATGGTGGAACATTGAGTGGAAGCAACGAAATTAATCCAAAAGCAGTTGCAGCACCTGAAGATTGAAAGTTATTAAAATATTAAGATTCAAACTTTGAAATTCTTACCAACAACTGCAGCTGCTGGTAAAACTTTTTCAGATCCTGGAACTTTATTCTCGAAGTATGGAGCTTTTGTTGTCATTCGCCATCTCCTATCATCTTCATCGGACCATGACCTATGGCGATAAGAATTGTGACTTCCCCATGAATATCCATGATGCATCCCAGCTCCATAAAATAAAGCATTGGTCAAGAACGGTGATCCGCCTGAATGAGATCCATAATAATTGTTATGGATGTATGTGTTGCCTCGAAGGCCCGTGGATCCAAATGTTGATCCATAGTTTGGATAAGAATTGTAACCCGAATATCTTGTGTTGCTGGGACTATAATATGATGGAGGATTTGAATAACTGGGAGAATATGATGGTGCAGGTCTGCTACTGTAGCTTGGTATAGAGAAATAACTTGATAATGAAGATGGTTTTGATCTGGAAAAGCCACCACCACGACCAAATCCTCTCCTTCCTCCTTTACATTCGTATTCCTTAATTAACACAATTACAACAAATAAAATACGTCGTATGTTTGTTTTCATCGTTTCTCAGGAATTCTGAAACGTTATCAAATATTCTGTTTGATTCTTTTAATAAACTTGTCTGTTTAAATGATTGAAGAAGACTGAGAGAATTTTAATTTCGATTTGGTTTAAATATCGCTTAAATACTTTACTCTTGGAGGAGACTTTTTATTTCATAATTGAGAGATGATAATACTCAGAAATCATAAATTTCATATTCAGTCTTTCGGCCATTTTTTAGATTGCATTCGTCCTTTGAAATTTAGTTTTAAATTATTACCAAACCTCTTTCGATCGTTGAATTTTATCGGAACATTAGCGGAAGTCAATAATCAGCTTCATGCGCTAAATGTATAAAATACATATTGAAATTACTCTTGTAAGAAGAAGGAATCAAAAGACCAACAGTTATTGTCAAATATTTTTTTTTATTATTAAATTAATTTATTTCTAAAATAAAAGATTTTCACAGGGAAAAATTACAAAAATGTCCTCATGGTTTCTATGAAAAGCAGAAACTTTCGCTATGGAAAGTAAGATGAGAATAAAATTAGCTTGAGTACAATCGAAAGTGTGTCAGAACTTTAAATTTGTTGCGATCACGCTTTTCTGTTAACAATTTTATTTATACTTTGATTGCTTGTCTTAAGAGAAAGAAATTCAAAAGTTTGATTTTAGGATATGAAAAGCACACAAAAATAATAACAATAATAGAAACAGAATGAAAAAAAAGCTAAGAGTTAAAGGAAATTTGGCAATTTAGGTTTATTTTCGGATTAAACTTTTATCACAAGAACTTTTTTTCTTATTAATTTCCCTAACTTTAGGAAATTTCATTTCAATTAAAAAAAAATGCTGATGAATGTGAGTGAAAATTTTCTTTCCCGAATAAATAAATTCCTAGGACTTTATCTACGACGATGATAATAATAATAAAAAATATTAAAAATTAAGCAGCAAAAGATTTAATTAAATTTAATAGTGAATAATAGAAACAAGTATGTAGGTAATAATTAACTTTTTTTTGTTTTTAAAATTTCAAAAAAAAGAAACAAAGATGAAAGTTATCGTGGAAAATGAAAAAATTGTTAACATTCATAAATTTGAAGGAAACACACGTAAAACATTTTTTTAAGCGACAGTCATCGCGCGATTTTCGATCGCCTAGATGACAATAATTCGCCACTGGACGTTCCATACTGATCCATTTTCTTTATCATATTCTTTCGAATGTACAATTTGCAAGCGTCAAAGACGTTTCTTATGTTCAGAGTGATAAAGAAAATGAGAAAAGCAAATAATAATTACTGACAATTATCTAAAGAAGAAATTTTCCGTTTTCGATTTATCATTAAAGTTTAAATAAACGTAAACAAAAAAAAGTACTTAAATACGAGAAAATCTACATCTAAGACAGAGAAATAATGTTGAGTGGGATTCAGACGGGCACCAGAAGAAGTTTTCAATCAGAGAAACAGTTTTTGTCATCCGAAATCAGGTTGGCGCGTTCATCTCACAAAGAAAATCCTCTTTCAATCTTCATCGTTAACTTTTCATCCCGATCATTTACTTAGTTTACTAATGACTCTTATCAGAGCGCCATTTTCGTCTTTGAGACGCTGGTTTTCTGTTTTGAGGGCGTCCATTTGCTGAAAATAAAAATAAAAAGACAAAAGCAAAAAAGAAATTAAAATTTAAAGTTTAAAATAAAATCAAATGTAGAAAAGAATTTTAGAGGAAGAAAAACAAACACAAAAATTATTCATCAAACATTGAAACAAAGTTTTTAAATTCGTGAATGAAACACATTAATGTTAAATATGATTTTAAATCAACATTAAAATATTGCAAAAAATTTCATCTTCTGTTCGTTAAATTTGTTTATGAATCGTTGATGAAATTGTTGCTAAAACATTTGAAATTAAATGAAATGAATTTTTATTGATAACAGAAATGTAAACATTGAAATAAAATCCCAAATGAGTCAACCAACGTCAATAATCAAAATGAATGTGATCTTTACACACTTTTTGTCACTGAAAACCAAATGAGATGTGATGAAAATTTGTATAATGACAGAATCAGCAAAATACAAACAAAACAATAAATAAGAGTAGCCATCAAAAGCGACAGTGAAAATGTGTAATTGAAGTAAAATTTGTCACTGCTTTCAACTTCTAAAAAATGATAACAAAAGCGCAAAACATTTCAAGCAAATTTTTCTTTCACGAAAATGGAGTTAAAATTAGTTTTGTTTTCTTTTTTCAGTGACAGGTTTTTAAAGCAGGAAATATTCGTTGATTATGTGACAAAATATTTTAATTTAATAATTTTGACTTAGTTGTGACATAACCAGCGATCATCCCTCGACTTCATTAGTCATTTTAACCACAGCAATCACTTGGGGTTGTTCCATGAAAGATGTTGAAAGGAAACAAAAATATTTAAATGATTTATTCATTGTCTACAACCTTTCATAAAGTCCCCCGTTCAAAGCAACAACTCTTGTTGTCTTGCAAGTCATCATACCGAGGATTAAGGAAGTTGCATGTGTGACGGAACTTCTACATGAGATTTTTAATATAATTCTTTGTTTGCTTTGCAATATTTATGTCGGCTAACAAATGATTTTCTTTCTATTAAACATATTGTGGGAAGATATCTTGCATCGACGATACGATGATGATTTCGTTAAAAAAACGTTGATTGATAAATAAATTGGGAAAAACAAAAAAGTTTAATATCTTTTTCTATTTTCATTTAATTTTTGTATATCTTGCTGAGAACTTTTATTTCTTAATTATTCCCGGCATTTATCACCCACGTCGTTCACCACATCATTACTGTTTGTTGAGCAGCTGGTTTTGAGCCGAAGTTGTCAGCTTCGAAACAACACGCGTCAAAGCTCGGTTCTCGGCACGTAAGCGCTCATTTTCTTGCTTGTACTTATGCAGTTGCTTCAATTGTGATAATTTTACAAAATGATTTTTTTATTTCGTATTTTTGCATTTATTGGAATCGTGAGAAAATAGGAAATAGAAAAAAGAAAGAAAGAAAAAAGGATTTAAATAAAGTTTTTTTTTTTGCTTAACTGCTTAGATATGTAAATATTTACAAATTTCATTAATTATGTAATGAAAACTGATGAATGTGATTTATTAATGAAGTGACTTGCCAACGTGAATAAATAAATGAATGATCGTGAGTTAAATATTTATGTGAATAGCGTGCGTGTCTGTGTATTCATGATCGTGTTTGTATACCTGATAACAGCTTCGTGTCATTTTGCGAACAACAATAACAATACTCTGCGTCACAAAATCACGCAACTCAAGACTTTTGTTTTAAGAATTAAGTGAAATTTTAGATAAGGAAAAAGCTTTGAAAATTTTTATGTTTTTTAATCATAAATTGGCCGAAAACTTTTCCAAACATTTCCACATGACGGAAAATCTTCTCGTAATATTTTTTAAGTGAGATTTCATCAGTGATTCTAAATCTTTTATTTTTATTTGTTGTAGATTTCAGATTAAGAATCACTAATTAATAGAAAAGAAGAAATGTTCTGTAAAATTTTCTTTTCAATGTCCTGAGTACACATCTGCATCGAAAAGAATGAATTGTGAAATAATTTTCTCTTTTTTTGTATTAGTCTTTCATTACAAAAAATAAAAAAGATTTCTCATTGTTTTGTTAATTCATTACTTAAAATTATGAAATTAAGAGAGTGGAAAAATCATAAAATTGAAAATTTACCTTCAGCTCTTCTTCCATTTCGGAGATTTTTCTCTCCATTGCTCGTTTTTCACGCTTTTCATTTTCCGATAAAGAACTTTTTGTTGCCTAAAATTAAAAAATAAACAAAGAAACTTTTGAGTCAAACATTTTTAAATAAACCTCTCTTATAATTTTGATAATTTACTACGTTATCAAACAAAGAAACAAACTTCTCAGCTTCCTTTAAAAATCATTCCAGTTCCGAGAGAGGAATCAGTTTCAATTGATAAGTCGAATTGTAAGCAACGTGTTGAAGCACGAAAAATATTTAAAAGAAATGAAAGAAATTATCGCGTTGATGCTTTTCATTGTGGTCGCAAACATTGAAATCATTTGTGGGAAAAAGTATGAGAAATGTGAACTTGCACAAGAACTTTATGCAACGCATGAGATACCGAGAGAAGAGATTTATAAACATTTATGCATTGCTAGCACTCTTCGCGATACAAGAACAACAAATGCTTTCAATTTTATTGGCATGTATAGAATCGGAGTACAATGGTGGTGTGGAAAGGATAAACCCGGTGGTGGTTGCAATGTAACATGCAGTGCCCTTATTGACGACGATATCGCAGATGATGTCGCATGTGCTAACATAATATTAAACAATAGCGGACTTAGCGGCTGGAGACTGAATGAGAGAGCATGTGCAAGACATAAGCTTGACACTGATGAATGTTTAGAAGAAGTTGATGTTTTTGAGTCTTTATTGGAAATGGAAAGTTCTACTGTGGAACCAGAAAGAACAACAATATCAACAACAACATCAACAACATCATCATCAACAACAACATCATCAACGACAATTAAAACAACATCTTCAACAACCAAGGAAACAACAACGACGACTAGAAGACCTTCCATTTCTACTAAGAAGGAAGAAGAAATTGTTGATCCACATGAAGACTTCTCCATATTAAGTAAAATTTCGCTTATTGTTCTCTCAATCACTTTAACGATTGCAGTGGTTTTTGTCTTCTACAAACGAGAGACGATTAAACGTTATCTGAATCCACGGTCAAGTTCAAGTCATAATGAATTTGAAAATATTCTTGTTAATAATCATGAAAATAATTTTCAAGAAGTATTAAATTAATTTGTGAATTAAATTTTCGCACTACATCGCTTAATGCAGTTAAGGTACATTTATAGTTTTAATTAATTAAAATAAATAAATTGTCTCAAGAGTCGAGTGAAACTTTCGACTAATTAGCAATGTTAAAGTGACATGATAATCATTTATATGTATAAATAGAGTGAACGATCGTCATTTCACTTGAAATTGAAATAGGTTTATTTTATGATTAAATATTCCTTGAATTCGGTAAAAGTTCGTTCATATTCCAAATCTGAGTGTTGAAAAAGTCAAGGAAAAAGTAATAAAAATAAAACGTTTAATATGATTCTCAACAAATGACGATCAATTACTCTCCTCATTTATTTAAATGGAAGAAAAAGAAAATCTTTCAACTTACAGCTGCGGTGAGTCTTTCCAAAGCTGATTTTGCAGCAGCCAAATCTTGTTCCTTGCTCTTCAAGCTTCCCTTCAAGCGTTCATTTTCAGCTCTGAAATAAAATAATTAGCGATTTAAACTTGATTCACTTTTAATTGGTGGAATAAATAATTTTACTTTGCAGCCTCGTAGAGAGCTTTATAGTCGATAAAACCATCGTCATCGTTGGCATCGCCAAGAGCGTTCGATGCGAGAGACTCAGCACGTGAACGGGATTCATTTCCAGACTGTAAAGATAATTTAAGATGAAAGAAAATTCATTGTAAAGATTGAAAATTTAATCAAATATGAATGCAATTGTTGAGATTAAAGAAATTACTTCATATCCTTCCGATTGCAATGAAAGGGAACTCAATGATTTATTAGCTGATGATAAAAGTGAACTCATTCCAGAAGCATCATATGGCATGTCAGGCACTGCCGCTTTTGCAGCTTCTTTAGCTTTTCTCGATCGATTTTTTCGTTCGTGTTCACGTAATGATTGCGATCGTCCAATGCTTGTAACTTTATCGTTAATACTTTGACCGCTTAAGTTCGAATTTGATCCACCCAATCCAGATGTTGATGTTGAAAGAAGATTGCTACGCATTGGCGTGTATTCACGTCTCATTGAAGATCCTGAAGAAGGGATGCTTAAGCTTGCTGTTGTCACGCCATTATCGTAGCTTGTGTAGGGACTGTAATAGTTTCTGTCTTTATAAGCTGACGTGTAGCCTCCCCCATTGGAACCATTTGCATAATAGCTTTGTGGATAGCGATCTTTGTAAGGTGACGAGTAAGAAGATCTTCGATAGTCACCATTCCCATAATAATCACCACCACCAGCCATTCTTAAGTTTTGATTGGAACCATAAAGATGAGAAGAAGGAAAATTCATAGCAGAGCCATGAACGCTGAATGGCCTGCCATTGGATTGATATCCACCATTTGACGATCCAACATTTCTTGTCAATGATGACGATCGTCGACGTGGCGGTGCAACAGGCTTTGTATGTGATCGCGAACGAAACGACATTTCTCAATAACTTTTCACCTTCAACAATTTTCCAAAACGCAATAAATTTTCGTCTAAACGAAAGCAAACAATTTTCAATTAAAATCTTGTTCGGTCGTGGGAAAAATGTTTAACATGTTTTCAAGTCGTAATTGAAAGTGTTTATAAATCTTTAAATCGAATCATTGGATTACTAAAAGCTGTTAAATTTCACGTAAGATCATCGTGAGTCGTTCTAATGTTTAGGAGAATATTTACGCACACGCCCACGCAATAGAAAAAGAAACTTTATGACGCCACGAGGAATGCGCTACCACATCTGTTTCATTCAAATACGATTCGGAATGAAACTAAGGAGTAAAAGGCGAGCCACAGATCGCGTCATTTTCACTCATTAAAAAACATCGTACGGAAAACTCTTTTCGACACGCAGCGACGGTGTAGAAACTAAAAATAAACTTCAATTTTCTACGACTTCTCTCGCGACTGTTGAATGATTAATTCGCGGGTGTTTCTTTATTTGTGGACGATGAGATAATAATAAAAAGAAGACAATATTTAACGTTTGATGTTGATGATGTTTTCCTCTTGCTTGTCTTCCACACGACCGTCACTTTCACCTTTAAATGAATCAATGTGAAGGAATAATCCGCCGAAAACGTGCTGTTGACGTTTCCATCTTATCTTTATTTTCTACTCGCATTGAGACGAGAACGAACTCTCATCTCTGACGCAAGCGAACGAAAGAAATGTTTGTTTATTCAGATGGAAAGTTCTGTGATTTTCACCTCGCATGTGAAAGTGATTTTTCGTTAGCTTTTAAATAGTACATTAATTATTATTTTGATATTTTTTTCTCATCATGTTTCACGCAAAAACTGACATTGATACATCGCACATCTGCGCTTCCAACCGTAGGTGAAATCAGTCAAACATTTAAATAAGTGAAACGAAAGAAAAAATCCTTTTGTCGTGTCTTGATTATCTGAAAGACGTTGAGACAGCAGCCAAATGTTTCGTGTCCATCGCGATTTACGCAAATTTCATTCTTCCGTTCGTAGTTTGAACTTCCAATTTAAGTAAACGCTTAAAAGTTACGAAAAACGAAACACTTTCATGAAATTTTAATGATCACTAAAATAAAATGTAAACTGACGTCTCAATTAGTAATCTTCACATTATAAAACTTTACAAAATGTATTTCCGGAAATCTTCTTTCAAATCAACTTTAAATGACTTTAAAACATGTTTCGACACTTTTTCCGCTGAATTCTTTTTTAATTCTCTTACAATTTAACTTATTTTATCTTGAAAAAAAGCCCCAAAAATATCTTCTAAATATTTTTTTAAATGCGCAAGAGATTAAATATAATTTTTCTTTTTTATTTCGTGTGCCTTCGCTTTAAATTCAACAACACATCTGATGAGTAAAGTTTTGAAATGAACTCGTCTAAGAAATTTTTTCAGGATTGAGTGAGAGAAGACTTTGTGCGGTGTGCGATGATCATCGACAATTATACATAAGTTGAGAGAGAAATAAATTTTCCATTGGAAAACTTCCCAGAGAAATTAAATTTTCATTTTGTTCGTGAGAACTTTTTTTAATTTTTCTTCGAAATGGAAACAAAACAAAAAACGTTAGAAATTTTATTTACTTTTAATCTTCCCTTGGACCAATTTTTTTCTTCTCTTGTTTTGTTTTAACATCCATTAACACTTCCAATAAATCACAATTTTCTTCCTCTCTTCTCGTCTCTCAAAGTGTCGATGTTGATTTGAGCTAATAACAATAAAATTTAATGGAAACCATTTAAGCTACCACAACCCATTCCTTCGTCTGTTATTCCAAACTTGACACGTGACACCCACAATTTTATTATACAAAGAAGTATACAATTCCATATATTACATTGATCTCTTTTTCATGTCACTACAAAGTCGTTTGTGCATTGTAAGTTTTATTTTTTAAATTTGACGTCATGCTGTCTGTTTAGTTGTCTCAACATTACCGCAAATGCTTCTTTGTCTTGAGACATTGGTCTGGCTGCGACTTGTCGGAAATTCACATTACCCTGTCATTTTTAATCACAAGCTTAACATCATAATCACAATGAAATGTGATGGCAAATTCATGAAGCTCAATTGAATGGATATTTATTTAAGCCTACAACAAATCGTTTCGTTTCTTTCTCGAAGATTCCATTTTACGATGCAAATTTTCAATAATATTAATTGCATGATTTCAGCACGAATTCGTGAAGCTACAAATCAAGGTTGAGTAGTCAGACGATGACGGTAATGAAGAATGATCACGGGAATAGATATTCAAGGTGTGGGAGAAAGAAACATTGAAGTCATAACTCATCCACCTAATTAAAATCGACGGTAGATTTTATTCTACATCAATTTTTCATTAAAGTGAAGCCGAAGAAGGTGACGATGTTCACGATGGGAATAATGAAAAGAACGCGAAAGCAATTCACATAAATTTGCTAAAATCAAGTTTAAGCGTGGGCCAAGTCTAGTTGATTGGTCTAAATTTCCGTGTCAACACAAAACTAAAACTTCTTTAATCTTAATTATGACTTTAAATGTTTCAACGAAGCGATTTCTGTTCGTCGTTGTCGCGATGATTTTCATTCAAATTAAGTAAATGTTGCAATTGAATTAAGTGATTATAAATTCAATTGGAATGTTGAAAGCACAGTGCGTTTGTCGTCTAATTGCAGTTTTATGTGCAAGGAACTTGAAACTTTGTTGATTCACTCACTGACTCTCGTGCGTTTGATGATGAAAATAGAATTTCACTCTTTCTTTCATTTATTCGCTTCCTGATCTCGCTATTTTCATGTTTCATTGCATCACTTTTGCACATTTTTATTTCGTTGCATAATTGATTTATGATGATCGCTTTCCTTCCATTTCTCATCTTTTACACAAAGAAGAACATTCATGAGATGCTGATGAACTCGTTGCTGTATTTTAGTCGCATTCGTTCATCGTCGAGTTCACTTTAATCGTGCAATGCTTAATTTATTTCTTTCTTAATCGTTTCATTTCAATGAATTAACTCATTTATTTAGATCGTTAAAAGAAAATTGTCTTGAAATCCTAAATTGGAATTAAATCTAAACTAGTTGACAGTTAATTTCACCTTTTTGACCATTTTTAGCTTTTCTTTTTTCTTTTCTTGTCAAACTGATTCTGTTCTCACTTCACAAGAATCAATTTCAAACTGAGTTTAAATCAATGTTGTTGATTTCTATTCAATTTCATTTTGTTAAAATCTCGAGACAATTGCACATTTGATTAAATTAAAGTTTTCTATTTTTAAAATTCATTTAATGAATGAAACTCACCAATTCTTTATCATCGCCATTGTCCACTGGTGACTCTTGTCGATCAGCGTCAATATCCTAAGAGAGATGGAATAAGAATAAAAAGGAGAATATTAAGATCAGCTGATCAATGTTTCATCTTCAAAAGTAATAAAAAAAAGTCTTGTCATGTACCACGCCAGTCGATCTTCGCTTTGGCCGTCTTCGTCGTTGAATGACAGCTTGTGTTGCTTGACCAGTACGATTGTCGTTTTCTTTCTCATTTTCTAAATAAAATTAATAAAAAATTTTGTTAATTAATAAAATTAATTTCAAGCCCTGCCGACTCACCTTTGTCATCATCTGATCGATTTATTGTCACTGGCGATTCTTTCTCAGTTGAAGCTGACAACGAATTTGTTGATATGTGTGGACTATCCGTTGTTCCATTTGTAGGTGATGTTGGAGGCTGCTGTTGACTCGAAGAATTTCCCGACGTCGATTCTTCGTTTTTGAACTGAAAGTTTTCATTAAATTTTAAGCTTTAACATTTCAAATTTTGAAATCTTTGAACAGAATTAAATAATTAAATTTCGCATGCACAACTTAAGTAATAAAAGATTAATAATAATAAAAATATAAATGAGATTAATGAGATAATTTAGTGATTAAATATTTCAACAAAGAAAACCAAAGAGAAAGATCCAAAACAACGAACGAAACCATAAAAATAATTTTTTTTGTCCAATTTGCCAATTTGTGCCATCAACAACATCAATGCAATGGTGATCTTGATTTACCTTACTGCTGCTGCTGCTGTATTCATTTCTAAATCGCCATGATGGTTTTCTTTCGCCAAAGATTGTGTGATGAATGGGCGATGGTGGAAGTGGCTCTGAAACTTCAACACTGTCGCTATTTGAATCGTCGTTGATCATATTCGCATCACATTTCTTTGCTTCCTCTTGAAGCTTGTCAGCCAACTTCAATGACGATGAATTATCGATGTCAAAGAGTGATCGAGGCTGTGGAATCGGTGGAAGCTTTTGGTAAGTTGGCGATGACGATTCATCTTCTTCAGTCTTCTTCAACTTATCACTAACATCAAAAGTCGTGGTGGTGTTTCTGTTCGGTATTAGAGGCACATTGATGGTTGCGGTGACAGAATTTTCTCCCGCTTCATGATCGTCGAGTTCCAAACCCTTTTCGAGACGTGTCGTCAAAAGATTTATTGCATTTGTATTGGACTTTGGCGGCGGAGAAATTGTGAACGTAGCTGAGATCTTTTCATCATCATTCTCGTCTTCATCTTTATCAACACTCGCTCGATTTGTTTTTCTCAAAGGTGAACTTATTGTATAATTAACAGCGACTTCATTCGACGACGAATCTTCACTTTCCACAACTGTTGCCGCTGATTCTGACTCTGTTAAGCGTTCATTAAGCTCACTCGAGTTCTCCGTCTGATTGGAAGTTAACGATTTACATGAAAGCATTTTATTTAGTTGTTTGTTTGTTGCGCAATCAGAAAGAAAAGGTTTTTCAATGTTAAAGTGTGGGTGGTGATGAAAAAAATAAAATAAATAAAAAACAAGGAAGGAAGATGATAGAAACATACTCGAAAGCATTCTTCATATCATCATTATCGTCATCATCCTCAAAAAACATTGTCACGCTTTAAAGCCACTCGTTTGAAATCTATCAACACAAAAGTACTCACATTTCCATTATTGTTGTTTGCATTCTTCATTTTCACCAGCTGTTCAGCGCTCTTGATCTCATCCAGTGTCACACCTTGCGTCGATCGTCGTGTCTCACGAACACGTTTCGCGTGAGCTTTTCTTTGTGTTTCACTTTCTTCATCACGCGTTGGCGGCACAAAAGATCTGCGAAATTTTTCATAAATGATTAAAATAATTTTTCATTTGCGTGAGAAAAAGAAAGAAAAATTTCCTTGTTAATGTCCAAAAACAAAAATTATAAAAATGAGAGAAAAACTCTTATCATGCTTTTTAAGTTTCAGTTCGAAATGGACAGAACAAAAAAAAAATTAGTTTTTAAATAATAATCATAAGAGAAAAACTTCTAAATTCTAATAAGATTAGGAATGTCACACGCTTTTTATCATCGCAAATGAATGCGATTATGTTGAATGGGGGATTAGTCCGACTATGAACACTTTGAAGCCAACATTTATTTGTTTTATGTGTGGTAGAAGATCAAAAATAAAAGAAAATTACTTGAAGAAATTTTTGAAAATATTGCCAGGCGATAATTTATTGAGCATCGTTGTGGGTGTCGATGGACTTGTTGGGCTCTGAGGTTGCGGTTGTGATTTTGATTCTTCAATCTTTTCAGTGGAAGGAGCCGCAACTTCGGCTGATGTGTGTTTACGAGCATTTGCAATGACACTCGAATTTGTCATTACATTCTTCAACGTATCCGATGGTGAACTATAACGTCTCGCAATCAAGTCAATTATATTTTGATTGGCGGTAGCGAGAGCGCCAACTGCAGATTCCTGTTTTGCTGTTGGCTTCTCAAGACTTTAAAGTTTGCGTGTGTGTGATAATTTTTTAAGATTTTTGATTTGGTTTTGTGTTTTAATTTCAAAAAAGAGTTTTCAACAAAAGAAAGAATTTTCAATGAAAGAATTTTCTAAGAGTTACTTTTGAATGTTTCTTACCTTCTCATGTGGCCTGGCGTTGATGCTGGTGTCGATGGACTCGTTGGTGGTGTTTTCTCATTGCTTTTTTTACTAAAACAAAATAGAGGAAACGAAGAAATTTTAATTTATTATTTTTCTTGTTTTACTGACAGTTTGACTATGAAAAATAGAAAAATTATTTGCGTGACTCTTTTTTATTTGAAATAAAAGTTTTTCATGCAAATGACTCGCAAACGTTAGTAAAGTAAAAAGTGCAGAAATTAAAAACTTTTATTCTTTGTTGTGCTACCTTAATTGATGTCTATGATCCTTTAGTGAAGCTGATCGTTGAATAATAAAGTTCGTTGTGGGCTTAACAGCTGCGTCTTTGTCACCTTCAACACCAACATTGTTTCCAACGGGAGTTGCTGGCAGTGCTGGACAAGAATTTGCTTTTATTCTTGCTCTCAACTCGATATATCTATGGTAGAATCTTCACACGTGACGATAATTCGTGATTGATGATTTGTTAATTATTTTTATGATGATGTTAGACGCGATTTTTGATTTTGTTTTAAAAAGCAACATAAAAGAAAAACATGAAAAAAATTATAAGAAAAAAAAAATGTTAAGAAAAATTAGCAAAGAACATGATTGGAATGTGCTCAAAGATCAAAGTTTCACAACAAAAAAGCAACGCATCTTAGAGCATCATTCCATCAATCAAAAAATTTAAATTGAAATTCATTTCGGTTCGAGCAGAGTTAATTAATTGAATTAACATCAAAAGCAAAATAATATTTTAAAGTAAAAAGAAAAAAAACGAGATCAAATGTTATTTTAATCAAACTCACTTCTGATCGTTCTCAAAGCTCTGTGTTCGTCTCAAAATCACTTCTGAGTCATTTGTTTGGTTTTCTTTGTCAGGAACTTCTGTTGTAATAAAAAAAATCAAAAAGTTTTTCCCAGGAAAATCAAAAAAGAAAATTTCTTACGTATTTTTGGTGGACTTTCTTGTGGAGTATTTTGCTCTTTTGACGTCACATTCAATCGACTCTTATCTTCGCTGGAATCATTATCATTCGTTAATGGCAGTTGCATCTGATCACGAGCCGATGAAACTTTATTTGTTTGTTGTTCATCTAAAATTGAAAGATTTAATTAATTTTTTATCTCAACTTTTAACTCTAATGACATCGAAAACATTTAATGTGGAGTGAAAATCATAATTAATCGTTAGCAAAATGATTGGAGTGGATCGAAATAAGCATAATTGGGGGGTGAAAAACTTTTAGGAAAATTATTCGACGAAATATCCATCGAAGTATTTTTAATTGAAATATTCATAAATAATGAAACATGGAGAAATATTTACATGAAAGAAAAAGGGAAACAACATCAAAATAATCACTTTTACCTATTTCTTCACTTTCACTCTCTTCAGATTCATCCGATTCGGAACCTTCTTCAGATTCTTCACTTTCGGATTCTTTTAAGACGTAATCAGATCAATGAGAAATTAACAGAGAAGAAGAATTGAAAATTTCAAGACATTTGACGACATTTGATGAGATAAAACTTACCAGCGTTTGCATTTTCAGCTGGCGATTTCACCTCAACACGAATGACTTTCGGTGGTGATTCGATGTTGTTATCTAAGTTATCACTTATTCTAATTTGACTGATAGGTCGACGTTTTGTTCGTTTGTTGTTCTTTTTAAGCTCTTCGAGCCATGGTGTCATGTCGCTAGGTGCAATATCAATTGCTGTTTGATTAGAATAATTTTGAATGTCCATGTCAGCCATGGAAGCGATAAGCATCTGTGCGGCTTCCTTCTTTCCCCAATAACAAGCAGCATGCAAGGGCGTCCAACCGTCATTATCTTGTCGATCAACATCAGCACGTCCAGCTAAAAGTAAACTAAGAACTTTCGTGTATCCTTTTGCAGCAGCAACATGAAGTGCAGTTGCTCCAGTCTTCGGATGTGGTCGATCAGCTTCGCTTGCATCAGATCGAAGCCATTTCTTAGCGTCTGCCAGCATTTGCTTCTCTTCTTGTGTTCGAGCTTCTTCACAGTCGATTCCTTGATCGTCAATATATCTTTGAAGTAGATCGGCCATTCCCTTTGTCCCCGCAATATCAATCGGCAATTCACCATCACTATTAACAGCCGCCAAATCTGCTCCATTTTCGATCAAATATCTGGCAATGCTCACAATTCTAAAAGAAAATTTTATGATTCATCGATCGATTGCGTGACTCAATGAGATGAAAATTCTTTACCCGCATGAAGATGTTGCATGTAGTGGAGTCCATCCTTCATTGTCTTTGCGATTGATATCCGCTCCATGTGACACTAGAAATTCGACCATGTCAAGATTATCTTCAATGCAAGCCTAACATGGAGAAAAGTTGATTAATCAATGAATCATCAAAAAGAAAACGATGTCGATGATGCAATCATTGGATCATCCCATTTCTGATAATACTTTAAGCTGTTACGTAGATAAACAAATTGATGAAAGCAAAATCAAGGTTGACTTTTATTTGATGTTTTAAATCGTCATCTTCCGACATTTTTACGGGAAGCTTTCAAACATACATTTATGCATGAAATTTATGACGCAAGCTAATTGTACTCCCTAGAGTCTAATTATAAATATGCTGCTGATGAAGGATATGATGGTCAACAGTCGTTTGGCAACATCGCATTTAATTGCGAAACATTTCTTTCGTATATATTTTCGCAGCGATGAGAGAATGATTTGTGTGAAAATAAATAAATAAATTAACTATCGTTCCGTTCACAATCCGCCCTTGAAAGGTTCGAAGAAAATCAACCGAAAAGGTTGGAAATTCGACATTAAGTTGGGAAAATTTTATTTTATTGCTATGTAATGAAGTAAGCGATTCCCTTTTTTTCCACAAATTAAATAAAAACTCGATCGACATGCTGCCGATAAACATTTTCTTTAAAAAAATTTCTATTTTTAATCCACGCGCGAAAAAAAAAAAGAAATGATTTAAAAGCTTTTTGTTCGTTCACTCTTAGAAATCGGTTCAAGAACAAAATTTTATTAAACAAATTTCTTTCTCGTTTATTTTTAGATGATCTCGTTTTGTATTCAGCGTCCGCCGCTGACTTTTCGATCGAAAAAAATCACCAAAAAAAAAAAGGTTTTCTCAATGGAATAATAATAAAGATGTTTTATCAATTTTCTCACTCGAATTTTGAACGCCGCTTTGTAGCTGCTGATTCATTAAGCATGATGATGTTTCAGGGTCAGAATGTCAAGTGGAGTTTTATAGCAAACCGAATTGTTATGTTGTTTCTTTTAAAGGTTCAAGTGATCAATTAAGCTTCCGCTTTTAGACAGTTTAATTTTCATTTTATCTTTAAGAAAACAAAAACGTACAGATACATATATGTAAATGTCTATGTTTGTTGAGTGAAAGCGTCAATGGTTCTTCTCACACTTGCTTCATGTCATGTTACGCATAACCAATAGGAATAGAAAAAGAAAAATTTTCTGTTTCTCTTTTGGCAAACGATCAAACTCTTCCTTTCGTCATCAGACGACATCGGTGAGAAATGGAAGACGACAGAAAAATTGTTGTGATGTCCAAAACGTCGGCAAACATTTCTCATCATCATAAATCGCGAGAAATCAAATAATGTTGCTTCATTTATGTGAATTGAAGCTTATCACTATGTTTCATCATCTTTCATTTCCTTCATTGCGTGTAATTCTGTCTCCGACAATCATCATCATCATCATGTTTATTTACCACTAACAATAAAGCATTGCGTTTGTTACTTTACACGACATAACTGCAGAATCGAGAGAAAGAAAATTATCATCGTCTTATGGGCATCGTTATGATGAGTTAAGTTACGATGAAACAAGTCGGAGAAGAGATTTCTATGCTCGAATGAATACTTTTACATCCATCAACAAATAAACATTCTTATATGACAGCAGTGTGCAGTTCGAGACAATAAATCATCTTATTCTTCTTTTTATGATCATCAACAATCATTATTCGCTTAACTTTTAAGACGAAACGTTCTTTCATGTCATTTTTGTTATTTGGTTAAAAACGAAACGAATGAATTAATGCGAATCAAGCGATTTCTTTATTGTGTTTGTTAGGAAACAATTACAAGTTATTAAGTAATTAAGATCACCCAACGGATTCATGTGGAACTCTCTTCTCTGTCTTTTCTTTTGCAAAATCAACAAAAACAGAGAAAAAGAATCTTTTAAAGCCGAGATCATTGACCGGGAAACTCCCGAAGAAATATTCTTAACAGTCGATAAACTAGGGCGTAATAATTAAACAATCAATTTTAACTTACTAAATGTAGAAACTCTACTAGATATGTCTATTTATCATCACAATTGTAAATAAAAATATTTCAAAGCGACGTGATGAGAATAGAAATTAAAATTAATGCGCGGAATTAGAATTTGAGAATCGCTCGATAAGGAAATTCCTAAACAAAACTTCAAATATTTCATTTGTCATGTGCGCGTCTTCAATACTTTAAAAATCTCAAGTCAACATCTTATTGAAGCACCGTCAAATAAGCCGACGACAATTATCACAGCGATAAGGAAAAATTTTATTTGTGGAAATAAAATCATGAAAATCGTATTTTGATTCAGTCAGAAGTTCGAAGCAATGTTGCCAAATTTGCAGAAACAAAATGTAAGGCAATTGTAAAGTTGTCAATTCTTCACAATTAACAAGTTTTAAACTTAATGGATGCGCTTTTCGACAACTTCTTAAGGCGAATATCACACAGACACGATGTCGTCATCTTCAATTAGTCGGAGGCGAGATTTCCATCCAGAATAAAACATCGAAACACTTCCATTAATAATGAAGTAAAGAACTGATCCATTTGAAAATTGTTTGCACAATTGTTCAAGGCGATGTTTGTCGGGGAGTGAATTTATTATTTTATTATTTGACTGTTTGTTCTCTTTCAGTTTCATGAATGAAAAAAAAAGAACAAGCAACGACGATGTTGAATGATTCACAATAAATTGAAATTAAGCTATCAAGTCGCGATGTTATTATCATTAAATGTGCTGATTCTAACGCCATGACAATTTGTTTCCATGATTTTTTTTTGTTTACTACTAAACTACAACGTTTCTTCGTGTCTATCTTGATATTTAATTATTCAAATGAAAATTCTAACATCATGTGGGCGATCGCTTATCTCGTTGTTGATGAATCTCATTCGAAACTCTTCGCTATTTCATTCCTTAGTAGATATCCATCTAATTAAAATTCCTTGATGAAAACGCAAACTTTAAAGTTTTAATCACTTTTTAAATGATGTGCAGGTTTTAATGACGTTCTTGTTTTAATTAATTTTATATTCATTCATATTGAATGTTTATGAGGGAGTAAACGAATGAAACGGACATCACAGTTGATCCCTGATGGTCGTGCTTTTATCAAACTAGTGCAATTTAATGGCATCATTGACGTTTTTATGGAAATTAATGACGTCGTAAAATGTTTTTGAAATGCGTTGGCGTTCAACATAAAACTAAGTATGGAAATATCATTGACTGTCAATTTTCACATAATAAACCAATTTGGTTTGCATTTTGTGCGTGTCATCAAATCGTTTGTTTTCATTTCATCAAAGTAATAAGTAATGTTGTGCAGATTGCTTGTTAACTTCACCCACTACTCGATTATCATCGGAAGCAATAATTTCACAATGGAAAGTTTTATATTTTCGTCTGTTTCTCTACTTTTTGTTTTAAAGCATGAAAGCGAATTAAGAAAATAAACGAATGAACGTATCTCAAATGGAACCATCAACAACATGCAAACTCTGTCTTCTCTTCAACTTTAACGATCGTAAAGATTTTTAATGATTGTGGAAGCTCATGAAGACGCTTTTTAGGGCTTGAAAAAGAAGTCGTTGGAATCTCACAAACACTCAACAACTGTCCAACAACTTTTCAAATACTTCATTCTCAAATAATTCTGTCTGTCGTTGCGTTTCACGTTTCGATGTTTTTTTTACATTCATAATGACAGAAATTCCAATCGGATCGATCGTTCGTGATCGCAATTTTCAATTCTTAATTCTTCATGGATGGAATTGTGAAGTTTAACTTTAATGTCTATCATCAATGACGAATTTTTATAGTGAAAAATTATTTACTTTGCATCTGGTGTTCATCTTCATCTTATTTTTATTAAATATTTTTGCGCGCGCCGTCCATTTATCAAGAAGCAATCATTCTTTCTCCATCTTTTATGAGGGTATCCAAAAACAGATTCGATCAAATGATGGCTTAGAATGGACGTTTAAATTCTCTTCGTTTATTTTTATCGAGCAAGCACCCGCACAAAAATCCCAGAAGCCGTTCAGTTTGATGTAAGTAAGATGAGTTTAAAGTACTTTTACGTTGGAGCATGATTTATAGCGTAATTTGAATAATTAGCGTGCAAAATTGTATTTTCCTTTTCTTTAACACAAAGCTTGTTGTTGATATTGTTGTTTGTATTGAATCGACATTATTTGAGCTTCACTTACTAATTACTTACATCTTGAACATGATGGACTGCAGTCACTTCTCTACATTCACATTTTATCTCAATTGCCCTCGTTTAACATGCATGACTTCTCATGTTCATCAAATAAATAAAAGCTCGCAATGAGATTGGATAGGAAATTATTACGCATTAACTTTCAAGAGCGTGGTAATTGCAATTTGTTTTAAAAAGCATTCATTTGTTAGTGACTTGACCCGATGACGATGATGACGATGATTGTCGCACACTTGATTAAAAACAATGTTTGGAAACTTGCGCGACTAAAATGTTTCAAAGTTAAAGCATTCGATGGCAATTTTGATGTCATCAGCAAGCAAGCAAGCATAGAATGAGACTTTTAATTGAATGTCTTCTCATATCTCAAGAATTTTGTCGCTTATTACGACTCGAGATTGAAATTAAGATCATTAAAGAAAGATTCGCGAGTAATGACAGTTGTTGGTTGATGTTTATTAACATTTTTTTTCATTTCAATTCAGCGAATTTGTTGTCATATCAAGTCAAGGTATGAATGAAGAATGCAAACCCTTTTACTAAATTGAATTAAAAGATTAGCGCTTTATAAAGAAACATTCGTTCCATCAATTTTATTATTATGTTCATGCTTACTTGCAATGATCGCGTTTTTGCACTTTGCTACTTCAGATTTGCACCTTGATGGCAATCAAAATAATATCAAATGTCACGCTACATTTATAAGTAGCTTGCATAAGTTTTTGTTATTATGATTGACGTCAGATGTAGTCGTAATGCATCGTTAATTAGACTAAATAATTAGCAGTCTCGTGCCTAATTTGGTACTTGAATGTTGAGTTACTTTACTCGTGCATTCGTTTGACAATCTAACGAATTTCATTGAAATTCTTATTTATTAATCAAAAATGAATGAGGAAAGAGATGATGAATTTTTTGTTCGTTCTTTCTTATCGGAAAGCTCAGAAACCGAAATGATTTAAGGGCGAAGTAAAATGACACATTTGTCATCGCTGAGCATTCATATAAGTTGCGTGTTATCAATTTTTATATGTGCATGTAACTCATGTTGACAATCATTATAATTAACTTTACAAAAGTAAATAATCGTAATCAATTCAGAGCTTGTGTTTACACTTTTTAAATGGAAAATCTCTGCTACTTTCAATTGAACCCAAATCATAAAACTCGTCGTCTGAGAAGTGTAAACATAAAACTGAAAGTTGAAGAAATTGATTTAACTTCTTTTTTTTCTTCTTCTTTTCGGGTTTTAATATAAAATTAAAAAAAAATGGTTTTAATTAAAACATGAAGAAGCTTTCGTTTGATTTAAACCTCAACACAGCTCAACGGACATGTGTTGTTCGCTTGGTTGAAGCACCAAAGAGAAATTTGAGAGCAAAAGATTTTCCGCGAAAATTTCACTTATCTAAATATTTACAGTAATCGGGGCGTAAAGTCCAACATGCCTGCTTCTTGTTGCTTCGCTCGCTTTATTATTTTCTTTTCCTTTAAGAAAGAAAGAAAGAGAGACCGAATTGGTTTCGAAATAATGTGGCAATGTATGAGGAAATTCCAGATGCAACGCATGAGCTTGGTGTCATAATTTGAATTGTAAGCGGGAAAATAATTGAATTTAAAACATCGCTTAGATATTATTGGGTCAAACAAACGATGATTTATTAAAACGAATGAAAAGAAATATTAATTAAACAGTAGCAATTAACAAAGACGGTAGTGAACATTGTAACATGTTAATGAATTATTCACAACTCGTTTTAGAACGTTTCATTAATGGAACATCAATTTTAATTGAAAAAATGTTCTTATCAATCCAGTTTAAGAAGACTAAGAAACTCGATTTATCTCAATTAATGAATCATAAAACGATGTGCAATTATGATTATTGTGTGAAATTATGAAACTGCACAGTAGCCGTCAAAGTAAATGTTATTAGAAATTAATGCAAAGCAAACTATCGCTTGTAGTGATCTTTAATTAGGTCACATATAATTGACTTGTTTTTTAATTACTTAATCATCCCTTTTCTATCCTGATGATCACGACATGTTCAATGATTATTATTCAACATAAATAAAATCACTGAAGCTATAGAAATAAACTGGAAACTTGATGACAACAACTAATCCGCGAGTCGTCTTTTATTTCGTAAATTTTGCGATTTTTTGGCGTACACAGCGAGTACTCACACACATACACACAAATTTATGTGACTGAGAGAGTAAGTTTGCTTCGGGGATCGGTTGGGAAGGAAGAAGAAGAAGCTAATCGTCACTAAATGAGAGTTTAAATTATCTTATGATCCAGCTTTTATCAGCCAACTGCTTAGGATCCAGCAAAATTCAGCAACTTTTTATTTTACATTATCGTCATTCGACAAACGATCATGTTTGTGTATAATTTTTTTCTTTTTTTTGCTTGTTTCAGAAATTCTAAAAATAATCATTTCAACTTTTCTTTCCTTCTCGCATGTAAAAATTTGAAGCAAAACTTCTTCCACATCCATCGTTCGATATCGAGACAAACTTAGTATTACAAACTTATGGGATAATCCAGCGAAAGATTTAAAGTTGTGCAATAATAATTACTTGATGTAAAGCTGTTAACCCATCGACATTTGCTGTATCTATGTCAGCTCCACCGCTGTTTAGCATATTGAGAACTTCATCTTTGTCACCAGCAGCGCAAGCTGCGAGAAAAATGCAACCAGCCGAGAATCTCACTTTTCTTGCACTTGAATTTTTTGGCAACACCGATTCGCGATTAGTTTCAGAATCTTCATAGCGTTTTAGCTGCTCGGCCCGTTTTGAGAAGGCCGTCTTATTCAGAGCCATTTCTATTTCTTTCACAATTCTTTTTCTTATTAATTTTTTTTCTCTTTTTTGCTATATTTTACGTTCTTTGCGTGAGTTTATAATATCACTTAAACACTAACACTAAAATTTGTTCCAATTTGATTAAATTTTGTCGTCTATGCCTTCTTTTATTCGGTGTTTTAACTTAATTGAAATGAGCTGCGATTTTACATTTTTACAAATAAAGAAGGAACGATTGGAAATGAACCAAAAATGTAAACCATACCAAAAATAGTTCAAAAATTTGAACCGAATTAAAATGGGAAATGAAAAATAACTAAAATTTTGTGTTATCCTCATTTATGTTCATGAGATTAATAAGAGAAGGAGTTGATAATATCTTAAATATTTTAAACTCATTAAAATTCAGTAGTTTTCAAGTAAATAATGAATTTTAATATTTATGGTTAAGTTTCTTTGGTTTCATACTCTGACTTAGTCATTTCGGTTCAAAAATTTTAGCATCTTAACCGCATGGCATGTAATTTCAGATTTAAACATTTGAAAAACATGCGAAATGTGTAATTAAATTTTATCCGTTAAAATATTTAAGCTCACAAATAATTTTTACCCTACGATTGTGTGGTCTTTGATGTATAATTAAAAAATATATTTACACCCTTCGCAAAAAAAGCTTTTATATGAGCAGTTTGAATTTGAAATAACTACAAAAATGTCTGTAATTACGATTTTTTTATTATCTTTCAAGTAGTCGTAAACTTTTATTTCAAGATAAAAAAATCTTTGATAAGCTCATGTACATTAAAACCTCATATAAATGCTTTGTTTACATTTATAATTTTTCATTTTAAAATTGAAAAATGAACACAACACAACCATCGGTTAGCAGGGTATATTTAGAAGGCAAATGTCTGAATTCCATTCCAGTCCCTTATTTGTAGTTATTAACAGTTAAGGTTTTTCTTATTCACATTCTTTTTAGAGAAATATAATTTTAACAAAGAAGAGCATCGACATAAAACTTTTAATGAAACTGATAATGAGCCAATTGATATTGAAGTTTTTAGGAGATTCTGTAGATGATAGAATATCCCATCAAAACCATGAATTTTTAATAAAAAAAACTTTTCCACATATTTTCATCTTTATTTAAATCAAGTTTCCTAGTTCTTCAGTGATTTAACAAAGATAAGCTTTCTAATATGAAAAAAGCTCATAAAACTTTAGTTTACACGTTTTAAGTATAAGAGCTCCGACAAATATTTTAACTGTGCTGATAAGATAATAATTATCTAGATACATATAAAAAGGGCATGTGATCGAGAATATACTCCACTGAACATTTTTTCTTTCTTTTCAGTTTAATAATGAAAAATGAACATAGTACACCCATCAACAAGTAGTGTCAATGTACAACAAAATAGAAGAAGGTCATCGCAAGTTGCATTCAATCTAGTAAGATATAATTTAAATAGAGAAGAAGATCGTCGTAAAACTTTCGAACAAAATGGATGGTTCAATCACGAATTTAACGTTGAGTACAAAGACTTAGCATTGCTCGGATTTTTTTACGAAAAATATCCTGATTCTGTGAGGTGTAACTTTTGCCTTTTGCAATTAAGTGACTTCGAACCTGGCGATGATATTTTACAAGCGCATTTAACATTTTCGCCAAACTGCCCACTTTTAAAACGTTGCAAGACTGATAATGAACCAATGAATAGTGAAAAATTAAATAAAATATTACCAAAAGTTTATTATGATGAGTGTGGATGGAAAAGAAAGAAAAATAAAGAAGAAGTAAAGAAAAGTGAAACGATCAGATATCCACGATATGAATCACTTAATAAAAGGCTCGAAACATTTGATATGTGGCCAATTGGACTTAAACAAAAGCCTCAAGATTTAGCAGAGGCTGGTTTCTTTTATAGTGGCCAATCAGATGTAACGATATGCTTTTCATGTGGAAATCATATTGGAAAATGGGAAGTTGATGATAATCCATGGGTAGAACATAACAAACTTAGTAAAGAATGCAATTTTCTTAAGGAAAATAAAGAAATTTTGAATGAGAATACTAAGAAATATGAGACAGATAGTGATTATGGTTCAATGGAAACAGAAGACGGTAATGACGAAAAGAATACTTCAGAAGATAAAATCATTAAAGAGTGTAAAATATGCTTAGAAGTTAAACGTCTTCCTGCTATCCTTCCATGTGGACATGTAGCTGCATGTCAATCATGCATTCAGAAACTAACAAACAAGAAATGTCCCATTTGTAGAACGAAAATTGAAGATACTAAGCAATTATATTTATCTTAAAAATCAAATACTTCACAGAGATGTTCTTTGTGAGTTCTGTTTGGTGCATATTTATTTCTTTTACCTAGTTCAAATATTTTAGATTTAATAAATTTAAAAAATGTTTTTGCTATCTACCAACAATTTTGTTACTTTGCTTTATGTAATTAATGATAAAAACGATCAATAATTTTGTGATAATAATTTGGTGTGTTGTCAACACCTGAAATGGAATCACCTAATTGACTCTTTTTTTCCAGAATTTTCTGTTTCGTGTGCAATTTCTGATTAAAAATATTTTCAGTTTATTTCAGATAATTAAGACTTGGGCGCCAATTCTTATCATTTGCATTCATGTGATTTGATGACGTCAAATTTTTCAAGTTGACGTCAAGTTTCTTAGAAAATTTTATTTCACAATTTCCGCTCGTAGTAAATTTGTTGCCAAACGGTCACGGTCTGGTGATTTGCGTTATTTCATTATTTTTTGAATTAAGCATGTCGCTGAAATCTTCAACTCAATACGTGACAATCAAAAGATGAGAATTTAGTTGATTAATAACGCCATTGTGATCTACAAAAGCACTAACAAATTCAAGGCTTCTGACTCTCTCAAACTGTTAAACAATGAAATTGTTTGCTGTAAAATTAAATGAATGTTTCCATTGGGACGATCGTTCTATTATATTCTCTTCGATTCTCACAATCACTTTACAAATGAACGTTTTTTGAAGGGGAATAACATTCAACTAGGTATCTAAATATTTTTCCAGCTAGCGGAAGTTGCTCTCACGAAAAAAAAACTCGTTAGGTTTTAATTCAGTTATAATTCATCAACAGAGAGCATTAGTTGCATTTTCGTTTTTCGTGTTCGAAGCTATTTTTTCAAGCTCAAATTCTTTGGATAAATCGTTTAAATTTCCATTAACTCTTATCTATTTATTCCCTTGTACCTGGTAAAATATATTTAAGGCTTAAAAACATTTAAAAACAAAGAAGAAAAGTAAACAAAGTTGTTTTTGAAAGGCTTCGCTAATTAAATTATAAAATGGAATAAATGTGTAAACAAAACAATTATTGAAGATGGTAAGATTGTCAAGATATCTTTATGAGTAATTTATGATTTGTTTACATTAGATAGCCGGCAATAAAAGATAAACAAAAAAAATTAGAACATAAAAGTGAAAAAAGGAAAATTAGAAATGTAGTAAAAATATCTCGTGAGTAAAACATACGAATGTAGAAAATTTTCCATTCATCAGAAAATCAATAAAGTGTCGATGTAGTGGTAGAACATTTGGATGAAGGCAAGCATACATTCATGTTTATATCTAGATATATGTCCTTTATATAGTTAACTATTTATGGGAAAAAAGAATTTCCTGGCACAAGGCCATTGAAGTCTTCTCTTGCTACGAATCTAAAAATAGCATTTCAGTGAATTTTCCTGTAATCCGAAATTTTATGAGAATGTAATTTGAATCATGGGATTTTATATAATAAAATGATCTTTATGTATTGAACTTAACGCCATATGCCTCGCAATAAATGAAATAAAATTTCTTAGTGTGAGTTCAGCTGCCATTTATATATACAATCTGCTCAGTTTGTCGGTGAAGAAATAAGAAAAATGCGTCAGTAATGTAACACAAAAATTAAATAAAAAATAATTAAAAAATTGTCGCCAAAATATTTAGCAAATTTTACAAGGACAAACAGGTTTTGAATTTTGTGCGCATGCGTGTGACATCATCGACATTCGGCCACTTTAGTGTAGTGTTGAACATCGTAGCTTACATCAAACCCTCAGTCTCTAAAGTGAAACTCAACAATACAAACTAACTTTATTTAAACTCGACTCGGATCATATTAAATTATCGTTTTTCTTTTAAGAACTGAAAGAAAACACCAATTCGACTTGATAAAATTAAAAATATGTTATAATTGTTTTGGATTTCAAGTGATTTGTAATAAATAGAACTGAAGAGGTAAAGAAAAAATGAAATATTTCAAACAGAAGTGAGAAAAAAGCGTAGAAATATGTGCCAACTGTACATTCACCCAAATGAAAAGTTTGCCATTTTGCAAGCCTCATGACTGTATACTTAAGCGAAACTTTTGTTGAATAATCAATGAGTGCTACTCGTATGAAAACATATTAATTAAGTTCAAATTGAGCAAGCTTTAAAAAAGTTATAAATGTAAATAGAAAAATCATTTTAAGGACACGACTGCGACGTTTATTGATTTTTTTTTTGTTTTCGTCTGCTTCAAAGTCATTATTGTCTGAGTTGATTCTTGTTGGCTACTGCTAAAAATAGAGCGTCCTCAATATGCTTGCTAAAACGCAGATACCAAGCATAAAGAAAACTTGAGATTTGTGAGAACAATCAAGAATTCTCGTGGGTCATGGGAATGAATTTAAAAAATATATAAAAAGAAATTACTGTGGTTTCCGATAAGAGTCTCTCAAATGAAATTCCAACCAAGCAGTGTGATTAAATAAAGAAAAGTTTAAAATGTATTGTTGTTCATGAACGAATAAGTCGTGAAAAGCAACTCAAGAAAGCAATTTAAGTAAGAAAAAAACTGGCTGAGCAACATTCCATGAACGCTGACTACAAGACTTTCAAGAAACTCACACCACAGTGAAGTAAATTTATTTAAAACCATTGAGTGGAAGAAACTAAAAGATCAAAATATCATGAAGCGAATACAGAGGTGAACTGAAGTTCATCATGTGAAATGCATGCACGATCAAACTTATCTCTCCCACTAAGTGATTGCAAAAATCTCACATAAATTACAAAAAAATAAATATTTAATTAGTTCCAAGTTCAGCTCTGAGTTAAACGTTATTTTTTTCACATCGTGAGGTCGTTTTTGCTGATACAGTATGTGGTGATAAATATTTATATTGTTTACATGAGATTCATCATCAAAGTGACTTTCAACGCGCAGTTTAACGTTTGGTAACTTTCCTATTTTAAAAGCAGCAAAAAAAAACTCATTTTTATGTTGCTGTTTAGGACGAATCTTTATTTTTCCTTGAAAGAAATAACCGCGGCGTCATAATAAACTGAACCTTCGTCCCTGCTTAAACAAAAATTTCATACAAAGCAACACAACAACACATTCATGAGTTTAGTTTTTGAAAGAACTTTTGTTACCATCACGTATTTCTTGCATGTACATAACTACATGAATGTTGAGTTTTATGTATAGAAATAAACCCAAATAAAATACCAAGCCAAAATTTGAGCGGAAGACAACAAAGGCGAAGTAAAAGATGGAATGAGTAAAATTTCTGTCTGGAATTTCTTAGAAGGATCAATGAAGTCCCTCATCATGATGATTAAGCATTGAAAAGGAGAAAAAAAAGAACTGTAAACAAGGACGAAGATAAATCCTTCCAGAATGAACGATTTACGTTTTTTTTCTTCTAATTTTTATTACTTTTTCGTCTCGACGATCTAAAATTTTATTAATTAACATTTTTAAAACCTGTTGGCTTTTGTTTCATCAAACTTTGTAAAATATCAAACTCATTGTTGCTTTATCTTATCAAAACTTATGTCGTTATCATAAATAATATTTACAATCTTTCCCTCTCTCTCTATTATCTTTCCAGAATCACTTTGCAATAATTTCAAGACATTATAAAGATGCTGAAGTTTCAACAAATGGGTTTGCCTAACGCATTTAGGTTCCTTACGGGACACGACAGTCCCGACAATAATTCAGGTGGTGACAAACGGGATAAGCACATGACGGAGGCTACAAAAAGTCCAGGAGGTCCAAAACCACCAACTTTAGACTTAAACATTGAAGCAAATCGCTTGAAGACTTTTGAAAATTGGCATGTGACGTTCATCGACAAACACCAGCTAGCTTTGTTAGGATTCTATTATTACGGTCCAAGTGACATGGTGAAATGTTATTTCTGTGGGGTGGAAATAGGAATGTGGGAGGAAGGCGACGATGTTCTAACAGATCACATGAGATGGTCGCCATCATGTAATTTAATAAGACGAAATGAAACAAATAATGTGCCGATTAGTGAGGCTGTTTTAAATCAAACACTCCCCCCAGCACCAGAACCAGATGTAGAACGAATGCATACTGTGAGTGAAGGTGCGATAGAAACGTTAAGTGAAGATGACATTCACATGTATCAACATCAAATCTATGGACAAGGCGGACTTGAAGCTGTTCTTCGAGGAACTTTGAATTTATCATCATCAACACGACCGACAATTTCACGACCCGAACATCCGGAATTCGCTGTTGAAGCGAAACGACTTGAAAGCTATGAAGATTGGCCAAAAACGATGCGACAAAAGCCACAACAATTAAGCGATGCTGGCTTTTACTATACAGGAAAAGGCGATCGAGTTTGCTGCTTTAGTTGTGGTGGTGGATTAAAGGATTGGGAAGAGAATGACGATCCATGGGAACAACATGCGATGTGGTATGGAAAATGTGAATATCTTAAACTGATGAAAGGCGCTGACTTTATTGAGAATATGGTGAAACAAAGAGAAGAAATTTGCAAGCGATCAAGTGAAGGGATGGCTTCGTGTAGTTCGCAATCATCTCAAGAATCGTTAAAAGATGTTCAAAGCAGCAGTTCAAATGAAAGTAAACAACAAGAAAATTCCGATAAATCAGATGAAGAAGAAGAGAAAAAGGACTCAAAATTGTGTAAGATTTGTTACAGTAATGAATACAACACAATTTTCCTACCGTGTGGTCATGTCATTGCATGCGCGAAATGTGCATCAAGTGTCTCAAAATGTCCTGCGTGTCGACAACCATTCGAGAATGTTATGAGAGTTTACTTTTCATGAGATGAGCCTGTGAAGTTTCGTTCCATACATTAAGCACTTTCTTATTTCTAATTGATGATGATTGACTCACATGTAGCAGACGCGCTAGTCTCCAAAAGCTTCACAGTCTCCTTTAAACTGAATAATAAAAATGAAATAACAAAACATCCAGAAATGCTGTCGTAAATGATGGTGACAGTAAGTGCAACGATCTCAAATGAATTTCGGGCACGAAGAATCGGGATAAGAAAAAATGTAATAAAATCATATGAGAATCTCTATGAGAAATATTTTGAGATGACAACGAGAGGCGTCAAGATGGAACTTTAATGGTCGAAATATCTGAAAGTTTGCTGGAATTTATTTGAAAGCCTTATCACAAGTAACCTCAACTAATGAACGCGACTGTCTCAAGTTTTAATCTCAAAATGTTGGGTAGAAGTTTAAAGATGGTTTTAATATAAATGTCATAAATGTGAGAAAAGATAATTAAACGAACGGATGAAGTACTAAAACACAAAGTTAAGATTACTTTTAGAAGATACATTAATGTCTTTATGTACAAAAATCATTCTCGTTTAATATTTTCTTCAACAATTAAAAGTAACTTCTTAGTGATACATATGATTACAAAGTAAAATATATAAATAGAAATCACGATTTAAATAACAAGAAATCTTTCAACAAAATAAGAAACAAACAAACATTCAGACAATTTTTGTACTTCAGATTTTACAGCTTAAATTTTTAACTAAATTAACGCGTATCGTAAGTTGATTTGTACATTTTTTTGGTTGCTTTATAAATTATCATTCATATTGAAGATTTCTTTATTATTAATACACGAAAATTTATTCCGATATTTGGAAAATGATTTTTTGATGAATCCTTTTTTATTAATTAATGAATAAAAAGAAAAACTAATTCATATTTAAAAGAAAAAAAAAGAAAATTGTTTGTTTTTCATTTAATGTAAGTCAAACTTCAACAGCGCAATTTCAGAAAAATTCTTTCTCGTCTCACCTTGTCAATGACAAATTTCTTACCGACGTCATTGCTTATTTTTAATCTGCAACGTCATTTGAATTCTTAGGATGACGATTGAATAGATTTTCAAGGTCTCACGTGATTAATTTTCTAAAAATATCAAAATCATTTTTGGAATTCATAGTAAATTTAAGCGTAAGTTCCATAAAACTATAAAACTTGTTTTCTTCTTATTATTATTATTTCATCCATGATTCTGTGTATGAGTCATCGAACATAAATTTTGTTTACGACTTACGCCATACACAAACTCCATGAACGATTAAATTACTTACAATGAGATGAAAAATTATTTTTTCTTCGTCTGTTCCCTCATCTCAAACAGCCTCCAATGTGTTTACAAGAACTACACAATCAAACCAGTTTTTTCTCGGAAATTCAATTTCGTTGTATGATGTTGGTTGAGTTCAACTGATTTCTGATTTCATGGCCGTTCGCATGTGTCTGTAAGAAATTCTTAAAGATTCTGATGCAACATCTTAAGACATTCTTCTAGCTACATTTAAGACAAGAACAAGAATAAAGTTCGTGATGTTATTTTTTTCAGCTTCAGTCATTTTTAATTCTTTGTAAGAAGAAATCAGAAAAGTCAACATGTGGTCAAACGATGCATTCGAATTTCCTTTTATTGACTTATAATTAATCAAACGGCAATTTTGCAACACGATATAAAGGCAGTCAACTTCAACGACCTCCATAGGAATGTTGCGCGATCAAAGCTCTGATATAAGCATTTACAATTAAATATTATAGAATTAGCATGATTGAACTGACTCGTTTCTGTTAGAAACTTGCATACCGAAACGTTCAATATTTATTTTTGTACGTCAACAGTCGCTGAGCTGCATATTTGCTGTTCGAGTCATAAAAGACACGAGGATTGTGCAAAGTAAATGATGTTTGATTTTTAGAAAGAAAAAATCATTCATAACGACTTTTAATGTGCAGATAATTAATAAATAAATATGCAAATCAACACGCGCTGTTGAAGCACAAATGAATTTGTCATGACTCTCGCATCAAACTTCACTAGTTGCATTATAAGAATATTTATTAACTCAACATTTATTGTTGAAGGAGACCATCTTACCGGAGATGCCTTTAATGAGTACATGTGGGAAGCACAAGGTATATGATTAACTCATCAAACACCCACTATTTGTACTTATTAATCGAAGCTTCAATGTTATCTGACATCATTTATTGTATATCTGTTGATGTAATGCGATATTGAAACTTCTCATAGTTTAAAGCTTTTAAATTCTTTCTTATCAATGTGTTTGCATTTGAATTTGTTTAAATATTTTTCTTGCTCAAAGTGCAATCGGAAACAGATATGAATCAGACAGTTTTGTTCATAAAATGATGAGCTCATTAAAGAGATAATGAAAGCCATGACAATAAAAATTTAGTGTCAAATGATGACAATAAATTTTTTCAAGTTTCGACATGTTCAATAATTGTAAAGCAATCTTTGTACGAAATCAATCTCTAAAAATTATCAAAAGCTTGTTTCAAGATATTTATTCACAAAAGCACTTTAAAATTTCAAGTTCAAATAATAATTGTCGCAATTTTATCTTAAACTGATAACGGTGATACTGGTGGAGGGCGCTCTTCCTCTAGAGCATCAAATATCCATTCTGTCATCAACGCACGAGCTCGTGCTTTAGTTTGTTGAAGAACAACGTAGTCAGCTTCAGCTGTAGGTCCAAAGTCACGGCCCGCCGATTGAACTAATCAATTAATAATCAAAAAATCTTTTATCATATCACAGAAATTATGTAATGAATACTTACGTGACATGACAACGACTGGAGCATTTGGATTTAAATCTTCACTTGGTCCTAAACTTCTTCTCGGATCCATCTCACCGTGTGTGAAGAAAACTCGATAAATGTGTGGATTGAATCCACCGAAATATTCATTTGTTCTTCCAATTAATTCTTCCATCACGCTTTCTGAGAAACTTTTACGAAAGGAAGTTGAATTTCATTCACTTTTTAATTGAAATTGTTTGTTGACTTACTTGGCTTCCTCGAAAACTTGAGCACACCATTGAATGAAGAAATTTCTATCGAATCTCCATCCAAATGGATGATTTTCACCTTCATTAGCAACCGCAAATTGTCCCAGTTGTGAACATTGAAGCCATAAATTCTGTCGACGACCAGCAATTGTCGACACAGTGTTCCATTCAACTTGCTGATACATTCCTAAAACTGCTGAATTTTCATAGTTTAAGCACTCTAAATTTCTATTAAAGTCATCAGCAAACCATCGAGCGAAAGCGTCGATGGCATTTTCAGGAAGATTTTCCGGTGTGTTAAGACCACGCATCAAAGTGCATTTATCGTCAATTTCTGGATAGCGAGCGTTTGATACAAATGCAAAACCAATGTCAGCAGCAATTCCATAAAACAATCGAGCAATTGCTTCATTATCGTGAATATCAATTGGTGAACAGAGACGAAGACGTTCTTCAGTATAACTTGTGTCTCCAGCTCGAATTTCATCTTCAATCATTCTGAAAGCGTCTTCAAGAATACTTCCACATTCAGGTCCACCAATTGAATTGATTGTATTGAATGTGTTGGTCATGAATTGTGGATATTCCAGGACACCATTGATGTATGCACTTGAAGCCCAAACAGCATCGACTGCTGATGGATATTTCTGTCGTGCCCATGCGGCTAAAGTCCCACCATAGCCACGTCCAAAGGCAATCACTCGAGCATTTTCAGCACCATAGTAATTAGCACGAATAAATTCAACAAACTGTGCAATATCAGCAAGTGCTTGATGAGCGTTTAACCATTGAAGATTAGCAACTGACGTGTCTTCTGTTGGTCGACTTGTTCCATAATAACGATGTTCAAGTGACACAATCATTCCTCTCGTTTCTTCAGCCAACTCGTACATCACACCTCTGGTAAGGAAGTCATCATAAAGTTCGAACCCTCCACTCACATACAGGAAAATGACTCCACCGGAAATCCAATGTTCAGAATTCACAAAATATCTTCCATCGTAGGTTCTACGATCAAGTGGATTGAAATGGTCAACTCTTAAATCCACAAATCGAGTATTCACGAGTGCATTACTTAACCCAATTAATGCTGCAATTATTTGAAAGGCAATTAAATATTTCAAAGCCATGATCACTTCACTCTTTTAATTGATGAATTGAAGTAACTTTTTTTGCTTCTTATAGGGTGTTATACAATTCCTCATAATTTCCTGTAATTTATCTAATCTCAGAAGATACAAACTTTGAAGTGCTTTAAAAAAATCATTAATAACAAAGTTGACTGCTTTCCTACTTATCAAAATTTTTCGAGTGCTTAAAATTTATTGAGATAACTTTGTTTAAATGTATTTATCTGAAAATGTTATCAAATGCCATTAACGATAAATGGGATTAAATGTATTTAAGGTTGCATGCCGAAACGTTAGTTTAGTTACAAAGTTCATAAGATTTAATACCGAAAATCGGAAAGTCATTGACAGATAAAAGAAACTTTTATTTATAGTTCCACATACTATCATTTAATAAATGCGCAATGCCATTGTTGCTCTCATATCTTACATTGAATTACATATTGTCAACTCGAGACATAAACAAGCATTGAATCACTCGAAAACCACAACCAGTTGCCTTGTAATTTTAGATGCGAAATGTTGACGTTGACTCAGATTAAAAAATCCCCAAGATTATTAAAACTCGGCACTTATAATGAAAACAATGGAAATAAACTTGCGGTTTCCATTCCGAGTGTTGGAGGATTAATTGCTAATAAATATTGGGCTTGTTTGGTATGAAAATGTGACATTGTAGGTGTGTAGTGCTTTAAAAGGAAAGCTTTGAAATCATTCCAAAGTGTCACAATTCTTGGAATAAAAATTACTATCAACCAATGATAAATATGAACAAATAATTGTACTAATAATTTCTTCACAAGTTTTATTCAGGTTACAAACCTCTTATCAATTGATGTATGACAAAAGGCTTCTTGGAAAATGATAAGAAAAGCTGCTTTTCCGAAGGTTTTTCTTTTAAATTGAATTATCAAATGGCGCCTGTTTGAAGTTTCAAAATTTTCATGAGAAATTTTTTAAGTGAATCTTATCGAAAAATTGTTTCCTTGCTAGATTTGAAAATTTCGCCATTGAAAGATAAAGCTGATTGAGATTCTGAAATATTAAAAACAATTTTTTTTCCTTTAGGTATTTAATAAAATTTTAAATAATTTATTTGTTAACTTTTTTAATTCATTCATTCTTAAGATTTAAAAAGTATTTACAGAAATACAATTTTTTATTAACAAATTTTCATTTTCAATTCAGTAAGTAAGCGAAGCCTTCGGAAAGATTTTTAATAGTTTTATTAATTTTTTTGTTTTGATATCGAATTGAATGAAAAATGATATGTACAAAGAGACAGGTACATAAATTGATTCATTCGTTTACTTTATCAATGAAACTTCTTCGATAAAATTGTTTGGAATAAACAAAGAATGAAACGATTTCAGAATGTTATCAAAGCTTTCTTGTTTTTGTTACGTTTTGAGATTCTTGTTAAGATTGGACTGGTTCTACTATTCTATTAAACTGATTTAGTAATAATTTCAGCACAGTGACGATGTTTTGCATTAATAAATCTTATCAAAATGAAAAGAGATTAAAGTTATAAGCTCACGTGCTTAAAGTGGAGCGCGTGTCGAAATTAAAAATGACTCTTTGTAGTCTGAAATTTCTTCTTTCTTTCCATCAATCAATCCTTTATTCTATTCTTTCTTTAGCTTCCTTTTAAACTCTAATTCAGGACAGTCTTATGAATTGATTTTTCCATTATTCATTGATACAAATTTGTTAACAAATATTTAATTGATAAAAAAACTCAATTATTTACAATGAAATTGACGCATAAATCTATTGGACTTTGAGGTGATCTCACTGAGGTCAAAAATTATTAATAGCAAGATAAGAAGTTGAGAGAAATTTTCTTGATATCGAATGGAAATAAATCTGTTAATCATCTCCACATTCTTATCTTACCTTGAATAATAAAAATAAACGGCTTACTAAATAAGATTCAAAAGCTTTGTGTTTGTTTTCTTGTTTAATAAATAATTTACTTGCTAAGTTGTGTTCTATCTAAGCGTAAGCTTATTTTTTTTTAAAAAGAACTTAACATTAACTTTCTACAATTTCTTTCATTATTTCTTTCTTTTAATTATGAAGATTCATTTTGACTGGGTCTGTTTTGTGATGAGTATTATTTAAATACGTTAAATCTTATTTCATTTTCATTTATTTACCAGGAATTCTCGATTCTCTTTCTTGAACTTATTTAAGTACGTTGTGCATGATGTTTCAAGAATGTTTTTTCTATTTCTTTTGCGCGCAACTAACTAGCAGACTCGGTGAACAGTTTAATTAACTCTCGATGATCCATGTTGTTGAGTGTTTGCATATCAACGCCCAAAGCTTGAGCAACGGCATCCATGTCGAGTCCAAAGGACGTTAAAAGTTCTAAAAATTTCATTTCTTCGCCTGTTAGCGGATTCGTCAGAGTTGGACAAGAATGATTACATTGAGGCCAACTGCAACGTTCAAGCATTCGAAGTCCACACTTTTTCGGTTCTTTGATGTCAAAAATTTGATTTTGCGCCTTGAGTAATTTGTGACGATTATGCTCGCCATGTCTCCGCTTGTTCGGACTTTTTGTGTTCATTTTCTGTTGATTATTTCTCTTATGTTGTTTTGGTGGTCGTGTTGCGTTTCTCGCTTCCAAACGTTCCATTCGTCGGCGATGATTTGCTTGTTGACGACGCTTCTTCTGCTGCTGCTTCACAGCCGGCTCATTTTCAATTATCTTTGGCAATAAATTTTTGTTATTGATTTCAATTTCCTGAGGTGAGCGCTGTGCGCGTGGAGTTTGATTTTTCGTTTCCATTTTTTGAAGCAAACGTTCTTGACGACGACGTTCACGTCTTTCCAAACGCTTCTTTTCACGTTCTTCTGGTGTCAACTTCATACGTTGTTGACGTCTACGTTCTCTTCGTCGTTTCTCTCGTTCTTTATGTGTCAATTGTGGCTGATCACTTTGCTTGTTATGATTCTTCTTTCGTTTCTTCAATTTTGTGTTATCAGCAAGTTTCAAAATAATTTTACGATCTTTTACTAATGAATTCTCCCAGCATCTCAATGAATCCGTAAGTGAAACATCATCAATTCTTATATTTTGCCAATCTCTCTTTGTCAACACTGAGTGACCGATGCATGCTGGTGCAAAGACAGCGGTGACATTATCAAGAGATGTTCTCAATGCTCCTCCCATTCCATGAATGTAATCCCATTGTTGTGGTGTCACTGGAGCACCAACACTATCAGCTCGCATTTGTGCTTCATCAAAAAGCCATTGAAAGATGAATAATGGAGCTAAAAGAATTAAAATTTAGTCAAAACCTTCATTAAAAGTTGAAATTTCTCAAATTACATTTCAAAGTGTTGTAAAGACGATGACCAAAATAACATCTCCATGGTTCTTTCTGTTCAGCAGCACATGCTTCTGGTAAAACACCATTCCATAGTTTCCAACCTTGTCTAACAACTTCTGATGCTGCAACAGCGCCTGGAGTGAAAGGTTCGCGATCTAAGAACCATCCTGAATCGCTGACACCACGAACATGAACATTCAAACCTTTTACAATAAAATAAAATGTTTAAGACTTCAAATATCTTAAAGATTCAAAAAACTCACCTTTTTCATCTTGCAAGAATGTTCGAATTTTATCAAGATTGAGCATAACGCCAAGACCTCCAGCAGACGATCCAGCCATTAATAAGTCAGTTCCTTGAGAATGACGCAAACCTAATGGAATCAAATCTGCTATAACTTGACGGACAATCAGTGATCCCATGAATCTAAAACTATCGCGTGATTCAGGTTTGGCGCGTGATCCACTCCATGAGTCGCTACTGCAATACGGCACGAAGACGTGATTGGCGTTGTACCAGTAAGGATTTTCAGAAGCAAGTGGTGATAAGATACCACCAACATCTCTCGTTTCTGTCCATGTAGTGGATGTCATGAGATGTCTGAAAGTTTTCAATTATTAGAATAACTTGAATCAATTTAATTATGATTAAAAAATTTACCTCATTTTAGTCCATCTTGTCTTACATGATTTATGATCATAGCAATACCAACCACCTTCAAAAAACACCACCCAACGTCTTGATCCTGGTGACTTTCGTAAATAAAATCCAGCTTGTGATCCATCATTACAAGTAATATCGCGATTTGATAAAAATACTCGTTTCAATTTTGTTGACTTTACGAAGCTATTCGGAGACTTTGGAGAGATTTCAGAATGTTTTCCTACTATCCGCTGGATGGAGTTACTCTCGATTCCTATGGCGTTTACAAAAATCCGTTAAAGTTTTTTTTTCTCTTACGTTTGAAAAATAAAATTTTACCTTTCGTCTGTCGATGAATCCTTGTGTTGTTACCGTACCCACTTGCAGTTAAGTTTGATGAGAATGTTCGACAATAGCAAGGAATGTAATGAAGTGTTAATGCCGCTACTGTAATTATCTGTAATAACAGGAAAAGAAAATCATGACAACGATTAAAAAATATTTCATAATGAATCATTTTGTAAGAAATAAAATTCAAAGAATAATTTTTTGCTGTGATTCCGGAACAGGCTCAATAAGAATTGGTTTTCTTTGAGAATACAATTAATTCAAGTTCAAATTAACGGGTTTGTACGTGATGTGAGTCTCTCAAGAAATCAAATTAAATGAAAACGTGATTGAGAATTCCTCAGCAATGTAATTGATGTAAAAACAAGAAAAGATTGATGTAACTTTCATTTACTCTATTTAGCGAATCAATTTCCCAGTACAATAAATTTAAAAATTATTTTATAGCTTGTCGGCAAACCAATTGCCTCCCATTTGTTATTGTGTCTTATTAACGTGATTTTGTGTATTGTTGATAAAAATCAATAACTGCCGCCGACATATTCGGAATGAATGGAAGGCGAGAGATGAAAAAAAAAGTAAACTGGTTCCGCCTTACCAATCTTAACTATCTATGTATCTAATTGTTTTCTTGAGACTGTATTCTTATTGTTTAAGAGTTTTTATTTGTTTTTAAAAAGTGAAGTGATGTGAAGATTATGATATCATATAAAAAAATCTTTATTTAGAAGATCTAATTGACATCGAGTTGATTTTGTTATCTGGAAGTCTGCTGATATTTACCGACACTCATTTCATAATAAGTTTCATTACAAACATCATATTTGTTACATTTTCTAATTAGCATCCGACAGAAAGTTGCCGACAACACAAACTTGTTCTTAATTCAATAATCATACAAACACTTTTAGTCGCTTAGCCGTTTGTTTGGTTTGCACAAGAAAATTGTTAAATGGAGCGAGTGCGAGAAGCAGTAGCGGGACGAAACAAACTCAAGATAGAGGGAGAGAAACGTTTTAATATTTGTAAAGTGATTCGGCTTTTTTATGTAAATAAAAGGAAGCCGCGCGCGCGGCATTTTCCTACTCTACACTCAAACAGTAAATTACATTCGTCGAGAGAGAACATCACAAGACTTTTGTCTATAGCAAGGCGAACCAACGCGATTGTAAAAGAGAACGAGGAGAAGTATAAATAAATGATAATCGTAAATAAACAATTCAATGAATTAAAATTCAAGAAAGAAGAAAATTTTAAACCGTTTACTATACAAACGTTTATTTACATTAACAATTATAGGTTTGCGCTACTGGAAGTGTTTGAAATGTCGAATTACGATTATGTTGTTTGATTTGTTTTGTTTCTATCTCTCTCCGACTCAAATCATGGCGTGAGACGAGGGATTTATGACCAATTATGGGTTCTTTGAGATTCAGAAGCGAGTGGGTGTGTGATTAACATACATGTTCGACATCAAAGGCGAGAATAATCGAGCCGACAGAAGAGTTTCTTTTCTTCTCTCGTATACTTATTGAGTCTCTCGTTAATGAAACATTCTTTCGTCTTTCCTTTCATTTGCAAATTGGATAATAAATTTCTTTCTCAATTTGAACCGCGCGCTTACCACAAAGGCGCAAAAATGAAGATGAAGAAAAAAGCTTTCCACACTTCATCTCAATGTTTGTTTCAATTTTCTGAAGCACCTCTCATGCACTGTCGATATCACATGAGAAGGAGATCACAGAGAGATTTCATAAGAAAGAAGAAAAGTCTATCGAATGAAAAAGAAATTCTCATTGCACGCTCTTCCAATAATTTTTCCACATCATCACAACACAATCAGAGTAAGCAGCACCAACAGCAGCATCCGTACGATAATGTATTAAGAAGAAAGCCATGAAGGGAAAAGAAGAAGTGGATATAAAAATTATTATAACACATTTAACACAGAAGAAATAATAATAAGAGAATTGATTCCGTCGGTTGTTTCTCTTTGATGTTGGCGCGTAGCGATGCTCGCATTCTGATCAAAAGAACGCCGGTAAACGAATCCGCAAAATCCAACCAAAACACGGCTGCTTTCTGAAACTCTTTACGTTGATTTTTTTGTCTCCTTTTTTGACTGTTTTAATGTTTTTGAATGAGTGTTTTTTAGTTATTGAATTTGTAAGTGATTTCCAGATAAAACTTGCCCAGTTAGGAATTTAAGTTACCAGCAGAAGGAAGAAATATTTTCTTGGAATATTCTTTAATTTGTTTAAAACAAAATCACGCAGAGTTCAAATGTAAATAAGTTTTAAAAACATTCCCAAGAACAAGAAATGATGAATGATGTACAAATTGATCAACAAACGAATTTGCTTACCGTTGAAGCATTAAGTGGATAAGAAATCAACTTTGATCTTTCTATATAAATATCTTCATCAAATCAGAGACGAAGAAAATATTTTTTCTCAAGGCTGAAGATTGTTTCCTTCTTCAAATATCTAAACACAATAAATCGAAGAACTTTTCTGTGAAAATTTCATTCATAAAAGTGAGTCAAGATCTGGAAAACTTTTCAGTTTCGGAAGACAGAGAAAAGTTGGAAAAACTCTTTTGAGCATTCATGTTCATTTTCTCACTCAATAATTTTCAATTGATACAAATAAGCGATAAATCACGAATGAAACTCGCTTGAAGATTCTTTCTTTCTTCTCCCACGAACTCCCCATTCCAGCCTTTGACTATCTCTTCTCTTTCAAGTGAAAATGAAAAGAATTCTTCTTCAAAAGAGAAGAAAATTATGGATTTCATTACTATAAACATAGACAATCACATGCAGGGCGCAAAAGATGCCAAAAGGAAAAAAAAGTATCACGCGGAATTCACTTTGAATTTTCCTGAAAAATGGAAAAAGATAAAAAAGAAAAACAATTTTTTTTCTTCTTCTTCATTTTCTTAATATCATGTTATTAAGAAAGAGAAAAAGAAAATCTTAAGAAACACTAAAGCGGCGTTTAAAAATAAACAAATTAATTTTTTTTTTCGTCTTTCTTGTTCTTTAATTACACAGAGCACATTGAAAGAAAGGAACATCAAATAAAGTTTCTTTGGTGAGTCGAACGAGTGAAATAGGAAATTAGCTTTCATTGCATGGTGAGCATTCTTACTTCAAATGAAAATTCAACTCATTAAGATCGGAAAAGTGAGCAAATAAAGATGCGCTAAAGAAACAAACAGAGAAAATTTATTTTCTCAAACGGTCAAAAGAAGATTTTACATTCACAAGTAAATCGTTCTTATTGTTTATTGGAGTAGGAGTTTAACCTGAAGGGTTCAAGATATTTTAAAGAGTTACATTCTGATTTATGAATCATAAATTGAGTTCAAAAGATTCAGTTGATTGCTATCAACTTGTGTTGTGAAAAGATTAAAGATTTCTTTTTTTATTTCATTTTCCTCGAGCACTTGCAGAAACAAAAAAGAAATAAAAGAATCAATTGAGAAATTCCATGGAAATATATAATAATAAAACAATTAAGAAAGTCATAAATTCTAATCAAAGCGAGAAGTAATTCATCAGCGTTTCAATTGACATTCGAGTAGACAACAATGTATTAAGTTTAATTGTAATGAATTTGTTACCGCAAGCGATCGAAATACCTTCTGCTTCAATCATTCTCATTCTCCTTCCATTGAAGATTAACGAGAAAAATTACGTTAATAAAATATCGCCTCGGAGGTAAAGAGAAGTAAAATTATAAAAATTAAAAGAAACTCGCTACTACCTTTGCCGTCTTACTTGCACCGGCTTTTTTTTTTCACCGCGTAATATTCACCGTGATATATAGTCGCGAAAAAATAATCATAAAAAGAAAGAAAAGTACATAATAATCATATAAAAATCAAGCGCAGAGATCAAAAGTGCCGACAAACAACCGAAATATTAAAAACAACAACAATGATAAAGAGGTAAGAAGAGAATGAAGGTAACAACAGAAATCGGAATATTTCATGAAGGAAGCGAAAGAGAAGGAAAGAAAAAGACGTTAACACAAGAAAAATATGTATTAATGTTCCAATATTTCGCCCGAGAGGAGAAAACGATCCAAAGGAGTTGTTTAAGCCTAAATAAGATTCTTTAGAGCCTTTTTGATTCGAATAACACAACATCGAAGACAATTTGCCGATGGCGAGATGGTCAAGAGAATCAAAAGCCTTTAAAAACGATTGAGACTAAGTATAGAGATGTAAGATATGTAAGTTTGGATGGTGAACAAAACAGGTGCTGATTTATTATTGTTCTCAATCCCATCTAAAGATCTTTAAGTCTGAGATAAAATTCTTCTTTATGAATAGCGAATATTTCGGGATTTCTTTGATGATGTAAGTCTAGAATTTGCAATTTTAAATACATTTTAGATCTGCTTAGATGGAAGAGAATAAACTTTCGATACTTTGTTACAGAAACCACAAAAAAGAAAGAAAGAAACTTGAAGCAGAATGTGCAGCAATGAACAGGTGTTTTCAAACGAAAAGAATTTAGAATTTCCAGTCTTTTTCGCATTATGCTTTTCATTTCTTTACGACAGCAAGAAGTGAAGAATAATTTTTTAAGAACTTCCCACGCAGTGAAACCACCTGCGACAATCGAAACTAACATGATTTAATGTCGACATGTACCATGAACATAAGTTTCAGATCATAACGAAGAAACAAAAAAACTAATCACAGTTTCATTTCGTTCTAGGCAATAAAAGTTTGATAAGCGTTAAAATTCCTATTATTATGACTTCGAGAATAAAAAGGTCCACAATCCATCAAAAAGCATCCCCTCCGGGGCAGAACTAAATTTGAGAACTAAAAGCATTCATTTACAAATCAGATGGGATCCGTGAAGGAGAAGCAAAAAGAGAAATAAGTTTCGTTTTCGATAGTGACAAAGTAAATAAATTTTAAATGCCTATTAACGAAATAAAAAATATATTATAAGATACATGGAATTGAAACATCAAAGCGACTTTGCCGACACTTTTATTACATGTTTTTCTCCACTGTTTGGTGGATTTTTATAGGACAAGCTTCACTTTTTTTACTCGTAGTAATTTTTTTAAGTATTAAATGTTTCTCCAGTTACAACATTTAATGTCAGAACATGATCAAAAGCATTAGATACTCAATGAAAATGAGAAACTCTGACATTAAAGACATTTAGAATCAATCATTAATAAAATGTAAATTACGAATTATGTTTGACCGTTTTCCAACATTGAAACAAGAGTCAGTCATATGATGCCAAAGAGTGAAAAAATATTGCAAAAAATATCCGAATTACGTTCATAAAACTTGTGAGAGGCCACAAAGCAAAAAAAAAAAACCTGGTGCCGGGAGAGTGAGTGAGAGCAAAATAATCGGGCGGCAAAAGATCAAAGGGAAATAAAAAAAAACATGCCATTGTAAATCGTGCGGAGAGGTGAACATTATAAAAATACCCAAGCGTCTTCCACCATCGTACAAATCGAGCAGCTTTTGCGAAAAAAAATAATGAGAATTTCTATTATTATTAGAATTTTTCTCCGGCAAATAATTATGCTCTGCTATTTCACAAAGTAAGTTTAATTAATTGTTATCGCTTTTTAATAATATAGTTTTGCAAGTTGCCGCATCTTCAAGCAATTTTAACAGCAGCTAAAGAGGCCCCAAAGCTTCAAAGATGTTTTTTTCTCGCTTTCATCTGTGCGAGTCAACACCAGCTTTCGGGCAACAAATCGACGACATAAAACACGTTTTTCCGAACGAGGCGGCAGAATTTTCTTTGATGTTACACACGGCCAACGAGTCAGGAAATCTACTAGTGCAGACTCATTCTGTGTGCAGAAAAAATGCGGTGATGACTTTTAAGGCAAATTACTTTGCACTGATCAAAGGAATAATTGTAAATAACATTTATTGTGATCATCCGACCCATTACAAAGAATGTAAATGATATTCGCTCTTATTAATGATTGGCTGATTGTGTGACGAGTAAATAGAATGCGAGTGTGTGAAGCTATTTGATAACAAATTATTAATTGATAGAGCGGCGGCATTCATTGATAAGTGGAAACAAAAATCATAGGAAATGGATGATAATTAAGTGTTTTGTGACATGTCGCTGGCAGTCTATAATTTACAACATCTCATAAATATTCACTTTAATCAGAGTAGGGAAAATTTTTCTTTGTTTTAACTCAGTAAATTGTTGAATGTTAAATAGAAAAACTGGAAGATCAACAACTAACTTTGTATTTCTCTCGTGATAATCAAACATTTACATTGCATGCTTATTAAGAAAAGTATTATAAATATCAACACTTTAACAAGTTTCAGGAAATTTATGTTTCTTATAAACATTGACACAAAAAAAAATATGAAGAAATGTAAAAAGGAAAACTTACCCAAAATATTTTTAAATTTTCCATGTTTTTCACGATGACTTTTAATTAAATAAATTCCAATTTTCTCTTAGTTTCAATTTTTTATTGATTCTTTTACTTCTAATTTATTTTAATTTCATTTATAAACTTTTTTCATGTTTTAACTTCAAATATCTCAAAGAAACATCACAGAAATTAAACTTTCTTTATAAACAAGCTTTTCTTTCTCGTTTCCCAAACTCATTTCTTGAAACATCAAAGGAAATTTTCGGAATTTTCCGAATGGTTTTCTTTTTTTAATTTCTTTGCTTCTTTTTTTCACTTCCAAATTTTATAAACAATACATTTTCATGTTCGAAGGATTTGATTGAAATCTTTTTACAGTCAAATTAATTTATTTTATGATTTTCGAGACAATCTTTACTTTGAAATTCTCACAAGAATTCTTCAACTCTTTGTCCAATATTTTCCCTTTTTCGATTTTATGTTTTCTCAAGTAGATATCTTAGAAACACATCTTGCCACGGCGAACGTTACCAACAATTTGAAAGAAGAATGAAAATGAAAAGCTCGACTTGAGGCGAGTACGAGAAATCTTTCTCATGTTTCTCTCATTTTTCTTCTTTTTCTTTTACAGAGCTCGAACAACGGGAGAGCGAAAAACGTCTGCTGATGATGTTTCCTTTCTTCTTTTCCATCTTCTCGACTCGATCATAAATTCTTCTGGTAAAAAGCAAAGAAATGTGTCGAGAGAAGAAATCCATGCTCGTAATTTCTGTTTCATTATTATTCGTCTCAAAACAATAATTGTGTGAATTTACTAGCAGTGAGAATTGAAGAGAAGAACTCGAAAGGCCGAATGAAAATGAGAGAATTCACAATTCTGCAGCACTTTGATTTCTTCTTCTTACATGGACTGCATGTTAAATGTAAAACCATCACCGGTAGCTGTTAAATTAATTACTTTAACCAAAGAGTCAGGTCACCGAAAAAAAAAAATTATTATATGTATACGAAGAGAACAAGAAAAAGTGATTCGACACACCGACACATTAGCTTTGAGGCAAAGCAAAAGAAAACAACAACGAAGCGACGACGATTTATAGTGTTTATGTAAGGTTTTACACACATGAGAATGTCGGGTGTATTAAAGAGATTTGAGATAAAAACCATAAAAAAGAAATTAAAAGTTACATATTATTGGCCGCTCTCCGTTTGATGTTTCACCGAAAATTTAAATTAAAATCTACAACGATAATTCCATCGCATATATTGACGAGATTACTCGCGCAACCGAACGTCAAGTGATTCGTATGGCATTGTGTGCTTGGAGGAATCGGATAAGACTTAAGGCTCCCATTTAAATAAGGCTAAAGTATCAAAGTCGTGGCTAGTTTACGGTAAGCTGACAAATTTATTACATTTATCTTTACAAATCACGTGTGTGGAGTTAAGAAATAATTCTTGCTGTCGCGGTTTCTCTCTTTACTCCTTGTTGTTCATTTCGAAGATCATTTCATAAGAATCAAAATAAGAGGAACTTTAGACACTTAAATCTTCTTTCATGTGAAAGAGTCTCCATTAATGTAAACAAACGAAAAAAAAAACTGTTACTATTTGATCTTTGCCGACAACAACTTCTCGCTCGTCTAGAAACAACACAACAACAAACAAACTTAACAATAACATTCTAACTAGACAGCAGCTCAGATCAACATTAAAAGCTTTAAAGAGTTTTCTTGGAAAGTTTTCTTTTAATAGTTTCAGGAAAAGATTTTTCATTACTTGCCAAATACTTAATTAAGTAAGAAAAAAAAGCTTTTTTTAAAGAAAGCTAAGAAAAAACTTATTTCCGCTATTTAATTAATGTTTTCGTGTGTTTCCAAAGGGGATTTTTTTAGGCACAAAACCTACAAAAATTAACGAGTCGGGTTTCTTTCCGATGATATCATTGAATTCACTAGATATTTATGCTCGCTGTTGTGTTTTTCTTCTCTTTTTGTTTATATCGCGGCATTTTTCAATGAAACGCAATTCAATGAGAGAACAAGAAGCTTTATAACTTGTAATCAGATTTTGAAGACTAAGCAAAATTTTTTTTGTGGATTGTTGTGTAGAGTGTTTTTAATTAATTAACAAAACCGACGATTTTTCTCAAATTCCTTACTCAAATCCCATCGTATTCAATTTCGTGGTTTTCGATTTCAATGCATCAACATTTTTTTTCTTTTTGAAATATATAACAACATGTTATGAAGACGGTATTGTTGTATGTATGCGTAAAGCCCCATAAGAAATGCTTTTCGGCTCTTTTTGTGTCGGCTTCTTTGGTCTTTGATGTTGTTGTGGCACACGTCTTATGTTATTCTTAAGATTTTTATGCTAAAAAGCTATGAAGAAATGAAGTAACATGTAGGCAATAGGAATCGATTTCTTTCTTGCGTGGGAATGAAGCGGTACAAGTAATCTAAAAATTTATCTATTGAGTCGGCAAAAGTCTTTAAGCATTTTCAGTGTCAAATATAAAAAGAAAAATCTCTCATTACATTCCATTATGGAATTCAATTACATTTCAAAGCCCGAAAAAAGAACTTAAAAGAATTTTGCCGGCGTTAAATTTCCATAAATTATTTAATTAGTTCTTTCCTCTGCTTCTACTGATGAGACGAGGCATGTAATGATAATTTACCAATTACAATTCGAAGATGAGAGGTAGAATGGCAGAAGAGGAAATAAAGAATGAAGGAATGTTTGAAATTCTTCCGACTTCCTGATCACATCAAGAATGGTAGAAAAATGAAAATAAAAAGTTTGCAAAACCAAACCACACAAAAAAATAACAAACCGCACGAAAAAGTGAACATCAATAATGATTTAATTAAAAAGCTACAGCAGTGTCTGTCAAGCTGATGAAGCGATGGAATTTTAACTTAACATGACAAAAAAATAAAATTCACCAACCAAACATAATCAGAAAGCATAAAAATTTATGTGCTTTAATTTTATAATTTTTTTGTTGTTTTTGTCTACTTAATTGAACTACTGACTGCTATGTTAGCAGTGCAATCAAAATTAATAATTTTAGTTTTTCATAAAGAATTTTAACTTTTTTGTGTTTAATGAATTAACAATGAAAAGTATTAAATATTTAATTTGATTCATCATTTTTATCATCATCGTCATCAAACAGCCAATCAACGAATCTTCATCTACAAAGTACTTTAGAGAGCTTCGGAGTATCTTGTCGAATATTGATGATATGGGAGTAAATATAAGAAATGAAAGAGAGAAAAAAAATTGATGTGTAACGTACGGGCGTATTACAGTAGCTTACAAAACACTATAGCAGCAACAACAAGAACATAAAAGCGAGCGACCCAAACAGTTGATTAAATTACTACTGACATTCCCTTTATGGTTGGTTACGGGATATTAAGACGATGAAAAAAATGTATAAAGAACCTATAAACAGAATAAGAATCTTCCCTCCCCGGCTTATTCTGCTGTTTACAGAAAGGAGAGAAGAACAAAAAAAAGAAGCTTTTATGGTTTCGGGTTGAAGAAAATTGTTATACACATGTGAAATTCTTATTCATATTTTGTGGTATCTGCTTCAACCAAAACATTAAAAGTATTAACAAAATCATAATAATTTTAAGACCCTTTTATTGATGGTCTCGAAAGAAGCCGAATGGATTGTAAAACTTTATTCTTAAATTTTTGTTTTTGTTTTTTCAGTTTTACTTTCAGACGATGGTTGAGTTGTGTGGTTTTCGTTTCTGCTTTGTTCGCTCTTGAATTTTATAAGAAATAATTTCGGACATCTGTTTCATGCAAAAATAAATCAATCTTTGATGTGTCGTCTTCTTCAACGGTAAGACAATCTTCAGTATGTATAATCTGTCGTGGAGAGAAAAGAAATTTCTGTCATTGTGTCGTAAAAAAGATCAAAAGGCGAAAAGGCCGACACAAGATCAAACCTCTCAACGTGAAAGTGGAGAGAATTCGATCCATTTGCCCTCAACCTAAACATTTTGATGGTTTCCTTTCTAATTCTTACATATTTGTATCTACTTACATTTAACTCACTCCCTCTCTCACTTCTTAGGTCTAACCACATCCAAAAGGTTCTTTTATCAGCTGTAATATAATTAAGTTGCTTTCATCTCTGCCGATCATTCATCCACTCACGTAAGAAAAGAAACCGCTCATGGCTTTTACTTATTACAAGTAGATTTGATTGATTCAAAGAAACTTCATTTTCCTTTAGTGTTACTCTTGATTCAATATTTCTTTTTTTTCATATTTATGTTTATTGTTTATTCGAGATTAATAAAATTTATTTTAGTAAAAACGTTGTGAAGCGTTTTCGCCCTTAGTAATTCTTATTTATAACTCAAATTAAGATTTTTTATTTGCACAAGTTATTGCAGATTCTCAGCTTCCGACGATCGACAACATTGTAAGCAAACTCTTAAGGAAATTTATTTTATTAATGTGATACTTTATGACCTTTAATTAAATCAATTTACCTTGAAATTCCTCAGTTTTATGCACTTTCGAGGCAGGAATTATCGAAAATGAAAATTATTTTTTTATATTTACGACTTTTATATTGTCGTTTGTTATGATCATGGAGAAAGGTTTTTGGCAAAATAAATAAAACGTAAAGAATCTTTACGATGATGTTGATGATAGGTCAGTAACGAGAATAATTTCTAGTTGGTCGATTTTCATCATATTCATGTTGCATTCCAACGTTTATCTCGAACCGCTACAAAATCAAAGGCTAAGAAACTAAACGATATAAATTTTAAACTGCTTAACATATTAATTAATTTCTAAATGAATAAACAGCGTGTCAATCTCAATGGAGCTTTTATGGACATATAAAGAAAAATAGCGCTTAGCAGTTTAACATTTGTTGGACTTTTCAAGTTAAATTGACATATTCATATTAGCCTAGCATTATTTTACCATGTCGGGACATTATTAAAAGCGCTTAGCGCCGTCTGTCGCAACAAGAAATTAAAGACTTGATGATACACATTTTTCATTAGCTTGTGTATCGTTATAAACATCTCATCAATAACAGAATGATTTCGCATTGAATAATAGTGAAAGAATCAAATCGACGTTTCTCGCGATTTCGCATTTATATCAAAGGCTCTCAAAGATATCATGCCGCAAGCATTTGTTTGAGGTGCCTTATATTGTTAATTAAAAAGGAATACACACACGGAAAGTCCGTAGCAGACCAACTCAATTTATACTACACAACAAATATGGTTAAGATCCATAAACTTTATTTTCCTTCTCTTGTTATCCGAAGACCGCCGTTCTGTTTTTTTTTCTTCTTTTGTAGATTGTGTGTCAAAATATTGTTTGTTTTTCTTTTTCGGTCTCATATTTGATATTTATTTGTCTTGTAGTTCTCTCTGTTTTCGCCCCGGATATAAATGATATCTCTTTCATGGATCATTTTCCTTCTTTCATCGTTTTCTTAAAAAGACACCAACGGTGAAGATGACACGAGAAATTCATCTCATCTTGATTACTTTGGCCCATCCTTTAGCTTAATTTACTTTTATCTTCTATAAATATATTATTTCAACTATAAATTTGAAAAGGAATTTGACTTTAGGATGTGCAAGAATTAAATTTAATTTTGTTAAATTCTTAAAGCATGACAAGTGCAAACCCAACAAGATGTCATTGAGAAGAGAGAATGACCGAAGTTTAACAACGAGACAGTCACACATTGCCAGTAATTTATTTTTACAATGAATTAGTTCCTCCTTCTGACAAACTAGGAAAATGAAATCTTCTTCGTAAGAAGAGTAGACGTCTTGGGTGGCAATGAAATGAGAATCCTTAAAGATTTCTTTGTGTCACTTCAGAGACAAAATTTTTAAGGCAGGATAATTTATGATTCAAAGATTTTACGAATAAAAAATGAAATGATTTAAGACGAAAAGTATTTTTATTTAATTTCAGTGGAAAAACGATTGAATCAATTAAATGTTTAGATACAAAGCGGAGGTAACAAGAACAAATTAAACTTTATTATCATTCTACATAAATTTTCATGTTGCGAGTCTTTAACTCCTAATTTATTGCGAATATGCAACAATGTTGCATTTGTTCAGCATGCATTTTCCTCTCCTTTGCTATTCTTCTTCTCGGTTTGATGATAGGTATGTACATAGGGGTCTTTATCAACGTATGGCATCGCTTTGTACTACAAACAGTGGAACGATACAATACAAAAAATGTAACATTTTTTGCTTTCATTTGAATATTTATGTTTATGCATGTATCGCAGCATACTTTGTTGCTCTCTCAACTCTTTTTTCTTGTCAATGATGTAACAAAAGCATCTTTAAATGCATAAACATAACGATACACTGCTGGGGTGTATGAAGTAGGAAACTTAAAGATATGAACACATCTCGTTTCGTTTGATGTTTATATTGAATGCTTTTTCTTTCAGCTCAATAATAATGCCTTTGATCTTCTCTATTCATACTTATTCATATACATGGTATCAGTTTTGATTTAAAGTGATTCTCTTGTATCATAAAGAACGTTAGCTGGCTTTTGTTTTTGATGTTATTTCACTCTATCATCATCACGTAAGCTATCATATGAGCTCAGATGAAATCAGGAAAGGAACTGGTTAAACAGCTGGAATAGCGAAGAATTTCAATCAATCTCGAATAATATTCGAGTGAGTAAGATGACTATTTTTGGTAACTCGCAATGGTCACCGATACCCGGAGCCGCAGACTCAGATATATTCATCGAGTCGTGATATACATGAGTCAAAATTGTATCGGATTACACACAAAATGGGCAGCGAACCAACTGAACGAGAGAGACGGCAACAATCAAAAAAACTTGCGACGATGCTGTGCAGACGTGAAATTTATTTTCCAACGATGGTTATAATTTTTCAACGTAAAAATTTAAATGATGCTCTTTTAAGGAGGCATAAATTATTAACCAGAAAACATACACGAAAATCTAACGTACAAACAATCATCTCCATGAAAGTAAAAGAAGAAATTCTTTACGAGACTTTACATGAAACGAGATTTCAAGACATTGATATTGGTCCAAAGACTGAGAATACTTTGTAGCTTTGGACATTGTCAGGGTTGAGAAATGTTGAAAGAATTTATGAAATTTTTGTCATCATAAAATTCAATCTCATTTGAGAACATTTGACAAAACAAATTTTCATCTCTGTCAATTTCTTAAGAATATTTTTAGCGGCAATTCTCTAAGGACAAAGATTTGTATGAATTGAAGAATTGTTTGATTTCGTTGCATGATAAGTACGCTTTTTTGATGGCAGGTGGAAGAATAATTTACTGCTTGATCAAGGAGAAGGATTCAAAGCCGAGATCTTAACTAGAAATCTGAATTTTTTCCATCTCTTTGGTTCTCATGAAACAAATCAGCGAAAGAAGAAAAGCGTAAGCCGAATCTGACAAAAACCAATAAATGATTAGTAAGTTAATTTCTGATTAATAAATTTTTAATTTTTCAATCCGTTCTTTAATTTGTATCAGAAATTCATTTGAAACAAACGGGGGGTAATTTAACTAACAAGATTTTTCACCGTCTTGTTTGTAAGTATTCATTTTGGTGGTGGGAACAAATAAAATGAAGACCAGCGACTTGAAGAGAACATCAAAGCAAATGAGTTGAGATTCTAGATTAGACAGCATCTCATGAAACAAATTGATTATGATGGTAGATAAGTGTTCAGTGGAAGTTTCTTCTCTGATATTTACCGCTTAACCAGAAACTCCTTAATGAGCTAACGACCATTTCTCACATGACTGATTTAATTTGATCAAATCTTTTTCAGCAGAAACTTAAAATTTTCAAGTAGAATCTTTTTTTATTGATTTCGTGAGATTTCATTATAATATGTAAGTGAAAATTACATCACGATATATCATCGTCGTTTTATGAAAAAGCAAAGATATTTATGCTTTCATAAATATTTCAACCTCAAGCATAAAAAAAACCAAAATCCTTTGATATCAATGAACCGCTCGCATTCCTTCTTTGAAACTTGTGAGAAGAAATTAACAACCCAATCGTTAATTTAAATCTGTGAGTAAACAAACAATCATTCGGTCGCAAAGTTCTTCTTCTATCTGAAGTAACAAAGCGCGACGAATAAAAATCAAGATAAAACAAACACGAAAATATAAAATACGATTATCTATACGTAAAAAAAAATATTTAAAAATGATTGAAAAAAGATATCCGAAGGAAAAAAAGAACTCGAGTTTCACTTTTTGATGTGCCGCACAAGACTTGAACGATGTGAATTTGTTATTCCCATAGTTTATCGATTGTAATTAATATTGCTTTGACTGGTCATTCTCCCCCGCGGAGAAATGCTCGTCATTTTCATCTACTAAAGTTTTAAAAAATTAATTAAATATCTACATAAGAAAATTTTTGATTTATTTTCAAGCTAAATTCGCTATTCGAATGGTGGGAATTTATTTGATTTAAATATTATGAGAAATAAGAAATATTATTAAGAAGATATTCGCTTTCACACAATATTTCAGGATTTGTGTTCAAATAATAGTTTAATCCGATAATAAGTAGTAGACTTTCAATGAATTAGCATTAATCACTCTTGGCGACTTCCCCGAATAACGAATCGACAAAGTCGTCGCCACAATTTCATATTAATTGATTAGTTATAGATGAAAATGATGTTTTTATTATGCATTATTTTTATTTTGTTATGATAAAAACGCCAAATTTAAATGCTAATTTGATGTTCGCATTGGTCGGTAGTGCTCAAAACGACAACGACATGAGAACTCCTAGAACACGATCAGCATCGTCAAATATTTTGGCGCAGATAAAATTGGATTTTATTCAAATTCGATACCCGTCACCTCTTTTTGTTTGTCGGCATCTCTTTTTTCACTGATGTTTATTTTTTGTCGTTGGAGAATGAGACAAAATGTTTATAGTCGTCTTAACAAGGCATTTAAGATAACAGCAAAAGTTATTTGTAATTTATTCAAAATCTTCACGCGACATTCGTTTCTTGTAGATATCGTTGACTTCTAATTTGCAATCAATATTGTTTATGATAGGATCTGAAGGCGTTTGTCATGTCATTTACACGAGAGTGTGATAAGACGACAGCTAAAATCACTGCGAAGAAGCTGGTAACCACACCGGTAAAAAATATGACTTCATTAAGCTAAAAAAAGCATGCTGACGATTTTTAAAACTTTAAATTCAAAAGCAAACATGAGTTATACTTATCCTGGACAATATTTATTGCTTTGACTTTCCAACAGAGATATAAGTGAACATCGACCATAAAATAGCCTAGGAGAAGGTAAGAAAACATTTCTCCGAAAGGACTTTTATTGGCCTTTCTTATTATTATCTCTTCAAAGATGCCGCTTTCTACAGAGACAATCGTTGTCCCATTCAAAATGTATTATACAGTCAAAAAGACTCTTTCGTTTCACTTGAATTATCATGAATAGAAGAATTGAAACATTATAATAGAATAATTCAAACGAAATGTCAAAACATGGTGCTGAAAGGACCTCACTCAACGACATAATATTTAAGATTTTTAAATTTCAGAATATCGAAATAAATTCTGTTCTTCGTGAATTAGAAGCAGTTGATTTGTGTAGAATAAAGCAAAAAAAATCTTTTTATTGCTACTGTGTATGTAGCATTAAAAGTTTACCTTTGATGAAAAAATATTCCAGGAGCCAAATGAATTTCACCTAAGAACATCAACACACAAATCAGCTTAAGGCGACCGTCTTTTCTGTCGGTGAAGATCAATGATTTTTTATGCAAAAGTTCAACAAAAGGACGACAAAAGAAGACGAAGAAGTGTATCCCTTTTTTCTTTAATCTTTTCTTTCAATTTGCTTAAAGTCACTTAACTCGTGACGACAGCGAAGAAAATTAATGGCTTGTTGATTTTTTCCAGATTTCCCTATGCTTCTCTCTCGTTCTACTCTCTAAACTTTATCCCGCCCTTAGAGCATCAAACACAATCGGAATTAGAGTCTAACGTACTTTTTTATGGATTCCCTTGGTTGTTTTTTTTTTATATTTCACCTTTGAAGTTTCGCCGCCTACACTGAGATAAAAAAAAATTATGTGTTTTCCTTCCTTGTTGGCTTCACCTCATTTCACCTTTTTACTTTTGTTGAACGATTATTACCATTATTAGGCTAACATAGAATCGAGTTGCTTTGAGTGAGTCAGATAAAGAAGAAACACTGAGGCAATCTATTCGATCATTTTTTACGCACATTCGGAACACACTTGTCGGTATTTTGCTTTTGATCTCTAAATAATTGGATTATAAAAGAAGGGAATAAGCGATGATGTTAGGCACGAAATGATTCTAATGGAAGTTATGTCTTCTCTGATATTTTTCCTATGAAATTGTGATTTGAGATTGAGATACACGTGAGAATTTTATAATTTGATGAAATTTTTGCTATTTCATGAAGATTGATGTTATAAATAAGCTACATAGTTTTATGATTTAAAAGAAGAAGAAAAATATTTTTCTTATTTTAAAATTCGCGCCAACGGTGTACAAAACCTTTTCGACTAGTTGTTTACCCCTGATATTTACATCAGATAAAATTGGTGATGATGTCTTGAGTTCACTTACAATATTGAACATAAAAAATAAAGTTTTAACAATGAATTTACGTAGTATTTTTAGATCAAATATTTTAAGAACAATCAATAGAACAATTGAAAAAGATTTTGTAAGGCAATCATCGAGCAAAGTAATTGGAAATCAGGAGCTTAGAACTGCACTGATAAAAGAAGAAATCGATCAAAAACAAGTTGTAAGTTTGTGCTAAATCATCGCAATTAATCCAAATGGCCTTGTTTGATTTTTTTTTGTTCTCATTACAGATTTCGCCATTAACTGATTCATTTGGTCGTTTTCACACATATCTTCGGATTTCATTGACAGAAAAATGTAACTTACGATGTCAATATTGCATGCCGGCTGAAGGAGTTCAACTCTCGCCGAAAGACAATTTATTGACAACAGATGAAATAATTTTGATATCAAAACTTTTTGTTGAACAAGGTGTGACAAAAATAAGACTAACTGGTGGTGAGCCTACAATAAGAAAAGATTTGATTGACATCATCACACGATTACGAGCACTTGAAAGTCTTGAAAATATTGGAATAACTACAAATGGCCTTGTGTTAACAAGAAACCTTGTCAACTACCAAAGAGCGGGTCTTGACTCTCTCAACATTTCACTTGACACACTTAAACCAAAAAAATACGAGGAAATCACAAGAAGGCGTGGGTGGGAAAGAGTCATCGCTGGAATTGACTTGGCTGTTCAACTCGGATTCAAACCAAAAGTGAATTGCGTTGTAATGAAAAACTTCAATGAAGATGAAGTTTGTGACTTTGTGGAATGGACAAAAGATCGTGCTGTGGATGTCAGATTCATTGAATATATGCCATTCTCAGGAAATCGTTGGCATACCGAGAAGATGTTGTCGTATCGCGAAATGTTGGAAATGATTCATGAAAAGTTTCCAGAATTCAAAGAACTTCCTAATGGACCCAATGACACTTCAAAAGCATATCACGTTCCAGGTTACAAAGGTCAAGTTGGATTTATTACTTCTATGACAGAACATTTCTGTGGAAGTTGCAATCGTTTGAGAATTACGGCTGATGGAAACCTGAAAGTTTGTCTTTTTGGCAACAAAGAAATTTCATTACGCGATGCAATTCGAAGTGGATGTTCTGAAGATGATTTGTTGGCCCTGATAGGTGCAGCAGTTATGAAGAAAAAGAAACAACATGCTGGTGAGTAAATTGTTTTGATTCTTTCTAAAAAAATACTCTTAAATATTTTGTTTAATCAAGGCATGTTGAATTTATCCAACATGGAAAACCGGCCGATGATTTTAATTGGCGGATAAACAAAAAGTAGACTTTTGTCATTCCAATAAACTTTATTATTATTTCCTACCTAGGTAAGCTATTATGATCTCACGAATCTTCTATCTTCATTTCTCTTTATTTTATTTTCAGATGTAAGATTTTATTCACCAATTGGCCTTAATTATAATAAAATACAAATGAGAGCGTTTTCAACGAAGCTCACCCACGTTGATGAGACTGGAAGAGTAAAAATGGTGAATGTCATCGATAAAAATGATTCTAAAAGAAAAGCAACGGCATCTGCTCAAGTCTTTGTTGGAGAAGACATTTCGAAACTTATAAGTGGCAATTTATTAAAGAAAGGTGACGTTTTAACTATCGCGCAAATCGCTGGAATTATGGCAGCTAAAAGTACTTCAAATATGATTCCACTTACACATAACATTCCATTATCATCAATTAAAGTAAATTTAAAACTTGATGAAGAACATCACAAAGTTGATATTGAAGCGTCAGTTGAATGTTTTGGTAAAACTGGAGTAGAAATCGAAGCATTGACAGCTGTATCAGTTGCAGCTCTCACCATTTATGACATGTGCAAAGCAGTCTCACATGACATTCTCATCACCAACATAAAACTTATGGAAAAATCTGGTGGAAAGTCACATTTTAAACGAATTTAAAAAAAATCCTTTTTAAAACATTTTCAATGAGGGCTTTTATTTTTATTAAATGGTTATTATTAGCATGGCTAACAAGTTTTTTATGAAATAAAGATCAAAAGACAATTCAATAAAGGAGAAAAAAATTGTGAAAAGAAAAATGTTAATTTAATTGAGTGAGGATGAGGGAGGAAGATTTTAAATTAAATTGCAAACATTGGATTGACTCGATATGAAAAGGTTTAAGAAACGAGAACATTGCTTTTTCCAGAACTTGCCTGTTCTACTTTATCTTTCGAAGGTTCCGACACATCTTCATTCTCAGACTTCACTTTGATGTTGTGCTCTTCTTTGAATTTATTAATCTCAACGCCTTTCTTCGTCAGCTGTTCTTTTCCATTTTCAATAAGTTTCTCAAGTTGATCTCTATTCTGGATAAGATTCGGAAGTGTCTCTTTGACAGTTTGTTCGGCTAATACACCACCAATTAAACGAAAGCACTTGCGGTTTTCGTCGACTGTTTTAAGTGTGTCAATGACGGTCCTTAAATAAAAATAAAAGAAAAGAAAAGTGAACAATAATTTAAGAGAGGTGTATTGTACTTAATGATTATTTTCTAGCAAAACTTCTCATAAAATGAGGAAGTTGTGATCCAAGACAAAAAGATTATTGTTGAGCGAGGTTAAAAATAGAATTCTAGTTTTTTGGTAGGTACTTGACACGAAAATTTCCTCACGTTTTCTGTGTTCATATTACTTACTTGTGTTCCTTCAAATCCAACTCTAACGTGGATAAATTATTGACGAGGTTTCGTTGTTCATTCCGCAATGCCATGAATTGCGAGTATATAATTTCTTGTGCTGATTGTTGAGGATTTTTGGTGTTTGCCATTATGGAATTTATATGACTTTATGGATGGTTTATCTGTCTTTATGAAAATTTACTATTTCGAATTTTTCAATGGTGATATTTGTGATATTTACGAATAATTCAATAAAAATCAAACAGATGAAATCTGAATAATTTGTTCTAAATGTTCATCTGTACTAAATTAGTCGAAAAGAAGAATTTTTGTCGAATTTAAAAAACTCGTTAAACTTGAAAATAATTCAATTTATTTCTAAATTTTTGAAATAATTGTAGAATATTTTACAATGGAATTATTCTCGTGAAAATGAATGTAAAGATTTTGAAAACTCCCTTTTATATGTTTTGAGATTTTTTTGTCAAATGTGTCTTTACTAAGCGAAGGCACGCAAAACAATTTAAGGCGCGTCGACATTCTTCGAAAATTTAGAACTCAGTGACGTCATATTGAAATATCTTACCTATATGAAAAAATATACGACAATCTAAAATATTTAAGAAAGAGTTGAAATATTTGGTTATTTAAGGTAATAAATGCATTAAAATCGTGAATAAAGTTATAATAAACATAGGATACATAAAATTCTATCAGGAAAAGAAAACCGAACAGTGAAAAATTGATTTAAAAATTGTTCCCAGCGTCAACAAATTTTGTTTTAATATCATAAAAAACTAATATTTGTGAATTTCAATGTAAATTCTATGGTGATTACAAGTTATTTATTAGTTTTAAATACTGTTTAGTATCGAATACCGCAAATTTAAAAGTTTGGAAGCATTTTCTTTTGATTCTCATCGCGTAAAGAAAGTTATCAATGTGTAATAATATGATGGACATTTTTCCCTTTGTGTTAGTGCGTGATGGAATCTTTTGAAAAAAATTTGGCGGACAATTAATTGCGTCATCGGTCATAGAAGAGACATCAAACAGGATAAACTTCAAAAGAATTGTATCGTTAAGAACGCTTGCTTTCCTTTTTCTTTTAGCTTCCAAAGCATCCGCAGGACCGATTGAGCAACAATAATTCGATTTTCATTGCTTTTTTAATGACACGACCATGACTACAGTTCAGCAATATTGTTTGAGGTGATTTGTTGTTTTATTGTCGGTGAAGCATTTGATAGTTTTCATGAATGATTGTCATATTTAGATGGAACAACCACCAGCCAAACTTCATTAGTGTTTTTTCCTCCCTTCTGCTGAATGAGACACTGGTTGATGTTACACTTGCCGCAGAAGGACGCCAGTTACAAGCACACAAAGTTGTGTTATCAGCATGTAGTTCATACTTCCAGGTAAATAAATAATTTTAATCAACTCCAGAAAACTAATTATTAATAAAACTTGTTTAGTCTTTATTCACAACGAATCCTTGTAAACATCCTATCGTGATTCTTAAGGATGTCCAGTACAACGACCTTAAAACAATGGTGGATTTTATGTATTATGGGGAAGTTAATGTATCTACAGAGCAATTACCGCAGATTCTCAAAACTGCTGAGATGCTTAAAATTAAAGGCCTCGCTGAAATGCCTGACGCAGCGTCAGTCACAAAATCTGATAGTAAATCGAGTGATCACACCGAAGGCAATCAATCAATTAGTGGCGTTGAATCGATGTGGGGTAGTACGGAATCTCAGCAACAACAACAGCAGCAGCAGCTACAACAGCAACAACAGCAGCAATATCATCAGATACGTCGAACACCTTCACCTTCTTGCATGTCACCAGCAACGCGACGAAAACGTTTAAGAAAAACTTCTACCGGTTCGGGTACAGCAAACATTTCAACATCGTCAGCTGAAAGAATTCACGATGATATGCAGGTGCAACATCATCAACAACAGCAGCAGCAAATCATTGATGGTAGGATGATGCAGAAATATTCACAGCAGCAATCAGTTGATGTCCCATTGTCATCATTTTCAGTGACACCAAATGTTCGAGGAATGAAAATCAATTCTAGTCCCGATGGTCAAATGCAGCATCATCAGCAAGATTCACATGAGCATCATATCGATGAGTCACAACATATAACGGAAATGGTGATTGTTAAACATTATGAGATGCCAAACGACAAAATTCTTATCAAAAAACTTTTTTTCTATTTATTTTTGTTATTTTAGAAAACGGAAGATTTAAGTTGTGTTAATCAGTCTATGCCATTGGATATTTCATCGGGAACATCATCGACGCCAGTCAGTTGTCCATCAACACATCAACAACACAGTGGTGAGTCAAAATTATTTGTTTTATTAATTAATAAAATCAGTGATTCTCAATCAATGTTAAGAATTAACAGAAATGAATAAGAAAGGTTGAGAATCACTGATTTGTGTAATGAAATTTGAATTGTCGTTCTCGCAACTTTGTAACAAAGTAATATCTAATTAAAAAAGAAAAAATGATGAATAAAATGCAGTGAAGAATTGTGCAACTGCAAGATGATGAAAATTTTGTTAATATCTAAGTATGCTAAGTTTGTGCGGTGATCAGAGAAATGAAGATGAAAACTAATATTATTATGTAGTATTAAGTTATGTATGGTAAAACTCAGATCTCTCACTAAAAAAAGACCAAATTTCTTAATTGATTGACCTGGGAAATGGGGAGACGACAAAGAAAAATCTGAAGGAATCAAAAAATGAGAGAGAGAAAATTTGTCTATTTAAAAACAAAGAAATGGATGAATTTCTTTTAATTAAAAACTAAATTTGTTGGAGTAGCGGGAAAAGAAAAGAAAAAAAATGGGGATGAATGGTGACAAAGTAATTAAATTGATCGCGAAGTAGAAAATAACTTTTAATTTTGATAATAAAAAAGAAAAGAAATCGCGCTAACAAGAAGAAAGTTTTATTTTGTTTTTGACAGTGCTTAGAAATACTTTTTAAAAGTATTTTTAAACTCTGTCAATGCATCATTCATTCACTGCATTTTTAGAGATTTGAGTAACTTATCTTTTGTTCTTTTGTTTTTGTTAATTTAATTCCTTAGTCTTGTAAAATAATTTCTTTTGTTTCTGTTGAAATAATTCATTGATCCTGATTGATGATTAAGTAGACGAGTGCCATAAAGAAAGCGTCGTTTCGTTAAGCAACGTCGAGATTTAGCAACAAAAAAGATTCTTTCTCATTTTTTAATTCTCTCTCCTTTTTCTCTTCTCTCCCTCTTCGTCCAGGTGGGCAGTGGGCGGTAATCGATACAAATTATCCTCGCTTTGCTTTGACTACGTCGGCAGCTGCCTTACCGACGAGTACTGTTCAGCACAGTAGCAGCATTCATCACTCCCATCATCATCATCACTCGCATCATCATCAAAGTGGACAGCAATCGGATGGACAGAGTGCTGGCAACGATAATCTTTCATTAAGCTCCAATCACAGTTCAAGCCATGGTAGCTCAAGTAATTCCAACAATAATGCGACAATACAATCGCAAAACTCAACACCAGTTCAGCTTCAATACCAAACGACTTATTCACCACAAATCATTGCTGTTAATCCAAACAATATCGTCAATAGTTATCCACCAAGCATATCGACACCAACAAGTCCGATCGTACAATCGGTGTACAGTCAACAAAGTACGCCAATTCAATCGCCTGTTAATATTCAAAATTCCAGTAGCAATGCCGGTTCAAGTTCAACAAACAGTGCTACAAATGCTACTGTAACAACCACACCCGCACCACCTAAAAGAAAGCGTTCTGTGAATCCGCAAGGTGAAGAGAATTTCCTCAGAGCTCTTGACGCTGTGAGGTTTGGAGGAATTGGCTTCTGCAAGGAAAGTATCTTTTTCAAGATCATTAAGATGAAGAGGTTTTTCAAGCATTTCTCATCGGAAACTTCTTTCTTTTCTTTATTTAAACATTTCTCTACACGGGAAGAAAAAAAAACTTTTTCAAATGTTGTTAAAAGTCGAAAACTTTTTCTTCATTGTTAAGAAACTTTTATTGATGATCGTGGTTCGAATAGAATCATAAAAAAGGAAATGCTTGAAAAACTTTTTAAACTTCATCGATGAGGTGATAAAACATAAAAACAACTTCAACTTATGATGACAATTCCAACTTTAGGCTGCAAGACTTTACGGTGTTAACAATCGTACACTTTGGTTGGAGTTTAAGAAGCGTGGCTATCCGATAAGTCGACCAAGTATTAAGAGTCGAATAAAAACAGAACCGAATATGAGCCCACCACCGCCTGCGCCATCAACGCCATCAGCTGAAGAGAATACGATGGAGAATTATGAATCGAACATTCAACAACCAATGGCTGGGCCTTCGTCAAGTGAAGGGTCGACGACACCGATAATGTGTCCGCCACATCATCCCCTGGGAGTCATGGGATTCCTAGACACGAGACATGTTGACTTTACAGCAGCCGGACTTCATCAAATGTCTCGACAGAGATATCCAGATGGAACAACTGTTAACATGAATCCTGGGTCTGTGAACATACAGGGCATCAACTTTAACTCTATGTAGATGTTTATATTTATTGGCAATTAAAAGATTCTTTCTTTCCTTTTTATATATTAAATTCGTAATGAATGAATGAAGGATGCAAGTTGATGTCCTGGTTTAAAGGAAGAAGTAAAGCCATTTTTTAAGTTCAAATTAAATTACAAAACTTTTTCGGTTAGACAAATGTAAAGAAATGCCGATGACGGTCTGGACAAAAAATCTTCAATTTTTGATCTTTCTAAAAGAAAATTTTGTCATGTATTTTGTTTAGAAAATTTCTTAACATTAATTTTGTTATGTTGAAAGAATTTTCAATCCACCATCGAAAAGTTTTATGCGACGCAATTAAATTGAATCAACTTAAACAAACGTGACGATGATGAGCGTCATTTTTTGGTATTTAATTAATTCTTTTCAGTTCTCTTACTTTATTTTAATCAACTACATATTGTCACTGAATTGTAAATAGCAAATGGAACAAAGTGGATACTTCAAAGCAAATCATAATACATACTTATGTATAACTTTGGATCGATGTTCTTATGTATAAATACATATATTTAAGCGACAAAATTAATTAGAAAAGAAGATGAAAATTATGATGATGATGATGATGATGATGAAGAAACATGGAAGAAGATGGGTGAAGCTTTTAATTGAAATTTCATTACATTGAAACGGAAACAGCCATAAACACCATTAATAGACAACATGATTATGTTATCATAATTTTTAAATTAAATGTAGGAGATGATAAATCTAATTAAATGAATGATCATGAAATGCTTAAAATAAATGTTGTTAGATTTTTAATAAACTTCAATGATATAAATAAATAAAACTAAGTGAATCGACTAAAAAAAGAAATGAAAACAGTTGTAGACAAAGAATGTTCGTAGTCTCATTCATAAAAACAAGTAAATAATTTTGGATCACTAAATGTCAGTCTGATGAAGGAAGAAATTTTTATTATTTTTCATAAAATAGTTTTCCAACAAAGTCAGTAAACATTTTAATCAAAAGGACATGAAAAAGATTCCGAGAAGCATTCAAAGCCATAATTAATTCACTTTGCACATTGTTTACCACATGGATAGTTGTAATATCGAATTATAATATGTAATCGTATTGATATTTCTTTTGCCAGTGAGAGATGTTGCTGACTTGCATTCATCTCTCACCTACAATAAATATTTGTTGATTTAATTCATTCTTTTTTCACAAACAGACATCGTCGAACGATTTAAAGTTGTTGTTACTTATTACTTAACTTTTTTTATTCATTTTTCCTTCAAACTTAATTGACTAGATTTGCTGAACAATGATTTTTAAAAGTTAATGTTTTTTTATACATAAACACACATACACTCACAATCTTGTAAATAAATAAATAATTTTAAATGAAGAGAAAGAAAAACGAAGAAGAAAAAAACATTTTAAGGAAAATAATAAATTATAAATGAAAAAAAAAAATTAAAAGCAGTTGCGTGGGCGTTTTAGAATTTTAATTACGATTTATGACATTTTTGTCTAATTAATTATTAAATTTTTTTAAAGCAACAACATCAGAACTTGTTTTCACACAATGTTCACCGATATCGTCACCATCATCGCCAATGTCTTTGACATTAGCATCGCCTGCAATTATAACGCAAGCTGGCTCAGGAAATCCTCAAATAGGAAACAATGCAGGAATGGGAAGTAAACGTGGACGTTTATTGATCCGCCAACAACGTGTAAAGAAGGATGGTGATCAGGGTGGTGATTTGGAGACGCCTGAAGCTGGCGTTTACTCAGACTATTTACTCTCAGTGCCATTGTCGGGTGCAAAAATGGAACGTCACGCTTCAGAGCCATCACCAGCAACATCAAATCTGATAACGTCGACTTCATTATCGACTCAGAATCTTTTGTCCGTTCCACCAACACATTCTTCATATTTAGTGAAGCAACATTCACATCCTTTGCTACCGAGTCAATCGTCATCATCTCCAGGCACATCTTACACCCTCACCCGTCAACTTTCTTATCCAACACAATCATCTTCAAATTCACAAACAATTGTGAGTACTGTGACAACACATGCGGCACAGGAAATTGTCGCAAGTGGACAATTACTTCAACTTCAACATCATAAACCACCTGTTAGAAGTCATACAATGCCGCAATATACAATCACGGAAATGGAAATGATTTCAAGTGATAACAAACAACAAATGAGTGGAAGTCCAACAGTTGTTATCATACCGGATATGAGTGATCAATCACTTCACCCTTCACAGCAGCAACATTCATCACAATTACAATCAACTCATCAGCAGCAGCAGCAGCAAATTCAGCAACAACAACAACCGTCACATCAACAACAAAAACAATTGCAACATCATCTTCAACTGCCATCGATTCGTGTTAAATCGGAAGAACTTCAACGGTCGATCTCATCGCCTTTGGTAAGAGTTTTGTCATGTTTACAAAAACTTTTTAATTATAAATTGTCAATTTATCTTAATAAGGCATCAACAAGAAGTGATCTTTCATTTGAGACAGCAACACGATCCAGTCATTGTCCAACACTCCGACCAGGACCTGCATTAGGTTGTAATTTTTGTTGGAACACAATTGACGCCCATGGAAGAATTCTCCGACGTAAAACTAAATATCACTGTCCTGAATGTCAAACGAATTTGTGTATTGTGCCATGTTTCCAAGAATATCATGAACGACAATCGACGGAAGGCAATGAAACGACGACGCCTGCTAACAAAGCAAGTGGATTAAAAGGCCTTAAGTCGGGCTCCATGTAAATTGTTTTTTTATTCATTTTTCTTTCATTTTATTTTGTCTTTTAATGATTCAGACTCTTGTGCCCTATCAAAAAACATTTTATTACGACCAATTGGTATGAAAAACAAAAAAAAATTCTCTTATGTCGTTTGTCTCTTCGTCAACTTTGACGACTTTTTGGAACGCGTTTATAAATTTGACAAATAATTAAGCAATGAATTAAAAACGCGTTTATTTAAATTGTTAAATGAAAGAAGAAAATTTTTAATTTGTTATTTAAGTAACATTGTAGATGTGAAGCTTGTGGTTTAAGTCAGGGATTGTTTTATTAAAACTTAAATGAAAGTTCACGAATTTTCTAGGATTTGAATTTGCAAATCAAAAACTTATTGGAAATTTATCCAATCCCTGAATTAAATTTCTTTTTTTTAGTTTTGGAAAAAAAAAACAAAACATTTGTGAATGTTCTCGCTCACAGATTTTCTAGTAATTAAAATTGGTAACAAGACTCTTGGTTGTCCACCTTTGTTATGGATAATCGAATGATGCTTGTCGAATTTAAGAAAAATATTTTTTGTTTTTGTTCTTAGACGAGAAGAAGAAACAAGAAAAAAAGTTTTTAATGAAGAAGAATTTTGTTGTAAAAATTCGTATGCTCAAAGTGAATGTATTTAATGCAGGCACATGGTTGAGTTGTGTAAGAAAGACGATAAAACGTCGACATTTTAAGTGTAATTATAAATTTCTTTCGATGTACATTGAGTAAGATGAATCTAGTTGTTAGATTGATAAATTCTCTAGTTTTCTTCTTTTCAAAACTCACGCTGTTTTAACGATGATGATGACAAGATTGATAAAAGCATTTCTTAAGTAAGCATGTAGAATGAAATAAATTTCCAGGAACATTTCGTTTATGTTTTGTTGCCATGACTGGAAATTATTAAATGAAATATTTTTCCAGTAACATTCTTCTCAACATGACGCAAGAAGTAATTAAATGTTGCGTAGTAAATATTCATACACTTACCGACAATGTATGAAACTTTTTAAAGTTCAAAACATTCAGTAGAAATGCTTGCTTTCGGATCCCACAATCGCAAGAGAAATAATGCAGGAAAACCTTCATCTACACAAACAAATATGGATGAAGAAAATATATTTTTTGACCACAAAACAAACAAAAAACTATTTTTACGATGTTTGTAAAGTTTCTTTCTTCTCAATGAACAGTTTGATGATATCTTTGAAATAAAAAAAACTTTCTTTCTTTGATTCCCTTTTGAATGTATGTAGCAAAAGAAAATATTTGTGCAAATGCAAAATAAAAGAAAAAATGTTGTTTTAAAAAAATCTTTAGTTTTGTAAATCAAAAGTTTTATTTTCAATTATTCAGTGCAGAGCTTTAATTTGACTTGACTTGAAGCATCACTTGCTGACTTGACTTGAGAAACTTTTATGACTTGACTTTCTCGGGTGACTTGACTTGAAGCCAAAGTCAAACGAGTCAATATCTTGATTCAGAATTGTAATAATTTCACACGTTTGATTCTTGACTATCTGAATAATTAAGAAGTTCTTCATTCGAATCATTTTTAAAAGTCGGAAATCCCCACACTTAAGGAATTTATTTTTAAACCTTTGGTAAGGAATAAAACATCAATTTCCACCCACATCCTTTAGAAAAAAAATTAATCGAATTATTTTTCATGACCAGGTGCAGACTTTCTACTGACTTTTAAATTTTAAGACCTTTTTTTATTGTCTCTTTCCCTCTTCAATTCATTTATTTTTAAATAAAAGGCTCATAAACATATTTATGGTTACAATTACAACAAAAAGAATTCGAGTTGACAGTAAAATGCTCAACTTTCCTGTACCTGAAATTTATGACGTTGAAAAAACGGATGAAATCTATAAAAAAAATATTTGAAGTGTTTAGAATGATTTGATGAATTCGTCTTGAATCCTTTTTGATGATTTTTTGTCCATTTCGAAAACAAAAACGAGAATAAATTCAAATTATTGACGTGAAAATTATCGAACATTTTTATTTCTCCTCTTGAAGTTTAAATGAGTTATAAATAAAAGCGATGATTGATATTAAATGCTGAGATATTCCTTTACAAAGATTCCTTTCTGCCACATTTCACGGCATGGTGACGGAGTTTTGCGGGCGTTTCTAGTTTCCTACGACAATGCTTGCATTCCGAAGTTGTACGTTTTGGGTTACTCCAACAATGCTTCTGATGATAATTGATGCTTGATATACGGTGTGAACGACGACAATAACCACAATGCATGGTGCTTTCTATCGGTTTCTTCGTTCGGTCGATATGGGAATATCTCAAGATTCTCCTCGCTGTTTTCGTGTACGGATCTAATGAAGACCTTTTTTTGTCATCCATCAAATTGTTCTCGTTGTGTTTACGCTTTCTTGCTGCTGGTTCAGGTTCATCTCTCGTATCATCCAATTGTTCATCAATCGATTCTAATGATGTGTCAGTTAATGTATTCGTTGTGTTTAAAGAATTCATTGAGTGATCCATCATAAGATCACGAGATGATGACACACCAGCTAATGTCGTTTGGCTTAAAGCTCTCATTTCTTGGTCGACAATTGATTTAGAAGCTTCAAGAATGCCAACATCTACTTTAATTTGTAGACTCTCAGCAACTTCTTTAAATCCTGCAACATCTTGAGAATTTAAATCAACTTGACCGCAATAAATGTATTCGAGAACATGAATAAGATGCTTCATTGGAATATCTTTGAGGGCAATTACCAGATGTTTTTCTTCTTCCAACGATGTAAATAAGCTCTAGATAAAAATTAAAGTTTATTAATTAAATTTCACATTTTCCATCTTCAATTTCTTATTTTGATTTACCTCAAAATATTTACTTGACGCAGCCAATATCAACTTGTGAGCTTTAATCATCTTGCCTTCAGCTGTCAATGTCACATTTGTCATTTTCTCATGCTTTAGAAATGAAAAAATATTCGAATTTTTTTTATCTTGCTGCATTGTCACCAACATCTTTATTTCTTCTTTTTTTTTTGTAAGTACTTGAAGAGAATTGAAAGGAAAAAAAACTTTTTGAATATTTAATTCGAGATCCAATCTAGTTGAAATTCATTTGATGAATGTCCTCTATAAGGCTTTTCACTTTGGGATAATCTTGATAATTCTTTAATAAATGAGTTCGCACGTAAATGTGTTGGTTGTATTCAGGTAGACATCTAATTGACAATAAAGAGGGGAAATAATGTAAAAATGTTATGATTGTATGCTTTTTCTCATCAATTATGAACTTTGACATTTGGACTTTAATTAATCGGATAACAACATTTATGAAATATAATTCAAGCAGTTAATTATTGTATTTGTAACTTCCTTAATTAATGGATATAATTTTATTAATGGAACTTTCCTACCAAAATAATATTTAGAAATATTTTTGTGCCAGAAATAAAAGAGAAGATTTAATAAAACGAAATGATGAAAATTAACGAGAAAATATCAATAAAATTACTCGATTTAAGATACAAATCTATAAGTGCGCAGACACGTTTCAACTTGTTACAACATCGTCGAGTGAAATAAAAAGTAGAAAACCTCAAAAAAAACTTTCCCTTAAGCGTGAAAAGCTTCAGAAGAAAAGAAATTCTTGAAAGACGGTTAAATAACTGAGACGAAGCAGAACTTTCGCAGCCTTCAAGATGTTCTTATAAATTATTAATCTTTTGACGTCGTTTAATGTGGTGGAACACAAGATATTTAATTAAATATTTATACACACGATCAAAATAAAAAAAGATTTCTTTCTTTGCCTTCTCTCTCTACTGTTCAATTCACAGAAATAACTTTATTTAATTTAATTATTTAACTTCATGATAATTATGTTTAAGCTTTTTCTTTTACAATTATTCTTTAATATGTAAAGTTTCTTTTTTGGTTCTTGATGTCGGTTGTGGTTTGTAGTTGTAGATGAATTTACAATTTCTGTCTCTTGTAAAAAGAGTGTTTGTGGTTTTGTCCAAGAAGAATCTTCTTAAAAGCAGCACGAAACTCGGGATTAAAAATGTTGTAAAGAATCGGATTTAATGAGCTGTTAAAGTATCCCAGCCATAAGAAGAAACTGTTTAGAATATTGAAATCGAAGTGGAAGATTGTCGACATTAATACTGAGAGAAAGAATGGTGCCCAACATAGAAGGAAAGCAGACGTGATAATGGTGAGAACTCGTTGAACACGAGCTTCACGTTCACTTGCAATGTGCTCCTTTCTTCTTGCAATCTAATCATTGTTGTTGATGAATAAAGAAAAGAGAAGAAAGTTGATGAACTTTGACATTTAACAATAATAGAAATAAAATTTTACCTGCTCATAAACATTAATCTTCGCTGAATTATCATTTTCGACATGTTCAGCTCGTTGCTTCAATTCAGATTCGCTGTTTCCAGACTGATTGAGCAGCTTATTGTTACAATCTGTTGTGACAACATCGATAGCATCATCCGCAACTCGTCTATCATCTTCGACTTCAATTGTGTTGTTGTTCATGTTGTCGCTGTTGTTACAATTGCTCTCCGATTTCGTGCTTGAACGCATTGATGCTTTCTGAAAGTGAAAATAATTTGATGACTTTTATTCAAAAGATTTACGAGGAAGTTTACTGCTTCCGAGTTCTGTGACGAGTCCCAATCCTCAGCAGGAACTTTTATTCGTTTTTTAAATCGAAACTTTGGTGTCGAATGTGGTTTAGGATTTTCAGATTTTTTCAGCTTTTTCACTGTCGATGTTTCGATTTTTCGCTTATTTATTCGCTTTCTTGCTGCTTGGTAAATTCTCCAGTAAAGCACGAGAATAAAGATCAGCGGGAGGTAAAATGTTGTCACTAAGAACAGCAGAAATAAGAAGAAAAAAAATTGCCAATCGGAATCACTAAAGCTGTCATTCAAAATAAATTCTCACAAGTGGCAAAGATTTGATATCCGATATCCTGACTTATCATACATTTATGATTTTCGATGCGTTCATGGTAATTTTCATCCTTCCATCCAAACACCGGCGGTCTGTTTAATAAGTTTAATGAAACGTAAATATATTTAGTTATGATGTGATAGCTTTTGACATGCTAGACAAACTTACAAAGCAATCAATATCGATACAAGCCAAACCAATGCTATCATTCCAAATATACGATTATTTGTACGTGAATAATTTACGTCAGTGATGAACCAATATCTGAATAATTATGACAATAAATTACTTCAATAATTATAATTAAGTGTGATAAATTAACAAACCTATCTAATGCAATCACGACGAGATGTAAAATTGAGCAAGTGCATCTGAAAGAAATTTAAAATTATTAAGAAAGTTCTTCATTTTCTCAGGCAAACATCTTACAGCAAAACATCAGCTGATGTCCAAATCTCACAAAGTTCTGAGCCTAAAACCCAATTCTGAAATTGTATTTCATAAATGGCTGAAAAGAGGAATTAAGGAAATTTTCAAGGTAATCCTTGAATGTGAATAGAAAATCATTTCGAATTTACCCGCCATTGGCATGACTGTAAATAAGAAAAAAGAATAAACAGAAAAGGAAAGAAGGAAACGAATGATAAATCAAGAAAGCAACAAGCGTCATTTATTTTACCCAAACAAGCTACTAACAGATCCGCTACAGCTAACGAAGCTACTAAGTAATTTCCTGAATTCTGCAAGTGTTTTTCAATTAAAACGGCAATGATGACGAAAACATTTCCTGCAAAAGCACTCAGTATTAATAACAAAATCAATAAATTTCGTAGCGTGGATAAATGTTTTTCTTTTTATGTTTACCAATGATTGTTATCAGAATAAGAATTCCCAAAAGCACAGTGACCAAGGACATTAAAATAAACTCGAGTGTGTTGCTTTCTTCGTTTTTCCCATCAAAAGAACTTTGACTGGTGTTTGTGACATTATACATAAAAGTGTCGTTAAGATAAGTCGAATTTAATAGGTCGATAAAAAACTCAGGCCTATTATCAATCGACACAAATCCCATCATGTCGGGAAATTCTAAAGGGAAAATTTGGTGTTAGGATATTGTACAATAAATAAAGTTCAATTCCATTGCTTTGGATTATTTACCGTTTGATGGAACGCGATTATTATCAATCATGATTGTTGACTTTTCCATTTCCCTTCGCTTTATTTCTTTTCACTTTTTTTTTCTCACTGCTTCAAAAACCAATTAAATCTATTATCAAGCTTTCTGAAAACGTCCTTTGTTTGCGTTGTAAAGTTAAAAGTAAACCCGAACAGAAATTTATTGCAAACTATTAGTAAAGTTTCACGGATATTTACACGCTAAACTTTTCAAATAAATTATCCAAATTACTCTAGACAAGAAATTTTCAGCTAAATTAAGTTTTACGATGCTTAAGTCAATTTTTTTTCACTTCCTCACTGTCGAATAGCAACACCCTAAGTGAGAGTGAACAAGCGATGCTGCAAAAATTTCATACCATCTGAGACTGCGAATACTTTGCGCAAAATCACGTATTGCTTACACTCTCGTTTCTCTTTCTCTTAACAACGAAAACAAATGCTTTTGATGTGCTTTTACACATTTTTATTTACTTTCGTTGTTGTTGCGATGAAGCGTTGAGAGCACTCGAGCGAACAAAGCTTTAGAAATGGATGTTGAAAAGCTATAAAGAAAACATTAGTGGAAACACTCAACAAACGATTAAAAAGAATTTACTTTATTAGGATCTTCAAAAAGTTGTGGAAATTAAGCTTGGAGTTTATTATAATAAAATAAAAATATTTCACATTATTTATTGAATATTTTTTCTCTTCGTCTCTTCATCGTTTTTGCATTTTCATAGGAAAACATTTTAAAATGTCTTTGCAATCAAATTTTCGCGGACGAATAAGTAAATGAAAGAAAGATTAGAAGAAGATGAAAAGGCGAATTCCTTAGTTATTTATTTCTATTTACTTTGCAAAAATATTTGTTTTCAATCAGAGCTTTGAAAGTTTGAAGGAAAGAAAAGCTTTTTTTTAATATTTATTTAGACTTTGTCCGTCTTCCCTTTCATTGAGAAAGAAGATTGGGGGAAATTCTTCTTTGAGTTTTAAGAATTATTGATGGCTGATGTGACATAGAAAAGAGAAATATTTGAGTAAAATCCTTATAAGGTTCTCGAGAACAAGCTCTCATAAGCTTCTTATAGGTTTAAGGAATAAATTTATATTTCTTATAATAAGATTAGGTAAAGAAGACCTTTATACAGGCAAAACTTCCAATTAAGTATCATTGTAAGTAATCATAACTCGAATTTAAAAAAAATTATCAAGTTTCAAGTTCTCCTTTCTCGTTTCTAATAAGTTCATAAGTGCATTCTTATCAATTAATAAGTCAAAACTTATGTTTTAAATTTTCTTTAAGTTTTTTAAAGCTTTTTTGTTAGAAATTTTCATGTTTTTTTAAATGTATGAGAAAAAGTTTGAAAGATGTAAATAGAGAAAAAGTGTAACATTTTATATAACTTTTTATCAGCTAAAAAACTTTGGTGAAAAAAGCATTTTTGGTGTTTTTTTCCTTTATTTAATTTTTTTTTTGTTTTTTTAACTCGCTCTTCAAACACCGAAGCTTTTTTGCGCGATATTTTTTCCAATTTTCCTTTGTACAAATTGCAAATTTTCTTTTCCATTATTATTTATTAGTTATGAAAAGAAGAACCAATAGTTTCTAGTTTAAATCCCTTTTTTATCATCCTCGAATTGATATGAAATGAAATCACAATTGGACAGACTTTTTTTATTTTAAATGTTTTTCTCTCAAACATTTTAAGAAGCTAAGTTTTTCTTTTATCAGCAGAGATTTTCCTTCATATCGTTACTTTATTTTATGTGTTTTTTTTTTCTTGTATGTATTAATAAATATTTGATGGCAGAGGAAAAGAAAGCAAGAATCGTTAGAAAAACATTTTATTAATAGAATATTTAATGTCGATGATCTTTCGTGTGTCACATCACAACACTTGGCATTGGAAGTTTAAGATTCTTCTGAGGTTTCGCTTTTTCTCTTTTTTCTTTTTGAAAAATATTTCAACCTTGAACAACATGTGAAGTGTTTTTATTATAAAACGAAAAACAATTATCTTAATAAACACAATTCACGATGCAACACACGAAATGATCTCGAAAAGATATCGTATCGATTTATAATTAGGCATTCTTCCACTATCCTCTCATATTATAATAACAATTAAGATCAAGATTCAAGATCAAGAACAAAACAAGTAAACTTTATTACCCCCAAAAATTGAGAAAACAATTTCATCTTACATTCGAATAAGTAAGTGAAAGTGAAAGTCTTTGACAGCAAATGTCTTTACAAGTGTCACAAGTTTAAGATTTTAATATTAAAATATGAAATTGGTAAACTGTACAACTTCATTTCATGCAATTTCTTATCTAGATGTGAATTTAATAAATACTTAAAATTCACAACTTCAGGTAACCGATGATTAAGCATTTTCTGATCTTATTCTAAAATATTTCTTTTATGTTAAATATTTCTCTCACCAATTATGTATTTATGTATCTAGATATTTAATCAGATATCAAGAAGATCATCATCCGATATTTAAAGTAAGAAATTTTTATGTTTGTGAATTATAATTCACATTTAGAGTTAAATACTTATAAATTGTTTATGCTTACATTTATGTAAGTACGTCATCATCATCAATAATTTTTACTTCATTTAATTAGATAAGTTCAATTTCAATTTAAATGTTTTCAGAGACATTATCGCTCAAATTAATCATAAAAACATAACAAAACTTTTCAAACTGTTGCTTTAATTTCATTTCATCGATAATTCAAAAATAAATTTTTAGAATAGCGAGTAAATTTTTTTATTATTCATCAACTGATTGATTGATGTCAGTTTTTGAAAATACTTTTAAAACTTTTATTTAAAGTCATCATTGCTTTGATCATTAAAAAGTGTTGGCATTAAAATTGCGATTTATTTATTTCCCTCACGTTTTCAATCTGTAAATTATTTTTTATTTCTTTGTGGACGGCTTTTGCAGTGAGATTTCAATCAAAAGAAATAAAAGGAAAATTATTTTTTTATTTGGTAAGTAGAAGAAGTTTAAGATTAAATACTTTTAGAATCTATCTAGAGTTGATTATCAAATAAATGTAAAATAAAGCTTGATAATTCTTAAAAATGTGATGGAATGTTTCATAAAATCATCACTTCAACTTCCAAGATATTTAATTTTGTTCATTCAACATTTCTTAACATGCAGCCGTTGTTGGTAGAATATTGATCGGGCTGATGATCGGGAGACACAATATTTATTCGGGACAATTCCTTGCGAAGGCGTGCCTGCCTCTCGTTTTCGGCCCGTTCTCTCTGAAGCCTAGAAACGCGATTTTTAAAATTTTTTAAAAAGAAAAAAGGAAGAAAGAAGGAAAATAATTTTAATTCACAAGTTTGGATATTTAGAACATAAATTCAATTAGATAATAATTGACAAAGTCATGAAGTCTCACCAAGTTTATATCCAAAAAACTTTACAGAATTGCATGACAAAATAAGTTTATAGATAATCTTGAAAATCATTAAACGTTTCATTAAATTACTCACTTATTCTTAGCTGTTAACATGAATTGTTGAATTTTACGAGCTGCTTGATTCTGTGTTGATTGCGAATATGTTCGTTTAAGACCTGAGGTATTTTGCATGCCATCTTTTGTAGTAACAGCAGCGTTGCTTGAATCCTGCTTTTCAAGCGTGTCACATGTACTTAAACTAGTTGATGATAAAACAGCGTCACAACCAGAGTTGAGTGATTGTTTAAATCTTTTGCTTTCACAATATGATCTGTACTTGTTTTGAATGACTGTAATTAAATTAAGCATTGTCTTATCTCTCTTTAGATCATGTAAGTTAATGTCACCTAAAGCGGCATGAGTCATCTCACGATAATAAGCATATTCCTTGTATCGTCGATAATAATTCTGAATTATTATCGCCGCATTTTTCTCCTTGTCTTTGCGTGTTCCATGTGCATGCAAATCTTTTTCTTCCATTTTTTTTCGTCCTTTATACGATCGATAAGCTTTTTGAATGCATTTTGCCGCCTGATATAATTCACGTTGTTCATTGTCAGTGAGTGTGAGTTCGGAAAAATCAGCTTCAAATGCTTGAGAGACTGGATTTGAAGCTTCAAAGAATTGTGTAAAGTCTTTGGCAGTAACTGGTGGACTTCTTGGATTCATGTCAGCTTGCATCGAATATGGACTTTGAAGTGCACTCGCAGAACTCGCCGGACTTGAACATGGCGTTCGATTTTCCTCATATCGATAATCATTAAAAGCGAAATCGAATTGTTGTTCAAAGTTGGAATCAATAAACGACGTGTCATTGAGAAGAATGTTCATTTCGTCATTATCATTATCTAAAGCCATTGATTCATCGGTTTCATTCTACATTTGATATGAGAAAGTGTTGAGTTTGTGTCTTAATGCAATTATTTTCTTATTTACCTTGATTCTCTTGGGGATCGCTGCGATGATCTGAGATCATAAAAAGAAATTACTTAATTAAAGAATGAAACAATTAAAAACTTTTCCTTACCTTTTCAGCCAAATTCAAGACTTTCGGTTCACCTGAATGAGAAGAAGGAATAAAATTTTGTTAGAAAACGAGACGATTGAAAGATGAAACCACAACATCGAGCATATTTAGATAGACACCAAAACACATCATCTGTCATTATGACTATGAGTAATGACTGACAATCATTAGAAACTAAATTATTGCAACTAGCAACATCATTGCATTTTAGTTTTCAGACCTCGACATCGAACTCTGCTGATCAAGCGTCAATCTTCACACTCAACTTTACTTCAATGCTTCTATTAAAATGCAAATTGCAATGAATCAAAATAATTAATTGAGATGAATATTCGACGGTTAACCAAATTGATCGACGTCGAGTTCTGACTTTTGTTTTGTTCAACAAACATCAACAATTTTTAACAAATCATGTGAAAGGTGGACATTTAAGTTCAGAAGATTAGAAGACAGGTCAGCTACGAGTACAAAGGGAGAGAATTCTACAAGTAGTTTCACACCAAAAGCAGATTAGATTAATATTTATCTAAGTCATTTTCCTTCATCTTGTGTTTCATACATGCAAGTCAAATTGTTTTATTATTTTCCAAAGTAGGCATTTCAATTTATTGAACTGATAGATAATAGTTGGAAATAATTGTAAGGAAAATAAATGAACTAAACGTAAGAATCACTCAAGCTAAGTAGATATTTATGTTGTTCAGTTATTGGAAAAATAATCCAAATAAAACTAACAGGAAACGAGTTCTTGGTCTTTGGTAAGTAAGTATGGCAAACACTCTAAGTAATCAATAACTAACAAGTTTATAAAAACTAAAAAATAAAATTAAAATAAAAGAAAACGAATCACATTGAACTATAAAAAAACCTACAAACTGACCTACAATCGACGACTTTGAGTTTGTCGGTTCACTCATAACTAAATCATTTAAATCATCATCACCATCGTCGTCATCTGATATGGAAGAACAACTTTGATGAAGATTTTTATCCTCTACATTGTTGTTTGTCTTAGATCGTGTCAATTCACCTTTTAAGTAAAACATTTTTTGTCTTTCATTATTCTCTGATAATTTTTACTTCTTATAAAAGTTTCGGAAATTTATTTCAATGACATCGCATTTAAAATGTTCAAAGTTCTTCCTTGTTATCGAGAGAATAACTATTTAAATATGTACTGCAAACAAAGCGAGTTTACTTTCTCAAAATCTCAAAAACGTTTCGGGACATTGCTTGTGTGGTTGGAAATGTCAATTTAAGTAGTTTAAGATTTTCAAAGAGAAAATAAGTAAACAAATATTAGGCCAATATTCATGTCTTGAAAGAAGTTGAGGAGAATAAATGTTTAAGATCGAAAGAAGAGAAAATTTAGAGTTTTAAGTTTCACGACGCTTTCGTTAATGATGTCACTCATTTCAGTTTTCATCAACAAATTTTTTTGTGATTATTTAAAGGAAGATTAAAAGTTTCAATGAGTGACGTAACTTTCGAAAGCTTCGTTACATTTTTTTTAACAAAGTTTAACAATCAAAATAAAAGAAATTTAATTGAAAATTGATGTTAACACTTACAAAAAGCGAAATCAGTTTTTCTCAAAGGTGACAACAATGAGCTGTTGGATGACTGAAAGCAACTGTTGGAAGATTCCTGATCCGATGAGAAGATGTTATCCAAATCTAAGTCTGAGTACGTAACTGGAAGTGACATGCTACGTGATTTCGTGCTGCGACTGTCAGTTGTGTTGTGATTGAAATCAAGTGAAGTTCGCTTATTTAAATTATTCAATGGCGAATGTACAGCCCCAGGACGAAGAAATATGCGATCAGATTCTTCCTCGTTTTCATTAAGCGTCTCGTCTTCAAAGCCATTCTCATATATCTTTGATACATTTCGTCTTCTTTCCTTCTCAAACGAATTGATTTGATTGACGATGTCTATGTGACTATCATCGTTGTTAGTGGAGAAATAAAATCAATTCAAATGTAAACAAGAAAGAAACTTTATTTAACTCACTTATTTTGAATACACAAATCCAACATTGACTTGTGGTTGAAGTTTTTGATTCTCAAAGTCATGTTGTCCCATTTGTAAAGCGTGATTGCTGTTTAGAGGTTCGAAAAGAACATTCGTGAGTAAACATTTGAGTGAATTAGTTTAATTAAACAGTTTACCAGTTTCCACAAATCCATTCATTCCAGCCAGCATCAGTGGAGTGTTTCCGTCTTTATTTTGTGATCGAGCATCGATTTCCGATCGAATTAATGGATGTGGATTCTCATTTGACCATTTGAGAAGAAGATTTGCGAGATTTGAATAACCAAGAAATGCTGTTAAATGGAGAATTGACATTCCATTGAGCTTTCGGAATGGAAGCGAAGCTTTCTTTGATAAACTCCACTGTCGTGTTGATGTGAATTTCTTACAATATTGAATCAAACAATTCTCAAAGTCAGGATCTTCAAATAAATTTGAGTTGTCATTCTTATCATTTGTTTCCGTCTTCACACCACACAACTCGTTATTAATCGCTTCGAGACGATTCTGTAAGCTGAACTTGTAGAGAATTTCAATGTGACCATATTCAAAATTTGGCTGAAGTTTATATTCAAAATCGACCATGTTGGAGAAGGAGAATCCATCACTGATACAAACTTTACATACACCAGGCTCATGCTTTGGTGCAAAGAGTTTTAAGACGCCATTCTGAACGACTGTCGCTGGAACGTTAATATTATCAAAATATGCTGTGTAAGTTGTTTCCATCAACCATGGCCCGGTTATGAGAATCTTCACGCCGCCATCTACAAAAGACCAATCGGGACAAAACTCAGTGATGTGAAGTGAATGATCGTGACTGTTCTTAGCGATGATATTATTCTTTCCCGACTCAAGTTCCGGCAGTTCAATCAACATATCAAATGCGTCGAGATTCACAAACGTGTCGTCTTCTTCTTGAACACTCGACGAACAATTCTCAATAAAGCTTATCGTGTCATTAACAATCGACTCTTCATTTCGATGTACTGGCATATTCGCGCTAAGCGTCTGTTGAATGTCTTCTTGCGATAAATCAAGTGTCGTGTTGAAAATGCTTTCATCTTTCTTGTCTTCATCATATTCCTTTTCATGATGATGATGATGAAGTTGATGATGACCGAGAATATCCATTGGTGAATCATGTTCCTTCTTTATCGACATCTCATCCATTATCGGCTGTTGTGGCGGCTTATGATGACCATTGGCAAAGAAATTTGATTGTTGAACCTGTAAAATTTTATCAAATTAAATTTGATTTGTTGAGTTTATCATTTTAAGAGAAATTACTGACTTGACATAAATTTAATGGCAATGTCGATCCATTCATATCATTATTGTTCATCATCTGATTATTGTTGTAAGCTGAAGAAGAATCCCGTTGTTGTTGTTGTTGTTGTTGTTGGCATGAGATATGTTGTTGTTTATTGTTCAAATTAAAATTTTGTGTCCCGTCCATCAAGTGAGATTTGTAATTATCACTGTTGCCACTACTACTGCTATTGTTCTTTATATCATCTGTGTGGGTGTTTGTCTCATTCGATGATACGGATACGAAAATATTAAGGTTCGGATTTGCTGTTAATTGAACTTTATTGCTGCATTCTGATGTGTTATTGATGATGTTATTACTTTTCATCATTGCATGTTGTTGATTTGTGATGGCATCATTAGGAGATAAGTTACTTGAATTGTTATTTAATTGTAAATTACAAGTAGCGTAACTAGATTTACTAATTAAAGAACCATTGTTGAGTGAGAATGATGAGTGCATTGATTCGCTTTCCATTTTGTTGCTACGAAGTCCTGAAGACGACTTCTCTTGTGTTCCTTTGGCATTGATGTGACGTTCGGAGTACCATCGATGATATGATTGCTAATTAGAAGATCAGATTTTCAATTTCATTCCCACTCAATTTACATTTGACTTACCTTCGTTTCCAAAGAGAAATTATTTGAAACTTGTCCGACACTATCAGATCGTTTAAGAATTTCATTTCCATTACCACCCCCGCCTTTCACATTATTCCGATGCAAGCATGGCTTTCCAATCAAACATGTCGCTTCGGGACAGCTTTCACTCGAAAGTTGCTTCACAAGTGCCGCTTGTCGTGACTGTCTTTGCTTCTCGATCAATTGGGACACAATTGCTTCAACTGTTTCCGATGTCTGTGAACACATGAGCTGAATAAATGTTAATTACTCGATGAATTGTTTAAAAATCGTTAGTTAAATTACCGTGTCGATATCACGCGATGCTTCGGGATCATCGTCGTTAAAAACTTTATAAAGGAAAGGAATTAAAAATGAAATTTTAAGGCAAAGTTATGAAGAAAAACTTACACATTGGCTTCAATTGATTCAGCAACTCTTCCTTCGTCCATTCTTTCTTGTCACTCCACAAAATTGATGGAATCACCATTTTATTATGTTGTGTCTGTTATAAGATCATCATCAGAAGGGAAGTTAGTGAAATGAAGGAAACTTACTCTGTCATCTGGATATGGAACGTTCAAATAATGTACTAAAACTATGTCAGGATTCTGCAGAAGCCAATAACAGCGACGATGAAAAGTTGGGAGAATTGCTGAGTGAACGTAGCATCCGTAAATGCACTTCATTGTTGTTGTTATTATTGTAGGTGTTTGTTTGTGAGAAAGGAAGAAAAGAAACAAAAGTTTTGAATTCGCTTTGTAATAAATCACAAGAAAAAGTCGCTTTCAAATTCTTACCTCCGTTCCTTGAACCTTCAACTTCATGTGATCTTCTCTTGTTGTCTTCCCATCCTTTCTTTTCTTCCAACAATAACCATCGCGTCGATATCTCACCTTTTTACGTGAATAAAGCAGCATTGAACCACTTTTCGGTCTAGAACGTGAAAAGAAGAAGAAGTGAAATGATTTGAGAATATTTTTAAGAAGATTAGATATAAATATCATCCGACAACGTTTTCATCATGTTTCTTGATAGCGAGGGAGATTGTGTGGGTGTGGGGATTAAAAATATAATTGAAAATTCTTCATCTCCAGTCTTTTTCTAGCAAGAAGAGAAAGGGGAATAAAGACGACTATAATTCACTTTTTTTAATGAAGAAGGTGTGAAGAAAAAAAAAGATTTCAACTGCTAATAATTTTCCACGACACTATGAGAAAGAAGCAAGAAAATATTCTAATTTATATTTTCCTATGTAAGTAAAATGATTTTTGTTGCTTTACGATCTCAGTTCTCGACACCGGAGCTCCGGTAGTAGATGGAAAGTCCGAGATGTGCTTGCATAGAAATTCTCTTAGATTGTGAATAAATATTAAGAATAATCTGGGGATTTCATAAAAATAATGAGAACATATTTAGTGCACTTAAGGCATTGTAACAACTATTTATTGTCTTGCGTAATCCCTTTAATTACCATGAAATACTAGCTTGGTTATGTGTTTGAGTATTTAACACAAGAATTTACTTCTTTCGGGAGAGACAAATGAAAATTTTGTTGCAATTTATCTACATAATGTAAGTAAATATGAATATGTGGGTGTCATTAGATCTACGATATTAACTTTATGACATCATAAAGTGATGAAATGTTTGACTTTTGATAATATTTTAACTAGGAAACGTTTATTACCTCGTTCTAACTTCTTTTGATTGCCATTCCTGTTGATAAAATAATTAAGACAATTGTTTAGAGCTTAAGTACATAAAATTATATTCTGTAATAAACTCACCGCATGTCTATCAAAATTTATCAATATCCCAGCGATTTCCTTAAGAAAAACAAAATTATTGTAAAGATTTATTGTCTTGGCTCGTTCATATGAGACAAAACAGTTTTCATCTTACTTCGTTTGTGTTCCATCGGTGTCGAATATTGGGAAAATGATCTGCTCTTGGCAAACTTTCCAAATTCTCAGGAAGTTTTATGGGCTCCCCATCTTTAAACGAAAAAGAAAGGAAGAAAAGAATCGAAAGTAATGTGTTTGTTTTGTTGTTCAAAGTCGATTTTTAATATTAGAAGATATCAAAAGTTCAATGTAATCGCAAAAAGATTAAATCGTTTAGATACTTGACAAATAATCGTTTGAATGGGATTTGGAATTTGTTGTTGAACCCTCGGGATTTAGACTTTAACACGGGCTTAAAAAATATTTGTAAAGATCAGGGTAGGTAGGCAGAGTTTGGTTGAGGGGATGATTGTCTCTATGGCCTACATTAACAAAGAGGAAATCCCATCGCACTCAATGGGAAAGGAAACGTTCCACAAATTTGAAATTATTATATTTTAACCATTTTTATTGTATTCGCAAGGATTGAATAAATAAGAATGCAAAATGAATTTGCTCTCCACAGTCTCATCTTCCCAACGGATTTGAAACGTTTTTGTTAGTTTCCGTCATAAAGAATCCTCCAACTCGTTTACTTTTTAAGACTCGTTGGCTTGTCGTCTTCATTTCTTTTCTCATTTTTTTGCCTCTCAAGAAAATGAATAATAAATGTTGTAACGTGCACTTAAAAGATTTCACCAGATTTTATTCTTTTTATGTTTGTTTGTACATTGAGAGGCTCTTTATAGGGAAATTATGTAGTCACTTTGTAAAATAAAAAGTTTTTCTTTTATTTATCATTCATTCTTTCATTTCTCTCTGTTTTTTGTTGGTCACTCGCCACTTTCTACAATTTGCTATCCGATTCATGGTGGAACGTTTACAACAAACCGAGGCGAGAGAATTGGAATTGTGTGGTGAGTAGAGTTGATTAATAATTCAGTTGGAAGGAAAGTCGTTGAAATGAATAAAAATCCTAAACATACTTAACATCGTTTTACACTCATTTTTATTATATTTAAACTTGGGGAGACTATAAAGTGAAGTTTATGCAAGTTAACATCTGACATCAGTCAGTAAATGGCAGTTGTTGTTAAGAAGAAATGGTGGGAGATGGAAGGAAACAACAAACAGCGAAAAAAAACAGAGAATTGAAGAAACAAACAAAAATCTATGAGAAGAAAATTACAAGGAAGTTGAATGAAATCCACTTAGTATGTTTATAAGATTCAACGCATTAGTAACAACCAAAAATTGAATCACGCTATGCAAGCGGAATAAGAAATCGTTTCATTATGTTTATCCGTTAAAAGGAAAACAAGCACAACAATCGATAGTAAGAGTTTTTGAGTCGGGGCCGAGTTGAATAATTTGTTGGCTGTTCTTGCCCCAATTTAATCAATTTTGTAAAAAAGAAATTCTTCTTTCCATTTAACTATTAAGGTCTTGGAGAGCTTGTCATTGTCGATATTTTGTAACTTCTTCTCGTTCATCTCATGAAAAAAGCTGTCATGAGGGTGAGTGAAAGTGCACACGCTTATCATTGGCAGTTTGAAATATTTTCTTCATCCAACTTACACGCGTTTTGCATAAATAACAAATATTTATAAAATGATATTTATTACAACATGAATTTTTTAAAGTGCAATAAAAGTGTGAGATGTTTTATTTTTCCTTGATAACTTTCTTCTCTTTTCGAAATTTTTATTTCACGATATTTTTAGATATTGATCAGAAAAGGGGAGAGAAGAAGGCGACATGCAATAAAAGTGTTTTCCTTCTTTCCGTTTTTCGGCTGGTTAGTGTGTAGAAAATGGAAAAACGAAAAAAGCATTTCGCCTTGCACTAAATATAAATTGATTAACTATAAACATTGATTCCTGGGTTTTGTGTTTATGGTCATCTTGAGGGTGATCTTGAGCCTTGTCTAGAATGTTTAAGCTGTTCAAGGTGCACGATATCAGAAAGAATTCTCACGAATGCATGCAAACTTCGATCACTGAAAGCTTCGCTTTCAACAAGACCAATCATTATTAATCATCGTGATTAAATTATTGCCCCTTTGCTAGTTTTATGATATCTTTTCGCAAAAAGCGCATTGTCCTAAGCTATTTATTTCAGTTCTCTAGCAACAAAGTAAAACTGCTGATGTAATCATAACAAAGGCAAGCAATATTTTTGACAACAAATTTTATATTTTTCGCCAACACAATCTCATAAATCAAATGACACAACATTATAGAGATGTTTCATATGTTGGAGAGAAAACAAACATAAATAAATAGTTTTACGTGTTGGTGGGGGTGGGCTTCATAAATGAAGCGAAATAATTTCCACGAAATAAATTAAAATTGTGAAATTTTCATCATGATTGCAGTGGATGAAGATCACTTTTCATATCGACAACAGTTGCTCTTATCAAAACTTCGTTGCCTTGCAGTTCATTTATAAATGTTTACTACATGACTCACTGGCATTAAGTGGAATGTTTGATGAGATATTCATATTCATCAAATGGTGTTGCCTCGTTGCATGATGTTGATATTGAAAATGCTGATGATGATGATGATGTTGATGTTGTTGTTGTTGCTGCTGTTGTTGTTGGCCAAGATAATGTCGCGATAAGATATGAAAGTTGGAAGTTTGTATTTGCTGATTATGTGATTGTAGGTGAAAACGAAGGTTTTGATTATTGTGAGTCGGTTGTATTGTTTCTTGCTTGTAATGATTACTAATATTGTTGTTGTTATTTGATAGCACATGAACTGGCGATGGTGCTTGAACGCCAAATGACACATTATCATTATTCATTTGATAAAGTGAACGATTTTCGGCACTATTATTACGATAGCTTGACATGTTTTCCTTTAATCTTATTTAGATATTTTTAATGTAATTAAAAACTCGCGAGTTATCTTCAATTCTTACGTCATGTAATTGTTGTAAAAAACGCTGTTAATTGGTATTATAAAATATTTGTTTTTCTCTCGATTTCTTCACAAGGAAAGAAAGGAAAATCTGGAAGCACTTTTCATTTTTATTTTTATAGGAAACAATTTTCTTTTAATTTTAATAATCCGCTTTAAGCTTTGGACTTTAATTAAAGTTAAGGAATTTATTGCACTTTGGATATTGCTTTATTGCTATAATATATTTCTTTATTTAATATTTCACTGAGAATCTTCAACAATGCTGCTTTCGTACAACAAGCAGCGACAGCAGCAGCGTGCACACTTTGTTCATACACGTTTTGATTCTACTCGTAGATGTAACATCAGACCTTAAACAGATTCTTTTTAGTGTCTGTTATCTTATCATTCTTCCAATTTGCGTCATTTGGAAGCACACAAAAGCTTTCTGCTTCGCCAATCCAGTGCGAGTTTATTTTCGATAGAATTTAACAATCGTTTTGATTCGTTTGAAATGCAAACTCAAATGAAAAATCTCTGAGTGATCATCAACGAAAGTTGACTCTTATCAATGTTTGATGTTTGTTGTAAACGCACTTTATGTCCATATCACGACGTTTGCACGACTAACTGAATTATTTTTAGTTAGATTAACATATGGAAAAGGCGGTTTTTAGTAATTAATATTTGAATAATATTATTCAAATTAGAATGGTAATATTTCTGCTTGTTATTATGTCAATCCATAACTTTTAACATTTCATGTTTGTGTTCATGTTTTACGCGAAATAAAAAGAAGAGGAATACAAAATAGTTTTCATGATATTCACTATGTTTATGATTTAAAGATATAACTTTTAATTTATTTATTTTTATTTATATTTTATGTAAGTTTTCATCACTATCATCACACACAAACGGACTTTTGTTGTCAAATGAAAGTAACCAACAAGCTATCTAACTACTTCATGTTGTTGTACTACATTGCACACCTAACTTGTGAACCAAATGTCAAAACTTATGATAGAACTTAATCTGAAATCGTTTTCTTTTCTTTTTACAATGTTTAGCTACTTGGCAACACGGACGAGCGTTTTTTATTTTCGGTATTTTTATTTATTTTAACTTTTCATTTATGTACACACACGAAAGAAATTGATCGAGAAAGGAAAGTGTTTCTGCATTTCAACTTTGACTTCTTAATTAGTTTCTTCCTTACTTCTTTCATCTATCTAAACATCTAAACAACACCGATAGCGGAAGAAGAGAAAACAACAATTTTCTCTCATCAAAATAGAGGATGACAAATGAAATGAAAAACTTTTCCAACTAAAAAAAGTTTTGTGGCGATTAAAGCCTTAAATATCACATCCTTCTAGTTGGAAAGAACTTATATTACTGAAAGCAAACTTTTATTTTTCGGGTCGACGATGAATGTAAGTGCAATAAATGAAACGAGCGGAAAAAACTTTCCATGTGAATTCGTGCTTTCGAGCAATCGCTTCGTCTCACTCGCACACAATCCTTGAAGATTTTTCACGAAGAGTTAACATAGTCCTGCGCCCGAACACAAACATCGTGTGCACGAACGTGAATAAAAACAAACATTTCATATTTTAAACAACAACAAAAGAAATTCAAACGTTTTCTTTCATCGCTTGTTTCATTTCTCACTCTAAATAAAGTGTTAATAAGTTGACATGCGGAGTTGAAATATTAATGCAAATTATCTTTCGACTGTCTTAAAAGCTTTTCACTGACTTTTCATTTCTGTTTTCCGAGGGAATATGAAAAACAATTTATAACTGTTGTGTGCATTTGTATCAATTTTTCACTTCTTCATACTTCAATCGTTGATATGTTCTTGCACATGTTACGATCTTGCAGAATTTTCTTCTTCATTAATAACAAAATGTGAACAGTCAAAACGCAGCCAAATATTGGACAAAGGATTAAAAGAAGACATAAATGTTGGAAACTATATCAAATAAACAAAACTCTAACTTTTCAAAACTGTTATCACTTCCGTTAACATAAAAATTAACAAACAAAGCTTTTACCTGCCTGGTACTGAGAGAAACCAAAAAAAAACAAACACAAAAACTTTAAAATGATTTTCATGCCTGAATTTCTTTCTCACTCTTGCTCCGGTTGTTGTGTATTATTAATAATGATAAACATTTTTCATTCTTGTAGTTCACAACACACAACAAAACAGAAAAAAAAGCGAGTAAAGTAAAAAGGCCCAATCTAATTTAGAAATTATTTAAACTTTTCCATCTACAAATCAGAGATGGGAAATGTTCTGTTTTTGTTCTGCTGGTGTTTTGTTGATCTGGTAAGGAAATTATTTAATATGATAACTTTTTTAAATTGACATCTTTCATTAAAAGTTTTAATTCATCTCATTTTCTTCTTAAAAAATTAACTCATAATCCAAGGTGTCAACACTTGTGCTTTTCCATCCTTTCTTAAAACAGCCAAAACATATTTTACAGGCCGATGGTAAGCGAACCACCGAGAGCCATAGCACTTTGAAACATTAAAATTTTCCTTTTAGTTATGTAATATGCTTTTGGATATAAATGATAACTACATTTCATCTTTTCCCTACTTTTATCTTTCAGTTTCGCTTCATTTTAATTTTGCATTAGTTACAACTACGAGATAATTTCTCGCCAGCTTTTGACTCGTGTGAAAGAGAGATGAGTAAGGGAAAAAAGGAAAGCGAAGTTAACCACCAGACAAAAGTGAACAACGAAGCTATTTTATTTCCTTATACTTCCATCATACTTTTCAAGAAGCCAACAGAAGAGAAAAAAAAATGAAAAATAATTTTTTTGAGAGTTCATTTTTTGCATTTTAATTTCACTTCATTTTTTTTCGATTCTACACTTGATGTGGGTGGAATGAAAAGACGAGAAGAAGAAGAAAGAGGAGGGAAAGCATCATCATAAGAAATCTTACTACTGAAGAGGCTAATTAATATTCAAATAGCATGGAGTACTCCAATTTATACTTCTTTAATTAAGACAAGTTTTCTTTTCATCGCTACTACTGCTGTGAATAGTAGAATGAGATGGGAAGTTGTTGGAAGGGAAGGTAAATGAGTAGCAAGCAATGAAAGCACCTTTCGAAGGAAACTGGCAATAGTTTCCCTTTTCATTGTATCGTGAAGAATGCCAGCAGAAAAAATTCTTTTATAATAAAAGGGAGACAAGAAATGGCAAATTATACCATGAATGAAATTAAATTGATTTTATATTAAAGAAAGGGATAAGATAATCGACAATGAATGTCATTTTCAGTTATTAATTAAGTTGTATCGAGTCGTCTGTTCACGATAAAAAATTCAGACATTTTCATGTGATCAGCAAAGAAATGGAAATTGTTTCAAACTTAAGATCAAAAGAGTCGATTTTATTGTAAAAAGATTGAATTAAATTCATGTGCAGTTTCGTAACTTGTGAATGATTCCTTTAGGCGAATTGAAATTGGCGACGAGGCAGAAAAAAAGCAGAACAAGACGGAATAAAAAAAATTATTCTGCTGCTTCATGAGCAGTCGTCACCACGTTCCATGAATGTATTATTAGATGATTAGGTTTCATCTCGTACTTGCTCTTCTATCTCCGTCAATGTATAAGAAGTGAAAAGATTTTTTTTCTTGATTGAAAATACTTTGAAAAAGAATTTTCTTCTTCCATTGAACAATGAGAGCGTTTCGTGGAATTTATCTACACGAGTGACCGATGAAAGTTTATTGTAACGGAGGGCATGGATTGGCATAAAGGAAAATAATAAAAAAACAAACCACAAGGAAAGTTTTAAAAGTCTTAACTCACCCGATCCGATGGGAATGAGCTTCTGTACTTCGACGCTTTCACCACACTCTTTAACAACTTCATTAGTTTGAGATGTTTTCGAGTCTTCCTTTTCCGCTCTCATTGTTTCGGTGAATGATGCAAGCGAAGAGCTTCGATTTCCATTTCGAACAACCAGAAATGAGTGAGATTTATCTAAAGTTTTAATTACGATCCGACCATCCTTGGAGAGATGTTGCAAGTTGAGGTGATTGTTAACATTATCACAAGCTTTTGTTTCTATTTTCAGTTCATTTGAAGTGCTGGCATCGGAAGTTTCCAAGACATTCTGATTGATCACAAACTTTGAGTGATTCTTGTTGAGTAAATTCAACAACTCTTGAGTGTTCTGAATCACAATCTGACTGCTTCCATTCTCTGTCTTACTAGCTCCACGAATCATATAAATCACATTTCCACATTGCTGTGATGCGCCGGTTGCTTGATTCAAAGCTTGTGGATTTATCAACACGTTGAGAGGTGATGGTGAACTCATCAGAAGATTTTTTTCCGAAGCATTTACTGTGGGAGAGTGAAGAGAAGTGAAAAGTCATAAAGAAGAATTTTTTGACACAAAATTAGCATAAAATAATCGAAATTTTATCATATTTATGTGAAACTATGATAGAGAAATCATTTAGGGTACTTGGGAAACATCAAACTACTCGGTAAGCTTGAAGGTCCTTTTTAATCATCTCAAAATTATTTTGTAAATATCAAAGCTAAAGAAATTTTCAATTTTAAATCTTTTAATGTCACGAAATTGGTCAACTTCTCCAGAATAAAAAAAGTCTTTAATATGGAAATATTTGATGAATATTAAATGATTTTAATGATTATGTTGTGTATGATGATTATTTAATTGAGAATTTCAACAAACAATGAACAAAACTCGTTTATAAAATTTGACATCTCTCTCAGATGTTCTTAAAAAGGTTCATAAAGAACATTTCTTTCCATTGACCGAATAATTGATTAAAATTCACAAAGACCTTATTTGCTTTTATAGCTCAACGAGATACATAAACGAAAATGCAAAAAAAGGAAAAATAATGTTGAAGTTCATCCAAGAAAAACGTTGAAAACATGATTTTTTACGGAAATTTTTCGACAAATATACGACGATCTATATCAAACGAAAATAAATAACTTTTCTCATTATAATGAGTTATTTCATAGACATACTGTAATTCTAAAACTTTAATGTTCTTTATGGCTCAGAATAATGTTTTCGAAATCGGAAAATATTTTTAATGTCCAATCACATTTTTTCTTACGTTTATTATCAGCTTGAAAGAAATCAAGTGAAGAGAATCGAGAATGTGAAATTTACACGAAAAGCATTTCTGATTTCTTTAAATATTCTTATGTTTATGATAACAACCGTTTACGGAAATCGCAATGGCACTTAATATCGATGAAATGTTGGTTTGTTATGAAGTGATCAATTTTAAAGTTGAATGTTAAATGTGATGAAAATGCTTGCAATTGAAAATGGCTCAAAGCCAAGACTTTCCTAACTCTTCCTTGAATAAGAATAACTTTCATATGCTACACTGCCATATCTTAATGTTTCTTTCTTTTTTCCTTCTTTATTTATATATTTTAAACTCTTCCACAACCAAGACACAACAAAAGACGATAAGGAGAAGAAGAAGAAAGTGTGAATTGAAAATGAAAAAGTTGAATTTTTGTTTATTGAAAAAAGAAAAACGAGAAATGAGAAACAAGGAACAGCAGACTAGTGTCTGAAGGGAAAAAGTCATTTTTCTTTCACATGAAATATGATTGTAACGCGCTCACCATGCTACTTTTACAAAAGGCTCTCGAAAAGGATAAACATATAAAAATGTGATTTAAGATAATTATGGGGCATTAAAAAACACGCTCGTTCAATTATCAGCTTATAATAGTTTTTCCTTCTCTTCCTTTTGTTTCACGGAAACAGGCAATTTTGCAAATGAAAAAAAGAGAAAAAGAAAAAGAATAACAAAACAAACATATGCCAAGATGTAAGAAGTTTTTGCACAGGATGTTTAGAAGAACTATCTCGTACACATCGTTTGCCCTTTTTCACATTCACGACATTCAAGTGCAACCAATTCCTTGTTTTAAAACTTTTACACTTGCAACTTGAATAAATAAATTACTTTTGTACTACACTTTTGGATTGTGCAATGTTTTTCCGAGTTGCGAAACGGGAGGGGAATGGGCACAAAAGAAAAGAGAAAAAAATGGCAACGAATGAGAACTATCGTCCCTTATTTTTAATTAAAAACTTTTATTACTGAAATAGAGCGTGTCTAGGATGCGATGTACAAGTAAAATAGAATTTCGAGAGGGAGTGAGAAAGAAAGAATAAAAAAGAATAACAGAAAGCGAGCCTACAGAACCATAAATAAAGTTTACACATGTTCCTCCTACAAATCCCGCTACTCTTCTTTGCACAGCATTGTGAAATCATGCAGTTAAAAATCGCTCATTGTACTTATTACATTTCATTTCGCACAGCTTAAAAAGTTATTCATCTTTGTCGAGAAGCGTGCGACGCGAATATTTAAGAGATAAAGCATAAAACATCTATTTTGGGATTGAAATAATTTGCAATGATTTAGAGAAACAAGATCAAAATTAAAAAGCTTTGCAATCCTAAAATTTGTGTTCAAATCGTTAGCAGTTGAAAATCATTAATTACCACGAATATCATCGATTTTTAAGGGTATTTATATTCTATAAAATCCATTTATTTATAAATAAAACATTAAACCATGTTGTAGATGGAACCTACATATATGTTGTTCATTTTTGAAATACTATAAATTAAAATAAAGCCTTTTAGGATTTATCCATTGTTCGCATGAAATGTTAAAACTTAAATATCTTTATTTGTAAACGATGACCTCAGAACATTGCAAAATCGACATTGATTGTTTATAACCGATTGAATAAAACTTTCATGTAATTGTTTTAAAAACTTTTTGTCTACATTTTGAACATCAAAATCTTAGTTTATTTTAGAAATTCAAAGATAAACATCAGAGAAATTGGACTAACTTTTCAAAAGCTTCTTTCTTTACATGATAAGCTTTTCATTCTTCTCTCCCTCTTTTTTTTTCTATTTAACAAAACTTTTGTAGACGAAAGAAAAAGTCTTTTAAGCTGAATAATTTCTTCACTCTCTCACAAAAATGTTTGCTCCCCCTTTCAATGCTACAAATTGCTCGAATTCCAGAAGCAGCTGAATAGTTTGTTGCTCAAACATGCAGGAAAAGAAAATTCACTTTGTGGAAAACGTTTTTATGTAACGAAGGCAAACAAAACATAAATCACCACACAAATGATTCAATGTTTATGTTTGAAGTTTTTAGCACTAATTTGCACAATGATTTTTTTTTCTTTACCAAGAAAAGAGTGTAAAATTATTTATTTCGGATGTAAACGATACGTCAAAGAAGTTTAATATGCGTTAACCAATGTTTACGACTATCAGAAGCTGACTACCAAACCAACAGCAAATTTCATCGATGAAAATAATTTTGCCAAAAATAATTTATCGATTTTAAATAAATCACAAATTTCCGATTGTTTAACATGAAAGAAACACTCTTATTTTGTTGAGTAGAAAAGTTTACGAGAAGTTTCATATAGCTATTTCAATATTAAATCGATTTTATTTCTATTTTTGCTATTCTACCGTAAAACATTTTTTTTTGCACTATGTTAATTTATCGTAGATGAAATAATTAACGACCTTTACCAATTCTTATCACTGACACTGGAGAGTTGATTCTTCTTCTTTTCGACAAATCTAACAACCTGTTAATTTACTTTTTTATCGAAACAAACTTTTAAAGTAATTTTATTTACAAATTAAAAATTTCCTGCTTTCACAGAGACTTCTAAAAAACAACTCCAAATGTTCTAAAAACAACAAGTTAGAAATGTATTGCCGACGAAAAATTATTGTTTCTAAAGCGCTGTTTGAATGTTTTGTGATGCGAGAAAACATTGAAACATTGAACATTGTGAAACGAAGTAGGGTAAATGACCAAAATCTTAGGTAGAAACTTCAAATTTCAAACACAGATTCAAGTGCTGCTGATTTCGGCCACTTACCCTATTTATTAAAGCTGAAGAAAAACTTTGAAAACTCGTTTCACTAGAAACCCCAACAGTGAAAAATATTTCTTTGAGAAAGAAAATTTCACTCTGCTTCTGTAACAACATCAAGTGAAGAAAAGAAGAGAAAAGTCGTGGAGGATATTCATTAAAGCTGATATTCATTGCTGATAAAATGTTGAGATATCCAAAGACAAAATATCGAATGCATTGCATGCACAGCAACTTTAATGGAATTTTCAAAGTAGATAACGTTGTTAAAAATGAACTCATCCATTAAGTGACTTTTACTAAAATGACTTTTAATATCTGTAAAATGAATGCTGAGTGCATTTATTCAAAAAAAAATATGAATTGTTACAAGTAAATATAATAACAAGAACGAACGTTTATTAACCATTAAAAGTATTTAATTTACATTTTTCATTCTATTTTTATAAATATTTTAAAGTTTATACCAACAAATGTTTGCTGATGTTCTGTTATTTCATTTGTGTTAACTCTCATTGTTCTGTTTTCCTTCTCGAGGCTGAGTTGAACTCTCAATGGATCCATCGTTGAATTTAAAGTTTTTATCAACGAATGTCCACCTCAATTCTTGATACAAATAAAAGATAAACAAGAATTGCGTTTGGACAATCACGGCTAAAAACATTTTATTTGCGCTACTTCCTCCGCTAAAACACAACAAAACGGCTACGTCTATTCAATCGAACGTTTAATTTACTCGTACATTGTGTCGTCCGATCTAAAAAAATAATTAAAAATATCGATTCATCCCTCACGTTGGATAATTTTATTATGATTCCGATACTATTGATCTCATGTTACCTTTTTTTCCATTATTGGAAATGCAGCACTTAGCAAATAGATAAAACATGCAGCATCTTTTAACTCAATTGCCAAAGTCGGAAATTAAATTATTTTTAATCTAATTGGTCATTGTATACAGCACTTAATTAATATTGTCTGTTCATGAATGCATTTTTCCATGTATTGAGTTGTTCTTTTGTTCCTTGATTCATTTCCAGTGCCAAAAATATAAAGAAACGAGAAAACTCTTTTTAAGATAGCAAATTGACTTGTGAAAATTTCGATTATCTAATTCAAGTTGAAGCACGTTCGAGATAGATAATTATATGATTACTTCCATAAAATATTATGTAACTTATAAAATTATCAAGATATTTCCTATCTGAAGTGTGATGTATTGACTCCTTAGCTTCCAACTTATTAACACCAACACCTTCCTTTAATTTCAATATAAAAACTATATTTTATATAAAAAGTTTAATAAATCAATGAATTTCCATAGCAAACTTCTTCTCTCGGAAAGGAATATAAAAATAAGTATAAAGGCGAGGAAATTTAAACATAAAATGCAAAAAAAAGTCTAAATAAGTAAAATGCGGCAATCGCCCGACTTGTACTGTCAAAAAAGAAAATATCGAAAAATAGTTTTTCGCCTTCCTTTCCTATTTTTTTTTCGACAGCTCGCTGTTTAAAAGGAATTTAAGAGGGCAGTGAAAAAAACTATTGATAAAATTTCAATAATTTCCCCATTTATGCCAAAATAGGGAATTATTTTTAAAAGCCGTTTGATATGAGAAGGAAAATAAAACAAAAAACGAGAAATTAGACATTACAATAGGGACGAGTAGGGAAAACAAACTTCAGGGTAAAATTATGTCAGACAAGTGTTGTTTTAATGCATTATTGAATTCAGCTTTTTCGTTGTCACATTGTTTAAATGAAATGCAATTTCAAAATGTTTGACATGATGGAAATGATTAATCATTTAGTTCTTTATACTTGTGTGTTAAAAGAATTTTCAACGCAATCGGTTTTTGCTTGTATTGAACCCTTCAACGTTAAATTTAATTGGAATTAATTGAAAGTTTATGAAACCTTCCGCAAAGCTTAAAAAGGTATCGGAAAGTCGTTCTAATTGAATCTTCCTCAACATCCGAACAGGATAAAAGCAGGAAAATAATTGAATCGATGATAATACACGTCTTCGTATTATCAGTTTTCTGAAAAAGTTGTCTCATGGGCTGACGCCCTTTTACGACATTTTGTATGCATGAAAATCTGACACAGATTCAATCGGATTTTTCTCATTTTCTTCTCAGGTCTCTAGCGGCTTACCAGGATTATAAGATGCCCTCAAAGGCGACCTCTTCGACTTCTGAACACTTCATTTGTGAAAAGGATTCTTTGTAAAGTTTCCAAGAATTGAAAAAACTCCAATTCTTTGTTCTTCTTGTATTTATCTTTTTCCTTTGACTGACAAATCTGTTCTATCAATTTCAGACAATCTCCACATCACTGATACTTCTACCTTTACTCTTTGAACATCCAACTTTAAATGATTTCAATGAGTATCACTATAAATTCGATTATTTTCTTTCTTCCTTCGTTTCGTTTCAAAGCGATGAACTTTAAAAGTGCCATAAAACAAAATATAGAGAAAGAGTTTTTTTTTTCTTTTGATAAATAATTTGAACATGCGCACCAATTTTGCACAATGAAAATTTTTCTTTTTCCTTTCTACTTCCAATGTGTTCTCTTTTCTTTCCTCCTTGGCTTTTGCTTCGAAAAATTTTTTGAACCAAAACCTTTTCGTGAATGAATGAAAATGCAGTCTCTGCAAGTTTTTTTTTTGCATGAACTGATGTCAGTGAATTGATGGCAGTCTAAAGTAGACCGAATTATGTAATTGAACTTACATACCATTTCGACGATGAAGTTTTCTCCTTTTCCCTTCTTATCTTCTTTTCTATATCACAAGTTCAATCAATTTACAACTTCAACTTTTAAAAAAGCAAAAATGTCGATTGAAGACTTTGAGAAAGAAAAAAAAATGAAAATTTCTCTTGCAAATACTGAAAGTGACTTGTTCGCTACACAGTGTAGCATGAAATGTTTTCCTTTCCTGATTCATGCGTCAAATGCAAAAAATTTGCAGTATCAGATATTCAATACATTCGTCGTGATAACATGCGCAGTTCGTGTTAATTGTGGGGTGAATTGGGACTTCACTGCTAAACTTCATTCCCGTTTTTGTATTTCAAATTAACGACTTCTTCAGAGAAATTAACGAGATTTAAAGTTGTTGAAGACAGAAAGCTTTAAAAATTGATAAATCTAAATAAAATGACTGCAGACATATTTTCGTTTCATTTATTAACAACTGAAATAACTGAACTGAATTATTCAAAGGAAACTTTGAGAGTTTTCCCTATGGGGATGTCTTTGTGTTTAATATTTATGTTTGAGCTTTAAAGATGATGAAAATCTTTGATGTCTACAATGTGATAAAAACATAATCTCTCATATAACAAGCATTTACATTGATTTCTCAAAAAGCTATAAGCTCAAATATTTATACAATCAAGTGATTCAACTTACTAAGTATAAGTAGCATACTTAACAACTTCAATCAAGATGAACATCAACTGTAAATTAAATTAATGTGTTTACTGAAACTTCTTTGGAAACCAGAAACAATCAAAAGAAAACTTCTCGAAAGTTACAACAAACAAGCGAAATTATTTATATCTTGGACTACCAACTGAGGAAGTGTTCTGGGAATTTTCCTTACCTTTTATCGAAGATCTGAAAGTGTCTTTAAAAAGGAATTTTAAAAGAATAAACGAAAAAAGTCTTCAATTAAACTTTTTGATAATAATTTTTATTTTTATCATTTGAAAAAAGGCAAAATTTTATTTCTCTTCTCTTATTATTTGATTTCTAAGTTCAATTGATTGATAGTACAAGGCTCAAATATGCGTAATTGGTGAAGTAGATTAAATCTATAACTTTAATAATTAATTCTTTGGGTTGAAGAGATGTCTTCAAATTCTTTTTTTCTTTTAATTTTATTAATTCATTTATTTTTTTGTTGAGAGAAAATAGAATTTAAAATGTGGTTGAAAGCTTTGACATGTTCAATCTCATGTCAATGCTCTCACTATTTTCCACAAAATGTATTTATCTTCTTTTTTCTACAATTTCAACTTAAAGCTTCTGTTATCTATTTAGGTAATTAATTAAATGAGAACGCAACGCAATACAAACTCGAGATATGGAAAATGGAGGAAAATGTGAAATGTCTTTCAACTTTTAATAGAAACTCTCTAAGGAAATTAATTCTAGATTCTTAAATGTTAAATTTATTCTCGTAAACGCTAATTAATGTTCTCTCTATTCTTCTGTTTTTTTTCATTCATTTTTTATTATTTGGAAGTACAAGGTTTTTCTTTAAAATACAACCTGTATTAGAAATTTGATTGATTAATTGCCCTAAGAAATCTTTATTTAAAATCTTAAGAAGAAGAAAGTTTTTTTTTCTTATTATCTTTTACAATTTTCTTTAGCTTAAAAGAAGAAACATGTAGAAGTTATTTTGATTGAATGAATGAATTGAATGAATGAGTTTTCTTTTTTAAATATTTTCATAAGGCCAATATACTTTTGGACACAACAAAATTAATTAATCTTTGCACAGAAATTAGATAATTAACACATGATAATGTTTGTTGTTTAAAGCAACATTAAAATAAATTTTCTAGTAGGTAATTTTATTTATTAAAACTTTTTTTTTGTTTTTCGTAACGAGCGATGAACAATGAGGGCATTTATACGAGCAAGAATTTAATTTAGAATCAGATTGAATTTGTTGACATGAGCTTCTACTTATTAATTGATTTCTTATACATTATTTGCTATCGTTCAACAAATTCAATCAAACACAATTAATTAACAAAAATTCTACGTTTGGGGTTGTATGTGTTGATGCTAAATTAGAAACTTTCTCGTATAAACACTTTAACAGCTTCATTTTACTTTCTTTTTATTATATTAAACTGGAAAATATCTAAATTGTAAATAATTCTTTATGAGTTTTAAGAATTCATAGATTAGAATACTTAAATTTACTTTTATCTTGAAAGGCAATCAAAGATTGTTAAATGAAAATTTCACGATGGTCCTAAATTATTAACTTTTCGTGTTACAATTAAGATTTTCTTTCTTTTGATCCATTTTTATGTTATTCATCTTATAAGTTTACTTTAATTACTTTCTAATAGTCGTAAAATATTTTTGAAGTGTCACACGTGTTCGCCAAGTTGACATCAATTGGTTCATCAATATTGACTACAACATTCGAGCCACTGCTGTCAGCAACCAACGATGATCGTTCGAGAATCACTCTCTCAACATCTGGGGTTTGAGCAATTGATTTCTGTTCTTCATCCTTCGGTGAATCAACACAGATTGTTACAACGGGAAGAATTGAATCGTGAATTGGAATGTTTGCTGAATTTGTTTCTTCTGACGAATGAAAAATAAAAACGAAAATTTAAAATAAGAACACAAATATTTTCTCAATTATCTAACTTGGTCTTCTTCCACTTTCAGCTTCATCCACATCTGTGTGATATTCTTCACTTTCTCGGTGTACAATTACATGATGAATGAGAGTTTGATTTGAATTTAAATTTGGTCCAAATGGAACTTCGGGAGAAGGTTCAGTCACAAGTATACTGACATCTGCTGATGACGTTGAGCCGTTTACGTCTACAAAGAATTGTTTTGAAATGAAAGTTAACTCCTGAAATCATTTCACACGACTTTGCTCTCACCTAAATTTACATTTCGATTTAATCGCAAAACACTTTGATCCGAAAGTCCACGCTCAAGTCGTGGCTTTTTCTTGATGAAGCTCGTCGCACGCTTCGACTTTGTTGTTGGTGGTGAGGTCGGTTTTTCGCTCGACTTCAATGACAACACCGTTTCGCTTGGTTTTATAACTTTTTTGTGCACTGATGGAGACGTCATGTGATCATCAACAGCATCTTGATGTCGTAGAAAGAAATTATAAATGCTTTTCCGTCTCGATTTACTTTGATCGGGTTTGGCTTCATGTTCCATCTTCGCATCTTTCATCATCTCGCTTGTTCCTGGTACCATCATAACCGGAAGATTCAGCCATGGACCCGCCAATTCACTCAAATCCGATCCCTCAGATGCACGCGAACTTTTCCGCGATGAACAACGACTCGATGTACGAGAACATCGTCGATTAATCTTCAAAGATAAAAGCAATATAAATTTATATGAAATTATGTTCAGCCGCAACCGTCAAGAGAATAAATTTAAGAAAGTACTTGTAAGTGGAGGAAGTTCAAAGCAGACAATTTCCCTTGCCACCCGGGGCTAGAATGTTGCGTGTTGTCATCTTCTTGCGACAACGGAGAACGTTCTCGTTCACGTTTTAATCTGAAAATTGAAATCAGAAGAATTTGTTGTTCCCTTTTTCACAAGAAAAAAATTCTTTTTATTCACCTTAAATATTCTCTCCACGATGTTTGAATTGTTCTCGCTGCTCGTTCTTCGCGCCTCCATATTCGTGTTGATGATACGATTTCAATCTCTTTTCTCGTTGGAAATTGTTTACGGAATTTAACATCCATTTGATCTTGAAGTTGCTTAAATGTGTCACTTTCATCGACATGACCCAAGACATGCTTTACGAGCGCATGTAAAATATCTAAGCAGTGAATCTTGTTACCTTTCGATATCGGTAAGTTGAATGAAACGAGTGCGACGGTGTTAGGCTTTGGAATGCCCAAAGGTGGATCCAATGACGCAATGAAATCTGTCAATTGTGTAAACGATATGAATTGTGATGCGTGAGGATCATATTTAGACCATCGAATGTAAAACATTTCCAGGTCATCTTCAACAATGCCAACTTCTTCTTCCTGATGGGCTTGGTTGAAATTCTCCAAAATAATTGCAATGTACATGTTGATAACAATCATATAACTGATAATGATGAACGATGTGAAATAGGTGATGGCAAGAAGCGGATGTCCGCAATCACCATTCGACGACGTTTCTTTATTTATATCACAATGAGGTGGCTGAATCATCAGCGATTCTAGAACGTCATTCCATCCCGCTGAAGTCATTAATCTTCAAAATATAAATCACGAAGCATAAGCGAAAGCATTAACATTTATTATTATTATTATTATGTTGTTTATTTTTCATTCTTTCTTCTTCTGTTTTTGTCACACAGATCATAAAGATTAAGTCAAGTATTTATCATATTTATTTTGTGAAAACTCACCGAAACAATAACTGCATACTTCGCCCGAAGGTTTCAAAGTTAATCATATCGTTTAAGGCGCCTTGCTGTTTCACATGACCGAACAGCGACATTCCGAGAATTGCGTAAACAAACAACAACAAAGCAAGGAGTGCGCCTATGTTGAATAGAGCGGGTAATGACACGACTAAAGCGAACAAGAGCTTACGAATTCCTTTTGCAGCCTGAGATTTATTTAGTAAAGTTAAAGTTATGTATTTTGTGGTTTTAACTCTGTATTAAGTAATTTGTTGAGGTTGGAGGGTGTTTGGTTGTGTCATCACTTTGTGACTTCTAGAGCAACAGCAAAGATTTATTGTCGAGCTTTGTCATCATAGCCACAAAAGATGACGAAAGTTAGAGGTTTACATTTCACAAAAGACACACATTTTGATTGTGTAATCTTTTTCTCTTATAAAAGTTTACTTTGTAAAGGATATGAAAACTTATAAGAGTTTCAAAAATTTCAAAGTCTGTGTTAAGCTTTTGGAGCTTTTCTTTTGAAAAGCCTAAAGTATTACCGCTAAATCCGGTTATGTAAATTTGCGGCTTACCTCCACCCACTCCTTTCTTTCACACACACACATTCACACGTTTCTTTTCTCTCTTTCATCATCACATAATTAATTAGCAATGTAACCAAACGTAAATACAAATGACAAACCTTAATCAAACGTAAAATTCTGCCTATTCGAAACACACGAACAACACGAAGTAATGTAGGAGAAATCGGTAAATCTATCATAATATCTTCCATAAGAATTCCAAAAATTGATGCAAGTACAAGCAGAAAATCAAAGACATTCCATGGAACAGTGAAGTAATGATATCTTAGGCCTGTTTAAAACAAGAAAGAATTCCACGACCATTAAAAACGATTGAAAAGGTAATAAAATAATTAATTAAATCTTACCAACAATTTTCACAATACATTCGAGTCCGAAAACTGTCGTGAAGAATGCATTGCTTACTTCTAATAAGAAGAAAATGACGTCAGGCTGTCCAAAGTGTTCGATGCCCATCGAAAGCATGTTTAAGAAAATTAACACAAAGATTGCGATTTCAAAGCGTCTTGAATTGGCAAGATCATAAAACATTGCAAGGACTTGATTGAACGGCCTTTTAATGACTTTTTGTGGTTTCTTTCGGCCAAGCTTTTTCATGGCACAGTAATAGCTTTTCTGTGATGGTGTCAGAAACATTTCAAGAATGCCACCTTCGTACTGAAAAATGATGATGATGACTATTCAAGCATAAAGTTTCATTTAAATGACTAACCTTTTTCTTCAGCATATTAAAATTATCGATAATGACTCCAATGAAGAGATTAAGTGTGAAAAACGATCCACAAATAATGAAAATTACAAAATAAATGTAAGCGTAAAGATTTGCTTCACGTGCTGGTTGTAAATCAACACCACGACTGTCAACTGAATCGGCCATGACTTCCATCCAACCCTCGAAAGTTGCAACTTGAAACAACGCCAAATATCCCATACCAACATGATCGAATGTTATTTTTGAATTGACCCATGAATAATTGTAATACTCGCATTGCAACTTATCGTTCACGATTGAGATGTTCAGCAATTCACCGTTCTCGTCTAAGCATTTGAAGAACTTTCCGCCGAAAAACTGAACTCCCATTATCGAGAAGATCAGCCAAAACACGAGACACACAAGCAAGACGTTAAAAATTGATGGAATTGCATACATAAGAGCGTTCACGACTATTCGCATTCCTTGCCATCGCGAGATCGCCCGCAAAGGTCGAAGCGCACGAAGAGTTCGCAACGATCGCAATACTTTCAAGTTTTCGTTTTCTTCGATCAATAATGAGAACACTGAAACCTGTTTTGATGATAATTTTTGTAAATGTTTAGATTTAGTAGGAATTTTAAAATAGATTAAAAAGCTTTTTATAACCACGCTCGGGCGTGGCTATGAAGAGCTTTCATTTAATTTCATAAATCAACTTACAAACACGATGATAAAGTCGAGTATCGTCCAAAAGCTTGTGAAATATTTCGTAAAACCATGTGCAATCCATTTAAGAAACATTTCAACAACAAAGATACAAGAGAAGAAAAAATTGGTCCAATAAAGAATTCGCTTAAGTTCTTGATTTTTGTCCAAATGAATATCCTCGAAGCACAGCGTGACTGACGATGCAAATATTAGCACAAGAACAATCCACTCGAATGCCGGTGTGTCGTCGACATGAAGTACGGAAGTACGAATACCCATCCATTTTTGTCCCATATTCGTCTTCAAACATTCATCCCAACACGAGCATTTATCGTAGCATGACTTTGGAAAGCAATCAACGGGAACTTTTGGTTCAGGACTTTTTCCGAACCCGGGAAAAGCTGGATCATTGTATTCACCTTTTGAATTTTTCCTTCCGCCGACTGTCAAGTCGTCGACATACGACACTAAGCATTGCCATGGCTTTGCAGCGGGATTTGTCGTTGATTCAGCTGTCAAATCTGACATTTTATTCACCGACGGTAGCTTTTCGAAGTCTTTCAACTGCTTCTCGGGACTCTTCATCATTTCTATGTCATGCAAATCTTGTATGTGCACAGATTTTCTCTGATTCTCTTTTGATCCATCCACAATACCCACTTGGTGCTTATTATAAAAATTATCAAAAGTATCTTTAAGAAACGCTTCGTCTCTCAAAAATTGAAAAAGCTCCTTTTTATCGCAGTTCAATAATTCATCCTTTAAATTTATGTGATTGAGTAACTCGTCTTGATCTAACGAGAGTGTATTTATAGATTGATTACTAGATAAACGTTTTAATTGTTTACTAATCTCGCTATATGTACAACTACTACTATTGCTATTTGTATCGATTGCATGCGCTTGTGAATGATTATTTCTTGGCATTGGACACGATTGTCTTTTGATTTGTGTTGATTGCTGCTGCTGCTGAGGGATCGCTTTACGCAATGGAACTGAAGAAATTGCTGCTTTCAACTCAACTGCCGCGTCAGACAAATCACAAGGCTCGTCTTTACTTTGCTGAGTGCCAAAGCCGGAAGACATCTGATGGAGTATTCCATTGTTACGTTTATCATCGGGTAATTGTTGTTGGTCATCCATGTCTGTGACAGTCTCCTGACTTCCAGAGATTGTCTTAACATTGAGATTATCATTCAGATTCATTTCGTAGTTGAAGTTTATACCGGATAATGGTCGATTAAGAGATTCTTGATAGCTTTTTGAATAAATTGGTGGTGCAACATTCAACGAGTGTCGTTTTGTGAGAATACTTTTCCTTTCAATTCGTTGTTGAACGACAATCTCTTGTACCAATTTCTCCAACTTACTCGCACCATCATCTTTCCTTCTTAATCGACCTTTACGAACAATCGAACGAATACGCTCAAAGCTTTTTGTCAGCTTCGATTCATCGCCAACTTCTTCCTTCTTTGATTTCAACTCTTCGGAATTGAAACTATTGAGCAACAAGGCCAAGAATAAATTCAATACCATGAAGTTTCCCATCACTAAAGCAGGAAGAAAGATGGCAAAGCATGAACTTTGATTTTCATGCTGTGTGGGAGATAAAAAGAAAAAGAAAAATGAAGAAACATAAATTAATGTTACCATCGTCATTAATCAAAATCAAAATCATTTCTTTTACCTTTTCTTCAGCTCTCATGCAATCCCAAAGTGGTTCAATCCATTCTCCACATAAGATTCGAAAGATCATCATAAATGAATGGAAGAAATCGTTAAAGTTCCATCGTGGCACGGGATCGGGATCAAATATTTCTGGTGTGTAATCTTTACTGAATAATTGCATTCCAATTACAGCAAAAATATAAATAACGATGACGAGAATGAATGTTAAGTTTCCTAAAGCACCAATTGTTGATAAGATAATACTAAGAAGAACTCTCATTGTTATCCAAGATTGTGCAAGCTTTAGAACTCTCAACTGTAATTTTGAAATGAAACAGAAAAAGCTTAGCAAATGTTTTTCAATGAAATGAAATAGAAAAAAAAATTAAATAATTTATGATTCTCATACCAATCGGAGACCTCGCAAAACACTTAAACCGTCAACTAATTCAAAAATAAGATCACAAATGCTTGCCGTTACGATACACAAATCGAATATGTTCCAGCCGCATTGAAAGAATTCTTTTGAAAGAGCCAACAATTTAAGGATGCATTCAACCGTAAACACCAAAGTGAAGACCTTCATAACATAAATTAAGAATAAAGATAAAGATAAGAAGAATGTCAAGAAAGATAATTAGTGAGAAAAGAAGGAAGTTGATTTTTCATATTTCAGAGCTTTCACCTTATTCCCTATATCTAACACTGATCTAACAGTCTCACTCATACCATGGTGTTCCAATGCTAAGAAGGTTGTATTTAAAACAATACATAGAGTAATGAACAATTCAAACAATGGATCTTTAACGATTTTATAAAGGACATTCTGAAACGACAGCCAGCTATCATAGCTTATGCAACAATGAACACAATATTCACAATTACGATCATCGGGAAGATCATCTGGAAGAATAATATTAAAATAAATGATTCTAGAAAATTGTTAAACATCATTTTTCAGTTTGGGTTATTTAACAAGGAATCGTTTGCATGTTATGTCACAGTTCACAGCTAAAATGGGAAGGATATGAGGGTTTCATGGATATCTACATATGAAAAATTTAATTAAAATAAACACACTAATTACTATTATTAAGTGACATAACTTGTGAACGATTCACAACAGAAAAAAGAAAAAATACGATTATAATGAGAAAATATCACACATGATATTATGACTTGCATAACTGTCAGGGGCAAAATTATTCGCCTGAAAAGTATGCAATTCACCAATCTCTAAAGCTACTGAAATCAATCCACAAGGATGTAAAAAAGCTTTCGTTTTTCTCAGAGCTTTTTTCTTTTTCTTTTTCAAAAGTTATCATCATCATCATTGTGAATTTGGGGATGGGATAAACACACACCTATAACAACTATAGACTGAGATAAGTAATCAGGATGTAATGCATAAACATCGTGTTTTTTCTTGTTGCGTTGGAGATTATTACCATTGCATTTGATTATTTTAACTTCTTTTGGGGATAAAGCCAAGGTCACCTGGAGTCACAAAATAAGCACATATACAGGTATTTATGTAACGAGAAAAATATAAAAAACAAACTTTTGTTTTTTATGAATAAATATTCACCTCCATGTTCGACGGATGTTCTTCCATGTTTTCATTTTCTTGATTGTCTTCGTGATCATCAACAACTCCTGAATCATCTAATGAAGAGTCACGATTTGAACTACCTTGTCGACTTGATAATAATTGACCTCTCAACGGATGAAGTGTATTTGAGTTTGCATTATCTTCACCATCACCCACGTTCGCTGATTGTTGCTGTAATTGTTGATTAAGTTGCGCTTGTTGTAATAATCCACGATTCTTCTGAATTGCCAACGCTTGTGGACGAATTGTACTGCTATGACGGGGACTTGCATTAGGAGTTGGTGTAGCTGAACGACTTCTATTCTCTGATTTGTTATCATCAAATGCTTCACTATTATTGTTATTATTATTATTGTTTGTATTGGTTGGTTTTGTCGTTTCTTTTCCCTTTCTCTTCCGTCTTGTTTTCTTTCTCGAATACGAAGCCATCAACACGCTCTTCTTCGAGTCAAACTTCTTAGCCGTTTTGCTTAATTGCTTAAGGCTGAGATTTGACGGATCGAAGCTGAACGTGGAGTCATCACGATGATCAATCAAATCTTTACGTCGTTCTTCTTGTGTTATTTCCGCTTCTTCTTCATAACTTAATGCTACGACAGCTAACATCAAATTAATCAAATAAAATGAACCGAAGAACACGACAATTGTAAAAAAGCTGACACTCATTGGACCGCAAGTTGCTAGAACCTATTATCGATTTCATGATGAGGGTGTGGGGGTGGAGAAAAGCTTATAGTCATTCATTCTAAGATTAAGCTAAGGTTTTGTCTAACTCACCATATTGTACACATTTTCCCAATAATCTAATGTAATCAATTGAAAAGTTGTTAACATGCTCCACATAAAATTGTCAAAATTTGTATATCCATGATTTGGATTATTTCCTATACATAAGCAAGTGTGTGTGGGTGGACAATGTCGAGCGCCAGTTAAATTTCCACACAACATCGGCGTATCATTATCGTCAATTATCCAGTTTGATGTATTGCTTATCCAATCGTGCCATTCTTGACTCTATTTAAATAAGGAAGAAAATGTTGTTTGATTAATTAACTCTCAAGGCCTTTGTGTCGAAATTTGAATGAAAATTGTTAGTTTGATTGTAATTTCAGATATTTGATACTAACCGTGACATTTGTCCACCATTCAGGGTGATTCTCCACGCATTTATTTCGCAATTCACCCATATAAACCTGATGTTGATGTTATAAAGTCAAATAAAAGAGAAAGAAAAGTTTAATTATGGCATCTCGAAGGGTAATTAAATCATCTCATTATCTTACTTGAAGAGCAAATAAAGCAAAAACCATTAAGCAAAATATCGTTAAAGTCATGACCTCAGCAAGTTGTTTGAATGAATGAAGGAGCGCGTTAATGATGGTCTTCAGACCAGGCATAATTGAAACCGTTTTCAAAGCTCTTAAAACTCGAAATGTTCGCAATCCAGCCAAGTTTCCGACATCTGTTAAAGTAAAAAAAGTTTTCCATTGTTTTATTTATTTATACGCATATCAACAATAATAAAATCAATTTAATTACCGAGACCAATTGTTGCATAGCCACTTGTGATGACAACGAAGTCAAGCCAATTCCACGGATTTCTCAAGTAGGTGTATTTGTTTAGAACGAAACCTTTTGCAATTATCTTGATAAACATTTCGATCGAATAAATTGCAAGAAAGAAAAACTCTGCTTCTTCAATTGCTTCTTTCATGGCCAGGAAAACACAATTAAGTAAGATTGTTGCCATTACAAAATAATCGAAAAACTGATTTGTCGCTATAAATACACAAGTTCGTCGAAGTGGATTCCATGGGGGAAAAAGAAACAAGCTTTTTGTGCCAGTGAAGCGATGGATGTAATTCTTTTGAAATCGCTTCGATACAACGCAAAATGTCTGAAAAAGAAAATAAGAAAAATATTTAATAAAATCGTCAAATCAAAATGTTTCTGTCAATTTCAAATTTCCCGCATTTCTCTTTATGGACAATTTTAGTGACAAGAGTCTAAACGGCAGTTACTCAGTTTTTTTGTTATTTCCTCTCTCGCTTTTTTCTCTTTCTTTCCTATCCTAAACCGTCAGCAGTAAGACGTAAATTTTTTTCCGCAAATTACTTTAATTTCGGAAAAGTAAGGAAAAATGAGAGCCAAGGTAATAAAACAAGTGCTAATCAATACATAAAATCAGCTTATATTGAATTATGCCAAAAGTTATACAGAAAAACTATTATTTAATGACAAAATAATTGAAAATAGTTTTGGTTCAATGTGCTCAGTCTGGAAGACATTTTTTCTTAACAAATCGAGCCTTTTTCCATTTCATTGTGAATGAATAATTAAAATCAAACTAATTATCAGCTATAATTGTTACTCGAAAATTGCTAGTAAAATTCTATGATAATTAAATTGATGAAGTTGGGAAGTTGTAGGAAAAAAAAAGTTTGATACTAAATATTAATTAAATTTAACTAATTATTCTTCTTTTTTTCTCATTTTAGTGGCGTAAGAAGCGTATGCGAAGATTGAAGCGTAAACGCAGAAAGATGCGTGCAAGATCCAAATAAGCTGGTAAGTCATATAAATCATATATGAAATGTGAGGTTAATTTATTTACACGCTTTTTCCTCTTTTCTTTTTCTCTACCAATCTTATCATATCAAGAAGCAGCAATTTGGGGGCCGCATTAACTGATGACGAGAAATCAATTTTTAATATGGTGTATGTTTCAACTTATAACAGTAATAAAAACATTTCCCGTCTCAAATTCCATAAAACTCAAGAATTCATTTGAAGTGTTTTATTTATTTATTATTCACGACAGTCGCTTTTCGCAATAATTTTCCAGCATAATTTGTCATATGCATCAGATGAAATTTCACGAAAAAAGAGTAGAAGAATATAAATCCTTGGAAACGAAACTGTAGCGAGACAAAGTGAAGGAAATAAGAAGTGAAGACATTAACAAGAAAACAGAATTTTCTGCTCGACTAATGATTCTCATTTTCCACTCATTCTTTCTCTTCTTTCGTCCTGGCTCGACGAAGATTCATGAGATTTTTATATCAAAATAGATTCTTCATAAATCAGTGATTCTCAACGCAAATGTTGCGATATCAAATCTCACATACACAGCTTTATGTAAAAGTCAAGTTTAAAAGCGGAAAAACGAGAAGAAATATGAATTTTCCCCACAATAACGAGACTTTAATGGTTTCTCTGTTTAGAATAATATAAAAATATTTGATTGCCCTTTTGCACGCATCAAGTTGAGCATCACTGATATAAAACATAAATCTTAAGTAGTGATGTCACTTTAAGCTATTTTCATGAGACCTTTCAACAAAACATATTGCGAATTAAATCCGCCCACGCTTTTCATTTATACGTGACATTACTTTTCGATTCATTTTCCCTTTCTGGCCTTTTTTTCCTCTCGCCTCCATTCCTGTATATGATTATAAGTAACGCGTTATGAATGATAAATATGTTCGTGTATAATACATCGATATTTCTCCTTTTTATTTTATATATTTTTTTTTTGTTTTTTCCCTTGCTGTGTGTTGTTTTTGTAATTACAGTGAGAAAAACCACCATAGCATATCTTTCCATAACACGATGACGTCATATAATAGCTTTATGTATAAGCCCAAGTTCCTGTTTCAATACCTTTGGTTAGATTGCGTGCTTTTAAATAGACATTGACCAAATAATTTCTGACGAATTTACTTTCTACCCTTTATGTCTTCACACACATTTTTATTTTATATTTTTTCGCTGGCGAGTTTTGTTAATCGCGACCGAATAAAGTTTACCAAGTAAAGTTATTTCAACACTTTCGCCAGCCAAGAAAATGAATTCACTTCGTGAAACATGTTTTCACGTGAACGAGCATTTAATTTCAATCAGCTTTTACACGTGTTGGAGATATTTTCCGACCTGCCATATCGTTTTACGTTCCTCAAGTGCCTCTAGCTTAAAGCTCGAGAATCAATTTGCCATGTGAAGATGGGTGGGAAGGTTGGTTGTGGTGGTTGAAGACAAACCGCAATGAGAGTATGAGAAACGTAATTTGGAACATTTTCCTTCGAATTAGAACAGGGAATGAAAGTTTCTGACTCAATCTGACGTTATTTGTGCAATTGACGACATCGATAACGAAATGAAGAAGGAAGAGGGAAGGAGGGAAGGAAGAAAAAAAATGAAACGGAACTGAATGAATAAAAACATTGAAAAGCTTTTTTCGTTCTCAACTGAACTCATGAAAACGATGTTGTTGACACTGTCAACTGTTTGAAATTGAATTTGATTTAGTTAAAGTATTAAGGAAATCGTTCATCTGCATTGCTGGTGAATGTTTGCTTACCTCTTCGTAGATAAAAGTGTCGATTTCTTCAAGTGGTCGTCCATACATGTGCTCGGGAAATGGCTCAAATTTTCGTGGCAGCACGGAGCCATCAACAACTTGCACTTTTGACCGGGGATGAAATCCATACTCTCGAACCAATTGAACATGTCTCGACTCGTGCTTGTCCTGTGATTTTTCGGTATATTCTACGACTTTAACATATTGTGCTGCTTTACCTGTAACGGCAATTAAAATAAATTTTATTTCAATTTGAAAACCCCAACATAGGAAAGAAAACTCATTAAGTGAAAACATTTTCAATTCGACACATTTTTTTGTGTCTTTTTTTCCCTTTCAGCTATACAAAGTTTTAGGTAACGTTGGAAAAAAACATTTTCAAGCTCCTAAATGGAACAACTTGTAGTACATGCTTTTGTAACAACAATTGGTTTGTTTTTGTGTGTTTTTTCCTCTTTACCTTCTTATATTTTTTTAGGATACAACTTGTGTGTGTGTGTGTGTGTGTGTGTAATCGTATGAATAAATGGAAAAAACTTTAAAACAGAAAAAAAATAAAGTTTTATTAAAGTCATGAATATTTCATGTATACAATTTCTCGTTTAAAGCGACATTCAATTTAAATATATTTTCTCCTTTTTTTCACTTAACTGTGGGAGTGTTTTCATATCACGTCATAATCATCTTTCAACGACTTTGAACAAGAAGATTTCATCGGCATAAATGTTGCATTATAGAAATAAATTTGGGGAATGTCATTTGTCTTTGTTATCTCAGAATTGAGGTGTCACAAATCGCTGATCCTAAATGTTTCCCTTTTTCCCTTCTCTCCGTCTCTGTTCTTATATTATTATTGTAAGAGATTTGTTTGCAAATAATGTCGTCTTAGTCAAATATTCGCTTTATTCAAGCTTTATTCATAAATCATTTCAAATTGCTTCAACAGGAAAATGATTTTCATTGCGAGAGACAAAGTTTAAATAAAATTTCTTTTTTTCTCATTAAACTTTTCATTCTGACAGTTGAAAGTTTCAATAGAGTTTTCCGTTTTTGATAAAAAAGAAAAAATGAAAACTCAAAGAGGGAAAGAAAAAAAATCATCAGAAAAGTTTTCCTTTCACATTTTAGATACCTTTCTCGAGTAGAGAAACTTTTGGATCGTGTTTATGAATAAAGGATAAGTAACATAATATTTATGTCGATATAAATAAAAATTCCTCAGCTTTATTTATTTACTCAAATGGGAAAGCGCACTTTGTTCCGTTCTTTTTTTATAAAAATAATTTCCAAATGAAAATTGATGATCAATGAATAGAAAAGTGATCAATTCAACGATATTATTTCCCTCTCAAGAATTCACTAAGCTCACAATAAATCTCAAAGAATTTTACCTTTGAATGAATCATCTCTGACTATCATCATCATAAAATAATTTACTATTACTTAAATCCCGCGGGACTACCCGAAAAAATGGAAGGAAAGAAGAAAACAGAGAGAAGGAAAAATCTTCCGCAACTTTCATTTCCCCTTTTTTCATTCATTTAATTATGCGATAACTCTTAACTTGCATAACAATGTGACACTTGGGATGAACAAATCATTTAACATTAAACTCAGCGTAAAGCCTCTTTCTATGTACACACAAATTGTACGATTAAGAGTAAAAATAAAAGGAAAATTATTTGCTTAAAGCAAGCCGCGAGCTCTTTTTTCGCTCGCGTGAAAGTTTAAAGCGTTCAGTTAGTGTTTCAGTTAATGACGTCATAATAAATCCCTCAAGGAAAGCATGTCCCAATTGAACCTTTTCACCAGTTTACTGACTTACCTTGTCCTTCTGTTGGAGTTATTTGGTCTAACATATTGGAAGGATTAGGTTTAATTAATTGATGGAGTTATCATATAATTGATTAAATGTTGATCCTCATATTTTATTTTATTTTTCACATTATCACTTTTCAATTTGATTCATTTTTCTTTCTCTCATCTTTCAAAAAGACTTTGAAGTGAACTTCATCATGAAGCTTATATTAAGCATCGTATTATCAAAGGTATCGGGTGCTATTTTTATTATTATATTTATTTCTTCTCTTTTTCTACTTTATTTCATTGCTTTAATCATAGCAATAAGCTTAATTGATTCACTCTTATTCACAAATATATACAAATCCGTTGTTTCCACCTGCAGAAAAACGAAGAGAGATAGAGAAAGAGAGAGAAATGTAATTTTCATACAATGATTTCCACTGCAGTTTGCGGGTGGCGATAGTAATGGTGATGGTTAATCCTAAGGTAAAGAAGTAAGCTTTCCACCAACCGTGAATTTTAACTATAAACAAAACATTTCCCCACATGAACAAAAAAAGGGGAGCATAAAAATCACAGCATATCTTTAATGATTCTCGTCGTCGGAAAATGATTATACACAAAACAGAGGAGAAGAAGAAAAAAGCACATTTTGAAAAGCTTTTTTTTATTATTTCTGCTTTCTAAAATGTGAGAATCACAACTGAAAAACTATAGAAGAAAAAAAAGTAAATCTCTCGTTCTGAGCATGCGTTTAAGCAAGCAACAGAACTTTTTTGTGCTTTTCTGCGTTTAAATAGTAATTTTTAATATGACGAAAGACAGAAAGTGTTTTTGTATTAAATATTGGATGGAGAAAAACATAAAATTTACACACTTCTCAAGCAGCTTATTTCTCCGTAACATGTATACTTTAAATCTCGAGTCCGGAGCGCAAAAGGGACGACCGCGGGAGTGGAGAGAAAATACAAAGTTAAACACATAATCGATAACTTAAAAAAAGAGGCAAAAATGAGCCACGAGTGATATTCATAACACGGAACTTCATCATGTCGCGCTTATCAGCTTTTCTTTCCTTTTATGCTCACTTCTGCGACATCCTTTACCGATTATTCTCGCATTCGCTTTCATGCTCTATCGAATTGAATTGAAAATATGTTCCTACTTAGATATGCATGTTAGCAAAACAAGGCAACTTCTTAAGACGACTTAAGTCTAACACAGTTCAAAGAAAATTATGAAAAAGTTTTCATTTCCAAAAAAAAAATGAAGAAGAAGAAGTTGAAGAAAGTTTTTATGAATAAAATCTTAGCTAATGTCATGCTTTCTGAATGAACTCTTTATAAATATTTTCTTTCTTTTGTTCTTCCATTCGACCGCACAGAGAATAGAAATGAAAAGTTTTCCACACTACATAGATTCATCGTCCAGTGAAACAATAAAAAGAAATTGCAAATTATTTTTTTTCTTTCGCCTTTTTATTGTTGTTCAAGCAGTTGTTCGTTCATTTAAACTAAGCAGACGGAAAAAAACTAATATCTAATAAGACTAAAAGTTTGTGCGTCTTTATGGCTGTTCGCTATAAGCTTTGCGACACACACAAAAAGCGTAGTCATAATTTCACTCCTGATGTTGTTTTTATGAGTATCCTTTTCACATATTTATATTCTTTCCACCACTTAATTTCTTCCTTCTTCCTTCATGTATAAACATTTGAACCTTTTTTTTTTGGTTTCTTTTTTTTCGAGACGACTGAGGCATTAGGAAGCTACGGTGGTTGATCGTATGTGCCTTTGCTACTGTATAGAGACACACACAACGCATACTTTATTGCTTCCTTTGCAAACATGTTGCTGTTGCAGTTTCTTCTTCTTTTTTCATATGAAATAAATTTATTTTATTTATTTCTTGACTTATTCAGGTTCCGCGAACTTTCATTGTTTATTTATGTATGCTTAAAAGCGAAAACAACATAAAGAGTTATTTAAATGAAAAGCTCTCAATGTAGTGCGTATTTATGGATATTTATTTTCCTTTTTTTTCTTCTCCACTTGCTATTGATTTTAATGAATCTTTACATCAAAGGCAAACGAATGCTAACTAGAATGATTTCGCGAATGTAACAGTGTGACGGACGGTTGGTGGAAAGCTTTTACAAAATCTTGAAAATTGAATTAAAATAGAAAATTATTTTCATTACTCATTTTTCTTCTTTTTATTTTATTTTTATTTTTTCCATCTCCAGCTTTTGATTTTACTTTTTTTAATTTTTTGTTTTACTCCGATTGTGTGACGAACTTTGCTTCCACCCGCGAACTCAATTTTTTTTCTTTCTTTCTTTTTCCACTACTGATTTTCACGACCACCAACTTCACTCCTCAATCCTCATACAATATATCGAAACGCGAAACTTAAAGTGAACAACATTGAATATAAATATCACAAATGCTAATTGTTTGATTAATTTCTTCTCTGTAATTATTAGATACTTTGTTGAACTTTAATTCTTATTTGATTGGGGCTTCTTGATTTATCACTGGAATAAACTTTTTTTTTCTTCCTTCAAATAAATGCGATTCACAAATAATCGACACAAAAGGACCATCGAAGTCGATGATAGTTCTCCTGCTACTGAACAGAGTTTTTCATTCTCGCATAGTCGCGCTATTAGCTGCTTGCTGAATAATGATAAGAGAGCTTTTTTCTCTTCTCTCATCGCTCTCTCATTTTCTTTCTTCTTTCGAAATGAGCTTTTGAGAGCGCATGTTTGATGAAGTGCTTTTGTGATGGAGAGTCAATTTCTTTTAGTTCAGAACATGCTTTATCAGTGTGAAAGATGTTGTTGATTCAGCAACATTACTTTCCACTTTGTAAGTCAATAGTCCAGTCGGCCGTCCGCACAATATGATGAGAAACGATGAGACGAAGAGACGTTAAAAAGAACAAAAGAATGAAGAAAGAAAAGAAAAGAAGAAAAATGTTTTCGATTTATTTTCCTTATCAAATATTTTATTCACGTTCAGTTGTTGATAAAATTACACAAGTTAGGACGCGGTTGACATTTAATTTCGGGGAGAAGTTCAATGAGTTTGTTGAAAAGCAGAGTGCGTTGATTACGAACTTTCGTCCGATCTTGTGTGTCTTCAGTTTGGAGTGAATTGTCATCAACTTGATTACAGAAAAGTAACGAAGCAAGCTTATGAAAATCATTAACTTGATCAATATCTGATTTATTGATGGTTTCCGCTAGATTCGTCCTAAGGAACCTCAACGCATCGATAGCATTTGTTCGTGTGATTTCTTCGTAGTGTTGTTTCCTTATTAAATACTTACAGTAGCCGAATATGAAGTCACGTGAAGGGCGTGAAAGTTCAAGACAAAATTCTGATCCACTTGAAAGGACGAAATGCTTTTTTGCTATTGAATCAAACACGAAATATTCAGGACATGAATTCATAGCGTTCTTATAAATCATCGACCATTCACTTGTTGCTAATGAAAATAACCACAAACAATCTCGCATTAAAGCAAATATTTCTCCCTTCTGCATGTCGATCGATGCAATTAAAATCCCAGTGAAAATTGATTGTCCCGCTGCATCCGCTTCCGTTATAGTTGTTTGTACAGACGTCAGTGTGTGCGTATCCACGTTATATTTTAAAAAATCAGAACAATTTTCTTTTCCCCTTTGCCCACCAAAGATGTAAATTTTACGACATCGCTGTGGGTGAAAAGAAGAAGAAAATGAGAGGAAAAGTTTCAAGTGATTGAGTTATTATTTATGAGGTATTATGAGGGTTACCATTTACAGCAATTTTGAAGTTTATTTGAGTTTTGAGAAAGGAAAAGTTCAATAATTTTATCGGATTAGAGATCACAAAAAGGTTGATATCATCTTAATCGATACTTGACATACGACACAAAGTGTTACAAACAAGTAAACAAACAAAAGTCAACTCACATCATCGTACAGCATTGAATGATTGATTCTTGATTTAACCGATTGAATGTCAGGATTGGCAGCAAGGGGATGTGCGGTATCAACAAATAATTTATTCCATGTATTTGTATTGATGTGATACGCATAAAAATCCGAATATACGTCAGCGTTGTCATCAGGTCTGTCGAAGGAAAGGAAGATTCATAAATCAATCATGAGATGTTTAGATAGATCGAAGCTTGGAGCCAAAAAATTCATTTTAAAACAAAAAATCGTTTGGAAATTCTCTTAAATCAATAATTTTTAATTTCCGTGCTGTATTTGAATATTTACAGAAGATTCAAATCGTTGAATTTATTTACCTGTTTGTCAATTTACCTCCGAAGATATAAATAGTACGAAGCTCATGGCTGATGCACATTTGATGATCAGATACCACATGCGGACCATTTTCTAAGCTCGTATCTTCACAAATAAGAATCCATGAGTTTCTTGACACATCGTACAAATAAAAATCACTCTGGAAAATTTTTAAATATACTTTCAACAATCAAAATTTGAGCGTTTTTCACTTAACTTACTCTAAAATTTTCATTTCCTTTTGAAGATTTTCTCCCGATTACAAAAAGCTGATTACCATCGGTATCAAATACCATTTTACTTCCTATTCTCGGACTTGGCCCATTTTCACTTTCAATTTCACTCCATTCATTCTTTTTTAAATCAAACACCCAAAAGTCATTCAGTTCATTTGTTTCATCCGATCCACCAAACATATAAATTAATTGACGATTACGATCGAATGTGTAGGCAGCATTGTTTCTCGATTTTGGTCTGTTTCCATTATTATCACTTTCGGTATTAAGTTCTTTATATGTGGCTTTGTACTTTTGCTTTGCAATATATTCGTCAATGTTTCCTTCTGTAAATAAAATTTCGTTCGACTTAATCGCATTTGAAAATTTATTTTCCGTATCTTACCATTAACAAGCTTTTCCATGATGTTTTCAACCTTTTTAAAGTCACCATCATCGACAAGACATCGATACAATTCAGTTATCTCTTCATCCTCTAATTGAATGTTCGTTTCACCTGAAAGCGCATGAAAAGCTTCTAAATATCCTTTGTTTCTTAAATGTTTAAGGATTAAGCGAATTGTGGTCTTTTCTTTTGCTTCGTTGTACTGTTGTAAAACATTGCTAACAATGAAATCATCTTCTAAGCCGAGTAATTCGATGTACCAAATAGAAAAATTAAATGACGGCCCATAAGACAAAAGCGGAATAACTTGAATGAATAGAACGGGAAAATCTTCGTTTTCATAAAGCGCTTTACATTTAAGCTCGAACACTTCAGGTATTGAGTCGTTTTTAAGTCCCCTGGAAAACAATTATTAAAGATTAAATAAAGAAAATTTTAATTTCTCTCTCATTTACCCTTCAAACATTTGACTCATGTTGTTTATATCCATCCCACCCAAAACACGAAACTTCTTGAGATTACAAACATGAGGCTTTTCATATCTAAAACATTTTGTCAACATTTTAAAAAAAATCAAAATCACAAATTTTCTCTTGCTTACTTTCCAAATTTGATATACTTAACAATACTCGGTTTTACGAGTTTCAATGTGATGAATTGCGTGGGTGTGCTGAAATAAATAGATAATATGATTAATATAAATCTAGGAATGAAGGCGATGACCATTCATACTTCGTTTCTGAACTCCATCTCGAAATTTGATTGTTAGGCGAATTGTCACGAATGTTTCTGGAAAAGAAATTTTTGATTATTTACCGGCGAGAATAGAAGAATAAAACGCAAATATTTAGTTACACTTTATTTGACTTACTCAGGAAGATATGAACTAGAGAAGGATGAGAAATTATAAATTGAGTAGTTTAAAGTTTGCAGTTTGTTGTCCATTGCTAATTATACTACAAAAAAAGCTGTTTTAGCTCTGAGTCTCACAATTTATTATTTCAGGGTGTGCAACTATGATTTCAACAATCATCAACTAATCATGAATCATTGAAATGTTGGTCTCATGCAGTAGTTTCGGGAGACCACAGTTGTTTAAATCAGCTGATTTCATGTATTCATGCCGTGAACAAACAATTCACTATCAACAGTGTTTCTTGTTTAGTCTCTCAACTAACAGAGTTGTTGATAAATCACTGAATGTTAAATAATGATAAGAAAAGGAGACAATGAACTTTATATTGATAAACTGCTTTGTTTCTTTTTATTCGTCCAGCATTTGCCTTCAATTCAAATAAAATGATATATCATTTTTCTTTTTCTTCTGGTGTAACATTTTGTTTCTCACAACAATCTTTTAAGCATTTATTATTTCCATTGATAAAGCAACTGCATCCACATATTTTGATAAATATTCCAAAGATACATATAAGTATGAATGACAAATTAAAAAGAAAATTCTTGAGCAGATTTCGTTTCTTTCTTCTCATCTGTTTAAAAATGATGTTTAATTATGCAAAAAGAAAGAAAGAAATTTTTGTTTGATTAAAAGCACAAAAATGGGAGAAAAAAATATTAACTTAAATAAGGAAAATAATTACGAATAATTGAGTACAGAGATTTATACTTTACGACCATTTCACTCATCATAAACCTAATCTTCATCTTTTTTTTTTCTTTAATTAACCAACTAAAGTGTTCCCTTCTTTTCTCAGTAGATAATTAATTTAGTGATTTTCTTATGGAATTAAACATGACAAAAAAATCTTTTAATTATGGATAATATATAAATTCGCGTCGTGTGCGATAAATTGCTTTAGAACAAAAAAAAATTAATTTTCATTTTGTTTTCGTTTTTTTCTGGTGCTTAAACATGTTTTGTGATGACGACGCTTCAAAAAGGATTGAAATTGTTATTACTACTTTTATATTGTCGTCTCAAAAGTAGTTCGTTAGATTTGTTTTTTCTTTAATTATTAATTAATTCATGTGTGGGTGTGTGTGTCGCTATTGATGGTTCTGAGAACGATGATTGTTTGTTGATAAGTTTAATACTCTTCCTCTTCGGGTTGCAACTCGTCAGGGGGAGCAAAGCCATCCTATAAAAAGCAAAATAAATTAAACACAAATTAATGCTTGTTAAAATTTTCAAACTCACCTCAGTCGCGTAAAGTATGTCAAGAATCTTTGTTATAATTGCTGAGCTATCTCCCTCATCAGCCTCTTGACATAAAATCTCAATGTCTCTAAGCTTGCTAAAGTAGAAGTCACGTTCTTTCTCCAAACCTTCCAAATTCAATCGCATATCCATCAGTTGATTCGACAATTCTTCAATTTGTTGATTCGTTACATTGTTCGAATTGGTTTTCGATGCATTCATGCGGGTCGGTGCAGTTGGAGCGGCTGCTTTTGGAGCAGGTTTAACCACTGAATGGAGAAGAGAAAATTATTTTCAATTATTTCATCAATTAAAGAAAAGAAAAATCTTTTTTTGGAATGGTAAACGCATTAAGTTGTGACCCATTTTGACGAGAGGAAAGCAATCAATCGGACAAATGAAGTGCACAAAATAAGCTAAATAAAAAAATACTTTTTTAGCAGTTAAAAACATACGTGGTCGTCGAGGCATTGCAGAGGCTGATGAGAGGGCAGCAGCTGGCTTTCTAACACCATTAGTACTCATTTTACCCCCAGCTGGTGCTCCACTCCCAACTCCCAAACCCATTGGAAGGCCTTCACGCGCAACTGATGCATCATAGTCACGTCCATCATAATTGGCATCAAAGAATTTCTTAAACCATTGTAGAAACTCAAAGTTATCCTGAAAGCGTCCCTTTATCAACCTTAAATAGAATTTTTTTCATGTGTTTTATGATGTTTGGTTTGTGCAAGATAGACAAATTATTTTTAATGAATTAATTGTCACATTAACTTACCTATCAATGGGAATAATCTACGAAAGAATGTTTGTGATAAGAAATGAAAAAATTAGTAATTTTACAGTCTTAAATGAAAATTGGTAAATTGTTATGCAATGAAAAAAATGAAAATGAAGAAAATATTAAATTTATGATTCATTTGTTTCATTGCTCATTTTTGTTGTGTAAAATCAACAACATAAAAAAGTCAATTTGATGAAAAACAGCAGGCAAACAGTCATAAATAAACTAAAAAAGGAAATTTTACTGCTGACGAAGGCGGCATGGAGTACATATGCAAATGATAAAGAAATTTATTTATGAAGAGCGCAAATAATTATGCAATGAAGTGAATTATTTAAAATGAGTCAACAACGATCCTCTCCCCTGCGAACCATTCCGAAAGAAGTAATCACAATCAGTAATCACCATTATGAACAACCCTTCGTGCTGGTTGTTGCATTTGTCGTTTAAGAACACCATCCCCAACACCTAATTCATTCTGAAGAGCAGCTGAACCTAATCCAATTCCGAAGCGAGCTTCTAATGGATCATAATCTCTGCCATCGTAATTAGCATCGAAAAACTTTTTAAACCATTGTAAAAATTCGAAATTGTCTTGAAATCGACCTTTAATTAAACGATCGACGGGAACAATCTGCATTTTATAAAACAATAAACATTCATTTTTAGTTGTGAAATCATTCATTCATTCAACCATAACCAGTCGCACCTCAACAACACAAATCATTCACTCATCTCATACTCACTTTGTCAACATTCATTTTTTTGAAAGCCGCTTGGAGTATCTTAAAGTTCTGGATGTATTCGTGTTCCAAATTGGTTCTGAATTTCACGCGCTTCATTGGAACTGATCCCGGAAAAAGCATATCCATATATTGACAGTAGGCGGCTCCTAAAATGACAAATAAATAAAAAAGTGTCATCATTAATGAGCTTCTTTAATTCATCAAACACTCACCGGTACAAAGTTCTTCAATCTTCGTGAATTGAGAACGAAGACAATCATTAACCCACGAAAGCATATCATGTCGACTTAAATTGTCCGTCGTCACGTTCGTTGAGTAAACGTTCACTGCCATGTTTCACTCACGATACTTAAATCTTTTCTCTTTACAAAATATAAAATGCAACAAAAACGAGTGGATCTGAAAATTTAAAAGCAGAAAAAATATTTTAACATTGAACTTGATGGATGGAAACTTTTTCTAAAAATATGTGGATTGGAAATATATTAAAAAAAAAATTGGACAGTGCTTGTATCTGTGTTGAGTTGGTTGAGGTGGAAAGATTTTTTCTCTTTTGTTTCTTCTTCTTGCATTTCTTTTCTACCAGCGTTCCTTCTTCATAAATATTCAGTGGAAAAGAGATTCCAATGTGGATTTTTTTATATATTTTCGTGATTCGCCTAATATGATTCGTTTTCGGTGCTTATAACTGATTATCGAGCCGTTTATTACGGCACATATTTTACAAGGTAAACGGTAAAAGCACTATATGGGGTGAAGAGATTCTTCTTCTTCCATTTCACCTTGCGAGCAACAAACTTATTGAAATAGATTCAACGCTTATTTTTCGGTAATTTTTTCGGGGTCGTCGTTGAATAATTTTAGGCTAAACAAGAAATTTACTTTCTTAATCCCCGATGAAGATAAAGAAAGAAAAGAGAAATGCACTTTTTGACTCTCTTGCTTCTATTTTTAGTGTTTTGCCTTTTAATTTCTTTTCTGGAGGCACCTCTTTAAAAATTACGTCACTCGTTGGTAGTGCAAAACGTAATCTCTACAAACACATTTAGAACCAAAGAAATTTCTATTTCACGATCGTAAGAACCGGACGGTGACGAAATTTTTGAATGTATTTGAAATTTCACAGAATAATCAAACACTCCCCACATTCTTTCACACTAAATCAAACAGAAATCATATTGAAAGAGTGTTTTGTAACCGCGAAATTATCCTTATTCTTTCATTGATCGATATACAAGCATTAAAAATCGGCAAGAAAGGTGAAAACAATCAAATGAGAAAATGAGGTCAGAAGTTGATCAAATTTCGCGAAATTTTAACAAAACTCGACAATTTCCGTACTTCAAATAATATTTAGAATACACAAAACACGATCTTACACTTTTTAATGCCGACAAATGATCTATCTAAAACCTTTTTAATTAACAATTGTCTTTTCGCTGTGAATCATTCAGACTTGTCCAATTTCTTTGAGGCCCTTTTTAAGGGTGTGCAGGTACGTACTAGATTTGAAGTTTTCAATTCCGTTAAATTTTCTTAAATGTCTGTAATTCAATGTTTCTTAATATTTCCCTTTAAATATGGTATTTTTTAATTTGAAAGAACAACATTTGTTTTTAATAATTTTAATATCCTACATACTTTATTGAACAGATCTAGGAACAGTTTAAACATAAAATGCTTGACAATTCACTTAGATTTCCTTACTTCAAAAAGTTTCGTAGCACGAAATCACATTTTTGAAAATTCTAAATTGATTTTTAATTTTTAAATAGAGCCTATGAGCTTTAAGAGAGAAATGAATTCTTATGTGGTGAATAGAGAAGAAAGTACTTCAAATAGTATGATATTTAAATAGGAGATCATTTTTCAGTATTGATAGTTACAAGTACAATGTCCGGTCCAAGTATTTCTTTTTATGACTTTTCTTAAAAAATCCTTCTAAAATATTTCCCAAGTTCACGCTTCTGCTACGTCCTCTTTCTGGAGTTTTATTATTTGATGACGATGACTCCAATGTGGAGCTTTTCAAATCACCTCGAAATTGATTTGTTCCTGTGCTGGAACTTTTCTTCAATTCGTAATTATTGTGAGCTTGAAGGCTTTTGAATGAATAAGTGTTGTGAATATGATGTGATGTCTTGATTTTTGATGTTAATGGCCGTTGAATGTGATTTATTGGATTGATATCAGATGCAAGTTGTAAACTACTGAGACTTTTATATCTAGAATAAGTTCCAATAGTATTATTTATTGATTCAGTGAATTTGCATGTGAATTCCACTGATTCTCAAACCACTTTAAAACAAAGCTATTCTCAAAACTAATTTTGGCAAAGAACAAAGGTTTGAGAATCGATGTTGGAATAAAATTATTTTTAATTTAATATAATTTTATGTGTGAACTCTGAAAAATTACATGAACGAAAAATCATCAGGAAAAGGATCAAGGTCATCAAGAGAAAGGTTTTTAAGTTTCTGTTACCTAATATGAAATAATGGAGATTGCGGGCTCATTTCTGTGACTTCTTTCTGTGGCGATGGGATTTTCGGGCAGTGAGTTGAAGAATTGTTCTTTCCAAATATCAATGTTGGTCTTCGTGGATGATGCTGCTTCTTTGAAGGTATCGTTTTGAGTGATGGTGGTATCGGTTTTTCCATCAACTCATGCTTTATCCACTGCGATGAGTTAAGAAAATTTGAATCTGTTTTACTAAAATTGTTTGATGATCTCGTAGATCCAATAACGACTGTCTTCGTGACATCACGAACATCTTTTTGTAACTGTTGCTGCAGTTTAGGCTCATTATAAGGAGTAGTTGTCTCAGAAATAAACTCAAAGTTATTCATATTCTTCGGTAGCGCTGCTAAACCTCGAACGTAATCATAAATTTGATCAATCTCGTCATATTCGTTAGCTGCTAATTGACTATTAGCTAAAACTTTCTTTTCTAGCTGTTTCTCATCTGAATTTGCAGATGTCTTTAGAATGTAACCATTCGATAAAAGACCTGAAGTATCATCAAATGTTTTTTAAGAAAAGAAATCTAAAATTGTAGAACGTCATTTTACTTACTATCTTTAACAACGATTGAATCCTTTTTCGAATCTTTTTCATTCAATTTAAGGTCGATAACTTGTAATCGATTCTCAACATCGTCGTGTAATAATCGATTTGCTTTGTCAACAAGTCGTTTATACTCTGAAAAATTTTCGAGTTGTTCCATGTTCTTAGCGATCAGAAGTTTGAGTTTAGCATTCAATGGAATTGAGATCAATTCAACGTCCTTTTGCAACGACAACGCGAAAATATTGTTTTCGACTTCAATGCATCCGAGTAGACGAAGTTCTGGCACAAAACCTGATTTTAAACCTTTTGGTGGAAATCCATGCACTAAACGCACGATGAGCGGCATTCGCTTTTGTAGTAAATTTTTAACCTGTATTAAAGAAAAAAAAAGATAAATTAACCGTGTACCGTAAAGCAAGTTTTTATGATTCAGACGAATGTTAATTGAATGACTCACAGAATGAACTCCACTGATGCTGTCTTCTTTTGTAGCGATTGGTGAGAATTTCGCTTTGCAATCGAGTGGTAGACTAATAAGTTGATTTTTACTGGTTTTGCATTGCAAAGCTTTTCCATTGTCACTGATCGGCGTCAGGATTTCGCCAGCATGTAAAGTTTTACTGCTGTTGTTACTTCTGATTACGAAACTTTCTCGGACAAGCACGCGAATGTTCCGACGACGTGAAAGCTCAAGAACATTTTCAAAGGATCTTGTTGCCTTGCCATCTTCGGATAGAAGCTCAAAGAAACCGGCATAGGTTTCGGGTATGAGAATTTTTGAGCCTAAATTTTGTTAATATTTATTTTCGTAGTTGCAAGCTTTAATTAATCTTCACACTTACCAACATTCGTTGTCTTTCTACCTTCCTTTATCTTAATTGGTTGAGCGACAATCTGATACTTCTTGCCAGCATTGAGAAACAAAGCCGTTGACTGTAGATTCGGGTTTGATAGCGATGGAACTCCCAAGTTTAAGTGTTGCCCCTTAACAATCTTCGCAACAACTGGCATGTCAATTTTTGAGAAGTCCCTGTTGAAGGTAAAGCATTTCGTAAGCGTAATTCAGTAAGGTCAAATGACTACAATATTATTTGACAATGAAAATGTTTATTGATCACTTGAGAGTCAAAGTGTAAACAGAAGACTTGCACTTGCACTCTTTAAGAGACATATTTACGTATCTACATACATAAGTAGGTGTATCAAACAAAGAACATCAATAAAAAGAAGAAGAAGAAATATTTAATTGAAGTCATATCGTCTTTAAGTGTATGTTGTTATATAATAAGATCGTCAGTCAAATGACCCTTGAGAGGTCTCCATCATATCATGCAATCGACAAATTGTGTTGTATATACATGTTCAGTTAGTTAGTAGAGAAACATTGAAAACAAAAAATGTTGTTCACTTACCTCAAATGTAATGCTGATTCATCAAATCTCGAAGCTGCTAAGATTATTTGCGAATCGCTCGCCATATCAGACACATTATTTTTTTATGACTCCGCGATCTTAAATAGACAACAACAAAGACAACAAGAGATGGAAAAAAATAAGTTACATTGTGGATATCTGTCTTAAGGAAAAACTTCAATGCAAAGAATAAAAAATATTAAATGTTTAGGTGGGGATTGTGCTGGGATTACGTCATGTTTATTTCATGTTCTACAATGTAACGATCACTTGATTAATGATCTCAGAAATATTCAAAGCACCCGATCACGACTTATTGGAATGACGATATTTATTTATTCAAAACCAAAAAGAATTCAATTAATATTTTGCTTTGATTGTTGACGTAATTTCAAGATGATCGCTAAAGGAAATTCAAAATTCTTCTTATTCTGCATCATCACATGAATATTAATTTTGTGCTGTGTGTATGTCGATTTGAGTACATGAAACAGGTCTTTGAATTCATTCTCATACATATTAGTTACGTTCTTAAGCCCAACAATAGCTTTCGTTTTATATTAGATATAATAAGTAAACGAGAGACACAATGAGAAATTATTTTTATAGGTAGACAATGCTTTTCCAATTTCCATCAATTACACTGCGACAATTACATTATTTATTGGCAGAAATGGCATATTTCCAGAAAACAGGAAGCTTTCAGTAAATAAATAATGATTTATACATCCATCTACATAATGAATGAAACCTTATGTGCGTTGTGCTTACACAAGGTCTCATTGTGTATTTAAATAAATTGTCTTGTTAAGCAAGTGATGTTTGTGATCCTATTTTGCCGAAAATTTATGATGTGAAAATTTCTTTTTTCAAATTTATTACCCAAATTTTGCACTTCATTGAAGCTTACAAAGAATCGATAAAATGTTTGTGACTGTCGATTTCATCATTCCAACACATTCTATGTTGTGATGGTATGAAAAGTTTTTTATTTTTGTTCTTATGTTGCATGTTTAACCATTGTAAATGAGAAAAGTTAAGTTTTTTTTTGTTTTCCGCAAAATCGCGTCACGAAAAATAGCTCGAAGGTGCGAATTTCAGTGCTATGTTGTAACATGGAAATGATACAAAAATAGAATCGAAAACAATCAACTATCATTAAAAATAGTTTAAAATACTCCACTTTGCTAAAAAATAGACTCGCTGTTGAAGACGCAGAAGAAGTTTGCTTGAAGAGGCGGCTTCAAACTTTTTTAATTTTTATTTCAAATCTAAAAAACTTTCGAACCGTACACGGATTTTTCCTGAATGTGTTTTAATTAAGCAATAATAGAACTAAAAAGCGTTTAGAAATTAGATCGATAAAGCTTTTTTTTTTCAATTCGCAATAAAAGAAGCTAAGCTAAGCTATAGAACAGTAATAAAATTGATCAAAAACTAGAATCAATCATTTGGGTCTAAAAGAACCTTCACTATTCAAAAAATAACGCGGAATAAATGTTTCAGCTCGTTTTGGAATACAAAATGTTTTTTTTTTCATTATATTTTGTTTCTTGTGTTGTTCTCGCTTTAACCATCATCATACGTTTATACATTGAATGATTCTGATTCTATGCTCGACCAAGAAACAAGCTTTCCTTACCTTACCGCACAACACTAAAGCACGAGATGCTTTATTCACACACATTGGGAGAGAAAGAGACATAAACATAAAAAATACATTTAAAGATGACGTCATCCAAGAAATAAAAAATTCTCGATATCAAAGAATGATGTGCAAAAATAATAGTAATAAAGAAACACAAGAAGAATGTAACATCGCTTACGAAGTACCAGAGCTGAAAACCAGTTTGATATTCTTATTATATTATTTCAGATAAATACTTTATGGTCTCATGCCTTGGCAAATTGCGATTTGCCAGCATAAAAGAGAGAATACTAAATGAAAAGCTTTTTTCTTTCTTGTTATCTACCTTCGATGACTCCAGTCACAAAATAAAAGGTTCTTCTATCTTATGTTGCTCAACTTTTAATTATCCGCCAATCTTTGAAGCAAGCGCTAAGCTCTTAAATTATTCTGTCTTAAACGTCGAAAATGATTAGGGATGAGTCTTTTTGAGGATCACTTAATTCGATTTCAAGGCAAACACGTTATTTTGAACATTTCAATCATCACATCGCGAATGCACTTCAAAGAGTGCTTCAAGAACGCTTGAAATCATGATGATGAACTGATGAGCTAAGTTTGTATTTCTCTTTTCTTTCTGTTTTATTATTTTAAGTATTATTTTTCTTGTTCAGACTTAAACAATTAACACACAGCACAAATTCAAAAAAAAAAAATATAAAAATATGTATATATAAAAAACTCGTTTAATTTTCTTTCTCGCTGAATGTAATGGACTTGTTACTGTGTTCAGTTAGAAAGTAGAACATGTGTGAATTGGAATCATTGAAAAAGTCAATCAAAGTGTTGCGGCGAGAGCAGCGGAAAAAGTGTCAAAAGATCTCGCTTTCTACCTGGTTGAAAAGATTTAAAAACGATTTTGTTTTTAAAAGCTGATTTGCATTGCAAACAGAGCCACGGAAGAAATATTTTTTGTGCAAAGCTTAGTCAGTTGACATATCTTTCTTTTAATTTACTTAATAATTCACTGCGATTTATTGAAAAAACTTTTATGACTAATTTTACATTAATTTTAGCAAAGGGAAAAGAAACAAATAATCACAGACAGCAAAACAGTTTTAATTCACTATTCGAACGAACACAAACCATGACTGAGGTGCTTTGAGTCGTGTTGTTATTTTATTTTTCGCCAAACTGTTGAAAGTTCTCTCACGAATCATGAATCTTTCTCTCTCTCTCACACATTTCAGCATGACTCGCCTCTCCCAAATCATTCGTTAACTTTGGTTCGAGGTGGAAACAATACAAAATGCAAACTCATACTTTGGATACCTAGATGTATGTTTCATCGTACATTTTCATTCTTATAGGAATCGTAAATCAAAACAGTGAAATAAGCAAATGATTGTTGTCTGAAGCCCGAGAGTTTGATGCGATCGGGTTCAGGGAGTAGAACATTTTTTCTTCTTTCCTTTCCTTCTTTCATTGTGAACACAATGGACATTTGAAGCATAAAGGAATAAGTATGTTGAATTAGAATTCGTCTTGCATTGAAAGTCAACACATATTGCAATCAAACATATACATGACCACTTTGAATTTATGAGATGAAAGAGAATAAGAACAAAATGGAAAGAAAGAAACATTGCTGTGTTAATGTATCTCTTGTTACTTCTTTTTATCCAAAGCACTAGATCGATCTGTTGTAAGAAGGAATATTTTACGTCTTTTTTTTCTTTTCATCTGAGTCATATATGCGACGGGCGCGAATACATTGACATAACAGAGAAAAAAAATAAATGTAAACCATTGACCTCAAAAAACTTTTAGGAAGCTCTCAATGACTCTTTTTTTATTGATCAAGAAGAGAATAATGTTATCTGAAGAAAACAACACATGTATTGTAGTAACTGTTCATACCTAATGTCACAAAAAATGATTCCAATAATTGTGTACTTAGACAAAAATTTATGCTGATGATGATGGATTCGTTTTCACACGTGATGAACATTGAAAACTCAAAACATTTTAACTTTTTCGTCATTTTTATTTACTAGATATTTAAACATAAATTAATTTTGAAACATTGAAACATATTCATTCACATATCACAAAAAAATATGTCTGAATTTACAAATATCATATACCGTCATAGAAAAATTTGATTTTCGTTCGTTTCTCTTAAAATTTTATTTTTTCTTTCCTTTTTGTTCTTGCGTTTCAGCATTCTAAAGAAATCAGAAATGATCTCGTTTTGCAAGCCAAAGTGTTGTTCTCTGATCTTATGTATGTGTGTGATTGAATGAATTTATCCTTTCACAAATTTTTCGAAACGAACAAAAAGTGTTTTCTTATTAGTTCATTCAACAAAAAAAAATCTCTTTTTATCGTTCTGGATATTTTACTATATTTTCAGACATTTAATGTATAATTTTCATTATAAGTCTTGTGACACAAGTTTTTGCGAAAGTGGTTGACAAAGAGAGAATATACTTAAACAAAAACATAAAACATAGTTATTAATGTATGAAATCTTTTAAAAATACTTCATGGCAGACCATCTTTTAATTCTACAATAATAAAGAAGTTAAAAAAATTTGTAGATAATTAGAATAAAATTTGACACCATTTCTTCTTCTCTTCTTCCTTTCTCTTATTTCAGTTAAAATTGGCACAAATATTATAAATGTAAACGTCGCAAAAACGATATAAATTCACTTTGAAACAAATTAAAAACTTTCTTTAGTTTGTGAAGAAAACTTCAATGTTTCACCAGAGAAACACGAATGTCTCGAAGAATGTCCATATATTTATGTATACTATTGTTCAGATATATGATAACTTCATTTCTTCTTAATCTTGTTTTTTTTTCTTTTTTGTCAATCAAATTCAAAAGTTTTTTCTTAAATTCTAATTTTTTTTTCTTCACCACTTTAATGAGTATTGAATAATATTTTCATTTCTTTCATTTTGAAAAATCCTTGTAATCTGAAGTATTTATATTAAAACTCGTCATCATTCAATCAGTAACTTAAAAAAAAGACGTAAAATAAGAAAATGTTAAAAACAGATTTCATTTAGAACGTCAAGTCAAATGCATCATGAAAGATTTAAGACTCATGTTAATTATCTAACATGCTTTAATCTTTACTTGTTTTGTTAATTAAGAAATTAAAACATTTGAATTTGTTCTAGTATTTTCTGTTACCATAAAATCTGTGATTTCTTATGTTGTTAAACAATTAAAATTTACAAGACTTGGCAATTGTTTCTTATGCTTTACTTTACTTTACTTTCTTTCTATGCATCTGTGCTTGAAATGAGACTAAACAACTAGATATTTGTTTTTTGCTTTTCCTTTTCATTATTATCTGCTTTTGTTCTTGTCGCGAATCGCAAGGGGGAGATTAAAATAATTATATGAAAAATGTTCTAATCTTTATGTTTGTTTTATTCTTAATAGAGAGAGAAAGAAGTTAAATAATGGGAGAAAGATATCTGTTGACGATGGTTAAACTTTCAACATGATTTAATGTTTCTCGTCCAAGTGGAAGCATTTTACTGGCGATTTTTGCGCTCTAGAAGGATAAAATGTCATTAACATGAGTAAGACTAATTACGACAACCTGTCAACGTTTAATGAAGCAACTCACCCTTTTGCTTCTTTTCCTTCGAGTTACGATCTTTCGGTTGCTTCTCTTGCTTTGATTTATTACACTTCTTATTGATTGTTCTTGTGGCTGGACATGATGCACTATCGCTAGTTGTCTTAAGCTTATCAATTCTTGTCATTTCACCTGATGGCTGACATTCACCAAATGCTCCTTTGTCATAACGACATGCTGTAAATGATTCGTTGTGGAATGACAGAAAGTTGTGAAATTAATTATGGCGTTCATTACCTTTTTCGCTTTTACCTTTCTTGCACTTCTTTTGGATTGTTCGTGTTTGAACGCATGATCCCTCGCCTTTTTTCAAAGTCAATGTTCTTGACCGGGTGTTAGATTTTGAATCGCACTCACTCCATGCTCCTTTTGTGTAACGGCACGAATCTGTAGGCAAGAAATTTTAAATGCATAATTGATTTAGATGTTATTCATGAAATTATAATCTTTGTTGACAATGAATTATGTGAAGCTTGTAAGTCAAATGACTTGATTGATAATTACTTTCATCTTTCGGTTTTGGCTTGATCGTGCTTGTATGTTTTTTGCTGTTGTTTGTCTTTTCATGTTTTGATTGATGATGATGTTTCTTACCAATTGGATCGTGTGTTGTGTTGTCGGAATTTGCTTCCAAATTTGTGTTTAAATTTTTATTTGTTTTGGGCACTTTGGTTGTGCCATTACCGTGTTTGTCTTTTCTCTCCTTTTTCTTACCCGATGTGGTTCCCGAGACGTTGTCTTTTGCACCACGCTGCTTGCGAATCACAACTTCATGGACGTCTTCCTGCCAAATCTCATTTACATTTTTCATTTGCTTTTCTTCGTCAGCTTTCGCAGCATTGGTTAAAGGGAGAGTTTTTGGTTCTTCTAGTTCAGTTCCCTCTGTGGTGTTTGCGAACGACAAAATAGGAAGTGTGCTGATTGCCAGTAAAGCAATAATTGCCATGGATAACGAGTGCATCTTGGAAATTTTGCTGCTGAAGAGATTGAAGTAGAACTTGAATTAATTTCAAACTAATCAACAAGGCGCATGACTGTTAAAAACTTTTTTCTTTCGATTTTTTTTCTTCTCTTATTTCTTTTTTCTTTTCAAAACATGCAAATTCATTTTGCGATTAATTATCAAATTAAACCTCTGACGAAATTCGTATCAACCTCATGTGACGATGATGAGAATAACAACATTAAAGAAATATTAAAAGGAATCAATTTAATGTGAATAAAATGTTGATAAGAACGACGAATGTCATGCTACGCAATTCCTATTTCATTCTCAGAATAAATATATAAAATGAGACATTTCAATCACATATGTGAACAACTATAATAGGGAAATTTATATCTATCGTCGTTTAAAAAGGTTAACGAACTCGCTTTATGATCGAACTTATGTGAAAAGATTATGTTATTAAGGTATGCGTTAAGAATTTTAGTTGATTTTTATTCACACTTTAAATTTCCATTTAATGAACAAACTATCACGTTCTCACCTATCAATTTAACTTTATGGAAAGAAGATTAACAGAATTTAAGTTTTCAAACAAAAGACTTTCTTAAGTTTCGCAAGTTTTCTTAAAATTTTCCTTGGCACTGACAAAAAGCGAGACTGGATGCTGGAAGAAAATCAATAAAACTTGCTAGCTGATTTCGAAAATGGAGTTTGAGCATAGGAATTCTAGTATCTCTTTATGCTTTTTTGTTTTGAATTTTTCTACTCACACCCACACTTGAAAGAAAAATGTTTTCGTACTTATTGTCAATACTTTTACTTACAACTATTGTAAATTGTACCTTTTAATGTTCACTTGTTGTTTTATCTTTTCAAATCACTTAATTTTTTCAAGACAGAATCAAATTTTCATTCAAAATTTAAAAATCTTTCTCTGAACTTCACTTCGATTGTGGAAACAGTCGCAATCGAATGTTGAGAAACATAAATGTACTAGAATAATCGAATATACATAAAAATCCTACAATGTATTGGTTTATTCCTTTAACAATGATTTCTGTAATTGAATGTTCATGACCCCTTACTAGGGATGTAAATTGTTAGATATGTTAAGTTAATGAAGAAAATAAATAGCAAAATTCAACAGAAATGCTTGATCATCTTTTTATTCCGTTATCAACATTAATACCAAAAGTCTCCAAAATGAAGCCTTAATTCTACTCTCGCAAAATCAGTGTCGTTATTCGATCGAAAAAAAATATGTTGTTCAAAGTATCGAGATTATTGGAGAAGTCCTTATACAGGCATGTCACCATAAACTTATGTTCTTTATCTAGTTAATAAAATGTATTTTAAAGGAAACAATCAAACATGTTCATTGCAAACGTGTTGCTTTTGTCCACCTGATGAACAACGTGATCCAGAACCTCCTTTAGGTCGGAGAACTGACAACAAATCTGTGAGTTACTAGACATACTTTTTAATTAATTTTATCAAACGTCTTTCTTAGGTGGAAGCATAAAAAACCTTATAATGAAAATGACACTCAGGATTTTGGAACTTTTCTTATACAAAAATCGAGCAGCATTTATTAAATTTTATACTCAATCATATTTTTCAAGATGATCTACTTTTGAACCTCATAACATTGTGACTTACAAATTGTGACTTATTAAAAGATTTAAGCATAAATAAATGTTTAAGTCTTCCCAGTTAAAATTAAAAAAATAAATTTCATGCAAAATGTTCAATATAATTGCACCTCAACATAAATATTCGTTTAATGAAAACCTTCTTGTAGATATTTTTCAGATATCTCTAAAACTCTCCAACATTAAAATGTTACGTTACTTTCAAACTTACAAAAATATTTTTCGTGTATTGGTTTGGTAGTTAAGCAAACGTTTCTACGGAATTATTCACCTCGTAAATATTTTTCTTTTTAATATTTGGTAAGATTTTAATATTTTTATGAAAGAAAAATAAAGGATTTAAATTTCATAAGTTCCTTGGTCTTAAATTAGAATACTCTTGTAGATCTTTATAAAACGTTCATCAAATATGAAATCAACCTGCTAGACACTTGTTTGTTCTCAATTTTGACCACACCTTGTAAATAAGTTAGTGAAATTCGTTTTGTAAAACTGTTTTCTTTTAAAAGGAATTGCTCAAAGTTTGCTGTTAATCAGCACTTAAGAAGCAAGTGGTGAAAGCAATGACAACTGTCGACGAACGCTCACAATATCTGAATAATCGTTTCTGGAAAGGACATATCTACGAAAATTTTACATATTTCTACGTCACAATCGCTATTTGTGCATTTTTTGGACTTTTCTTATTTGGACTCAATTTAATTTGCGGCCTTTGTTCGAAGCATAAACATTACTGGAACGATCGATTCACAGGTATGTTAATTAATTACTTTGTAACTACGACAAAGAATTTAAAATTAATTTCGTTCTTTACATAGGAAATCGTTGGATTGTTTCATTGTGGACTGCTACTGCACACAAACAACCTCCACTTGATCTTTCTGAACTCGAGAACGTTAAAATTGACTATCCCAAAGCATATCCAGTGAGTCACACAATTCATTAAATTATTTAAAACAAAACTTAATGAAGCAACTTTGTAAATTTCAGGGCGAAATCGAGAGAGTTATTTACGAACCAGAACGACCACAGAAACTAAAAAGAGGATTTGGACCGCCAGACTTCCGAGAGTTCGAATACACTTCAGTCTCTCATAAGTCAGCTAGAGAAACTCCACAACCAGAAGTTTTTATTGAACTGCACAAACGAGAAAGTGAAATCTAAATCAGTAAAATGTCAGTATTCTTAATGTTTCCATTTGTGGCATTAATTGCCATGTTGTCAGTTGGCGCCATCATGTTCATCCTAAAGTATGGCGATCGGTTCTTCCAACTACGACACTACACATTCAGACGCGACAATACGGACCATGGAAATGCTGGTTATGCACATTCTATCAGCACAGCTTGAGATCTGAATTGACAACATTCCTAAAATTAATTTTAATTTGAATCTCTAACAATTTAAACTTTAAAGACATAAGTGCTCTTGTGAAACAAAAGTTTATCATGAACATTCCGTCCATTTTTTGATACATGCAAAATTTTTACAAGACAAAGAAAAGAAAAAAATAAAATAGATTTCTAATCAAAACATTTATTGTTTCAATCACTTTTACAGAATTTTTCTTCAGTTTTAATCTCTACATCTTCAAATTGATTTCATATCTTTCTTGATTTACATTTTTCTCAAACGAAAATTGTATATAATTGTCGCATGACGCGTTTTACTCTTTTTATTTATTTCGTTAAATATATCCTTCCAAAAATATGTTTCTTCAATGTATTTCAATGCATTTCATGACAAATTATCGTGTGAAATAATTTTTTGGATGTAAAGTGAAGGAAGCAACCGAAATATGAAATCATAAAATTCATTCTTTAACCGATCTCAATGAAAGATTGTCAAGAGTCAAGGTATGAAGATGGAGGCTTCTTTCTTTTTTTAAGTACATTTTGCGTTCAAAACAAATAACATAAACATTTATGTAATACATCATCATCAATCGTTATCGTTGGGCTATAAGAATTCTTTGAAATGAACATTTAAGTGGAACTTCAATTTGAAATTTCAAGTTTTAAGAAGCATCAATCGATTGTGCTTGATTTAATTTCTTTCATCTCAAATTATTCTTCACCTTACACTTTTCACATCCATCATTTAATCGAGCGTTGGACAAACATAAAATAAAAATAAAGCCTTAAACTAAAAAAAAGAAAGTCTTCTAAATTTCTAACTCACAATAATTTCATCAAATCTTCTTCTGCATTATCAATTAAAAGAATGAGAAGCTTGAATTTCCTAATACCTCACATAATTAATGATAAGTTTACGTTGTGAAAAATCATCATTCAAATGTCTTTTCCTTTTTGCATTTCAACTGCAAATTTTTCTTGTTTACTCACAGTGATGTTTATCTCATCACTGATCGACATTTAAAAAATCTTACATTCAGTTCTATTTCTATAATAATAATAATAATAATATTAAAAAAAACCAAAAGAAGAAAAAAATCTTCTCAAAATCTAATAATTAAAACATTTTTCTTAATAATCTAACTTTTAGATGCCTCTTGTTTACATTTTATTTCCAATGTATATTTTATAAATTTGGATAAAAAAAAGAAGAAAAAGAAATTTGAAATGAAAATTGTCTTGGGGAAATTTTTCGTTTTTCTTTTGCTTGTTTACCAAGTCGTCGATTGATGACACAGAACAAAAAAAGTTTTGTTCATCTTAAAATATTGTTTAAGAGTAAAAATATTTTACCCAAGAAAGAAAGTCAAGTAAAGAGAAAATTGTTGGGGACGATTCATATGTAATGTCACTTTTAATTATTTACTTTTTGAAAAATGAACATTTCTTTAAAAGAATATTTTTTATCGTTCGAAGGAAACTCTCAAAATGAATAAAAAGGAACGGAAAAGTGAGTTTAACCTGAGACTTTCGAGGAGTGACGTTTATATGTGATCGACCCCGAGGATTCGTAAACTGATAAAATTCTACCATCAATCTTCAGATGATTAATTAAAGAGATCTGTTAAATGTATGTAGATAGATTTTCTTCCTTTTTTTCTTTATATTTTTGTTCTTAATCACTAAAAAACACTTTCTTATCTCATCATTTTCTGTTCTTAAAGTCAATGCTTTAATTTTTTCTGTTTTTGTTTGTTTGTTTAACTATCTATCGTCCTACATATTATTAAATGACAGTTCGTTAAAAGCTTCGACCAAGCATTGTTTTAGTTCAGCGTAAGTTAAAACTAAAACAGATTGCTCATCTCTACTCATAAGTTGTACCTTAAGGAAGAAAGATAAAGAAAAAATTAGTTAAAATCATGAAAGGAATTTAATGTTTGAAAAACTTACTTTTTCCATAGTTCCAGCGTCCAGTTTGTTCAACGTCGAAATAACGTGAGAATAATCAAGCCATGGCGATCCATCGTCTGTCACAGAATGAAATCTATATTAAATAATAAAAAGATTTAGTTAATTATTAATCTTCAAATGAATTCTGGTGGTTTATTCTTACAGATAATCACGGAATAACTTGAGCATGTATCGATTTCCAGTTTCCGACCATGTGACATCTAAATTCAATCTAAATAAATAAAGAATTTTGGGAAATCCCAATTAGACACATAATTATTATAAATAAATTTAAAGAAGTACTCACTCTCTCTCGTTTATGCATCCCAACTTGAAGAGAAGACGGAGAAGACGTCCATTATCCATTTCTTTTAACAATTCGTTTTCCATCATATCAGATTGCTTCTCCAAATACTCAACATGATGATAAAAGCGAACTCCAATTTTTGGCATCACTAAAATAATAATCAATTAATTAATAAATTAATTATTTAGTTCAATGTGATGATGGATTCAATTTACTTACCGCCTTCGACAATTGATTTCATTTTGTTTGGTGACAACAAATAAGTTATCAAGTTCTTCAAATCGGACGAATAATGGCGTGAAATGAGATCTATACTATGTTGAATCTGATCACGATGAACTGATTGTAGACATCGACAAGCCAATGCCACGATTAGTTTTCCCAAAGCAGTTAAATCATCCTAAATTCATTTCAATAAATCATTAACTAATTCATTTATTTATTTATTAATTAGAAACTTACCTGTTGATAATGATTCACCAAATGGAAGGGATTTTGTTGATTTGGATCGAAAGTTATTATGTCATTTAGTCCCACGAAGCTAAAACGCAGTCGTTTCCCATCATAAATAATTTTTGTCGGATCAAGACTCCTTTTTTTACGAAAAGAAAAAAGAAAAAAGCGCGAAAATTTATTAAAAATTAATTCATTTAGGAAAAACCGGAAATAAAATTTTTTACCTGCAAGCTAAGTTCGCTTGATGAATGCCTTTAAGACCACATGTCAATTGAATTATAAGATGCCAAAGTTCATTCTCTTGTAATATCGGTCCATTAGCTGTAATTGATAATTAATTAGCGACTTTTTAATTACTTATTAATTGTTTTATTATACCTGTTCGTTGTAATGTACTTTTATGACTGAAAGGTCTGGCATCACCTGAGAATGCGGAACCTGTTGTTCCATAGCCATTAGCAGTTGGAGTAAAATATTTTGATAAAAGTGTCTGTGAACCAGCATGAAGATCATAAACTAATATGAGTGAATTATCGCCAAACACTTTTGTTGTGAAGACTTCACGAAGTGTCACACAGTTTGGATGTGAAAACTTCTTCCACACCTCAACTACCTGCATCATTTGCTTCACTGATTGTATTCTGAAGCCTTTAATAATAAAAAAAAAGAATGTTATGAAAATGTAATAGCAGGATGTGTTGATTAAACTTACCATGCAGTCTTCTAAGACAATATCTCAATCCCGTTGAGCTATGTGTCGCCTTGTAAGTCGTCGTTGAAGGTACTGTTAAGTTGGAAGTTGCTTCCAACAATGAAAGCGAATGATAATTGTCGATTTCAAGTGGTAAATTGGAAGAATCGTGTTCTATATTATTTGTTATCTCGTTTTTCAGCAGCAAAATATTCCTCAAATCTTCAGGCATGAAGAATATGGAGGAGTGATAAGATTTTGGTTTAATATTGTTGGCTATGTGGGCAGGTGGAGTGTAAATATGACCCGGCATTGGAGTGATGGGATATGAGAGTGGAAGCAACGGCTCTTCACTGTAAGTTGCTGGAGGCTGTTCTTGTGAATAAAAGTATGTTGTACCACCGACATTTTCCTAAACAAAATATTTCAGTTAATTATAAATTCCAAATAGATTAATTAATTTTTATCTTTAAACAAACCTGATGAATTCCTGCTGAGTAAATATTTGGTGGTGACTCTTGAGGCATTATTTTCGGTGAAATATTCTGCGGTGAATCTCCTAAATAGTTTCGATCTGAATCGTTCAAGGAACAAAAGTTAAATGAATGAAGCATAAAAAAAAAGAAGACTTATATACTTTTAATTGGAGTCACTGAATACGACGTTGACGCGTAAACTTTTGTCGGGGTGGAGGATGAGCCGTTGACGATGTTTGTTGTATTACTATATGTCGTATAAAAACTAGGTGATGATGTCGAATTTAATCGTGAAGGAGGAATAAACTCGGAAACCTATAATAGAAAAAAAAAGAAATAGAAAAACATGTGACGTATTTGATTGTTTTGATAAAAAAACGTGAGATGGGGAACTAGAGAGAGAGATATAATGACAGGGACAGAGAAGATGAAGGAAGCATCAGCGCGATGCGCATTTGCTACCGGATTAACAGCTGTTTTCACACTTCAACTAACCTGCGACTTTTTGTTGAACGAAACAGGCGATTCGATATTGTTTTGCTGGATATTATACGGTAGATTCGTATGACCCTAAAGAAAGAGAACATTTTTTGTCATCGTTCGTTGTGTTTAATTCACTTAAGAAATATCTTTTTTTCTTATGAGGAAACGATGTAAACTTTACGCTTCAAAAAGAAAGCGTTAAGTGATTCTAGATGAAATGTTGTATCAACAACCAGAACATATAACTGTGAATCGCTTACTTTTCCTTCAAAATTTTTTGTTTTACATTATTTTTAACACTCACCATGTACGCAAGATTTTCATTAGAAATACCATTTGAAAAAAACTCCATCGTGATTAATAATTGCAGTTCAGTTCACTTGCACTTTATTTCATAACTAATGATGATTTGTAGGAGCACAGCAATAAAAAGAAAAAGAGCATATAATTAATTTCAATATTTTCTTTTTTTTTGTTCGACTTGAACTTCAAAAAAAAACTAAAACAAGGTCATAAACACTCAAACTTAATATATTATAAGCTCTTCACCTTTTAAAACTCAACCAGTTCACTCGAAGTCCTTTTCTGAATTGAAGTAATGTAAGTTTAGTGCGAGATATTACTGCGAATTATTTATTTCGACATTTTTAAACCTAAAACCTATCAGAATAAGAAAAAGAAATAATACAGAATGATTTTACAGCTGTGTTAGTAGCGTCAGAAATCATAAGGATAACAAGTTAAGTTGTTTTATGTCCGCCTGTCATTTGACAAGTTGAGAATAAAAATTCTCATGAGCGAATAGGTACATAATGTTTAAATGTGTTTGTTTATGGTCGTTAATTAATGAGTAGAAAATAAAGCAACTAGATAAATAAATTCAGTGTCTCATGATAAAACATGTTTAATATTACCTAATTAAAAATAACTGACGTCAAAAATATTTCAATATCTCGTAGTTTTTCGCTTTACAAAAGGTCGAAAAATATTTTTTGTTTTGTAGGGGAAGACAAAGTTGAAATGTTTTAATCTTCAGGATGTTTTTCTGAGATTTAAAACTATCATCGTACAAAATATCTAAATCTACTTGAAAGAGAAAACCTTTTTATAAGATGAGATAATTTATTAGGATTTTAATAATTCTTTAATTTATTTTCGATTCTAAGTGCAATTTTCTACACAACTCGCTTAGGAAAGGATATCTAAATACAAAATCAAACTTTTAAATGTCTTTTTTTGTGCCAAATATAACAATGGTTTTTCTTATTCAGGAATGTTTTCAACAAAAATAAATCTCGTTTTTCGTCATTTCAAAACATGTATCAACTCATATCAATCTCAACAAAACTTCATTATCGTAAATTTACATTTTCTAATTTCCTTTTTTTATAATTGAAAACTTGTAAGCATCAAAAAGTAGATATTACGATTTTTTAACGGCGCTTTTCCCAATAATTTACATAAAAACGTGGGAATATTTTTCTTTTCTTTGTTGGGATAGAAAATATTAACTTTTGCATAGGCCATTATGGAAACAACACAAGAATATCAAATCGCTATCAACAGTTGTGTCGATGAAGTATTCACTTAGGAGGTAAAAGAGATTACAAAAGAATTTATATTTTCATGATTTTCGTAATTCGACTAAATAAAAGATTTCCTATGTCGTTTGACATCTTATAATTTGACTTTCAACTTGATTATCTGAAGTGTTGTTAAAGATCTCACAAGCAAGAGTATAATAGAGTATTAAAGAGACAACCTTTATCTGTGATAAGCAGTGTTTTGTGTTTATATACTTCATTATGTACATATAGATAATAAAATGTTTAAGGATTTTCTCCCCTTTTATCTCATTGTCGACTTAATTCTTTAATAATTTTTCTGTATCTAAAAAATGATTTTCTAGCGTTAAGATTAAAAATTTAAATTCTTTTTTTTATTAATTTTCTATCACTCTAATAAATTTGCTACTTTAATTTTTATTAACTTTCTTCTTACGAAAAAAACTTTTACGTTTATGTTTCTTTTTTCTGTTTATCTGTTGTAATTTAATCTACATGCAAATATTTAACATAGAATTGAGGCAGTATTCTTTTTTTATTTTATTTATATTGAAAACTTTTGCAGAAGATTAGTACGTAATAAGAGATCTATTGAAGTTTAAGAGCAGGAGATGTGTCAGTTTAAATGAAATCAATCAGACATGATTGATGAGCGAACCTACGAACAATTTTCTTTCTTTTCATAGTTTTCCCATGGAGCGACTAATAGTAATTTTAACACTTATGATTGCTTCCTACTTTAATTATCCATAGAATTTATAAAGTTACTCACTCAAAGAATGTAGGTTCAGTTAAAGTTTTTAAACGAGAAATGTCGGATTATTATTTTCTTGCTTTTGCTTTTCCACGATTGAGCATTAAATCAAATCACGTTTAATGAATTTTAATCATCTGGATCTAGTCCTAATATTTCCGCTTGAAGTCTTCCTTGAGTTCGACAGCAAATCGTAAGGAAAAATATTCTTAATGCTAATCTAAACTGTGACGACATCATACACATTAGGGGAAATTTCCACAGCCCATTTAATATTCCCACCCACACGGCACCAAAATGAATAAGAGGATTCTCAATTTCGATGCCTGTCACTTCTTGATAGATGCGAATACCGATATATGGGCTCCATGACAGCCAGAACAAAAACACCAACAAAAACGACATGATGTGACTAGGATTTGCAAGATTCTCAGCTAGTGCGGTTGCGTATCTAAAAATCGTTACATTTTTAATAGTTAATGTAATTACCATTAAGGAAATTTGATACTTACTCTTTATCATGTATCGCAACTCCACTCTTAATCTTTCTCATCATTGAAAATATGTAACCGTAATTATAAACGATTGAAATGACGCTGGGACCAAGGACAAGGATTCCTTCAAAATAATAATTGATTAATAAAATATTTAATTGGCATTTTAATTAATGTTGAAATTACCTAATGTGATAGAATATGCAGCCATACGATTCCAATTAGGAACACAAATGTAAGCATATTCGTCAAAGGTGGCATCTTCTTCAGTCCATAATGATGGCAGACAAAGCATCGCTGCTGAGATCCATGTGAAACACATCCAACATTGACAACCTAGATTAAAAATAATTAAGATGGATAACAAATAATTAAGCATGTTTCATACGAGTTCGTGTTTGAACTGTTTCATATCTCAATGGCTTTCGCACAGCCAAGTATCTGTCAACGGATATCCACATAAAAGTGTAAATCTTTAGGATGAAAGACAAAGTTTGAGTATAATTATGTAATAATTACAATATAAATTAATATCTCACTGTAATCGAGAAAAGAGTAACTTCGATGTATCCTGCAATACGACATAGCATCTCAGAAAATCCTTCACCGTATGGTTGGCTGTATAGCCAAGTCGACTCAAAGTCAGCTAGAGTGGAATGACGATTATCGGATTAGTGTCAACATGGATTATTATAAAAACATCTACTTACATGATTGAAGAGCTGGATAGATCGATAAGGGAACAATTACTACTCCGCATATTAAATCAGCAAACGCTAGTGACAATAAATAAATGTTGATGACCTCTTGAGGGCCTATGCAGTAAACAAGCCAATTTTTATTTATAAATAAACAATCTTCAATATGAATTTGAGCAAACTCACCCCTAAAGTTAATTAATGTTGCTATTACTAAGAGATTCAACAAAATAATGGCAATGGCTAAGATGAAAATAAAAGAAGCTTGAGTCAAAGCTTCAAGATTTCCATGTACTATGTGTTGCATTATTTGAACTTCCTCGATGCTTTCATTTTTCACCGTCAATGCGATTTATGGCTTTCCATTAATATTCTCTTCGAGTTCGATTCCTAATTGTTGATTTCTTCTACTTAAAAGTAATAAATAAGTGAGAAACAAATTTATTGTAGCTAAATTAATCGAAATCAAATTAATAAGATTATTTGTGGGCAGTTCGCCAAAAGAATCATTTGACATTAATATATTATTGTTTCTTAAAATCATGAAGGCAGAACAAAAACCTATCGAAACTTGAATAATTTCGGTCTTCTCATTGCTATTGAGCGAACAAAGACAAGACACATTATCTATTTCATTTACATTTCTTTCTCCTTAAAGTCGTAGTGCATTTATAATTTTCAATGTTGCATACTTGATTAGTAAGGCTTTTGTTGTTAAAGCCCTGAGAAAATAGGAAAATCGATAAAGCTACCAGTTTCTCCAAAGGAAAAGAAAACTTTTCCGTTTCAAAGTGATAATTTTTTTTTTTTATTTTAGGTTTTTGTAAAATAATTTTTCTTCGCTTATTTTCACACGTAACGTTAATATCAGAACGGTCCATGGGAGTTTATATATAAATATTTTTTTTATTGTTTATCTCCAATGTGAAGAAAAACAATGAATAATCTTACGCGAACATTTTTCTCACACTCCCCAATTCTCGTTCCATAACATAGGAAAAGAGGGATTATTTTAATAATTTTATAATTTTGTTATTTGCCACCACTTTAATTGTCCACTTTATCACAACAATGCTACGGAAAATGTAACAACTATTGCAACGCAGCAAAACGTAAAACTTCGAGCTCGTAAATAAGTAAATAGAGTGGAAAAAGGAAAAGAAGAAGAAACTTTTTCACTAAAACTATTTTCACCTTTTTTATCCTTTGCTTACAGTGATTCAAGACTCAAATCATGTTCAAAAAGTGACCTGGGAAGACTTTATGAAAACACCACGCGACTAATTTCACTCGACAATTAATCTTCACTCTCACAAAAATTTAATTTTTCGCCGAGATTTTTCTTCCTGAAATGAAAAGTGAATTTTGAAAATATATGTTTTCTCCGAAAACTCTTTTGCGCAATCTCAACACGAGGAGCGACCTAAAGAATTTCTCATGTGACAAAATCTTTTTTTAAAAAAAGAAAAATTAATTTAAAAATATTTCAAACGTCTAAATTTAAAGTTTAATATTTTGTAGATTAAAACTGCATTATGATACATAATTTTAAATTGTTGTAAGCATATGACGTTTGGATAATTTTCATGATCAAATCATACGGCATGTTGTGCTGAAGTCAGATCAAAGTATGTAATAAAAATGATTTTCAATGTAGTATGAGTGGATGTGAGGCTATAGCACAAATTTCCCCTCTCTCTACTTTGTGGCAAACAAACAAAAACAGAATTCACTTCAGTTGAGTCAGTCTCTTCGTGTTATTGTGTTGAGTCAAACGACAAAAGATTTTGTTCTGAAATTTTTTTCCAGCTTTTCCAAATCGTCGCCATTTTTCATCAAAAAATATTTTTTAACTGTACCAGATACTTGAAAGCAGCTTTAAAAAATTGAAAAAAAGGTAAACATTTTCAGATGTTCAAGTGCAAATAAAAAGATGAAAAAGAAAATCATTTGCTTTGTTCAACCTCGAAGATTTATATGAATAGTGTAGTGAAGAAAAAAAAATCAATTTTAGTTACAATCATTTCGTCAGAAAATTAATTCTGTTATTATATCCGAAGCTTCACCTTCAACAATAGAGTACCTTGTGAATATTTATTCATCGATTAAGTAACTAACATGTACTGTAAATTAATTAGTACGGAGACTCTCTGAAAGTGGTACAAAGTTCATGAAAAGAAAAGAAAAATTTCTTTTTCAATAACACTCAGTCAGGGAATAACAATAATAATGAAAAAGAAGAAGCAAAATCATCTGTACATAAACAAAAAAAAGCTTACACCATCGTTCAGTATCGTTTGGTATCGCATACATCGCTATGATTGTACATACACAAACACCAGCATATCATTTTGCTAGCCCGATCATACTTTTAACAGCTGATTGAAGTGAAGAGAACAAAAAAAGCAACGCCAAACAGTTAATGCTCTCGAAATAACTACGCAGTTAAATTTGTTAATTATTTGTGTTTTCATATCTGTTTGAACATTGCACAATGCATACGACACTTTGTGTGCATCAAAAACATACACAAATGTAAAAAATATTTTTTTTTTCAACTTTTCTAACGTTTTTTAATCTATTCAATAGTCTCCTTTTTTTTTGTTCGATGCAGCCTTGATTAGCAGGTTTTCCATTATGAACTTTGGATGTATCCATCTAAAGATATGTTTACAAGTTTTTTTTTAATTTATTTATTCGAGAGTTGCACAAAAAAAAGATTTTCTTCATCTTCTTGTTGTTGTCTTATTTACCTCATCACGTCAAGCTGGTTGCCAAAAAAATTATGTAGGCTGGCTGCTTGTTGCCTGACGCGATAGAACCAAAAATAATCTTCGAAATGATTCGCGAATCGATTGAAAGTGAATACAAATAAAAACACGAAAAGAAAGAAAAAAAACTAAAATTAAATAAAATTATTGTAATTACAAAGGAATGAGTGGAAAGATTTTATCAGCTTTTTATTGCACTTCATTGTTCAGTTTCTCTGTATTCTCGTTTGCTTTGTTTATTAGCCTGATGTGACATATTGAGTTACACCGTCTCAATATGTGAATTGTTGCCAAATATTGCATAATCATAAAGACGGACTCGTGAACAGTTGTTCATATTTTTTTATATATTTCTCATTTCTCTTTACAGTTTATTTTCAGAAAAATTTCCTTCAATTAGCAAAACTCGTGCAATAGAAACAAAAAATAATTTTAAAAAGGCTTTGAACACGAGCAGCAGACTTTTTATCTTCGCACCGAGGAACTTTTGTGTAGAATGTTCAATTCCCTTTTTAACTCTTTATTCGGTAAAAGCAACAAGGATAATAATTCTACTGATTTAGACGAGAACTCGGGTGATACTGATAAGACGCAACAAGGCTTTAGTGAAGCTGATAGCAATGTAACTGCTATTATACTCGACGAAGACAAAGACTGGTTGTTTGTCGAGAAGGAAGTTGAAAGTGACACTATCAGTATTGAAGCGACGCCTAAAAACCTACAACTTGTACCTTTCAAATCTATTTTCACTAATTTGGGCTCAATTAACGAGACCGATGAGAACTCATTTTTATCTGCGAACCTGCCTTCGCTTTTCCCCAACAGTATGGACGATTCCTGGTTCTTGACACCACCGGAATGCTTCTCATCTGTATCGTCCATTCAGCTGGAGAGCTCACCACTTGAAAATTTGTTGATCGAACATCCTTCAATGAGCGTTTACTACAATTTTCGTAAGCGTGGCTCTTTAACCGCTATTACCAACGGAAATGTCATTGACGACTTGGTTGTCCTCGAAATGAGTCAAAATGACATTGAAGAAGAACAAGCTGAAAAGGTTAGTAAACTTGAACTACTTTGAAGCTTATTTGATTGATGATATTTCCAGACTTAAAAATATCTTTTTTATTCTTGTGTTTTTTGTTTCACTTTAGGTTTCTTCAAACAAACGGGGAAAACGCAACAAGAAATCACGCTCGACTGGTGTCCAAAACACTGTTTCACTCGTCCTGGTGAAGAAAAACAATAACGCGCAAAAGTCGCAAGACCCAAGAAGAACCAATCCGGGAAAAACTGCTTTTGAACGCAACAATAAATGCTATGCATTGCGTCATGCACCTAAACGTACAACGGTCATTAATCAGCCCTCAAGTCGCATGATGATGATCAACAAGAAAAACTAAACTAACACATGTGACAATTGACAACAGTTCTGAACTCTCGATACGTCAAAATTTTTCAATTTATTTTGTTCATTATTTCTACTTTAAAGCCAAAATTGGAAATTCAAGTGAATGACGGTCAATGTCACAGGTTCGCAAAAGAAACTCTTTTTTCATTTGTTGTTGTTATCTGGACATTGACACCATTCACTGATAACAAAAGAAGAAAAAAAATGTGAAAATGATAAAAAATTAAGCAAAAAAAAATAATGTGTTCACAAACAAAAATTTCATTTTATTTTGTTTTTAGTTGTAAGTCATTCTATGACAAATTCGTGTGTGTGTATTTGAATGTTATTCATTAACAATACAAGAAAGTAAACATTAATGTTTAATTTATTATTCTGATATATCTATATTATATATTGAAGAAGAAAAGAAAGAGAAATGATTCGATCTATTAAATTATCTTCTAAGTTTTAATTTTTATGAATAAACGTTGAAAGCTTTTCAAAGGGCATGAACATTCTTAACGAAAAAGTTTGTTCGAATTTATCTGAAAGCTATCAGACAGATCAATCATGTGACGGAGAGATCAGTGTACCTTTTTTTCTCGGTTGATAAAGCAATGTTACAAACTATATAATCTATCTTATTAAAATAAAATTTAATGTAAATTCACAATCATCTCAATAGAAGAACGAAAAGAAAGTCTGTTTTAAATTTAGCTTATTAATATTTGTTTCAGGTATTTTTGATCACGATTTTCTCGACACTTTCAATGCATCTAATAAAAATCTTAAATCTTGTTTTGATCGCTTGCCAAAATCAAGTAAAGTGCTGGATGTGAAGAAGGAAATTAAAGAAGGTGCCAACAATGATTGAACGACTCTATAAAAATTATTCATATAAATAGAAGAAGATTAAAAAATATCACAAAAAAAATTCAAACAAAGAGAATTTTCCATCAATCAAAGGGGAAATAAAAATATTATATAAAGTGAAAACGAAGAAACGTTCAAGATACGTTAGCGCCATCTATTGATCGGAGTTGCCGTTAGAAATAAATTTTACTAATTTTCAGCCAGGTGTAAAGTTACTCATTTTCTTATGTTTGTGTGTTGTTTTAGTGGTCATTGTATGAACCGGTAATTCTCAAAAGTTTTGTCGTGTTCCCTTAATTGAATAATTCTTCAAGGCTAATCCTGAGTTACAAATTGAAAAGCCAACAATACCGCTTTTCAAACTTTTCTATTTTTACCCACATTACAATACCAACATTCAAATTCAATAAACAAAATATATGATGGTTGAAATTTTTTTACATCTGCTTTGTTACACTCACACAGTCATATTGAGACCTCGTGTTCTTTGCTTATGTTATCCACATTCGCATGTTATATTAAAAGGGACGCAAAATAGAACGAAAAAGACTCACTCACAGGTCAGAAAAAATACAAAAATCATTCGTTCTTTCCCTCAACATCATTCAGTAATCTTTGTGCATCTGTTGAGAATATACGCGTCGGAAGCAGCATAATTTAACGGCTGATGGTTGGCGTAGATTAAGCGATTTTCTGCAATAAACTCTTTTAAATTGCAATCGGATGTATTGTTACACTTGAGGAATATCATTAATTGAATTAATTTCATATCAAATAAAAGAATAATTTCATTTACTAAAATGAAGATCAGTGAATGTAGTTTATGGTTATGCTTTATATTTTTAAAAGTGAATTTTTTGTATGGATCTTCAACTTATCCACCTTTACATCACAATTGGACCCGCATTGAAAAAATGGACACAAATGGAATTTTACAACTTCAATGGCATTTAAGGGATAAAGAAATTGTGTTTGAGGTGACTGTTAATAGTCGTGGATTCGTCGCTATCGGATTTCTTTATCAAAATCCTAAATTCAGTGGCTTCGATATGGCTTTAGCTTGGATACATGATCGTACAGGAAAAGCAAACATTTTGGTAAGTTTCTTTTTCACTCATTCTGTCTTCTCTCCATCTCTCTCACTCTTGATGTGTATCAAGTTTACAAGAAACAAACAACAATTGCAATACCTTGTTCGATGGATACTCAACGTCAATAATGAAGAATGCATTTAGTTTTCTTTTTTTTTGAGTATCCATTTTTTTTTGTTTCCGTTTTACAAACGATTTTATTTTGTGTGCGCGTAAATAGCATATATTTAAGTTCTCAAGCCAAGGGGAAAAAAGTGAAACAGAAGGAGAATATAAAAACGATGATTTCACTTTTCGTTTTCAGTTTTGGCAGTTGCACTTTTGTTTCATCAATCTTATTTTATGAATTCATTCATTCACCGAGATGTCGGTAATTTGGTTAATTTTGTGAAAGACTTGAACAAGGAGAGACGCAAAAACAAAAAAAATCTTTTGGTTTTTGTGGGTAAAAGATCATGTACAGACGAACCGTGGTAAACAAAACAGAAACTTAAATACCTTACTCACAATGATGTATTGCGAAGGGATCAGAACCTCGCCATATTTTACTTTCAGTTGTTGCGAACTGTAATCATTCACCTTGATTTGGGATGTTGTAGAAGTGAATAATAACAATTTTAAAAATAAATTAAAAATTCTTTCAATATTACACAAACAAATATTTTTCAACCAAGTTACGAGCCACTTAATCAAACCAGATCTCAGCTAATAAATTGCTTCTTCTCTGACTATCTCCTTGTGTGAATTTTTTTTTTCCGTTTCTTTATCGATTTTCTTATAACTCCACCGAAAAAAGAATTCTCAAGAATTTCTTTGCCTTTAAAGTTAGCATTCAGTCGCAACATCATCCAATGTATTTATTTAAGGCAAAAAATATATTTCTGAATGGCCAGAAGATAAGATAAGAAAACGACTTTAAATTCTTGTGAATAAATACAATTTATATCTCCCTAATGAAAAAAAAAAAACATTCTAAATCGGACGTAAAGAACATTCTTTTTAATTTGAGAGTCTTGTGAATATCAAAGTAAATTGAAATCGTTTGATGATTCTTTTTATTGAATCTATTCCGAGAATTTATTATTCTTAAAAGCGAAAAGCGAAAATGATTTCCATGATTCCACAACTAGAACAAAAGATGTTAAATGAGACAAACAATTGGTTGGATTTCTTTCACTTTTTTTATATTCTTGTGGTTATTCTTCTTTTAGATTATTTATTTAATCGAGAATTTCAAATTTTAGTCTAACATGTTTAGTTAATGAAAAGAATGTTAAAGAATCGAAGTATTCAGTGAATTTGCATGAAAGTTGAATGAACAGAATGTTAAACGTTTCGCTTTTTGTCGTTGCTTTGTTACGTGTTGCTCATAAATTTTGATGCGTTCCCACACCCGAGCTTCGCGATGTAAAGCAATTATCTCGACGATAAAATTATTGCAGAATCAATAACAAACGACGAGGAAATCTCACCTGACTAAAAACTTGAAATATTCGAGATGGGACGCTTTAAAAGTCAACTCTGTCAAAGATCTTTACTTAAATACTGGTCAGCCGTGATTTCAGATTGTTTTGTTTTTGTAAAACTTTATCAATACCAGTAATCAAGTTTTCAGTTCAAGTTCTTTTTTCTTTCCGTTTTCTTAAATTATTCTTCTGTAATTTCGCATTCACAAAAAGAATTTCTCAAAAATAATGATGCACCTGAGATTTTCTGTTCTACAATTTTATAAAAATCAGGCCGGTCGGCCGATCAACATTCGCATCCGTAAGTCAATGTTTAACTGCATGTAACACTTTTCCTGTTCTTACTTTTGTTCAACCACTGGCACTGAGTGGAAACATTGATCAGTGTAAAGAGAACGCAACAGGCGTAATAACTATTAATTGAATCTTGCTGCGAACTTCATTCGTAACTTAGAATGACTACGAAGTGAATTCTTACATACAATATTAATGACTCTTGTCAATCACAATGTTAAATTAAAAAAAGAAATCAACAGTTCATTCGTCAGTTGAAACGAGTTATCAGAATCATGTTCTCAAAGAATCATGTCTCCGATTTTCAATGCCTCGATTAAATGCATTGAATAACTTAGAAGTAAACGATGAGAGGAAAGAAATCTTTGTAACAGTCGCGCTTCCTTTAACTTCATTCATTCATTAATGATTAATTACGTATTGAAATCTCATTTGAACATTTACAATTTTCAGGATTGCCATGGAAGAAACTCAAACTTTGAGGAAATATTAAAAGACGACACTCAGAATTATATTATCGATCGAGAAGGCTATCAAAATTTGACTCACACCGTGATAACATTCAAGCGATCTTTGGAGACATGTGATCCTCGTGATGTTCCGTTTACAGCTGATACAATGAAAATGTTTTGGGGATATGGCGAACGTGACATTGTATCAACGCAACTCGACAAAATAAAGTTCAAGGCAAAGGGAATCAAATCAATTCATTTGCTGAATCCATCATTTAAAAAGCCAAACAATCAATCAGATCTTTTACATTGGGATGCAACAGTAAAGAATGTAAGAAATTTCTTATTTAATATTATTGAATGTTCATTTTAAATTAAAATTTATTTAGGTGACAATCCATGAAAATTTCGACACAATTTACTGGTGCAAAATTTTCAAAGGTCCCAATCTCGATGTGAAACATCATATAATTGGATTCGAGCCGATCATAACACGCGATATTTTAACGAAGAAAAGCACTGTTCATCACATGACGTTATTTGAATGTACCGAACGTGCATTCAGGAAAAATACGAAAGATTTAGATTTGTGGACAAAATCGAAAGGCGTTGTGTGCAATTCGAATGACTCAAACATTTTCTCTGCATACAATTGGGATTCGTGTATAACTCCAGTTGCGTCGTGGGGTGTCGGAGGATCTTCTCAATATTTGCCAGAACATGTTGGAATTCCATTCACGGGAAAATATTACATGCTCGAAATTCATTACGACAATCCCGCACATAAGACCTTCGAAGATAACTCGGGATTCAGAATACATTACACGAAAAATCTGCGAAAACATGACGGCGGAATAATGATTAATGGCGTAACCACTAGTAACACTCAACTCATTCCACCACGACAAAAATCGTTTCGAAACTTAGGCATTTGTGGTCAATCATGCACTTCAAAACAATTGAACATCTTTCCAGAGGATGGAATAAATGTCGTTTCCGTATCATTTCAAACTCATTCAGCTGGCAGAAAATTCAAGTTTTCACACGTTAGAAATGAAACGGAACTCGATAAAATTGTTGAGGATGATTCGTATAATTATAACTATCAAGAAATCCGACAACTTGCAAACGAAACAAAAGTGCTGCCTGATGATTATCTTATAGTTGAATGCACTTACGATACGCAAAAGTAATAATTGTAATTAATTATCAATGAATTGAGAATAAATTTATTTTATTGTAGTCGTAATCTTGCCACACTTGGAGGATACTCAACAAAGGAAGAAATGTGTCTTGCTTTCATCACTTATTATCCGAAAATTGATTTAGGTGAGTCAACATCAATCCTATCATGTTTCAAATTGATTAAAACGGAAACTTTTTTATAGTTGGTTGCTATTCAATGGTTCCGGTGCAAGAATTCTTCAGTTACTTTGGTGTTTATGGATTCTACGGAGTTAACATGACGGATGTTGAAAACATGATACTTTACGGTGAAGAAATTGTCAATCGTCCGCTTCCTTCAGTTAAAGACATCGTCTTATCAAACGAGGTGAAAACATCCAACGATGACTTTCATGAGCGCTATAAAAATTCACTTTTAAGTAAGAAGATTCATTTTTTAATTACTTGACATTAGTGTATAAAATTTAAATAAACATTTCAGATAAGCTCGTGATTAATGATCCAGTAGAATTCCACGACCGAACGTTTATGCGTCATCTTTATCAACTTCCGTGGGAAGATGCATCTTATGCAAGTCAATTAGAACATTTGATGACAACAGGTCGTTACATGTTGTTTTGTCGAATTGCCAATGATAGCATTCGTGCTCCTACAGAGATCATCAAATATCCCAAATATGTGAGAAAAGAGAAGGAAGTTGACAAAGCTTGTCCTTATCATATTTACCTCGAGTTGTTAGCAAACAACTCAACAAACTTACATTTCCATAATCTTTTATTAAACCTTTCAATAATCTTAACTCTCACAAATATTCTTCAAATCATTCATTTTTATTTTATGTGAATATCTTTTAATATTTATTGATGTAAATAATGTTAAAGCATGCCAAAAAATAGTTCATTAAGCTTTTTTGAATATAAAATGAAAAAAGGTAGCTTAGGATTAAAGTTTAGATGTAGCTTTCACTTAGTCATCAATAATAGATACTTAAAGAAGCAAAGACTGTTGAAATATGTTGAAGTTCTGTGCTTTGTAGATTCCTATTTTTCTTCAATTTCCTGTAAATGGAAATCATTGAATAAAAAATATTTTGAAAATTTTATTCAATTTTCTTTTACCTTTGCGCGTTTTCCAAATTTACTCCAGAATGTCACCTTTGCTGGTGTTTTTTTGCCAGCCTTATTGAAAACATTGCAGCTGTCAAAAGGCGGACAATAAAGATGAAGTGATACCGCAACGTCTGTGTTGCTTGAATTTTCAACTCGATGGAGGCCAATGTTGTCTGCATAAAATTGAAATTAATTTAATTTCATCATTTCGTTGTTATTTTAATTACCGTTTATATAACAAACATCATTAGTGTTCATTGTACTGCGGCCAATTTCCTGTAACTCCTGCACATATTCACCGTTTTCATCTTGATAAGCGCCAATTTCTCCACAGTTTGATTTAAAGTCGTTTAAAATTGTTGTTTCAGAAGTTTCTTGAGGCCAACTATATTTTACTTCTGTCAAACCTCCCTTTAGAATCTTCATGAAACAATGACTATCAGCATGATCATGAATAGCCGACGATTGCCCTTCATTCTGTTGAAAACATTAAAAGCATAAATTAAAATTGTTTCATGTACTTAAAATTTAATCTCACCCAACACAAAATCATTAAATTAAAACGATCATTTCCAGCATCTACCAAGTTCCTCGTGTACCTAAGCATGCAAATTTAAAAACAATAACAAGATTAGGAAGGCTTGATTTGTGAAAAGCAAATGACAAGTTGATAAGAATAAATTTATTTAACTGAGTAAATAAATATCATTGAGTGGTGTTGAGGCACGCGTGAGAGAAATGCAAGAAATGTTGTTGTTGCCCCCAAGGTAGATATTTGACGTGTTCTTATCACTCAAAGTTTTATAATAACTTTTTTCCAACTAAATATTTAAGTAAACTGAGTAATTATCATGAAATCTTTATTTTTTATGTGCATTTCATTTGAATTAAGGCAGATAAAAATTTATTTGTGTTGCCTTATTAAGTACAATTTAATTGCCCCATAAAGTATTTAAATAATTTTTAACAAATTTCAGTTGGCAACAAGAATGTTTCAATAAGATCAAATATTTAATTAAAAGTGGAAGTTTGTCGTAGACATCAAGTGATCAGTGTATATTGAATAAATAAATCACGTGGGCATGGAAGCAGATTTTACTATGCAAACTTTCATTGACGATATGACGAAAACGTTTCCGTTTCAATTGTTTTAATCTTAAAGATTGTAATTTCTATGAAAAAAAATCTTCCATTCATCTGAATGATGTTATAAATAAAAAATGAGCAATCAACGCACAAACTGTTATTATTTACAATACAAAAAGGACGTCAGAGAAGGTCTGTCATAAGTGTGAGGTTGTCTCAAACAGAGTTCAAGAAAAAGGCAAATCTGAGAGTAAAAACTCATTTAAGATAACCTTTTGATCTTCTGCTTTATTTTGGCCGAAATAACACATAACAACTTGTAAAAATATCGCTAAGAAAATGAAATTCCTCTTCTATGACTTTGTTATCATATCTCGGGTAGAATAGACCAGAAGCAAATTCAAAAACAAAATTTAAAATAATAAAAGAAATTCGCCACTTACCGATAACGATCAAATTTCGCTAAGAAAATAAATTAACAATGATTATTTTAAATTTGATTTGTTATGTGAAAGTTATTTCCCTACCATATTTTTTCCAGTCGCTAAAATTGGACGTGTAAACCATCATGAGATGATTTACTAGCCTAGAAAAGTAATTGTTACGATCAACGAAATATTAAGTAAATAAGTCATATTCTCACTCAATATTAACAGAGTCAGACGAGAAGACGCAATGTAAATGTCGTGTCAGCTCATCTAGATCTTTCACTACTCTCGTGTACTTTTGCAACAACGGTTTTTCGATACCAAAAAATGATTTGGTCAACTCTCGTAGTGCACGTTTTTTACTTTCCTCGTCATCAACATGTAACATCGACATTTTTCAAACAACTTTTCGTAATAATTTCTATCAATGAGAATTAAAAATATTGCGATTTATGATTTTTTTTAAACTGACGTTATCAGACACTTTCACTTTGTATGATGCGACTAAGTGAACTCTCCCGTTTTCTTTTGTTTTTTTATTTTATTATTTCTTTGAAATTATCAAGCACTTTACTGATGAAACACTTGAATAAGATTGAATTATTTTTGCTGTTTTCAGAGACTTATAAAACAAATATACTCATATGCCTTGTCTTGCTGATTACGAGCTCACTATGGTATTCTCTCTCGATTACTCTGCTTGCACTTAACTTTGTTCTCCATAATGTAATAATGAGTATTCGGCAATATTCCCTATAAAACTCATCCGAAGCATGTATAGCCGAGTTCTTATCAAAAGGAATTTTGATGCTTCCAAATTCACCTGAGCTTTTTCTTTCACTTACCTTTCATAATAACAAAAAACAAAAGCTAACTGTAAAACAGATATTAAAATTACTTAAACCGGCCCTTTACTTTCTTATTATCAAATTTTAAATTGCACAACAGAGAAATGTAAGAAGAAAGCACAAAATTTTAATTTTACCTACCAGAAGTCTAACGCAAAACTGAGCTTAAGTCAGGGTAATTAATATTTGATTGTTTCACATTGGTTTATTAGAGATTTCAATCGTTTTTAAAATACTCATGGTTTACATTTATTTACTCATCGCTCATTATCTTTTTAATAAGAGAAAAAAACGAATTCATTTGCGTCTTGTCATTCTCAAAGTCTTTTCAATCTCAAATTGACGCACATCAGTTCGTTCTAAAAAGTCTTTGCGCTCCAAAAATCTGCGAAAACAGATAAAGTTCAATATTTAAGAGAGTTAAGCAAATATTTTCTTCTTTCTTACCCATCTCGTCCTCTGTTATGTGATTGAAGTTCTTCATTGATACCTTCATTCTGTTTAAAAACATCCCAATCAAGTTTGGTTTTCTCAAGCATATTTAGTTTGTTCTTCTTAGTTAGTTGACTTAAAACAGAACCAAGTCCACCAGCTGGTCGTTTATTTCCAGGTGTTAAAGTTTTTGTTGTTGACGGAGATATTTCTTTATCGCTTTCATTGTTCTTTGATTTAATTTCAACTATCTCGCCTGCAAACTCAAAGATTTTATTTGATTCTATTGGAGGCGTTGGTTTCTTATTTGGAATGGCTGGTTTAACATGTAGTGAAGAGGAACTTGCCATTTTTTTTTCTTTTTCACCACTTTCTTTTGTATCAGTTTTTGATCCTGTGTCTCCTAAAAAATCAGCCCATAAAGCATCAGCAATACGTTTTTCTTCTTCGATGTCTACTTCCTTTTTGAGCTCCTCATTTTCGGTTTTTTCTGTTTCTGTTGATAATTTACTTTTACGTGCTATTGAAGGTTTCTTTAATTTCTTTTTAGATTTAGTCTTTGAATTTTCCTCAACTTCTTCTAAATCATCACCATCAGGTTCCGAATTTTCACTTGGAGTATCAACTTCTCTGTCTGGGCGATAATCAGAATCATCGCTGCTTAATTCATTTTCAAACTCTGCATCGTTTATCATTTTAATTCAATATTTTTCAAGAAGCTTTCTGATCTTATTCGTAATTTTATGCGTACAGGTTTTTACAAAAAGTTAAAAGAGCTAAGCAAATAAATAATATTTAGAAAAAAGAATGATTATTTTCTAGATTTTTCTTAAAATTAAAACGAATGTTGATGAATCTTATTTTTCCCCTTTCAAATGCGCAATAACATTTTTGTCCGCCCGTCAAAGTATTGAAATTCTCAATCAATTGCAGATCCAAGAAGTAAGAAGTATTAAAATCCTTGAAGTCTTTTTTTATTCTGTAGAAGATTACAACAAATTTAACTAAGACGTATTCAGATTTCAGACATGATTCGATCGTTTTCTCTCGTGAGAGCATAAACGATTTGTAATTTTTTCAAACTTGTTTTTTTTACTGAACTCACTAAAAATTTGTTGTTGGTAATTAAAGATTTTTTTATAAATAGCACCACGAGGAAATCAAAATTTATTAGAAATAAAATTTAATCATTCATTAAAGTCAAAATGTATCTCATGTATTATTTGAATGAAAAAGGAGAAAGGATTTACACTTTGAAGGTATGACTGATAAAGTTTTAAAGGATGTTTAAGAACTTTTTGAAATGTATATGAACATTTTTTTCAGAAAAAAAATCCTGATGAATTTCCCACCGTAACAGCTCATCCTGCAAGATTCTCACCAGAAGACAAGTATTCCCGCCATAGACTGATCATCAAAAAACGATTTGGAATGTTGTTGACGCAAACCAAAGAGCCGGTTTTTTAAAAAATTTCTATATGGACATCTACAGTAAGACCTTCAAAAAAAATTAAGTGAATTTCTATCTTCTGTAATTTTTATGATAAGCATATAACAATAAACATAACTGAATTCTTCTCTAAAATGGGTTATTTTCAAATTCATATTTCTTAATTTTCGGCTATAGGCCTCTCTGAAACCTGGTAAAAAAAATGCTTTCAAGAGAGAACTTCCTGTATCACTCACGAATAACCATATTTAAAATGAAACAGCTCTTTTTACAGCATAGAATCGTATTTGCTTGTTTATGACATGAACAAGGATATCGAAATACTGCTTACCTGTATAATTTCAAACTTAATCTGTTATTTTGAACTCCTTAAGCCACTAGTTAAGTAACTTGGCTTAGAGTTCAATTTTATGTACGTACACGAAATTGATTTTGGCAGAGTGTTAGTGAAAGTTGAAAATTCGATGAAAACATTTTTTAATTTCATTTTTAAAACTTGGAAAAAGTAAATATTCATCATCCAAACATAGATCAATGTGAAGATTGAAGTATAGTTTTATGTAGGAGCATCACATTTTGAAAATTTGTGTGATAGTTGAGTTGTAAATTGATTATTAAAAAATTTTCTAGGATACGCTTAGTAGTGTTAGTGAGACAAATTTAGAGCCAAAAATTTTAATAAATATCAGAATATGTCAGAAACAACAATTGAAATCGATAATGAAACTGAAATCAAAAGCACCTCTTCTGCTGCTAATGATGAGTTTTATGATGCAGAAGATATTGGTAAGATATGTGATCTTTGTAGATAAACATAAAACTAAACACATAATGGAACAAGCAAAATTTGATATCAATTCTACCCTACCAGCATAAACTTTTTTCTTCACTCCCTCTTTCATCTGAATCATTGCTGTTACTTCAATTGCAATATGTAGATAATTCATATTATTATTTTAGACTTTTCTGTCTTTTTTAAGTCTTTAGTTTTTTTTTATTGGAACACTCACACATACACATTTTGAACCAAATTTAAGGTTATGTACACTTTAGAATTATAAATTTATTAGATTAAATTAGTGTCCACTTAATAATATTTATCTTTGATAGACAGCAAATAAATTGTACTTTAATAAAAATATCTTTATAAAATCTGACTGTCGAGTAGTCAAAAGTTTCTTCACACATATTACCTACATATTATCATATAGCGTAGTTGCAGGCGCTTCACGAAACCAAAAGTAAATTTCCAAATTTTAAACTGAGTAGGGTGAGGGAACAATAGACGCAATCATTAAAAAACTCATCGAACTTATTGAAATCCAAGACTATATTAAATTTTGCCATAATATCAATTATTCCTTCATGTGAGAAGTTTTCACAAAAACATTTTTTAAAATATAGGTATTGCAAAGGGAAATAGAAAATAATCTCGTCCTGAAATTAAAAAGAAAATCAAATGTTTTAATCGGAACTGAGAAAAGGAATTACATCGAATCACTTATGAATGCAAGCTAAAAGGGGTGTATTCATGGAGCTTGTATTCATAGCGAGTCGACTGTATAATTCTTGGATTGTTCTGTTTATGTTTATGTATTTAAATGAATTAGGGCTTAAAAAGGATTGACTGTTATTTCGTAAACATTTTGGATACAATCTTACATATTGACACGTCAAATTTTCAGCAACGAATTTTTGATCTCGTCTCATGCATTCAAAATTACTTAATTCTTACTTTATTAATAAATCTTTTATTTTTATTAATTATTCGCAGACCCAATAAAAGATGTTAAAGAAGATGATGAATTAATCGCAGAAATCGAAGAAGCAATAAGATCATCATCGCCAGTAAATTCGAATGACACAAAATTGGCTGAAGATGATGTTACAGTTGAAAGCCAGAAAAATGTTAGTTTAGAAGGCACCAAAAACATTGAAAAAGAAATTTCTAACTTTGCAAAGTTGGTTGACCAAACTTTAAAAAATGATGAAAAATCTCTGAATGAAAATTCGTCAACTGAACATACAGAAAAAGAAATTTCTGAGTTTACAAAGAAGATTGATGAAAGCTTAAGGGATAATAACAAAAGTTCTCAGGAAAAATCGCAATCAGACAGTTCACTTCAGATACAATTGGATGAAGAAAGAGCAGAGAACGAATTATTAAAAGATCTCGAAGATGATGATAAAAATGACTTCGAATCTGTAACGCAAGAGGTTGAAGATTTGCTGAACGATACAATAAATGAGCAAGAAGAAGAAAAGATTTCATTCTCAATGACGAAGAATGAAATTGTCGCTGATGTAAAATCTCCAACTCCCATTGATGAAAAAGTGATTGAAGTTTCAGAAGATGAATCAGAAAACTCCCAAAATGAAGTTATCGAGAATGATCAACCTAACGAAAACTCTACAGAAAAAGCTAAAGATATCGCGGAGCAGATGGAAATTGACACAGAAAAATTGGCCGCTGATGTAAGATCTCCAACTCCCATTGATGAAAAAGTGATTAAAAAGTCAGAAGATGAACCAGAAAAATCTGCAAATGAAAATGAAAATATAGAAAATGTTACAGAAAAAGAGTCTGATCAGAAAATGAAAGTTGTCGAGAATGCAAATGATCTACACAGAGAATTCTCAACAGAGGAACTTGAAGATATCGTTAAGCAGATGGAAGATGAAGCAGAAGTTGCCGCTGATGTAAAATCTCCGACTCTCATTGATAAAAAAGTGATTGAAGAGTCAGAAGATGAACCAGAAAAATCCGCAAATGAAAGTGAAAATTTAAAAATTATTACAGAAAAAGAATCTGATCCTAAAGTTAACGTTATCGAGAATGAAAATGATCAACTCAACGAAAATCCTACAGAAGAAGTTGAAGATATCGTGGAGCAGATGGAAGATGAAATAGAAAAAGTTGTCGCTGATGTAAAATCTCCAGCTCTCATAGATAAAGTTATTGAAGAGTCAAAAGTTGAATCAGAAAAATCTGAAAGTGAAAGCACAAAAAATGTATCAGAAGTTAGAGACGAAGAAGGTTCTATCGATGACAAAGAAGTTGATGGCAAATCTGACGAGCTTTTACTCGCATGTGATTCACCAAAAACTGATCTACCTGTCATTCAAAAAGACGACGACACATTGCCATCAACATCCAATGCTGATGTAACTGATGCCATTATAGAGAAATCACCAAAAGAAGTTAATACCGGCGTTGACGACGCAGAAATCATTGATGAAATTGAAGAGAAAAGTTCTGACATTATCCAAATCAAGGAGAACACAAACAATGAAGCTGTCTCGGATGTTGATGATAATAAAATGAATATCGATGATGAACAAGAAGATTATGAACTGATCTTAGAGACCATTGCTAAAAAGAAAGATTTTTCACCCAAAGAGATCGAGGACAAACATTTATGTATAGTTTTGGATACTAATGCAGATGAAGTCCCAAATCCAGTATTGCCATCACTCGAGTCAAGTGGAGATTTCACTCCTCTTAAATTAAAATTCGCGAGAAGATTTTCAACAAAAGTCGGAAAATTATCAAGAGCTGAGCTTGAGGAATTAGTGACACTTAAGATTGTTGAAAATATTATGTTCACTTCAGACACTTCGAAACTTTTAGCAACACTTCAAAAACAAGAAAAAATCATTGAGAAGTTTAGGAAAAGATTAGATGATGTTGCTAAGCAATATAATGATTTGGAAATGATTCATAAGCGTGTAATGAAAGATCTTCAAGATCGACCAAATGTACCAATCATACCAGTCAAAATAACACGAGCGGTTGGTCTTCAAGTGTCTCAAGGAATAATAAAAGCAAAATCGAATGCTTTATCTGTACAACAAAAAGGTGTTAAAAGACCTTGTGAGCCCAGCACATCTGCAGCAGCAGCAAGTGGATCTGATTGTACGAAACGTAAGAAAATTATTACACCAATGCGACCTCCGTTAAGTGATAAGGAACGTGCAAAATTAGAACAGCAAACAAAAGAGGAACAAAATCTCTTAAAAAATATCAAATCACCATCACCTAATAAAATTTCTGTAGCTTCCGTTATTCCTGCATCTATAACTGTAGTGCCAATAAATGGAACAGCTTCTAAGTCCAAGACAATGAACTTAACTAACGCCAGTATCGATCTCACAGATGATGAAGAAGTAATGACTTCAATTCCTTCTTCATCTAAAGTAGTTCCCGTTCAGCAACCTCCAGCTCTCGTTGCTATTCGTGCAAGTAGTCAACCTCAACATATGCCTCGTAATCAATACATGATGCGGTCACCAACTCAAACTAATCTCCAAAGATTTGTACCACAACGAGGTAAATTTTATATTTTTCATTTCAATGTTTACATCTTAAAATTTTATTTTCATCATTCAGCAAATCCTGTCCATCGTGTGTCTACAATAAATATAAATACTCTGCGAATGCATCCAGCACCACTACCTAACACAGTTAACACAGCTCAAGTTTCTAGGCCAGGGATGAAAAAAATTCCACCTCGACCTGTAATTAAAATAAACAACGTTCAAAACGGACAAAATGGGATTATCGTATCTTGGGCAATTGATAATTTGACGGCAGATTATGCTGAAATCCATAGTTATCAAATTTATGCTTACGAAGAGACGAGTTCACCTCCATCGGTTGATAATTGGAGACATGTTGGAGATGTAAAAGCTTTACCATTACCGATGGCAGTCACACTTACACAATTCCAAGAAGGTGAGAAAATCTTATTTTATGACATGAAATAAAAATATTTATTAAGATTTTTCTTTTTCAGGACAAAAATATTATTTTGCCGTTCGTGCTGTTGACATTCATAAGCGATATGGTTTATTCAGCGCATCTCGAACTTGGACTGAAAAATAAATAAACTTTTTAATCATCTTTACAAAAATACTTTAATAAAAAGATAGATAAAATAATTACTTGAATTTATATTTGTGTAACGTCTCTTTTTTCAAAATATATATTTCGAACACAAAAATGTTCGAGATTTTCGAAAATATTCATAAATAACATCACAAGTTTTCGAAATTCCTGGTTTCACACAAATTTTATCATATTTATAAACAATAGAAAATATCATATTTTCAAATAATTATTTGACTTCAGTAGATCGCGATTCCTTAAACTCTTCACAATGTTCTACCGAGCAGTACAGAATTAGCCAGAAGTGAGTGAAATAAATGCTAAAATATTTTTAAGAAAAAAAAATACAAAAAAATTGCGAAGAAAAATTCCATTTTTTTCTTATCCAATATCTTTCACCTTTGCGAATATATCAGTGTTACAATATCATATTGTGGAAATGTAGGAATGTAATTGAAAACAAATATAGTGAAAAGTCGAATCAATAAGCCTTAAAGTCGTTTATGGAAAATTTGCATAATTTTTTTTCTCTATTCTCGTCAAAAACAAAAAAAAAACGATAATTATTTTATTGGCACGTGAACACCACAAAAATAACTTTTATGCTGATATATTAAAAATTGTTCAAAAGAAGTATAAATGTGCTTATCAAAATTTATTAAAGTGGTTGAATTGAGCGATAAGTTTGAGAAAGAAATGTAATTAGAATATTAAGTCTCAAGGTTACTCAATTAACACACGGCGAAAAAAAATTCTGTTCGTATGTGAAAACCTGACGTCGTCGGCTGCGTATTCAAATATTTGTTATTCTAATTAAATGGAAATCAATTGGAAGTGACAATGTTATTCTCATGTGTCATGCTTTATTAACGTTGATTCTAGTGAGCATTTTTAATTGACTCAGTGACTGTTGTTGTCAAAAGTGCATTCACCGAAGAGAAATCGAAATATTAAAAAAAGTTTATGTTCAATGGTATTGCTGTGCCACAGCAAAAGCAAACTTTAAAAACATTTTCATTTAACAAGACGAGGAAAAGAGAAATGTTGAAGTGTATTGTTTAAAATGTTGTCGCAGTATCTGTTATTATTATTTTTTGCGGTTTAATGCAATATGGAGTAATTCAGTGAGATCTCTTTCTACTTTCTTTACAGTAATTGAAGCCTAGTCACGCTACATTTTGTATTTTCCATTTTATTTTGAAATGGTAAGAATAAATTTTTATATCGATTATTGCAGTTTCAAAAGCTTTCCCTGTATTGATTGTATCAAACTTTCTTTTTCGTTATTATTATCGTTGAAAAGGAAGCATCTATTTCCATTATAAGATGTAACACTTCTATCAACTACTATGAAATCTATTTTACTTACACCTAAGTCAACCAACACTAATCAGTTATCAGTTGGATCCTCAATAAAAAGACATGAATCATCATCATCATCATCATCAACATCATCATCTAATTCAAGACACCAATATTTTCTGCACGTAAGCAGTAACACAACAACGAACACAGATATTATCGTCGGAGAATCAACTGAAAAAGATCATCACAGTAATAAAGTGTTTAGCAATAATAAAAAGCAAGTGATAAGAAACAGATGTAATGTAAAAACCGATGTTGACAAATTTAAACGTGTCGCGGAAAGTGTTTGTGAAAGTGGAAATATTTCCAAAGACCACAGTGATGATCCAAGACGTAATATCATAAAATTACAACAATTAAGTGATAACGATACAGAGTTGGAGTCTCTGGAAAGCCGTCCGCTCATTGTGGATAATAAAATAACAATTGAAAGTGAGAATCAAGTAAATGGTAAAGTCCCAAAGTTGATAAATCTTCGTAAGAAGAATGGAACAACCTTAATTTTTCAAAAGAAATCAAATGCTCAAAAGCATCCTAAAGCGAATGACTATCAAGAGTTAGAAAGCTTCAAGAAACGGCGCAGTTTACCGCACTGGCCTAATAACACCGGTTTTGCAAGCAACAAAACTGATACTAGTAATCGCCATTCGTGGTATGATTCTGATTATCATCATCATCATCATCCTCGTGCCATAAAAGAAGAAATTGACGAAATTGACGTAAGTCTTCTATTTTTATACCACTATGATGACTATCTCGCATGTTTTGAAGCTTTTTTTGTTTGTTTAATGCCATATATTTATGGATATTTATGTTAAAAAATCAAGAAGACGTCTCTGACTTGTTTTCAATGCGATAACGTAGCCTAGAAAATTTTCTTCTTCATTTATCCTTATTAAAAGTAACACAAATTGTTGCATCTTAAAATAATTATAATTTAATTGTCTCTGAAAGTTCATCAAATTTATTTCAATGAAAGAAAGTTGCAATTTGTGATTTAATTACAATAATTTTTCAAACACTTTTACTTCATTTTCTTTCTGTCTTGATCATCTTTAAACAATTTTATCGTTTGCTCTTTTAGTTCAGAGTAAAAAAGTAATGAGAACTGCTGAGAAAAACCCGTTATAGAAATTCTTGTGTCAGTTTGTTTATTGTCACTCTCTCTCTGTCTGTATTTCTTACTCATTCCATCGTGTTTACACTTTAGTTCTACTTTTGCACATTTATTATTAACTTACTATTTAATAGTTAAACGGTTGAAGGAAGTGAAAGATATTTTTCTTCTTTTGTTGCGAGATTTACTTGCTTATTTTAATTAATCTCAGTTCATCGTTTGCTATTAAGCGGTTCGCAGTGTTTGCATTTGCAATTTTAGTTTCCTTCATTTATTGTTGTAAATTTATTTCAACAAAGAAGTCATCATTATTATCGTTTAGCTTCTGTTTTTTAGTTGTCTCCACTGTACTTGAATCTTTCATTATTTTGTATTTTTTTTATTATTTCTCATTGAAATGTTTTTCCGTTTCTGTTTTTAGCCTTCGTTGACCCAATTATCTTACAACGATTACAATCTGGCTGACATAAACAACAAGAAGACAAGTTTTGGATCATCTGTATTAGAAGGTGCAAGTAGCGTTGAACATGTACCTGAAATAATATCAATGAAGTCATCAATCGATGGAAATGCTACATCGAGGCGATGGCGTATCGAGCAATTTCTCAAGAATTTGGTGGGAAAGAAATCATCTTTAGTCACAACAACAGCAGCAAGTCAACCAACAGCGCCGGTGTCAGTTCAAAAGGTAAAGAAAACGCCATCAGAACATGATTTGTTACAACACGAACAAGATCATCAAATAAATCCAAATCCTGAGAGTATTTGTGGCTCAATGATGTCGTTGAACAAAGAGAAGCAACAAATTCTTAATAAATCAACAGCTTCTCTCAACTCCACATCAATGTCGATGGTTCATCAGAAGCTGTGGTCAGTTGTTCCACTTTTAAGTCGAAAAGATGGCAACAGCTGCAGTAATTTACTTTCATCGAGTGATATCAATAATAAAGTGGAGGTGAAAAGTGGAAGTATAAGAAAATGTGAAACATTCTTAGCTTTGTCATCACATGATCCTATCAATAATATTAATAGCTGTAATAATTATAATAATAGTCGCCGCTCACAATATTTATCAGTTCCGTCAACATCCGGATGTAATAGAAATCATTCAAAGTCAAGCAACAATCTTTTAGAGCCAATAAAGCCATTAAATCGTTTACGCAACAGTCAAAGTTGTTATGTTGTTGAGCATGGAATGAGCTCATCGTTGACCGAATATGATGCCTTAGGTCAACCACAAACATGTTCACGATGTTCTAGTCTCTTATCATTAGCAGCTATAGGCTCAAACTATTCACTTAATGTCACAAACGGTAATTTCGTTTTAAAGAATTGTAAGCATCAACAACGTCATCACGAGTCATTACCGGTATTTGAAGATGAGATTGATAACGACAATATCAACAGCAATAGCAGCAGCAGCAACAATTTATTGGGAAATGATTTAAATCGAATCGAACCGTATCAGAATAAAAGCAACGTGAAATCTTCTATCACGAGGATTGTGTCATCGTCAGGTGTAACGAAATTTACATGCAAATTATGTTTGGGTGAATGCACAACTGATGATAAGATGACAAAGATAGCATCGTGTGGCTGTTTCTTTTGTACTGAGGTATGTGACAAGCACGTGATATAATCAATAATTTTAATGATTTAAATTTAATTATTCAACAGTGCATGAAAGCTTATGTAGAGTTTGAAATATCGGAAGGTGCTTACGAGCTTTCCTGCCCCGATGCTTTATGTCAAGCACAAGGAATTGTATCACTCGCTGAAATATCTCAATTGGCAACACCAAGTTTGGTTGCAAAACATCATCGATATCGATTAAATAGAGGTTTGCTTCTTTTTCTTATTTCCTTGTTCGTCTCTCATCGCTTTTATCGTTTATACAGAAGTCGAATTGGATAAAAATCGCTTATGGTGTCCGAATAGAAATTGTGAAACAATTTGTTCAGTTGGTCCACTTGATAAGCCGTCATCATCATCAACAACACATTCACAGCCATCTTCATCGTCAACAACCGCTCAGTTGCTTTTACCACGAGGTGTTTTATGTCCAACATGCACTTTGGAATTTTGTTCAAGTTGTAAGAAGCCGGTAAGAAGCTTGTTTAATAAACATTTTTGTTTCTTCTCTCCCTCAAGCTATCATAGTTTAATTAATAAAAAATAAATCTTCATTAGTGGCATCCGTCGATCACATGTGAAGAGAATTCTAGAAAAGTCGGTGGACGACATGATTCGATGTTGCTTTTTGACAATGACCTCATCAAATGCTGTCCAATGTGCGCTGTACCAATAGAGAAAGATGAAGGCTGTGCACAAATGATGTGTAAGCGTTGCAAGCACGTTTTTTGTTGGTATTGTTTGGCGAGTTTGGATGTAAGTTCACTGCAAATCATTGAAGATTTTGTTTCTCTTATTTATTCGATATTCTCATCGTTTAGGATGATTTCCTGTTGCGTCATTATGACAAAGGTCCTTGCAAAAACAAGCTTGGCCATTCACGAGCATCTGTTGTTTGGCATCGAGCGCAAGTTATTGGAATTTTTGCTGGATTTGGAATTTTATTGCTTGTCGCTTCGCCACTTTTATTACTTGGTAAGTTTTTTATTTATTCAATTATTCTTTTGATTAATTAAATGTTATTGAAATTTCAGCTGCTCCATGCATTGTTTGTTGCAAATGCAAAATAGAAGAATCAACAACAGCATCAAAACTCGACGTTTTGCCTATGGAAGATGTTCGTCGAACTGATCATCAAGTATGAGTTTGAGACAACAAATTGACCTTTGCTCTTGCAAATATTCATAAAACTTCTTAATTATATTTGATGGAAGTTTAACAAATTGAATTTCGACGATAGTCTAGTTTTATATTCAAACAAAACCAGTTGTTTGTTGGGATGTGATGACACATTTTACATTTTTTTGTTAATTTTTTTTTATTTCTCCTACAAATATGAGAAAAAGCAAACAAGAGAAAGAAATATTTTTTTAGACGTGCGAAATATTCCACGAGAAGATGAGCGATTATGAATCGACATTTATTTTTTAGCTATTTAAGGTTTTTTTTCCTTTCTGCAAACTTTGATGTAATTTTGAAGGCGACACAAATTTCTTTTGCATTTTTAATTTCTGTTTTCTTCCTTCTCTTGCGGTTATCGTCCGAGATTGAATTAAAGAAGAGAAAACTGATGGAAGAAGAAATATTTTTAAACACGTCACTGATTTGTATTAAATAATGTTGGAGAAGACTCATCAGTTTGCAGTGCAAGCCTTGCACTCAAATTGGTTGATTAATGTTTGTTGAATGGAAGAAATAAGTGAAAAGTGTCATGCCATTTAAAGCTTTTAACATTTCTTGATCAGTTTCGATGATGGGAAACGCAAGTCAACTTGATATTTTTACAAATGTACTTAATTATTCGTTAGATGATTACATAAAACACTTGCTGCTTAGAATGTTAGATGAGGGAGATTTTTTGAAGAAAGAATGAAGCAATTTAGATCCGCAAATTATCCCCAAACTCCTTCTGAAAACATCAGAAATTTAATAGATAATAAAAAATTGGAAACAGACTTTGGAAAAGTTTTGGAGAGCTTCCTTGAATTTCCTAAGTGAATTGGTTTGAAAGCTTAACTCATAACAGCACGGAAATTCATGAAACTCTCCAGAAATTTCAAAAGTTCTCTTATTGGAATTGACAGCTTTGTCTTCCAACAAAAACATTAATTTAAAGAAAACTAGAAATTTCAAATAACATTCCAGATTTACCTACTTACGGTTGCACTTAATCTTCTTCAATTAATTGAAAGAAAAACAAGATATAATTAATAAAATCATAATTTCGTTTTGTCATGCAAACAAGTAAATCACATTTGAAGAACAAATAAAGTCATTTTTCGTTTATTTTATTCACGTAATGATTTATTGTGTTTTCTTTTTTCCTCGTACTTGTTTTGGTTGATTTTACGTGAGATTACTTAATTTATTTTTCCCTTCATTTGTTTTGAACAACAAGAAGAAGTCACTTCAAAACTTGGGGAAAACAATTAAGTTACGTAAATATCGATTAAAAAAATTAAAGCCACAACAAATTTCACTCAATTTACTTCTTTATTTTATTTTCTTTTTAAAATTTACTTGGAAAAGCTTTCTTTTAATAATCTTTATGGCAAATATCGAGGTATCTAATTTGCAGCACGATTTTCTTATTTAAATGCTCAACGAAGTTATCAAAAGGAAAAAAGTTTTATTTTTTCGATTCTTGCATGATGAATTCTATTAAAGTCCTTACAGGTCGCCCCGTCATTCCACTTCCCATGTATGGTTGATCTGATGTCTCACTCATCACTCCGGCAATGTCAGCATGAAGCCATTTGGCATCTTTCGGTACGAATTCTCTTAAGAAAGCTGCTGCTGTGCAACTTCCACCGCCCTTTCCTTTTCCTAAATTATTCAAATCGTAACCATCGTGTTCGGTCATTTGATTAGAGTAATGAGAAAAGAGCGGCATTCGCCAAACTCTGTCACCAGTTTCTTGACCCGCATGGTGAATCGACTGCCACAAGTCATCAGATGTTGAAAATATTGCAGTTACACAATCACCGAGTGCTACTCGAACCTTTAAATCAACAAAAAATTAAAATTAGGGAATATTTCACTGAAATTTGTATTTGTCTACCGCTCCAGTTAATGTTGCGATGTCAAGAGTCCATAAGGGTTTGAAATCATTCGCATAACTCAAAGCATCTGCAAGAATTAATCGACCTTCGGCGTCTGTGTTATCAATGCAAACACTTTTGCCACTTCGTCCGACAATAACGTCGCCAGGTTTTGTTGCTTTATTCCCTGGCATGTTTTCACATAAAGGTATGAAACCTTTAACGTTAACCTTGACTTTTAACTGTGCAAGTGCCCAAATGCAGCTGGCAACGTTTGCTGCTCCGCCCATGTCAGCTCTCATTTGATCCATTTTCGATGATGGCTTAATGCTAATGCCACCTGAATCGAATGTGATGCCCTTGCCAACTAAAGCAATTGGACTTTTTGATGAAGTGTCGCCATTGTAAGTGATTTCTAAGAACTTTGGAGGTTCTGACGAGCCAGCACTTACCGACAAGAAAAGATTCATTTTCTCTTTTCTTGCCCATTCTTCTTCATGAACGATGACTTCGACATTTGGTAAGCCTGCCAACTTCTCTTTAACAGTTTCACAAAAGATTGTCGGTGTGAGAAGATTTGCAGGAGTTTCCATCAACGTTTTGGCAAAATTTTGTGCATTACCAAAAACAATTCCTTTCTTCCATTCATCACTTTCCGCCCCCGCACTATGAATTGAAGGAAATTCAACTTTGTTTGTTTTGTATGGTTGAAATTTGAAATTTGCTAAAAGAGCACCTTCAGCTGCTGCACTCGCACTTCCCAAATCATCGACATAAACTTCATTAATTTTAAGCGATTGAAGTGATTTAACGGCAGCTGCAGAAGCAATACGAACACTTTCATTGACCTAAAAAAGAAAGTTTTTCTTTCATTTTAAGTTTTAACAAACAATCAAGAGAAACTAACGCCATTTATTTGATCATGTTGATCCCATTTTTTAGGATCCAAAGCGGTGATTGCAATGGCTTTGTAATCTTCAATCTCCTGTCCATACAGAATCCTTGTTTTACCACATGAAAGACTCTCACAAAAAGCGCTTTAATTAAATAAATATTTATTTATATTTGAAGTGATTACGCGTTTAAATAACTTACGTGTTGATTGCGTTCAATAATTTTCCATTTGATTTCTTATTTATTGATTCCGCAAGTGGTGTTAATGTTATCTCATTATTTTTATCAGAACCGTTCTTAGACGATTTTGAATAAATTCCCAAAACAAGGCCTTTCTGTTGAGGAAAACAAAAGAAGAAAATATGAAGAAAAATATTAAATAATCAAACGTCACAACTCACAGAATGACTACTCATTGTCCGCTTATAAAGTGAAAACGATCTATTCGTTGCCAGACGTGAAACCATAATATAAGTTAGGGGAGAAAATGCAGCTGAGTATACAGACGTCCGCGATTAAGAAACCGATTAGGGTCAATTCGAATGTTTTGCCTTGAATTCTGTGATACGAAAAACACATCAAATATCCTTGATAATTAAACATTCACATAGTTACAAAGTTTAAATAGGAAATTGAAAAATGATCAAAGTCTATGATGATTGCAATGAACAAGTTCTCCGTAACATTTTAACAAATCCTTATTCGATAAGATTAAAAACCGCGATTTCGAATTCAATTTCAAATCTTTTTAAACCGTTAAATTTCACAAGAGATAATTGATTATCCTTTTGGTCTTTTATTTGAAACTCTTTGCAATAATTTTCTTATCTTATATAGGATTTAACAACATTCCCTATCATTTTTTAAATAAATAGAAATATTTCTTAAGAATGAAGAATCATTTAATGCAAGTTTTTATATTATATTTCCATTTCAAATGGCTTGCAAAATGTCTCTTTGAAGAGATCAAATGATTAATTTTTTTGATTCGTGAAGACATGAGATAATTGTGTAAGATTTAAAATTTTAAACTCCATTTAACTATGTCACAGATTAATTGCTTATAATTTCTTCAGCTTCTCGTATGTTAAGAAAAAAAATATATTCCATGGACCCATTCGTAGAAATGATGGAACAAAACCTGAAAAAGAAAATAAAAAAAGAAGTAAACAAAATGTCAAATAAGCATAAAATTTGTTACCTTTGTAAAGCGCCATGAATCCTTCATTCCTTAAAATGCTTGTTAAACATTCGAAGCTATTTGCAAAATAAACTGTCGATTGGGCAACTGAAGTTGATCCGTAAGAATTGAGAATTTTTCTCTGATTCATTAGCCTCGTACGAATAACATCTATGGGACATGAAGCAATCGCTGCCAGAAGTGACGCAATAAAAGAAGATATGAAATGATTAACAGGATGATCACCAATAGTGTCTAGCATGTAATGTTTGCACAAGTCGTAAACTGGAAGTTCAACTGCAGCAATTGTCATGGCTCTTTGGCTTGTGGGTATCACTCCTCTGTAAAGTCCTTTCACTCCTTCTGTTCGATAAATCTCATAAAAACATTTATAGAGCGGTATTCGATTCTTTCCTTTTCCTTGTACTTGCATTCGAACTTTAAGAACATCTGTTGGATTTGCTATTGCTGATGAGAACGCTCCAGCCAAGGCAGCACAAGCTACATTAATGTACATGTTTTCTCCCACGGTTTCGTCGTCATAGAAATGCGATACAATGACATTTTTCAGGCTATAATAACTTCCAAACTTTAATGTTCCATACACTGATTGTCGTAATATTGCCGGAGCAATTCCTGAATAAAGTGATCTTAATCCTTCCTGTTTATAAATCTTTAATCCACAGTCAAACATCCCATTATATTTAATATTTGTTCGACCTTCTTGTATTTGCAATCTGGTTTTTGTTGTATCGATAGGAAAAGTTCCTGAAATTTCGAAGAGAGTTGAATGTCATAAGCTTTTCAAAACAATTTTGTCATAAATCGATCTTAACATTAGTTAAACTTACCAAATTCCGCAACCATAGAACTTATGCCGCCACATATGAACGGTTTCAATTTTTCCATTTAACTATAACTTACGTTTCTGTTAATTTATTTCTATCTCTTGATGATATCTTTTAGGATTTCTCAAAGTCAATGAGTATTAAATTTCAACTTCGACACCACAAACTTTTAAAATCCGCCAATAATGTTGACATCAGAAAGAAATTAGGTAATATTTCGTTCATTAAATAGGTTGCTAGAGAACTTCTTTGTCTTTAATATAAAACAAATGCAAATCATGTTGCGAAAGTATAAAATTACTAATGGTTTTATGAGAAAATCATTTTGAATTTTGTTGTTTGAAAATTGCGCGCTTTTTTCGATACTTTCTCAACAGTTTGAGGAAATAGAAGAAATGAAGAATGTGATCGATGAAGAATAGAAATCACCTACCTATTAAAATAACTTTCATGTTGCATCATCATTTCAACGATTATTCATTTCATTCTACATTGAACTGATAAAAACGTAATGAACATATCAAATGAAATATTTACAGTAAATTGCATAATATAAATGATAGTTTTGTAATAAATTTGATTTTAACATTTATCGAATAATTATTATAAAAGCAGACACTTGATACAGATTGTTTTAATCTAGTTTTTTCGAGATCGACTTACTAAGGTGGTTTTACCTTGTCGTACATAAATAAGAATTTAAATAATCATCATGTGGCGCTAATATATTCAATATTAATAAAAAAAACAGATGTACTACAATGTACTGATGAAGTTAGGCAGATTGTGTAAATGAATGTTGTTCCTCAAGAATCTTTTGTCTTCTATTTTATTCATCATACGTCGTCGTCAACAAATATCCTTTTGAGTTTGTGTGATTTTTTTACTGAGGGCGAGTCAGTCATGTCGTGTTTCGGAATCTTAATCATCTCGAAAAACTTCTTTATTAGTTAGACTTAGCTGTATTAGTTTTCTTTTGGAAATACCTATCTAATTTAAATTAGATTAAAATAAATGAAATGTATTACAGTTTTACTTCATATAAATAGGCGTTACGTTAAGTAATTGAGATCAAAACAAATCTGAATTTCTTAAGAGTCATTAGTTGACGCGAACGAGTCGCGAAATTTTACTAATTATATTTAATAATGAAGTACTTTATTGTGTTAATTTCATCAATATTGGCTTGCAATGCTGCACCAAGTTTAATTAATTATCAACCAACAGTTTATAGTTCTGTTCTTGCTGCACCCTCAGTAGTTCATCTCGCATCAGGGCCAGTGCTTACTCAATATCACTCGCAAGATGGATTAGGTTCATATAGTTATGGGTATTTTAAATGAAATAATAAATCATCATTTAAATGTTGATAAAATTTCAATTGTTTTCATAGTTATGGGGGTGGACCATCAGCAAAGTCTGAAGTGAAGACACTTGATGGAGTCACACGTGGTAGTTACAGTTATGTTGATGCAAATTCAAAATTACAAACTGTTGAATATGTGTCTGATGCCTTGGGTTTCCGTGTCGCCGCTACAAATTTACCAACTCCACCAGTAGACAATGGTGTAGCTCCGGTTGATCTTGCAGAACCCCCAAAACCTGTTGAAGATACTGTTGAAGTGAAACAAGCACGTGCTGAACATTTGGCTGCTGTTGCAAAGGCTGAAAGTGAAAGTGTTGCTTCCAACGATCTCCCAGAAGCTCCTAAACCAGTCGAAGATACACCTGAAGTTCAGAAAGCCAAAGAAGAACATTTGCAAGCAGTTGAAATTGCCAAAGCTCGTTCTTCTGAAGCTGTTGTTGTTGATTCACAACCAGAAAATGTTGTTGTTGCCGCCGCTCAACCACAAATAATTCACGCTCCACTTGCCATCCAACCTGCAGCAATTCATTTAGCGGCCAGTCCAATTGCTGTTGTGAGATCGCATCCACCTTCATTTGCCTATTCAGTTTACGCTCCTGGTCATCAAGTCATTTTGGGATAAATTAATGCTGTGAAAAAATTCTACTACTGACGCTGCCATTTTTCAAGTCGAATAATATTGAACTCTCGTAATAAAACATCGAGAATAAAATTTCTTGTTTCTTTTATCGTTTCATTTTTTTCCAGTTGAAAGAAACCAATTTAGTCATAAACAAGTTCTTAAATATCTTGTGATTACTTATGTTGTCAAGACCTAACTTGTACTTTCATACTTCCTTATAAATAATTTCAACTTTAACTTCTTCTTAGAATATTCACGATATTGCCTTTGAAATTCATAATGTCATTGAATGATTCTTGTTAAGTAAAACCTGTTCATAGTCAGACGTATTTTTTGGATTAAGTTTCAGAACTTGACAGCAAGATTAGCAACATCTATTTCTATTCAAAGATGCGTCCCACGAAACTTGCTGTGAGACAATGAGACAACCTTGGAATTTTTCATAAAGATTAGAAACTATCATATAGGTAATTAAGGTATGTATTTCAATCTAATCAGGAGAACAAGTTAACATTATTATCTTCCATTTACATTTCGTTACTTCTTGATATGTTTTCTCAAATATTTAAGAAAAAGAGAACGAAAACTTTCATAGATTCATATGACGAATTGTAAAGTAAATCCCAAAGATTCGCGGATTGGAAAAAATTGTTTGGAATGCAAAACCGAAATAAATTCTCAGCTTTTCTTAACGAATTGAAATTTCCATCTTTTTTAGTAGTTTTAGTTATTCCATGAAGTTATCTAAATGTCTAAAACGAAATTAAGAAGTAGCGAGAAAATATTTTTGTTTTGTGTGAGGATACAAAAATTTCTTACAGTAGAAAAGAAAACATGCGAATGAAAAAAATTGAGAAAAGCAAAATTAAAAATATAGAAAGATGGACTTCAATTCTGCCTTAATGATTATTGAGCTTGAAACCAGCTCCAGCCATGATGATGTCGAGATTCTTCTTTAACAACAATAAATGGTTTAAAGTCTTTTGATCGATTTTCTTCATCAAGGCTGGATCGAGATTGCCCGATTCGATGCATTGAGGACGTATCGATAGAACTCCGTCAGATACGGGAATGTTGACATTGGCTGTTGTCTCACATATGCTGTTAATAAAGAAAGTTTTAAAAAGGGGAAAATGCATAAAATAAAAATGAACTCACTTTGATGGGACAATCGGACTTCCAGTGACTGAAAAAACAGCTTCGCCAGCTCGTGCATGACGTAAAAGGGAGATTGGCCTGTTTGGATTAACTCTCGGTGTGATGCAGTTAAGACGATCAACACTAGCCGCTTTTTGGCGCAAAGCGCTACTCATTGGAGTGCGATACTTTGAACGAGATGTGTGAGTTCCTTGTTGATTTTGCTGTTGCAATGGAGTTCTTCCTTTTGATGAGGTCATCATAACTCTCGGTCCTGGAGTAACGTATGCTTTCTCCTGAACGATACTGGACACTGATTGGCTTCGACGACGTGTCTTCGTTTTTCTCAAGGATCCGATAACTGAAATGTTCTGACTAAGTTCCAATCCCTGTTTTTGACAGACAGATCCGTTTTCAGATCCAGACGTAATGCGACTCTTATTGCTGATAGCTTCTGTAACGTAGCCTTTTTGAAGTAATTCAAGTGCAAAAAACAGACATAGAGAGTGAAAAATGACAGATGGAGGATGAGAGAGAAAATACCAAATGCACCACAGATGAAAATTAGAAATAAAAATGTTAACTTACCTTCATCAGCTTTGTGACAAGTATCTTTAAGTGTAGCATTCAAATTGCTCATTTTCTCAACAACCATTAATTCATTGATGTCTTTAACATTCTTCAAATCTCGAATTTTTGTCTTCAAGATGTCATCAGAACATGAGCTTCTAAGTTCTTCGAATAATGCTGTTATTTCTCTCATCTGTTTGTTGTATCCCGATTGAAGTTGTTGAATTGAGTTTTCCACTGGAAAAAAGTTTCAAACTTTTAAATTTTTGATTGAAATTGACTTTGTAAATCATGTTTACCTTCAATATCATATTCTCTTAAAATTTCTTCTAAATCAGCCGTGTTTTCTCGTAATCTTTTATTGCTGAGAGCATTACGATTGATTTTTGTTCGTGGCATGTTGTTCTACGCTTTTAATCTGTTAATACTTGATAGAATATTGAAATAAATGTTTAATTTTCGCTCGCATAAAACTCGACAAATTAACAACAAAATTGTAGACTTTTTGAAAGTTTGAATTTGAATCAAAATGTAACGGAAATTAAATCCAGATTATTAAATTACACTTTATTTGAATAGATAGCTTGAAAATACCTGCATGTTAATTTAATTAATCATTCAGCTGAAACAAAATTCATAACATAAAATTTTACATCAACTAATGTTGCATAGAATTAATGTTTCAATTAAAATAATTTAACGGAAAAATTTCAAAATATTGAAAGCGTTTTCAATCTATTCTGAATGCAAAAAATTCTCAACTTGGTATCAACTCTTCAACTTACAGAGGGTTTCATGCAAACAGTGCCATTTAAAATATTTAGTTCCTTTGATATTGAGACATTTTTTTAAAGTTAATCTGATAATCCTTGTCAAAAGTGCAATTTATTATTAAAAAGTGCCCTTCGAAAATAATAAAAGCCTTAAAACATAGAAAGCACTAATTAAAAGAGCGAATTGATACGGCAAAAAGTGATTTTTACTTGAAGCTGAGATTTGTGATTGATTTTTTTTTCTTTTGACTGAAAGTGTGGAAATTCTTACTCAGCAAAATATTGCTACAACTAATAACATAAATCATCCTTCCATTCTTTAAAAGGTAAGATTGAAACTTTGTTTAGGAGTATCTTTAGCATTAAATATGATAGACTATTATAGACGAAATTTTTAAAGAAGGAAAAAAAATCCTTCATGATGCTAAACTTCTCCACAATGAAATTTCATTCATCTAACTTAAAAAAATAGCATACTTTTCGTTGAGCATCATAAAACTTAAATGTGTCGTTTTGTAACATTTTTCTTGACATTTGCTTTCTCGCTGGTTTTTACAGTTTAAGTATACACCTAATCATTTTCACTCTAGAATTGAATATTCATGTTCATGTTTATTCTCCCCCGCAAAAAAAAAAGAATGAAACAGAAATTACAAAATGTTATAATGAAAAGTTTACGAAATCAGAAACATTTTACTTAAATCGATTGTGATAGTTTCTCTGTTTAATAACATGTTTACAACCCCATTGAACGTGTTGAGCATTTTCACAAGTCTTGTTTATGCTAATTGTTTAGCTTGCATTTAAATCCAAAAAATTATAATAAATAAATATTGCAATAAAAAATGAAATATCATGCTCTTCTGAGTCACATTTCTGCTTATCATAGAGAATAAATTTAATTCTGATACCATCAATCGTGTAGCTTTTGTAAATATACACGCTGCAAACAAATTTTTGTTTACTTCTTAATTCTGAAATAATAATGATTCACGATATACACATTCGGGGAAGCGAGTGACGAATTTTTTTTTCTAAGAAAGAAATGTGACAAGAAGTGAATATCTTAAAAACAGCGACAAATTACAAAAAAACTTTGAGTAAAAAGTTGTAAATCACTCACTCATAGAACGATTAAAACTTAATATTTTCAACTCTCATGTGACAGAAAAAAATTAGAAAAATTTGGAGTTAGCTAGAGAAATTAAGTCAAAAAGATAAATAACAACAGTTTGATTGATGTTTCTGTGTCGAACCAATTAGTGGAGATAAGTTCTTTGTGTCACACACTTCGTAATTTATTTTTAATTAATTTCGAAGTTTTGTTTTCTTCTATATCATCGTATATTATGATTAGAATGTTTTTCTTTTTCATTTCATAAATAATAATATGCTCAATCATTCCTCGAAGAGATAAAGAAATAAAAATATCTTGAAAATCTAGAAGCAAAACGCTTACAAGGTCGAATGAAACTTGAATGAACTTTCTTCTTCTTCTTTAACGCTTTCGTTCGTTTTCGTCTCTCAACATCGAACCGGAAATTACTAAACTCTTGGTCTTACTTTACAATATGTTTTTTTCTTCTTGTTTATTGTTACGCTGGTTAGATAGTGAAGAATTTAAAAAATTATATGTACACATGTTCGATTTATGATGAGAAAAGTAGAAAAGTTCTCGCCTCTCTGGAGCCTAAACTTTAAAAATTGTTTAAATAAGTATCATTGATATTCATTTCACTCAAATGCTTCGATCAGAAAAGATTCCAAGATTTGAATAAATATCATGAGTTCTGCGAGACAGTTTGCAAATAATCTCGAAAGTTATTTGTTTGGTGATAATTGTTTGACAACTATCTGACTTTTCTACATGTCATCGAGTCTCTATCTCTGTTTACATTTTATTTGTTTGATTTCTTACCTATTCGTTAATCTTCTTTATAAATCAATTGTCTTTAAGATGTCAATAGACCGTACAGACGCCACACCATAAAAAGTACAAACAATGAAATTAATAAAATGCCTGGAAAAATTTTTGTTCATCATTTCTGTTGATAATTTCAACTTTTTACCTATCAATCACTCGTCCATTCATACCTTCCAAATTACCTGGAATCAATCTTTCTTAGAATGCAGAAATGCTTCAAAATTGATAAGAATTCTCGATATAAAAAAGAGAAGAAATCTTTTTGGATTTCAGTTCATTTCAAACGCTTCAAGAAGTTTCAATGTCGTGTCGAAATTTAGTTCTGTTAACGTTGTTGGTTGTATCGGTCAGTGGCAATGGGCCTTGCGTTGGGAGAAACAATGTTCATGTGAACGATTATACTGCATGTCCATTTTATTTTTTTTGCCTCAATGGATTTGCCCATCATCTCGTTTGTCCGGACGATCGATGGTTCTATGACAATCCAGTACCAGGTTGTTACAGGCCTTTAGAGGTTCCTTGCGAACCATGTCCAAGTTCAGGGATAACAAGCATTAGAGAATTAGAATCGTGTACGGCTTACAGGTTGTGTATAAATGGATTTCTAGAAAGCAGACAATGCGCTCCTCGCACTGCCTTCGATCCAAATTTAGGAAGATGCGCTCCAGAACATACAGTTGAATGCTTATCACGATGTCCCCGAACTGGAGTAATGCTTATTCCCGATCCAAATAGTTGCCAACATTATTTTGTTTGCGATCATGGACAAGAAATTCGAAGATCTTGCATGCCTGGTTTGCTTTTCGATCCTGAAAGAAGAACTTGTGCTTTACAGCAAGATGTTACATGTGCAATTACTTTCAATATTCCTGAAGCTCCGATATTTGATTAACGCCAATAAAACATAATTTATTCAACGAGTGCAAAAAACATTTTTGATTTCTTTCAACTTATGTACAGTCAGAGTGCAGTCAAATATTTCTTTTTTCTTATCTAATCTTTTGAAACGTTTTTTGATAACTAACAAACAGCATGCGTTTGAAAATGTCTCATAAATTCTTTTCAGTTCAAAAAATCCCCATACACACGTCAAATATAAATAAAACTTAATAATATTATGAGATATAAAAACAAAGTTTCAAAAATCACAAACGTGTATATGCGTCTTTGCGAAATTGATAAGATAAAGAAATTAAATCCTTTTTGAGTCGATTGAACGATAAGAGAAATAAATATCGACATGAATATGAAAAATATTTCAGTTTTTCATGAACAATCAAACGGAAACTTTTAAGAATGGAGATTGTAAAACTCACGATGATCAGTTTTTTATTTGCGACAGAAATCACGTTAATTAAAGCAGACAATCCTTGTGAGGGACGTCATTTGGAGTTTGTTAATGATTATTCAGACTGCACGAGATATTTTTCTTGTCTCTTTGAATTCCCACATCGTAAGCAATGTCCAGATGATCGTTGGTTTTCATCTGACCCTACACCAGTTTGTCGACCAGCTGGAAGTTTTGAATGCGATCTTTGTCCCGCAACTGGAATAGTTTCTGTTGGTGTACCACAAACATGTTCATCTTATCGTTTGTGTATAAATGGAGCATCTATGGATAGAGAGTGTGCACCAGGAACGTTGTTTGATGTGACAGAAGGTCGATGCAATTTGGCTGAAAATGTTGATTGTGATTATCAAAGATGTCCAGCTGAAGGCGTTCTAATAATACCCGATCCAATAGACTGTCAACATTATTTAGTTTGTGATAATGGTCAAAAGTTTAGAAGAAGATGTTTAGATGGCCTTTTGTTTGATCCAATTTTGAATTCATGTGCAATTGCTGATGAAGTTGATTGCATTAATCTAACTTAGCATCAACAGAATAAAGAAAACTGTAAATAAAGTCCCAATGGAATTTTAATCGTCTTTGCTTATCTGTCTTCAAAATAATTAAAATAAATAAAAGCCATAGGAGAAGTTTTTAACACTTTTACAACCTAACAGCGCGCCAATCAATTGAAGGAGTAACGGCACATGTCTTACTAAAATAGAATGTCATAAATTCATGCTACAAGTTTATCTTGTTTTCATGATTGATCGACAATTCATGGCGCACTCTCAGATTAGTAAACAAATGTGTTTCTGTTTGCGATTATTTCATATTTTGTTATTATTTTCTTTCTCCTTTTTCTTTTTACCGATACTGAGCGTCTTATAAAATGCATACGATACGAAATGAATGGCAAAATAATCTATAAACTCTCGCTTAAATTTCTTATAATATCAACTTACTAACTCGCTTATTACTTTGAAATGAAAATAAAGTTGGCAACAATGGAGAAGTGAAGAAAAAGTCTTCATTTCGAGGGATATAAACTGATCGTTCATCTTATGTCGATTACTTTACGTTCCACTTTACTGACTTACTTATAAATAAATAAAACTTGATAATTGATGTTGGATTGTAATTATTATGACATCGAATTGATGGCATTCAATATTATTTCTTAATGATTTACATTCAACAACATGAAGTTGAAGATAGTCAAAGGAAGGATGAGATGAGAAAATTGAATTGTTGTAATACATAAATATTTGTCGTTTTGTTGTTTTCAAGTCTCTCAATTAATGTGAATTTCCTCAAAAAAGAAGTAATTATCTCTCCCCCACTTGTACACATTAAGCTCACGTAGATAGATTTAGTAATCGTTCATCTTCGGATTGATACACGAGAGTTTTATTGCTGATTTTATTTTAATTCATTTCGTTGTCGCTTTCAACAGAAATAAATAAATCTTCACATGTGATAAATCAGTTTTGTTATTTTATTATTACTTTTTCTTTTCGAGAAACAGTTAGAAACGATTAACCACGATGGCGAATTATTTTAATGGTCTGTTTTGTATTGTTGCTTAATTATTTGACAGATTCCTCTCGAGAGAAGAATTTTAATTTGTTTCGCTTCTTCATCATTTATGAGTGATGTTGGTTTCTCTTCTTATTATCTCGACTTATCTTATTCTACTCATTTTTGGTCTCTCTATTTACAATAATAAACGTGAATCAATTGATTTGTGTGCGATGATAATATTTCAACTAACGATTGTAAAAGGAAAAGAAAATGATAACGGATCAGAGTTTAATTAGCGAAGCCTAAACATCAAGACATTTGATTTATTTAAATAACAAGCTCAGCATGACTTTCTCAGACTTACATACAAATCATTAAATAAGGTCTCGTAATTAATCGAAAAAAAAAAATCTGTGCTGCTTTTCTTTTATCAATCGAATCGAAGTCTGAAGAATTATTTTTAGATCCCAAAAAAGAAAGAGAAAGAAATGAAACATCTCGTTCGGTTTGATGAATGAGACATTTTTTTAATCTACATACTAAATAAAAAAAAAACAAACGAGAGTGATCATCAATAAATGTTTTCTTTCTCATTTCTTCTTCATCTTACTCTAGCATACTTTCATAAAATACGCAGAATGGATACAGATGATATCGAAACGTCAACGAGTAGTACCATGTCGAGTTTGAACAGCTTGTTCTCGTTCACAAGTCCTGCAGTTAAGAAGCTTTTAGGATGGAAGCAAGGCGACGAAGAAGAAAAATGGGCTGAGAAAGCAGTTGATAGTTTAGTGAAAAAATTAAAGAAGCGGAAAGGTGCTATAGAAGATTTAGAACGAGCTTTGTCTTGTCCTGGACAACCTTCAAAATGCGTCACAATTCCGAGATCTCTTGACGGTCGTTTGCAAGTAAATACAAACATTAAGAATTGATTATGAAATAAATAATTAATAATTTCTTGTTGAAGGTGTCACATCGTAAAGGCTTACCACATGTTATTTATTGTCGCGTTTGGCGTTGGCCCGACCTTCAAAGCCATCATGAACTCAAACCTATTGAATCATGTCAGTTTCCATTCAGTGCAAAACAGAAAGAAGTTTGTATCAATCCTTATCATTATAAGCGTGTTGAGAGTCCCGTTTTACCGCCAGTTTTGGTGCCACGTCATTCAGAATTTGCTCCTGGACATTCACTCTTGCCAATACATCAATTGGTTGAACCTTCAATGCCACACAATGTTCAATATTCAACAACTGGCTTCACATCGCCACACATGGGACCTCAAAGTCCACTCTCGCCACACAATTTGGCACCACAATCACCAATGTCATCGATCTCGAGTCCTGGACCGGTTCATTCGAATCCTCAAAGTCCATATTCAACTGGAACTCCACCACCAGCTTACACTCCACCCGAAGATGGAAATGGCAATGCAAATGGAAGTCAAGATCAGGCAATGGATACGAACATGGTTGAGCCGGTGAGTTATCAAGAGCCGCCATATTGGGCTAGTATCGCGTATTACGAGCTCAACTGTCGTGTCGGTGAAGTTTTCCATTGCAATTCAACATCAATCATTGTGGATGGATTTACAAACCCTTCGAACAATTCAGATCGCTTTTGCTTGGGACAATTGAGTAATGTTAACCGTAACAGTACGATTGAGAACACGCGACGTCATATCGGGAAAGGCGTTCATTTGTATTATGTTGGTGGCGAGGTTTATGCTGAATGCTTATCAGACTCGGCAATCTTCGTTCAATCTAGAAACTGTAATCATCATCATAGTTTCCATCCGAGTACGGTTTGTAAAATACCGCCAGGTTGTTCATTGAAAATCTTCAACAATTCAGAGTTCGCTCAACTCTTATCGCAATCTGTGAATCATGGCTTTGAAGCTGTTTATGAGCTAACAAAAATGTGCACAATTCGAATGAGTTTTGTGAAGGGATGGGGAGCTGAATACCACAGACAAGATGTTACTTCAACGCCATGTTGGATTGAGATTCATCTTCATGGTCCGCTTCAATGGTTGGATAAAGTTCTCATTCAAATGGGCAGTCCACATAATGCCATCAGTTCGGTCTCATAAAGAAACTTTTTTATTCAAGCGTTGATTGACATTAAAGAAAGAATTCATTTTGATTTTAAGGCAGCATGGTTTAATAAATAATTAAATAAATAAACGCAGTCAAAATTCTATATAACAACAACAACATAAATCTCTAAAATGTGAACAATAATTCAAACTTTAATCCGAACCAAACATAAATTCAAATTTATTGCGTAGTCTGCACTCCCGTGAACAATAACAGCATCGATTATGATATATACAAATTGTGCTATATAGAAGTTTGACTGTACATACTGTAAGCCTTGATATAAAATTTATATTAAATGTAAGATACTTACGATAAGAAATTCTTCAGACATTGATTGTTCATTTGAGTTTTTTTTTATGAATTATGTTTCAATTTAAAATGACGATAAAGAGAGAAAAATTTAGACAATTTTCAAAATATTTAGAAGAAATTTAATGTTTTTTAAAAGATTGCAAAAAGACAAAATTATTTTTCATTTTAATCGTCTTTATCTTTGCAATGAAAAAATGAAGAACAAAATCCTCTCTTTCGAAAGAAAAATCTTCCCTTTAATGAAATCTTAGTAGATATTTAGTAAAATGAAAGCAGCTACGGTATTAAAGATGTAAGTTTTTTCCTTTTTGCAATATTTTCCTGCGGCGAGTATAAAATGTTCGTTAACGTAGAAAAAGGTAAAAAGCCAACGGAATTTCGAATCGCGTCATCACACTTTCTGAAGTCCGTCACAGGTGTTATTCCGTTTCTCACAATAAACATTCACAAATTTGATGAAAATTTTCTTTTTCTCTCTCGCTTTTCAAACTTTTGTGCAGCCATAAAATTTGCCAAACTTTAACTAATTTAGATAACAACATTTACTTTATAATGTTTTGAGGTCTCAAAGATATTCAAGAATGTTTTTATAGTTATCGTAATTAATAAAATAAGTTTTCCCTGTCTTCTCTTTGGCCTTGTTATACTTGGTTCGCTATTAAATAGACTTCCAAACGTGACATATAAAGTCATGATTATGATTAGAAAAAATGAAGAAGTTAAGCTTTATCTCTAAATAATGTTTTGTTTTTTTTTCTCATTTTATCAGAAATATTTTCGCTTGCTTTTCCTCAGTTCTTAAGTAAGAAAAAAAGAAGAAATTTCATTGTATACAAAAACATGTTTCATGAGTAATTACTTATTTAGAATTAAAATAAAATGAAACAACAACAGAAGGTCAATGATATTTACAGACCTATTAGAAAACTACTTAGCCTTGTAAAATGCCTACAGCCCATCGATATGATGATGGACAGAGATTCTTGATGGTTTTACGATAAAAATTAATGAAATAGATTTGTCTTAAATCAAAACACATTTTTGTTTTATTAAATTTATTTACAGGCTTGAAATTTTTCAATGATGAATCTGAAATTTAATTACTTCACTTTCACTCGAAACGATTTCATTAATTCACTTTCCAAATATATAAATACACTTTATTTTCATGAAAAAAGAAGAGGCTTGAAAATTACAGATTTTCTTCGAAATAAATTTAAAACTACAAAAATTATGTTTTGCTGAACTATTGAAAATGATTCAAGCTTCAATTTGAACAGTGACATTGCATTGTTTTGAACACAACGCTAACATTTTGGAAGAAGAAGTTAAAATATGAAAACTAATGAAACATGAAATTAAATTGTTGCCGGTGTTAATAAAGTGGCACGTTTCTAACACGAGTTTCACGATTAACAATAAAGATAAATCTACAAATTAACAAGTGAATTAAAAAATTACAAAACAAAACTTCAACCCTTGAATAACTTAGCCATTTAGATGGGAAATTAAAAGGTTCAACTATTAATGCGCTATGAAGCTGGTTGTTGAAAATGCTACATGATGATGATAATTACTTATCTATGTTAAATTTTATCTCGCGAAAAGCTTGAATAAGTGTAACACGTTAAGCAATAAACGTGAAATCCATTTAACTTCAGTTTTGATTTGATTTAATGACACAAAAAGGTAACATACTATCATGTTGGCAGGTTTGTTGGTTCATTAGAAATGATTTTAATTATTCTGTTATTCATTCAATGTGCATTTTTTTTGGTAAAAATATCAAAGTTTCTCTCTATCAGAAGAGAGAGAGTTTTCTTTTCTTTTACAAGTTCAAGGGAAACAAAATCTTCATCTTCAATCTTTTTCATTCATTCATTCGTTTCATTTGAAATGTTTAAATTACGAGACTTAAAAAATTTTATGAACTGATCACTTAGAAATGTTTTTGTTGTTTAATGAGTTTTGTCGTACGAATCTTTGTGCTGATACCCAGCAACATAGCCGCTACCATCAGGAATGTCTTTACGACCAGCAATGCCTTTGCCTTTGCCAGTTTCATCGAAACGTTGCTTATGACTGCCAGTATATTTGGAAGTGTCAGTTAGTCGGGCTACAGTTTCGGCAGTTTTGGCTGAGGCCTAAAAAAAATGTCATTCATGAGAAAGAACAAAACAAAAAAATTTCTCTCACCTTTGTAGCCGAGTTGGAACCTGGTGCGCCACAACCTGCTAATTTACTTTTGATCTCTGACAATTCAACCCCCTTCGTCTTAGCCAAATCTTCCAAAAACTTTTGATAATCAACATATGAGACTTTCAATGACTTCAATTTCTTGAAATGAATTCCAGTGTCAGTCGTTGTAATTTTCTTATCAATGACACCTGCTTGCTTCATCCATTTGTCGCTCTGAGATAATGTTATCAACTTTCCGTCTGACTTTACATCGCCAAACTTTGAAAATAATTTAAACTGTTCCTTTATGTTGCCAGCACCTTCTGCAGGAGATGGAGAAGCTGGTGTTGCAGGTTTTGCTGATCCATTACTCGCTGCTGCTTTGGGGGTCGTATCGATTTTAAGATCAGCGACTTCTTTTACTGGAACTTCAGCCATTTCTCAAATATTTCTTTCTCTTCTAATTAAAAAATATCACAAGAAAAATTGAAATTAAAAGTTGTTTTTAATAACAAGCATAAGCAATCATTGAAAGTTAATTCATTCCTTAAAATGTTCATGAGCAATTGCAATATCGTCGATTACAGAATAACAAAATTTCTATTAGAAAAAAACTTTCCCGCTGACTTAATAAATAGAAAGAGGTTTTCATCGTAGCTATTTGAAAGTCGTTCCTTCCTTAATTGGGTTATCAAGATTTACAACGCACAGCACATTTCTTTTGTATTAAGAAATAGAATGTCACGCAAGGTGTAAGAAAATAGAACGAAAGTTTGTTGGTAATTATCTACTTCTTTAAAAAACATAATTTCAAGCTTTTTAAACGATTTTCTTGCGGTTTTGTTGATGTCATTTCTTCACAAACGAAGTGTGAAGTCAACAATCACTTAGTGGCTTTGCGTTATGTTTTTATTCATTTGTTGCGTCATTAAGAGACTCTTTGTTAGTTATTTGAATGATTAAATATTAATGCTTTGACATGCCTAACGAATCTTAAAAACAATTAAAGATATTAATTGTATTTTTGACGTTTGTAGCATTCTTTCGGAAGTCTAAACATTATTTAGATTTTCTTTTATTAACTTCACCCCCATGAGGGTATGAATAGCTTCTCGAGCGAGTATTAATAAACATTAAATCGGCTTTGATTTCAATTCGTATAAACTCACATAGAATTGCTTCTGTCCAACACAGTTCCATTAACGTATCATAGCTTAACTATTGTTTATTAAGGTCTTGACTTTATGCTTTCAAATTGAATTTATTAATAGATGATAGAATGCAAATAAATTTTTCAATTAAGAAAGTGAGAAGAGAGAAGAAAAAGTTCGATATCTACTAGAAAAGAAAAAAGATGAATTGAAATTGATGATATAGAAAATATTTTACAAAGTTGTCGAGGCGAATGCTCGTTGTAAACACCACTCGTTTTATTTTTAAGGCAGACATAACAACATCAATCGATTTTCTATCATCAAAACTTATTGTCAAGCCATTCCATAACATATCGAGAAGTAATGAAAGTTTTGATTGTTCACTTTATGTTTAATAAAAAAAGAAAATTGTCAGTCGTCATAATAAAATTTTTTCCTGTTTCTTCATGTCCACCTTGTTTAATCACTTAGAACTTTTCAAATTACTTTATCAATAAGTGTGTACAATAAAAAGTATCTAAGATCATTTGTCAAATAAATAAAAAATCCACTTAATGCTAGGACGTAACGTAAAGTTATAAACTATTAATAACATCATCGATGCAAGCAAACAGTAAAAATATGTGGTGAGATCATTAGTTGATATTTATAAGCAGATCAATTGTCCGAAACTCCTTGAAGTATTCCATCCAAGGTGGAATGGATCAAAGGTTTACAAAATGTAAAAACAAAGCTTAACTGTATGAACATCGATTCCAATATTTATGAAGTTTATTGGGATATAAACTCATACACCAGAAACTATGTTTACGAATATTTTTAAGAATTCCCTGCGAAGTGACGGCCCATGACTAAATGCAGAATGTCACGCAATCTATGATACTATAAGGAGTGAAATGGAAGACTGAAAGTAGGTCCTTGGTTGAGTTTAATCGAATACATTAAGCCACCCTTTATTTGCAAAAGCGGAAAAGTTTATAAATGATAATCTAAAAATGCCGACAATGATTCTCAGCTAGTAAATCGTTCTATGTGACGTCACTTTAGATTTTTATGTAAAGCTGATTTCCATCGGGGAAAAAAGCCAAACCCTCAAAAACAACTTTAGACGTTATGCGACTATTACCAAGTCTTTGCTCGATTGTCTAATGTCATACTCAAGCATCAAATCCAGCTGTTTCATAATCATTTGAAGGTCATTTTCTAAGCAACGCATAGTTTATTTTTAAACAGCAAATTTGATTCATCTTTTAGTAGTCTTTCGCGAAAAAGAGTTTTGTTCATAGGAAATATTTCTACATTGCCAGTGAAGAGAAAAAAAATGTTATTCTCATTCACCAGCTTTTTTATGACATCATTCATGTCGAAAATAAAAAAAATTCACACATAGATATCGCATGAAAGTAATTAGATTGAACTTGTCTATCTTCAAGGTGTCGTTTGACACTTGCGTGCTTCTTAATCTTTTACTGATAACAGCGGTGAGATAAAAATTTGTTTGTAAACTTGCGAGAAAATAAACGCAGAATTTTTTGTTGTTTTAAATCGCTTCAATTGCAATATTAAAAGAACGCTCACGATAATATCAATTCAAAGAGAAACGATAATTTCCGGGCGTGTTATAAAATTATTGTCGTTGGTGGCATAGAAAGCGAGCGTAGTTTTAGACAATTGATTTTGATTAATTCTTGATATCTATTCAAATGGGTTGCCGTTGAAACTTATTTATGATCTCAATCTCCCCATAAAATGTCTCAAATTACTTATTGTTGAATCTTGAAATCATCACATTTTATCTATTACTTCATGCCTCTTAACAAATTGTTAAGTAATGTTTACCAACTCTTCGTTAGCTTTTTAGATTTCAAAATTGTGAATCGCTTTTTCCCTCTCCCACTTTTTTTTTCTTTTATGAAGTTGGACGAAACGACTCTTATTTNTTAAAGTAGAGGATTTGAGTGAATGAAAAAAAGACGAAGAAAATCTACAGTTGTGCAATTTCAAATCCCGCCTGAACAAATATTAATTTAATAAGCAAGATTATCTTCAAAACTAAATGTCTAATTACAGACACAATCAACAAATAATGCTGACTCATCTGTTGTATGTATAATAACAATCAAGATAAATGTTCTTCCATCTCATTTTCACGAAATAGAAAAAACGAAGAACGTTTGTACAACTTAGATGGTAATCAATTGAATCTTGTCAAAGAAATAAAAGATCTTGGTGTGGATATAACAAGCAGCGTAAATTTTGGAGGACACATTAGTCGCATAACTTCCCAAGCCATGAAAGTTCTGGGTTTTGTTAAGAGATTCACAAAAGATTTCAGAGATCATGATCTTTTGAAAGTTTTATATTGCGCACTTGTTCGACCTCATCTCGAATACTGCAACATTGTTTGGTCTCCCCATGCGCTAGAAAACATCAGGAGGGTCGAATCAGTTCAACGGAAATTCACTGCAATGGCTTGTAAAAGGATTGTTCCTCAACGAAGTTTGTCGTATGATGAAAGATGCAGTTTCTTGAATCTAGAAACGCTAGAAAAAAGAAGACAAAATGCGGGCCATCTATTTGTAGCAGGAATTCTAAATGGCACGATTGACAGTAATGAATTGTTGTCTGCACTTAACATCAATACCTCAATGCTGACATCAAGAACGGCTCCACTCTTGCGGGATTTATCAAGACACAAAACGGACTACGGCAGAAACAATCCATTGTCAAGAATGGCTAGAGAGTTTAAGCAAGTACAAAGTCATTTTGAATTCCATCGTAAGAAAGAAGACTTCAAAAATAAGTTAAAATTAAATTGATTGATTTTAAAATTTATTGTTTTGCATTGCTATGATTTGCTTTTATGATTTGTTTTTGACTATGAATGTAAAACATGTAAATTGATGACGTTCTTTATGGACTTAAGGAGTCTGTGGAATAAAATGTTATTATTATTAAAGAGAAACGATAATTTCCGGGCGTGTTATAAAATTATTGTCGTTGGTGGCATAGAAAGCGAGCGTAGTTTTAGACAATTGATTTTGATTAATTCTTGATATCTATTCAAATGGGTTGCCGTTGAAACTTATTTATGATCTCAATCTCCCCATAAAATGTCTCAAATTACTTATTGTTGAATCTTGAAATCATCACATTTTATCTATTACTTCATGCCTCTTAACAAATTGTTAAGTAATGTTTACCAACTCTTCGTTAGCTTTTTAGATTTCAAAATTGTGAATCGCTTTTTCCCTCTCCCACTTTTTTTTTCTTTTATGAAGTTGGACGAAACGACTCTTATTTATTTAATATTTTCTTAAAAAGATGGAAAAATTAAAGAACTAGAAGCAGTTTTCTCTTTTATTTTGATAATTGACATCTCGAGATAAAAAAGCACTGTTGAGTCATCGGACTTTTACATCCTTAATTTCTGCGCATGTGCATTATTGATCCTTTGAGATGTTAATTTTCTCTGGAGATGATTTCTTAGAGCTTTTTCTATGTTCTTTGTTTGTTTATAAGATTTAGAAAAATTCAGTGTTAAAAGACACGAGATAAAGTTATGCTATTTATAAATGATGCATTAATCTTTTAATGCGATTAAAAATATTTATTTCAGTTCTAACGGCTTCAGCAAATTTCTTAGTTTATTCGGTTCAACATTTTATTGCACTGCGTAAAAGCTCATCTTGTTAATTAATATCCTATTTGCCACACCTTTTATCCTTTTAGTAATAACCAAGCACGACAAGTTGATTTTGTTTATTGTTATTATTTTATTATTCTGTTTCAGTTAAGATATTTGATAACAGCCACAAATTTTCAGCTTCCTCTCCAATCAACACACAAACATCAACTGAAAAATATTTTTTGCGCCGTTTCATTTTCTCACACTTTTGTGTGATAGCATAACATTCTCATATGATTCCGCTCATGACAAAAGCAAAACATTTTCTCTACTCCCCTTACCGTCACAAAGTAATTTAATTTTATAGGCGCACTCACTTTACAGCCCACTTTTCGGGCTATTGCAGCTTTTCCATAATTTTATGAGTTTTTGATAAACGATTTTTAATAATTAACGGTTTTTTTAAATTCAAAAATATTCACTCTCGACTGTTGTACTTTCACTCCCCTGATTTCATTGTTTACTAAGAAATTTTTTGAAAAATTTAATTCTAACAAAAGAAAGCATAAACAACATTTAAAATCATGTCTGTTATCAAATATATTGGTCGAAGAACTGATTTTCGTGGAAAATCGATGTGGGAAATTGTCAGCAATCTGAAAAACTTCGGTGTGGGTCGAATTCTTGGTTAGTAAAATTTTTAAGTCTTGTTTTTATTTATAACATTTATGATTCAATAAATAATTCTAGTTCGATCTATGTTTGAAAGATACCCAGAAAACAGTTGGATCAAAATTTTGAAAGTAGAAGCATGTCCACCGACACCACCAGACTTTTATGATGTATAAAAAATTTGATGCTGATGTTAAAAATTTATTAAGAATGTTTCATTATTTCAGACCTTAAGAAGAGTTAAGATAACTGCTGAAAGAGTATTTCGTGGAAAAAAATTTGAAAAGCCTATATTAATAGAAAAAGTTTCGTACAAAACTGATTACCGTCTTCTTTCGAAAAAAGAAGAAGCAGATTATTGTAAGTTGTCTCAACGCGAAGAGAAACTCTTACCATTGGAAATGGATCTGCCACCACTTTTAAGAGAATTTGTGTTTAAAGAAACTGGAAGAAAGGACGTAAAAATGAAGATAGTCGCAAACGAATCTTTATACAACAATGCACGAAGAGTTAAAGAAAATGAGACTCCAAATTGTGAAGTCCCAATTGGCTTGGGTACACCACATCCAACATCTAGAAGTCTCTACGAAGGCATAGAACTTAAATAGTGATGAAATGTGTTTAGAAAACCTTATTTTTATTGTCTAAAAAAATAAATTAGCATTTAAATTAACCACATGAGTTTCAATTTTGCAAACATTTGCAATTACTCTGCCATCCAGGCTTGAACATTTCTGTACAAGTCTGAAGATCACTTTGACTTTTCATAAAAATCTTAATAAGAATAAAATGATTTGGAATTTTGTCATAAATTAGAAGAACTTTCTTTTCTTTCTTTTGTTCTTAGTATCTCTGAGTGATTTGAGCAATCCAATCTAAGTAATGTGCTACACGAACGTAGACTCCAGGTACATTAGCTTTTCCACATCCAATACCCCATGATACAATCCCAGCAACTTGCCATACTCCATTTCGTTCACAAACAAGTGGACCACCGCCATCTCCTTTACATGCATCCTTGCCTTCTTCTCCCCCCGCACAGATGAAACCTGGATTCAACACATAATTGTATCCCAAACGAGTTTGTCTTAATTGATTCTGACATGTGTTTTGATCGATGATAGGAACATCAACTTCTTTCAAGATATTTTGGTATTTTCCATACTCCCAATTGTCTTTTCCCCAACCAGTTGTCCAACAACGTTGACGTGAAAAGTCAGTGAATTTATCAGGTAAACATGCTGGGCTAATGTGAGGTGTTCCAGAGAAGTCAACTGGTTGACTGAGTTTCAAAATCGCCAAATCATTATCGAGTGTACCGGCGTAATATTCAGGATGAACATGAACTGAGATGACATCACGTTCAACATAAGGATAGAACTCAACATCATGATTGACATCCCATTCTGAAATGATTTCAAAAATAAATTCACAAATCACGTGATGAATTTATTTAACTCACCTCCTAATCTAACACGCAAATCAAATCCACTATAAGTCTTCACACAATGTGCTGCTGTAATAATGTGATTGGCGTCAATTAAAGTTCCACCACAAACATAAACTGATTCTTTCGGATCTTTCTTTAGAATAGCAGCTTGCCATGGATATTCACCAAACTCTGAATCACCATCAATGTAAACGGGATTCTTGATTCTTCCATTGATACCTTGAGAATTTCTGACACCACAACGATTGTATTTATGTTGTTGTTGCTGTTGTTGGAATTGTGGATTGTGTAAAGCTTGTTGTGGTACGCGATAAGATTTTCTACAACAAACAGCACGTGGGCCACATTGTTTCGGTTGTTGATAAAAGGCTTGTCTCTGTTAATTGAAAGAAGGGAAATAAGAAAATAGAAATCAATTAAATTCAAGTCGTTTGTCATTTACCTTTCCAGCAGTATAAGCACGACCTTCTTGATCATTTGTTTCTCCCCCATCAACAGTTTCCAAGCTTACTTTTTTGTCAATAGAAGCAGGAACAACTTGATCAGTATCACGTCGTCGTCTGCTTGTTGGAAATGAAACCATTGCACTTCCTTTAGCAGCACCTGGTGCTTGAGTTGGAATAGACTGAAGAAGTTTTTTATTAGAATGTTTGTCATAATTCGAATATTGTCTTGCGTATCTCGTGTCGTCTTGAATTCCCTCGAATTTACCGAAATTCTCAGGGTACAAAGACTGATAATTGTAGTCATTGTCAAAGAATGACTGCTGATTATGTTCAGGTTCTTGTTGAACGTCTTCAAGTTTAAGAATCGCGCTTTCAAGAAGATTCAAATTATCATTGGGTGGGAATAATTCCGAAGTTACGTTGTTGTGACGGAATCCAAGAAGGGGATTCAATGGATTCAAGTCCAAATCATCAATGATTCCATGATGGGAATCTTTAAATGAATGATGTGGTTTTGTAATGATGTGATCGTGAAAATGAGAAGGGGGTGGATGAGATAAGATTGGGCCATGTGATAGATGTGGTGGGCCATGTGACAAATGTGGTGGACCATGTGACAAATGTGGTGGACCATGTTCAAAGATAGGTCCAGGTGGGCCGTGTTCGAAGATATGTCCATGTGGGGGGCCGTGTTCAAAGATATGTCCAGGCGGATGTGAAAGAATCGGACCTTCAAAAGGTGGTGGCTGATGATGATGATGATGATGCGGATGCGGATCGAAAGGAAACGGTGGAGGCGGGGGCGGTGGATATCGATGAACATGGTTGTGATAATGATTATGTAAGGCACCTTTTTTGTGCGCTAAAAGTTTACCAATTCTACCGACGATATTTTCATTCGGTGTTACGTGAAGATTTACAAATGGTTTCACTAATTTCTCTCCATGTTCGCTTTTGGTGACTTGAAGTGAAAACAACGGATTGACGTTTATCAAGCCAAGATTGAGACCATTCGGAGTGTAAGCACCGAAATGAGGATTTTGAATGTGATTGCCGAAAGGTGTGATTGGATAACCATGTTGTGGCGTGGGAAATGGCAGACCAAAAGATACACCAAGTGTAGGAATAATTTTCTTCCCACCAAAACCTGGAGCTGGATAATGACCACCGCCATATTGTGGACCACCGAAACCAAAGATACGCTGAGAAAAATGGGGGAAGGGAGAAAACAACACAATTAAAGTCAGAATTAGGTGCAACATTAAGAGTTCAGTCCAACAACCATTTGTTTGTTTAGTGACATGTTTTTTCTACAAAAGTAAATGGCGGTAGCATTGAAATCTCAAGTTTTTAGTTCTGATTTAATTTGTGTTGTTTCTGTATTAGTCTGTGAAGAGTTCATTCTATTCCAATTAATTCCTTTGTTTTTTTTATTTTTTATGTTTCAGTCGGATTAAGTTATTGTGGACGAGATATCGCAAGCATCAATTATAAAATATTTTAATGTAATACTTACGCCTTCGCCTTGAACCCTTTCAACATCATTGTTGACTTGACGTTTCGAAATTTTCTTCACTTCTTCGGATGATTCCTTCTTGTCAGCTTCGCTAACGTCTCTTGTTGTGACAGTTGAATTATCACTATCAGCTTCGATTTCAGTTGGTAGATTTCGTGGATCCAAAGGAAGAATTAAATCATCACGTCGTCCTACAACATCTTGTGCAGCACATTGATCGAAAGGTGTACAAACGCATTCATATTGATCCTGTCGTGCAGATTCAAATCCTTGATATTGTTCACCTTGATTATATTTATTATATTTGTTCGAATATTGTTGCTGTTGTTGTTGGGAGTTGTAAAAGTTTGAACTTGTTAAGCCATTTCCCCGATTGCCATTGATGTTCAACTCTTTCTTGTAATAATCTGGAGCTGATGAATGGAAGCTTGAACCGACACCACCATTACTGTAGATTCCATTTGTGCCTTCATTAATTAATCCATGTTGTTGCTGCTGATGTTGTTGTTGTTGTTGTTGTTGTTGTTGATGATATTGATTGTAATTTCCACCACTTGCGTATTGATTTGGATTTGTTTCAATAACTGGCTTGACATTTGTTGAATGTCCATAAATTCCTTGATTTCCTGAATTAACTCCTTTGTATTCAAACCCGTTGTTGCTTGGAGAAAATCCATTGCTACCAGCACTTGATGATCCAAATCCACTGGTTTGATAAGAACCTGACAAATGATTGACTGCTGCATATTCAGAAATTGGCGTGTTAACTAAAACAGTTTTCGTTCCATCAACAACTGCTGGAACGTTGCCATCAGTATGCACATAATGATGATGAATGTGAGTGTTTTGTGAACCTGCAGCAGCTTCTCTCTTCCCTTGATTCACGACAATTGTTGGCTTATCAGTGTAACCGAATTTAATTGATGAAGGAGATTGTTCGACATCGAAGAAATCTGTGCTGTATTTGTCCCGAATTGGTCCGATTGGTTTGGATGATTGAAATTGATTCAAGTGTGATGGAGCGTAGCCGACTTTTCTTGGTGGTTGTTGAGGATGACTACCGGGAATTGGTACTGGTCTTGGTGGTCCGTAAATTCCATTCACTGATGGAGGTGGTCGTTGCACTGGTCTCGAGTTGTAGACAGCACCAGGTGGAGGTTGAGTGTAAATGTATCTAACTGGGGCACGCTTCTCGCACTCCATCAATCCCAAACTGCATAATTTGTCACGAATAAGATTTCTTGCTTGAGTGTCATCGCCATTTAATAAAGCTTGCTTCACTGTTGGATCAGCATAAACTTCATCCAACCCATCAATATTTCTTCCCTGTCGACTTGAGTCAATGATCTCATCAATAACATCTTCGAAAGTTGTGTCGACGGCAGTGATATTTGTTGGAGAATATTCTTGGATATTTTGCTTCTCAATTACCGGAAAAGCTTCGAAATCATTTCTATTCAAGACTCTTTCTTTAATTTCCTCTTCACAGTTTATCGTATTTAACAGCAAAATGCTATTAAGAAATAGCAGTAATTTGAATTTCATCTGCGAAATAAACAACAATAAAGAAATGGAATAAAAATGAAAGTTTAAAATAATCAAAATAAAAGATGTAGGTGGTGGTTGGTTTTCTGTTGCTAATTCATTAAATGCTAATTTAATGATGTAACGAAACGTTTCGCGATGAAGTTAAGTGTTCACTCTCGCTTTCTTTCAATTTTTCTTTCTTTAAATGTTGTTCCATTGAAACAAAGATCACAATATCGTAACGGCAAAAAGAGAAAACTTTCTGTTACTTCATTTGATGCATCATTGTACATTCATTCATTTAATTAGATAAGATTTTGTATTAATTCATGTTTTCCTTCTTTTTCTTTGTTTTCAAATTTATTCTAGAACAACAAACGGAAAAGAAAATTTCCAATTTGTAATTTCTTCACGCTTTGTTGATTGACCTCTGAGAAGAGTTCAAGATGGAAATTCCACTTCAAACTTTTAAATTTTATCACGTCAAAAAATTTGCAATTTTTACAGAAATTTCATCTTTTCATTATTCACATTTTTCTCACCTTGAAAACTTATTTTATTTTAACTTTAACTTATTATTTTTTATCTTAAGTCTTTCTTTTTGGTTTGCTAAATTTCACTGCTGAATGATGACTGAGACTCGAACTCAAAAACGCTGCAAATTTATAAAATCCCACTACGACTTTATTTTACTATCTCGTTTACTTTTTTTCTTGCTTTTCTTTTAAAAGTTGAAGAAAATATTTACCACACACTCAAAAAAGACTGTGAGAAAAGTTTAGAGGCTTACTCGGGATGTGAAATCATCGTTGCACTTCCTCGTACGTTATCGACCTGATTACATGACTGGTGTGACTTAAAATTAAAATCTCTTTGTTCAACAACCGCGATTTTATTGTTATTCTTACACATTACCATCCCAAAATCACTTTCTCTCGACTTACATTATATGACATCACTTCACTTCTTAAAGCTTGCTTAATGGTATGTAAAAACAGGATTTTGGATGTCTCATTTAACATTGAGAATTCGTCGTGATAACGTCCCAAGACCAAGTTCGATCCTCAAGGATTTCATAAGAATTCCAACAAAGCTTCAATGATCTTCATTAAAAGCTCATTTTTTTTATGGAAAAACCAACTAAAGCATTGCAAATCACATTACAGTTTGGAAAAACCAAAACATTACGTTTCTTTACGGATCAGATCGGTTTGCGTCGGGTCAAGGTATATTCGAGCATGAAACGAACAGAAATTGAAAAAGAAAAGAGAAAACTTATATGCGGCATTATTTTCTGTAAGAGATCACAATTCTTTGAAATGATTGCGTAATCTTTCAATTTTTTCTGTTGTATGTTTCAGCCATGAAGTTTTAGGAATTCCCAAAGTGCAAGTGTAAGTTTATTCACATTTATGTCATGTTGATGTATTTTTGTACATTTTATTAATAGAAATACGTTCCAATCAAGTCAATATCATTAAGCAATTGACAATTAACTTGAATTGCATAACATTTCACAACAACAAACAAATTGATATTCCGACGATTTTGTATTTCTCGTTTTGTTGTGTTTCGCATCGAGACGCCAAATTATGAGTCATCGAGACCACAAACACTTCAGCCGGTAAGAAAAAAAGTGAAAGTTTGTAAGTAAATAATTTAATTTCAAATTGATCTTGGAAGTTGAGACATAAAGAAGAGAATTTTCATTCAGTCCATCCTGTGAGGTACAAAACAAAAATAGTGGGAAGGTCTGACTTGCAATATTGCGATAACATGAGAAAGTAAAACCTCAATGTTTGCGGAAAAGAAAACCGGTTTCAAAGTAAAACGGCGATTACTTCTTTCTTCTTTTCATGACATAATATTTATGTCTTTCTTTTGTTTACATACATATCGCAGATATTACATTTCACTCATTTACAGTGTCAAGTTCAACGAAGAAGTCGATATGAGGTGATGGCAGGAGATCAAGTGATGATTAATTTAGATAATTTCACTGAACTTGAAATTGAATTTTAAGGAGAACAAGGAACTTAATCACAGTAAATTATTATCTACCGTAACTTCTAAGAAGATAATCTTCTCAAGCTTCATTTAACATTCATTAAATTAATTTATAAAGATCAATTTTCATCTCATCTCATCAAATCAGTAACTGCTAATGAGATAATCTTCTCAAGCTCTCTTTATTGAATTAATTTATTAAAGGTCAATTTACTTTCGAACTCATCAAGTCAATATGGAAATTCTTTCAATTTTCCAGTTATGAATGCATCATTTTAGCCTTAAAGTTCTGATGAGAATTTTTGAAATAAATATTTACAAAAAAAAAGTTTGCCAAAATTTATTCTATTCTGAAAATAACATGAAATAAATTATTTCTATTTTTCGATAGTTTTCATTTCAGTTCTTAGGAATTACAATCAAATTGTTTTTTGTATATAAATAATTTTATGTTCATTTCTTCGATATAAATATCTGCCTACATACTCTTCATATTATATTTCATTTACAACTTTCGATAGCTTTAAGTTCCATTTTGTTGCTTTTATGTTGCTGTTGTACGTTTTTAATCTCCTCGTCTCTTAAAGCTTTTTTAAAGTGTAAGCTTAATAAGCAATGTCGTAAGCAGTCGAATGCGATATCTACGTGGGTGAAATGAAATGTTTATGCCAACACTTTAATAAGCAATTAAACAATTTTGAATCATGTTTAAGAACTCACGATATGACTGGGTAAGTTGTAAGCTGTAATGATTGGTGCATGAACAACAGCAGAGGGTAAACTGTATGAAATAACTTGAGGTTGTGGCACGACTTGTTGAACAACATGAGCTGCGTGAACTGTTGATGCTGGAGCCTCTCCTTCGACTCTTGCGAGAAGTGGCGTTAAAACAGCACTTGGAGCTGCGTTGGTTAAAGCACAAAAAACTGACAAAACGAGAAGAACTTTCATTGTTACTTAACTTGTACAACTTGTAAGCTTAGCGACAAATGATTCTATCGGAATTTAAAGACTCCTTTTTATAAGACGCTAGCAGGGACGTTCGGTGGTTGTTTAATCTTTAAAATATTTATGCACATGAATTATTAATTAGAGCAACTAGACGAAAATCCGGTTTCTGATGAAATAAAGAATCTTTTAAATAAGGAATTATTCAGATCAATTGTTAGTGGCTGTCGAACGAGACGACATTGGCTTATTTTAAAGATTTATAATTTAAATTGAATTGAAATGAAACCTACTCGTGTTTCGCTTTTTACTAAAAATGTTTTATTGTTTTAACATCAACCAAATTCAGAAGTTGACTTTAATTTAAAAATGTAATAGAGGCTCGTCGCAAAATGACGTCACACGTCATTTTAAAATTAAATTTATGTTAAAACGAAACATGACACATTGAATAAATTTTCTATCGCATAAACTTGATATCGAAATATCAAAATATTTATTCATGAAAGGTTGAAAACCTGACGTGACCTGACATTCAAAGCTTCCGTTATCTGATCCCTCTGACGTAATTTTCTCACCATTTAATCTCACAGAGTTCAAAAGCTTTTATATCTTGGCCAAGAAATCGTCGTCAATGATAAAGCATAAAAGATACATTAGTGAATAAAAAAATGCTTCTCCTTAAGGGGACATAACAAAAGTAACAAAGCCAGCAGATGCAATTGCACAACATCATCGTTCACCGTCATTATTCATTGTTGTATGTAAAGACTTAAGAGACTAATTTAACTGGAATTCAGATCTATCGCTTACAACAAAGAGAGAAGCAGAAATTATAGAGTCATTTAATTGAATATTGTTTGGTGCTTTGACTTGGCTCCGTTTGGCATGCGATGACATTGAAAATTTCAAAAAAAAATACTTCTCAAGTAAAGCAACAGCAGTAAAACTGAAGCACAAATTATTGAGTTTTTGTTAACTAACTACTTGAGATCTTATTTACGCCTTGCACAAGATACTTACAAACGATATTTTATTTTCCCAAACATCTCAATGAAAATAAAAAATAAATCTCGTCGTCGTCGTCTTACGATTCAATGAAAAGCATTTATAAGATAAATCTGTTACACATTTTTATGTGGCAAAGTCAAGGTGAGAAGGAAATCAAAAGCAACATTAAGAGAAGAGAGAAGAAGTAAAAAAAAACAAATAAGTAAACAATTTCTGCTCTGCATCGAATGTCTTTAATTTTCCATAAAAAAACTTCTTTACCCTCATGGACATTAAACACTTTTTCCTTTCCGTAATTTTGAACTTTAACTCATTAATTTGTTATTTAAACGAAACGTTTAAAAAGTTTTCATTACGAGCATAAACGGCTTGAAAAAACTACCGTTGGAGTTTGTCTGATTGATATGAAGGTCGCTAAGTAATCTGATTGATTAGATGCTGTGATTCGAACAACAATTGAGACATTAAAATACTTAAAACTTATGGCTGTTGTTTATTCGGTTCAGTTCTTTTATTATTGAACATGATTATTGTGATGTTAAGACACTTTACATATCTGCATATGTTGGGCAAGCTTTTCGTTATTTCTTCTACGTCGTCGTCAGTTGAAATAATTTCGATATTGAAACCAAAATATTTCTTCTACTCGATGTTAGTTAAGTTAGTCAGTTCATTTCTTGCATGCATTGCAAATTCAAATCATATTAAACAATAAAATAAACTGTCGCAACATATTTTGTCGATATACTCGTTGATGCAGCAACAGCGCTCTCTCTCTAACCGCTAACGCGATTGATTCTCTAATAAAGCTTGTGATTTTCCTTTTGTCCGCTCACCTCCATTCCGAAAAATATCCTCCACCTCTTGACTGACGCTACTACTGTTATGTGATCGTGATGTTTGTGTTTGCATCTTATTTGTGGTGGTTGCCAGATGACAAACACTAACTGTAAGTAACCAACACAGACGAAAGCCGGAAAATATGATCATATGAGTATAAAAGGAATATTGTTTGGTCAAAATATATCATTCAGTTTAAAGAACTCAGTTCGTTTTCAACACAAACCTCCCGTAACAAATTCATAAAACAAAAAATAACAAAAATGTTCAAGTTGGTGGTGTTGTCTTGCTTGTTGTCAGTTGCATTCGCTGGTCTCATTCATCATGAACCTGTTGTTAGCCATGTCGCTCAAGTGAAGACCATTGTTGAACCACATTTATCAGTTGTTGAAACTCCAACTGTCAACCATGTCGGATCAGTCGTTAAGAACATCCCAACTGGTGTCTCACATCACAGCTCATCAGTCGTTCACTCAGCTGCTCCAATTGTTCAACCCGTCTACGCTCATGGAGTCGAAAAATCAGTTGTCTCAACACCAATCGTCAAGAATGTCGTTGAACATGTTCCAGTCGCTGCTCCAGTCGTCAAGGTCGCTTACACTCAACCAATTGTAGCTAAAGCCGCTTACGTTCAAGCTCCAGTTGCTTACTCAGCACCACTTGCCTATGCCGCACCAGCAGCTTACTCAGCTCCAATTGCTTATGCACCAAAAACTGTAAGCTATGCATCTTATGCTCCATCATATGGCTCTTACCCAGCAGCCTACTCTGCACATCCAGTTGCCACTTCATACTCAGCTCTTCCATACTCACACCACGCTTGGTAAACAAACCGTTATCAACTGCTTTTCTTGTGCCTAGATCAACTACAACATCAACAACAATGATTTTATTTTCTTTTGTTCCATAAATGTGATGAAAAAAAAAGAAAAAAATGTGAAAGATTAGAAAATAAATAAATTTTAATTAATGAACTGAAGAAAAATGTATTTTCAATGTTTTGACTTTTAACTTTTGTTTGGCTTTTAAACATTTATTCGTGGTATGCCTGAAGCTTGAAACAAACATGCTGCATTGCTTGCTTTTAATTGCTTCATATGCGGTAGCAACATGAAGTTCAATTCATATCTTCTCGATGTCTATGCCGATGCTTACTTAGTTAATATTATGTATATGTTGCAAAATAGTTTTCAATGGAATTCCATTTGTAATCAGAAGCAATACAAATTGAATTTATTGATTGTTGTCATTTGATAGGCCGATCGACTAACAGCAACGTTAAAGATATTTATGTGACAAATGTAAGATGATTTCGTAAAAATTGTCGTCGTTGCAATTGTAACGTCTTTGCGGGAATGAAAATGATTTGCTAATGTCCATTTATTGCATCATAAAGATCGCCTACATCGTTGTGACAAATCGCGATATTCAATCAAATTGAATCGTTTTCATATCCATTGATGAATAAAGACATTAGTTTCATCAATCGATTGCGGTTTTGTTCCCCAATGGCACGCGATATTTACGACCAATTAATATTCATTGAAAACAATGTTCAATTCAAATCAGGTAATATAAGTAAATGGATGTATGAAGCGATGTGTTTTTGCATTTTGACCCAAATCTTTTGAGACATTTCTGCGCAATTGTCGTTAAATGTGAACAGGTAGCTTCGTCGGTTGACTAAAAGAAAATAAAATTATAAAAAACAAAACTTGCACAAGAAAACATCTTTGTGAATTTTATGCGAAAGATGATACGATGATATTTCATTTTTTATGCAATTCTTTTTTTATTTTCTGTAACATGAGATTATGGTAAAAATAAAAACGTAAATTCATTTTGTTTAAAATTCTCGTTTGATTTAATTTATTTTCTAATCTTTCACAATATTTCTTTTGTTTTGCATCACATTTGGGAACAAGAGAAAATAAAATTTGCTTGGGTTGATCTCTTATGTTTACCAGGCATGTGCTGTATGGGCTGGAGCTGCGTATGAAGCATAAGCTGCTGGTGCGGCATATGAAGCATAAGCTGCTGGTGCGGCATATGAAGCATAAGCTTTTGGTGCGGCATATGAAGCATAAGCTGCTGGTGCGGCGTATGAAGCATAAGATGCTGGTGCGGCGTATGAAGCATAAGCTTTTGGTGCGGCATATGAAGCATAAGCTGCTGGTGCGGCGTATGAAGCATAAGATGCTGGCGCGGCGTATGAAGCATAAGCTGCTGGGGCAGCATATGAAGCATAAGCTTTTGGTGCAGCATAGGCAAGTGGAGCTGAGTAAGCAATTGGAGATTCGACGTAAGCGGCTTTAGCTACAATTGGTTCAGCATAAGCGACCTTGGCGACTTGATGGACGACTGGGACTTGTTCAACAATCTTCTTGACGACTGGAGTTGAGATGTATGATTTTTGAACTCCATGAGCGTAGATTGGTTCAACAACTGATTTGCTGTGATATTGGGTCTGGCTCTGATATGAGTGAGCTGTTGGAACTGACCCTACAACTTGATCGCCGACATGTTTCACGTATGGCTTTTCAATGATTGAATATGAAGGCTCAACAATAGTTTTCACTTGAGCTGCGTATTGAACTGGAGCGTAACCAGCGAAAGCAGCTGACACCAAGCAAGACAACACCACCAACTTGAACATTTTTGAATATTTAAAATAATTTAATAATTTGGTCAAAGAGGTCTGTGTTGAAATCGAACTGAGTTCTAGAAACTGAATGATACATTTTGGCTAAAATAGTTTTCCTTTTATACGTTCACATCGGACTACAACTGCATACCAGCGTCGAATGTTTCTCTCTCGTAGAAATATTTCCCTCCAATGCAATGGCTAAGTTCCCTCCAACCAAACATCCATCCATCCAACAATACACGATGACGACAAAATATATATCTATTTGTTTGCGACACATCGTGAGGTAGAAAACTAACAACAAAAACTTTTAAACATTATTCATAGATACAATTTTTCTCTCACTCTCGTGTACAATTCAACAGCAACGTTACTTATTATAAGTTATAAGTAAGTAATAAAAATAATGACCATGAATATTATACAAGCCACAAGAAAAACAGTAAAATCGCTTGATCCTATGCTTATTTGTATTCTTTCCTTCTCTCTCATGCTCCCTCGCTTACCATCGTCATCGTCATCGCCGTCGTCGTGGTCGTCGTGAAGCTTGCTGTGTTCACATTTGTTAACTATCGTAATAATACTTCATCGAACACGAACTTCTGTGTCTTACTATTGTTCCTGGTTCAATTCCCATATTAAGAGAGTGAGACAAAAGAAACCGGTCCACGTTAAGTTCATGTTCTGAGTCACATAGGGAAGATAAATTTGATCTGGAGCTTACGAAGTGTTGTGAGTGAGTATTCAGTTACTCTTGATTACGATATAATTAGTTCAATCTAGTTATGCAGGATGAATGTTGATTAAATGATTTTTTTTTCTTCTGTCGAGATTACGTAGGCATTCAAGAAATCAAACAAAGCACAACAATTGTTTCAATCAAAAGAACATATAATCAAAATTTTTATTGTAGGAAAGAACTTACTTGTAAATTACAAAAAAAAATGAATCAGAATCAAATCGATTCAACTTTTAGTAATTTATTGATTATTCAAACAAAAATCATTTTTTTTAAGAATGTAATATCCGAGTAATTTCAAGATCAATAGCATAAAACAAGGCATGACAAAAGTGCAGTAATTTGTTGTTACAGATTCCGAGTCGTTATTTAATGTTTGGAAAGAGCGGACAGTAGAAGGAAAAAAAATTGCTGGTAAGTGTGGCAACTTAACCGCACAAGATCAAGGTCGGCATGAATAGATTGCAGACATCATAGGAAAAAATGCTTTACACTCCGTTTATAGTTCATTAACTTTAATGATGACTATTTGAAGGCTCTTACGAAACTCTCTTAGTTGTGGTCTTTGACATGCAATTTGTGAGTTTTATGCTTCAAAATTCACGAAGGTGAATTTTCTACGGATATGTACGAATTGAAACTTGGTTTCGTTTTATTGTTGTCAATCAATTAAATAAGTAGCTGGCTGGTTGGCTTTTAACTATTTGTGTCTGTTTTGTATTATTCATAAGTAAGCAAGCAATGTTTGATTTAAATTCGCTCATAAATATCATTTTTATGTTTAATGTCGTGTTCATTTCTTTATCCTTTGATGATGTTGTTTTGTGACATGAACAGATAATCGCAGCGCGACATTAACCTCTGATAATCTCAAATCAAGTTATTACTTTAATAAATGATTGACTTGTCTCCACCCTGAAGTAACCGCAGACAAGCAATTAGTCGTGATTTATTGCGGAAGTTTCCCGACACTGCCATGTTGCCGAAATTACCTTCTTTGGTTATTGACTGCTTCATTCTTTTGTGACTGATGAATGAAGAAGATTTGAAGAAGTGAGAACGGCGATGGTTTCTATTACGCGGAATAACGAAAGCGACTTCTGAATCGTTCCATCAATTACCTAACAAGGTTTTATGATATCCTTCTAATGATCTTTATATTAAAATATATTAGGAAGCTAATGGAGTTTCTTTTCTTTCAAGTCACATTTATCTGACTTAAGTAGATTTTTCGTGTCACTTGTTCAATGCTACTAAATATCACGCAATTCAACTGACTGTCTGTGCTGTGAGAAATTTCATTGACGCGTTTTATTTCGTCATCCGAAAAGCAAATTAAGTATGAACTCCTTATAGACATAAATTAGTCATTTGTAATACGTTTTTTTAATTATAAAATAATTATGTCAGAAAAATATTTCTTTCAACTTTGTAAGCGCATTCAATTGCTAATGATTAGAAAATTTATAGCATTCATTAACATCAACTTAGTTCCGGGTTTATTCGATTTTTCAGTCTAGAACTTTGTGAAGTTGTTAATTAAATTTTACAGTAAAATCAAATTGTCGAGTTCAAGTCATGAACTTTTAAAAGGTTCAAGTGAGAAGAAAATTAAACTCTTTAATTGAGTCCTTAAGAATCGATATCCACTAGAAATCTTTTTAATTGTTCTGACATTCTAAGTAGATTAAAAAAAATTATTTAAGACTGAACGTGTCATAACTTGACAACAAGGAAGGATGAAAACTCTTCTAAATTTATTTCCTATTTTTAATTGACAATCTCCGATTTCATTTATTTATCTTTAGATTCTCCTCGTGAACGACATTTTACCTCAACTTGCATATATTAGTGTCTGTCAATATTAATTAATTAAGAAACAAGTTGAAATTTAATACAAAATTGTATTTTTAGAATAGTAAAGATAAACTTAAATCTTATAAATATTTAATTTATTAATAAATTTATTTATAAACAAAATAAAAATAAAAAAGTTTTTTTTTTTCATTCAATTAAAAGTCATTTTTCTTTGTTAAGAAAATCTTGTTTTATTTATGTACCAGTTGAAGATGTAAAAAACACAAATATCTCTAATAATACTTTCAGTAAGTTCAGTTGAAAGAATTTTAGAAAGTGCTCGATGAGAGATAAAAGTAAGAAAGGAGAGAAGAAAATTCGAGCACGCAGTTGACTATTTGCAACGAGTTGCAAAAGCTTTTCTAAAGATCTTTGATTGTGGCAAGAAGGAGAAGTCGTGATTTAACCCAAGTAAGCAGCACCGTAAGCTGGATAGGCAGCCTTGACGATTGGAGCGGCAATTGGTGCGTGGTAGGCTGGGTAGGCAGCAGCGTAAGGAGCAGCATAAGCAGTCTTCACAATTGGAGCGGCAATTGGTGCATGGTAAGCAGCAAGAGGTGCATGGTAAGCTGGGTATGAAGCAGCAACTTTGTATGTGTTTGCATAGCTGGTGGCAATTGGGGCAGCAATGGCTGTCTTCACGACGGCTGGTGCTATAAATAAATATCGAAATTTTAATTAAAATCAGGTGATGGCGACAGATTATAACCGCTGTGACTAACCGTGGTAAGCAGCGTATGGAGCGGCATATGGGGCGGCATATGGAGCGGCGTATGGGTAAGCTGGATAGGCAGCTTTGACGACTGGTGCTGCGAATGGAGCGGCGATTGGGCCATGGTAAGCAGCTGCGTATGCTGGAGCAACTGGTGTGTAGATGGCACTAGCGCAGGCGATCAAAGCTGAGAGCACGAACTGCATATAATAGAAAAAATGTTTAATTCATGTTTTCATCATGTCTACAGCGACAACTTTAATTTAACATTTTTAAATTCGAAACGCCATCTGGAGCGCGCTAGCAACAACATTCGTCGATCATTCAATTAATCTGTTTTTATTACAATTTATGCTTTGCATTTTCAAACTCATTGACAATTCTTTGAATGTTCACATAGTGTTATTTCACAGTATTTTATTATTCCATTAATCGCTCCTTTGGATAACATTTAGCAACACTTTTAAGCGATAAATCATTTGGAACTTTTATCACTTTAAACAAATTTTCTGTCACGTCGCTTGCTTTGAATAAAAAAACTTACCAATTTGAACATTTTGATAGATAATTTGTGATTTGTCTTAACAACGAGAACTAAAAGGCTTAATTGCACAAAGTAAACTGTTTTGATGTTGGAAAAGCGCTTCGTTTTATATTGATTTGTATGTTTGAAAAATCACGAGATTTAGATATCAAGAAGCAATTCGCATTAAATGTAAAAAAAAATATCAATAAAATAAAAAAGATTGAGGCACTCGTCAATGTAAGAAGGGCTCCCCTCCAATCTCGGCTCTATCCCAATATACGCCAAATCAATTTTCCTCTCAATTCTTAAAAGTATGACTATGATAGTTGTAACATACATTTTGTGTTTTTCATATTTATCCGCAATTATTCCGACGAACATGGTAATTTAGATTTAAATAATTCATTTTGGGTCCAATGAGAACACAACAAGATTCGACCTTGTCAATATTTATACATATTCATTTATATACATTCAATGTTAATGTACATATTTACAACTTTGATCTGATACAATCAATAAACCAAAGAATCTTAGAACTATAAGGCAAGGCTGCTATTAAACAATGTTTCCAAGCAAAAATAGAATTGAACAACATGTTCATTCAAAAGCAAGCAGAATGTTAAAGGTGAAAGATGAAAACACTTGCAAATGTTGTTGTTTAACCTGCTGAAGATGGCTTCGATTTCATGCACTCAACCATTACGAAAAGATTAAACGTCATTCAAGGCCTCACGTATGACCCAAAAAAATATTTTTCTTTGATTTTCATTTTTGTCATCGGTCGATCATGTTATCGAAAGTAGCGCAACGGAAGGATTTTCATCAACTGTGACCATGTAGATACACTTGACGGAATGTTATTCAAATTTATTAGAAACGACGAATAGAAATCGCCACGACACCTCTTCAGAAAGTATTGTTGATTGACTTAAATCGTCAGAGCAATGACAGACTCGAGAACGATATTTAAATTGAGTTTGCGCACCTGTTGAAACGGATATAAAATTAATTAGATCTAACTCATGATTTTCATTTGATTTTATTTTGTTGTTTCACTTTCAATTTGCCGTTTAAACTAGTTTACATAAATCTAATTAATGAAATTATTCTATGGAATTAACTTTAGATGTGGAACCTTGTGAGTAATTTGATGTACGTTATTTGTCATTCCGCTTCGTGTTATTGTTTTTGTTTACTTTTTTTGGTTCTTTTTGATACTTTGAAACCGCATTAGTTGTTCTTTTATTATTAGCAGGTAAATAAAGCACAAAATAATTAAAGAATAATTTAAATATCGCCCAATAGACAAATTGAAAATAACAACAAGTGATCTTTATAAACAGAAATAATATAAAAAAAAAATTCGGGCGAAAAACCACACTCTACGTTGAGTTAGCTTATGGTTCACAGAATTTAGTGAAGTTTTCTTTTATTCAAAAACCCACATGAGCCAACGAGAGTAAATTTACAATAAAAATTCATAATTGACATCTTGTGTTCATTATTTGATATTTAATGAATTAACCACAGTGTTTATTACATGTGAAACGTTTTATAATTCATTAGACTCGGAAAAAGCTCAGCCTGACCTTGTTTAATTAAGTACTTTAAGAAATGTTTTCAAAACAAAAACTTCCAGAATTTTAGTTTATCTTATTTTGTAAATACCTTGCACTCATTGCCTCCAAATTAATGAATGAACAAAGGCTAATGCTAATTAAGAAAATGAATCGCCATTGAAAAAATAATTTCATAAAGCAGCGAGTTTTCATTTAGGATATCTCAAATCGTAAATGTTTGATCAAGTTCACTAAACGACGCACAATTTTTTATATTTATTTTTAATTAATTAGTTGTTTAAACTTTCCGATTCAATTATTTATTTTGCTTCATCATCTGATGTTGTCGTTTGCGTAAATAATGCAGATATTGCTTCACGTGAAATTTTTTTTCTTTTCGTCGTTGTGAATCTAAAATGCATTCATGATTGCGACAAAGTGAGACAGAAACTAGGCCAAAAGCGAGCCTTTCGCTGTTGAAACGAGAAGGAATGAAATGAACATTTAATGAAAATATCAGCAACATCAGCTATGATATCTATGAATAATGTTGAAGTGCTACCAGTGAGTCATGAAGTCGTTAAATTTATCTAAAAACATTATTAAGTTTTTCACAGTTCACGAACATCGAGAAAATCTGTAAATTAATTTGTGGGTGCGCTGAAGATTGTATTTCAATTGTTAAGTTGATGTTTAAGACCAATTAACATGCATGGTTAAGGAAAATGTTAAATTAATATCGTGAAGCTACAATGAAGTTTAAAACTTGACATTAAACGTTAAGTAACAATTGCTATTCCTGGTGCGTTTAAATTAATGTTGATGAAAGTGATACTCGTTCTATTTTTGCAATGATTCGCTTTAAAAATTGTAAACAACTCTGGTTATTTCTCGATTTCTCGGATGCCGTCTACTCAATAAGGCTAAACAATCATTTTCTTAATGTTACTTGTAATTTAATAGGCGTTTTGTTGTTTACTCGTTACTAAGTGCTAAGTAAGTGCTATTGAAGTTCAATTCAGAACGATCTATTTGATTGTATTAAGAATGTTGTAAATATTCTAGGACATTAGAGATATAAAAATTGAAATTGCAAGGTTTACAACAAGAAGTTAATAATAAATAACAACAAGAAAAATTGTGTGGGTTCAAACATAAACAACATAAGCAGCTTATGTTTATTAGGGATAATTGATAAATTAAATCACCATCTTTCAAACTTTGAATTTATCTTTTCAACACTCACAATAAGCTCGTCGATCATTCAGAGTGGTCGAACAGGTTCAAGATCATCAAATCGTAAATCACACAACGTTTTCATAAATACTTTGATGTGTTTCGTGATGTTTGAATTACTTTTTTTTCTTATAATTACATGCAATGGAACTTTTGCATGTTTTGTAATAAATTCATAAATACAAAACTTATGCTCAATAAGCATTTGCAATAAATTCATTCATAAGAATTCGACAAACGAAACATACATAAATACTTTGACTGCTTAAGGCAATATATGAATCGATAACCTTATTCTGTTTATTATTTATGTTGATCATATTGGATTAAGCATAGACTTTCGAAAAGTGCAAACAACAAAAGTAAAACTTGCTTGCAACCTTATGAATGACTTTAAAAGTGTTTATATGCAAGCTAAATCGATTCTCTCTCTCAAGTTTAAACAGATTTTCTTCGTGTTAATTCTGACTTTTGTTTTATTTTTTAAGCCAAAACAAATATAAATGCTAAGCATCTGGAGTTAGTTAAGGTTTATTAAAAATTGCTTTTAAGTCGGGTAATTGCGTTACGATTCGTTTACTTTCTTTGAACTCTCCTATCTAAGCTTAATCGGCTCTTTCGAATACTGTCGAGACTTAAAAAACTTGATTTTCTTTGGGTCAAAACACGTTGCATAATTTTCTTCTTGAGACTTTATTTATGATCGCGCCTTATACATCTATGAGACTATGTTGATGTTGTTGTTGTTTTTATGCTTTTATTAATTCTCAATTCATGAAATTCATGTTGGCTCTGAGAAAAGATTTGCTGATATAATCAAAAAGTAGAAACTTTATTTATTTGTATTTAAATTCTTTTTCATATTTTTTATTTCTTTTGTTCACGTTGTTTCATCGACAAATAATTTGTGGAAAAATTTAAATGGTGAATGTCTAGAGATAGTAGTTCGATGGAAATGCATACGGCGAGTAGGCGTATGGTGAAGAGTAGGGCAGACTGTAAGGCAAAGCATAAGGCGAAGCTAATAACTTAGCAGCTGGTGCTGCAACGACTGGAGCTGCAACAGCGTGATTGACTGTGGATAATTAAAATTAATTTTAATAGAATTATTTATGATAAATATAATTCGTTCAGTAATTTACTTGTATGTGCATTGTATGTTGATGCGAATGGGCTGATATACGCAGCTGGCAGAACTCCACAATTGACGATGGTAATAAGTGCGAAAAGTGCAATAATCTGTGGAATAAATTACAAAAATATTATATTTGTGATTAATCAACCTCTGATCTTATTCAATTCAAATCGAATCACATGATTAACTTACCACAATTTTATTCATCATTTTTTCTGATTAATTTGTGCTGGTTTACAGTAGCTTTATTGTTTAATGACTGTTAAATGAGTTCTGTTGACAATCACTGAACCATTGTTCGCATTTATAGTGAAAAAAATTCACTGGCTCGATTTTGTTGCTTAATATGAAGACATGTTTTTGCACATCTTAAGAATATTAATGACAAGTTAATGCAACGAAATCGAAACTGTTGCCAATAATGTATGGATAGTAACGCTTCTTTCTGGCCGTTCATAATGCTTTACTACAGAAACCGTTATTGTGTCATGATCAACAATTGGTTCAATTGTACTGTCTTCATTCATAATTTAGTGGAATTATCTTTGAAAATGTCTTAGCAAGAAACTTTAAAATCAATACTAAAATCTACTTAATTTAAAGATCAACATCTTCATATTATTTCTCAATAAAAATCATATTAATTTAAATTTATGTTTACGATTTAAAAGCTTAAGCATTTAAATGTCTACTTTTTTATGAAATTTTCCTTTTACGCAGTTGGAATAAATATTCATTCGTAATCTTATTGAATGTTTACAAATCAAATTTTTCATGATGTGTTCAGATTTCGAAGTATAAATCGAGTAAATAAACCAACGTGTTCATAAGTTGAGATTTCTAATAGATTTAATTTAATCATATTGGAAGGTTGATAAAATCAATTAATTGCAATTGATATTGATGAATGTCTTTCAATCGGATTTTTTCTTTTATGTTTTTGCTCGTTGCAGCAACGTTTCGATAACTTTTTTGTCATCCTCTTCAGGCTTTTAAAATATTTTTATAAATATTTCATCGATTACTGAAGGCAAATGAAATAATTAATACATTAAAGCAACTTACAAACAATGCAATGTAAATCAGGATATTTTTTAAAACAAATTTTTCATTTGTATGTTTTTTGCTCTTAGATGTCATTAATAGAAATCCTACATTTGCAATGGTTCTCGTTAAAAGGTATTTTTGATTTGATTAATCCAATAATCAGGTGAACTATTTTAGATCTGATTATAGATTATGTTACTTACAGTATTATGTTCATTTCATATATGATTGCGAAATATATTAAATTTCCATATATCTAAACAATTTTCGATATTAATAAATTAATTAAGTTTTTCATTTGACCAGCTTCGACCAATTCTGATTTTAGTTTTCGTTTGCTAATTCTTGTGAATTTTATGAAAGAAAACATAGAAAATTTCCCTACAATTTCCTATTTTGAACCTAAGTTTTATAAGTTACAAAAGAAGCCCATCAAAGCCTTGCTTTTGCAATGGAAAGTTTAAACGCAAACTTTCAATGTCAGTATGAGCAAAATGTGACTTATTTAATCTAGAACAAAACATTTATTTTAAATCCATTCTCCGAATGTTTAAGTTAATGCAAAGTTTACGTTCCTGACTCAGAAATAAATAAAATCATAAAAGTTTATTTTTTACAAAAAAGTATTTCTTATTTTTTATTTTAAAATCATTTTTATCATTTTTAATTTTCTTTCTTCTAAAAACTGTTTTCTTAATTTCTAAATAGAAGTCTTGTCAGTTCAATTGTTTAATAGAAGATTGGTCTTGGTAAAGGTGCGTAAGGATAATAAGGATAAGGTGCGTACGGCACAAATGGAGAGACAACTCGTGGTGGTAAGAAAGGTGTGACGACTCTTGAAGGAAATGGAAGAATTGGAGCTGCTGGAATTGGTGCTGCCACGATTGGTGCAGGCACTGGTAATGGAACTGGAACGGGTGCAAATGGCACAAGTCCATTAAAGTTCCTTGCAAAAACTTGTGATGATTGTGCTGTTACGACAGGTGCTGGTGCTGCAATAATACGAGACAGATGACCGGGTTTTGCTGATATGCAAGAGATTGCTGCAACAATTAACACAATAAGCTGAAGATGAATGAAATTATTGTATTAGAAGAGAAATATTTAAATTTTGCTAAATCTTCAATGACTTACTTTCATCATTTTTTGCTTTTATTTTTCAAAGAATGTCTTTGTTTAAAGAAGTGCTGATTGAATATGATTGACCAAACTAAAGTTTAATTTCTTTTATACTTAAACATCCAAGTGTCGTTCACGCTGCGAAAATCAATCGAAAATTCGTCTTTTTTTATCGTAACTGCTTGGATTTAACAAGTCACGTTTACTTCTTTCACAAAATTATTGCATATGAGTTTTGCACTGTTATGTCACTGCAGTGTTTGAAGCTCAAACTACTTCAGAGTTTAAACTAAACTTAAACAGGAAAAGACTTGTACTTTCTGTTTGCTAATTATGTTTATTAACTTTTTAAATTCGACCCATTGCCATTATACTTAAGCGATAATTTATGTGGGAAAACAATCTGCTTAACCAAATGTGTATGCATAAGAAGGATAAGCTGAATAAGTCGAGTAATACGGTGAAGCAAAGTATGGGAATCCACTGTAAGGGCGGACTACATATGGAGAGCTGTAAGGAAGCGTTGAAACAATTTTTGTTGTCGGTGTAATGTAGAAGTGAGAACTGGGAATCACTGACGGCTTAGCACATGTGAAACCGACGAAGAGTAGAAACACCAACTAAATAATAGAAAAAAAAAATATTACTGAATAAATTTTACTTTAAATTTTCAACTCACAAACTTAAACATTTTTCTATTTAAACAAATTAAAAGTTTCGTCTGCAACTGTGAGATTTAATCTGAAGTTTATTTATGAAAATCTTCTCGTATTTATATAAAAACAAGATGATTTGAATTGCTTATTGAAATATTAGAATTCTTGTAATAAACTCGCTTGACTCATTGATTGTTTATGGTCTGTAAAGATCGTCCTTGGATGTTGTTGCTTTGCTACTGATGCACTTGCATAAATGACATCTTATTAGTCTCAGCAACATTTGTATTCATGAATTATCATCTTTGTTTACTTACAAGATATTTGTAATATTTATTTATAAATTTTTAAAAGTATTTTTCATTTTTTTCTGAAAAATGTTAAAATAAAAACAAAAATATCAGATTGCAGAATTTTAATTTATTTCCATTTGCATGAAACTTAACAAAAGTTGATCCTCAAAAAGATTTCGTTGTCTCATCGTTGTTTAGAACACATAGGGATAAGCTGAATATGCAGAATAAGCTGACACGACTGGAGCTTCAGCAACATAAGCAGCACTTAATCCATTGAAATTTCTTGCGACATACTGAGAACTTGTGCTGACAACATAAGGCGAAACTACTCCAACTGCTGGGCTCACAATCACTTGTGGGTTTGGTTTGCTGAGAACTAAACCAATGATGGAAAAGATGAGAACTGTGATCTGAAAAAATATTTATTTGTTAATTTAAAAGGATCCAAAACTTTGTGCTTTAATAAAACTTACAAACTTGAACATGTTTGTTGCAATTGATTGATAGTTTAACTGTAACAATACCTCAGAAATTCTTTTCTTTATAAAACAAATTTTTGACCTTAACTTTCATCCCTTCTTCATGATATCAATAAAGAGTCTTCACTTAGATTCTTACGTGTGCTTGTTTTAAATTAGATATTTATTTAAAATTAAAGTGTAATAACTTTTTTCTATATTGTGCAATCAGTTATCATTAACTTACTCAATATGGTCAACGTAGTATTATTCAAAACGCGAATTCTTCACTTACGATTATTTTAAAATATTCGAACAATGAATTGAAATTATGTGCAGCACTTCTTCATGAAGACACCGACATTGACCTCTTTTAAACCTTCGTTTTGTTAATGAAATGTCACATTAAGCATAAATATTATCGAATGTTAATGTTGCTACCCTTAAAACACTGAGTTTGGATTGTTTCCACGAATTTATTTTTTTGGCAACGAAAAAGTTTTGTTATGAATATCAATAAAGCACCACGAGACGTTAAAACATTTCATGGCCAATTAGAGTTTGATGTTAATTAAATTTGGTAGGGATTCAATTCATATTTCTACTTAGCAAAGGAAATTTCTGATGATTTGCGTTGAAGTCTTCAGTATAAATAGACTCACGTTTCCATTGAACAATCATCAGTCACAATTCGAATTCTCTTCAAAGTTCCAAGCTTCAAAAAACATAACAATTCAAAATGATTAAAGTGTGTAGGATAAAACAATTGAAAAAGTGAAATAATGAAACTTTTAATTATTTTTTAGATTGCTATTTTATTGATGGCTGTCGCTATGGTTTTCGGAGCTCCAGAAGCAAAACCTGATCCCAAACCGCAATTCCTTGCTTATTCAGCACCACTCGTTGCTAGCTCTGCTTATGTTCCATCAGCCGTCTACGAGCGATCCTACCACGGAAACTTTGCTTATCCTTATGTAGCAGCACCTGCTGTTGTGGCTTCTCCATACTCTGCTGCATACACAGCACCAATTCTTGTCAGATGAATTAAACGTGACCAAATATCATGCGGAAATTAAATTGAAATGGTACGAAATCATGGAGTTAGTGATGAAATAAATATGAAAAAAAAATCGTCATAACAAAACAACAAATGTGTCTGCTTTACTCAAATAATCCTTTTGCAGCTTCTATGGAAAATCACGTTAAACTCTTTAACAGGTCACATTTACATAAATCAAGCATTCGAAGAAGTAAAACAATTTTTCTAACTTGAAATGAGACAATGAATTTTTTTATTAAACAGGAAGTGATAATTTCGATTTGGATTTAGAATTTAAGCCGTGAAACGTCATTTTTTATTTAGATAAGATAGTTGAGTCTGTTCTCAAAAGAGTCGAACTAATCCATTTCTTAATAATTGTTGGTTGTAAGCTGAGTAAGCCAAAGGAGATGCTGAGTAGGCCAAGGGAGATGCTGCTAAAGGTGCTGCGATGGGACCTGCTGCATAAGCCAATGGGGAAGCTGCGTAAGGTGACAAAGCACCGTAAGCTAATGGAGATGCAGCATAAGCTGCAGCGGCATATGGGGAAGCAGCAGCAAATTGTGGTGAATAAGCTAAAGGAGCTGAGTATGCCAAAGGTGCAGCAGCAACATTTTGAGCTGCAAGTCTTGAATAAGCCAACGGTTGTGAGTTGTAGACATTGGAATATGAAACCGGTGACGAGTATGCAACCGACGTGGATTGTCCAGATGAATAGCCTATGAATGACATTTATTAATATTAAGAATTATGTGGCAACATTCATTAAAATAATTACCAGCAGCAGCGGCAGCAATCAAACAAGCAAAGGCAATCTATTTATCATTTAAAAAAATATTTTAAAGTTCGAATCAATTTGTCATTCAGAACATTAAAATTCTTTACTCACAATTCTCAACATTTTAATTTTTATGATGAATGTTTTTAAACTTTTAAATTTTTAGTTTTGACTGAAGCAAGATGTGAAGTTAAACTATTTAGAAACTTCAAAAAGTCAACATATTTATAGTAAAAGATCATAAAACTGAATGACATCCAATCTGGTATTGTTTACTCACAAAAGTGTAACAAACCCGATTTGCCTTGTGATATTTGAAGCGAATGTAAACGCCAGAGAGGGAAGTCATGATCATGGGATTTTAAGTTTTTGGCGATAATTTTTTCGTCACACAGAAGCTTAATTATTATTACTAATAATTCGACTTAAGTTGACTTGAAATACGAGAAATTCATAGAAATTTGGTAATTTACAAATTTTATAAATTCGCGTGAATTGTGGTGGGTGGAAAGAAATGAACGAAAGCTTATGAGTGGCACGTTTAAAATCATTTGAAAATCACGTTAAATGGATAATTTCTCTTGTTTTTTTTACAATGTTCCACGAGAACATTTAGGAGGTTTGATTACCACATAGAATTTGAAAGAAATAAAACGAAGTGAGAAAGTCAAAAAATTTTATGTTGTAATGAAAATGAGCGATGAGAATTTTTCTCTCTTTTATTTTTTCCCAAAATTACTAGCAGGTAAATATCAAGGTAAATATGAAATCATACATCCCATCAGCATCATTTCGCTCTTCTTTTCTTTTCCATCAACTCTGTCGAGAGAAATTTCTCATCTGAAGTATCACGTTTTACGTTTGACGTATGAAAGGTATAAAAGAAAGAAGGTTCATAACTAAATTTTCATTACCAAAGTTTACCTTAAACAATCAACAAGTGGATTAATAACGTTAAGAATCGAATTTTAAAAGAATTTATTTCAAAATAAATCAAGATGGAAAGTAAATACGAAATGACTAGTTTCAAGGAATTTAAACCAAAGTTTAAATATTCATCGGCATCTTCTATGTCGGATACATTGGGTGACTCTAGCAGCTTTAATTCATCCAGCTTTAATTCATCTGATGGATCATTCAAATCAAATATACAGAATAATAAAGAAAAGAATTTTGATTTATCAATGAGCTGTAATGATTTTCGTACTGACGGAAGTTTTAACAGCGAAGAACAAGAAAACTGTAACAAAAGGAAAGGAATCAAAAATTCATTTTTATCGTTCATAAGGACATTCAAAGATATAAAGAAATGCAGAAATTCAAGAAATCAAAAAAGTATTCTAAGGCAACCTACAGAATATGTTTATGTGAAAGGATTTTCCGGTGTGCCAATGCGTGTCATCAAAGATTATTCATCTCCAATATCCTCTGACTATCACTTATATGTTAGAAAGTTTTAAATTACCAACATTGCATACTTAATAAGTTTTAAATAATTTCACAAACAGTGAATTTTAAATGTAACAAAAGCTTAAGGGATCGAAAAAAGTGCTGTACCAAACAAGGTTTCAACGAACTATGGAGAGAATTTTTTAACAACATTTGAGACGAAAAGCTAAGAAATTTCTGGAAAGCTGTGATGTGTATTAATTAAATTAAATCCGAACATATCTTGTTAAAGAGAACACTATCGAAGATCTAAAGCTAAGCAGCATGGAAATTTCGTAAAAATGCCAAAGAAAATTTATTCCATTCTTGAAACAGATGAAAAGTTTCTGAATACAAATGAAATTTTAAGTGTTATTAGCGTGTTCTCTAAGGTTTTAATGATCAATCAAGTAGGATTTCTTAAATTGAAGAGACTCAAGTGAACAACTCTCAATTAAAAATCTCGCTCCAGACATCATTAAAAATTTAATAAAAAAGGTGTAAAACTGTTCAAGCATTAAACAGAAGTTGAAGCCTTCTTTGACTACATAAATAATATTGTGATGACTTCCTAACTTTCCTTGCAACATGTTTTCTTTGGACTTACTTTTCTCTATTCTTAAGAAATTTAAAAATAATAAATAAAATCAATTGTTGTTTCTATTGTTGTTTATAAAACAAAACGTGATGATGCAGTTTTGTACATCAATATGTTACTAATTTATTGTGAAAATAAATAAATTAAATTAAATTTAAAATTTTTTTTAAATAGTGCTTTTCCAGCCCACATTTTGTTTTGCTTTTCCTAAGCAAAAAAACTTTTGAGCCTTTTCTTTCAAGCTTTTCAAAATTAATTATTTCAGCATGAATTAATAGAAATTATAAGATTATACAAAATTAATTAGCAAATCTAGAAAATTTTAGCAGCACCGCAGTTTCCAGGCGTATAACGGAGATCACAAACCGAGCAAAACATGAATTAATTTCAATTGCTTCACCTGAGATTTTCTGGCTGACAAATTGTTCATGAACAGGACCAGAAATTCAAGAGGTATTGCCATATCGTAAAAAAGAAGTCTAAATAGATCAAGAAGAAATTAAAAATGAATTCATATAAATGCGCCAGCATCATTTAGGTTTTTTCCTTCAACTCTGTCGTGAGAAATTTCTCATTTGAAGCATCACGTTTTACGTTTGACGTATGAAAGGTATAAAAAAAGAAGGTTCATATCTAAATGTTCATTAAAAGAATTTACCTTAAACAATCAACAAGTGGATTAATAACGTTAAGAATCGAATTTTAAAATAATTTATTTGAAAAAATTCAAGATGAGAGATGAATACGATAATAAAGATTGATATAAATTCGGTAAAAATCGTCATTTCGGAATTTACATCAACTTTTCAATATCCATTGACAACTTTCGATACTTTGACAAGAAGAAACAAACTGTATCAAAAGGAAAAGAATCAAAGAATCAGAAATTCAAGAAATCAAAAAAGTACTCCTAGGCAACCTACAGAATATGTTTATTTCTATCGATATGTCAGAAAGTTTTGAATTACCCAAGCATTGTTCTACTTATCCTTAAAATAAACTGCCAAATTTATGTTTCTCGTGAAACGATAAGATTATCCCCTTCTAGAATATCTGTCTCATATTAATGTTTAAGATTAATTTCTTTTTCAATTCAATTTAACGACTTCATAATGCACAAAAAATAATTATTTTCAGGTAATTTATATGGGCAGGTTAGTAACGAGATATGAAGGGAAATTGAAGAGGATCTTATGGATTTCTCTTCATTTTCCACACTTACTGAGAATGTGTCATTGTTCTTTTTCTCATCATTCGATGAAATAGAAGAATCGGATTCAGATATAGAGACACTGACCTCACTTTAGGGTTCTGTAAAGTAGCTTCCATGGTGTCTGCTGCTAACAACAAAAGAAATCATTCAAAGAGATAAAATTCGTAGATAATAAACTTGAAGTAACAGCATGCCGACACCTTATCTAATTTAATGTCAGCAAAAAATTAAAGTTGATTTGGTTGACTTTTGTTCGTTCAATTTTGTTTTAAAAGAAGAGAAATTTTCATTTTAATTCAGATTAATCAATTTTTTATTGAGAGGTTTCTAATTTGTGAGCTGGTAATTAATCTTTATTAATTATCAGATTTTTTTATCAATTATATTAAGAATCGATATTTCATGCAAATATTTTTTTTAATTTTAAATGCATTCTAATTTCGAGATTTTTTTGATTAATAGGTATTCTATTTAAATTATAAACTTATCTATGTCACATGGCGATAATTAAGAAATATTGATTTTTGAGCATAAGACAACAGAAATAAAAAAGAAATGTAATTTACTTATTATAATCTGAAACATGTGAGATGATTGATAATAATTTGTATCAATTTCCATTTAAAAAAATGTCATTGATTTGTATAAATGTGTCACAAACATATGGTTACATTTGTTCATTATCCAGTTCGTTCTTAGAAAGTGTTTGCTATTATTATCCTTGCTTATGTTCTCTTGTTATTCATTGTTTATTATCGAATAGGTATTTTTAAAACAATATCGAATTCTTAAAAAAAAATGAAGAAGCTTTGTGATCGTGAAGGGACCGAACTCTAAATTTTTTTGATGAGTGTTAGTAGGAAATCGTCAATTTGTGTCTGAAAAATATCAAACATAATGGAAATAATAACATGAACCACCTGTTTATCAAAATTTATTCATAAACTTATTAAAAATTAATAATTACCTGTTTGCTCTCCAACTTTTTTATGCGCGCTTTACGTTGTGCTGATAACTTGTCGATTTCAGATTCGTTTACTTTTGTCGCTAAACATCTAATTATCGCATATGCAATTTATGTTCATAGATTAGAAAATTATGCATAAACAATTTTAAGCTTTATCGTTATCGATACTTACTCGTTTAAAAGTTTTATCGAGTTTTGACTTTTACTTAAATCTTCTACCAATTTTTTATGTTGATTCTGAATTTTATGAACATCAACCTTGACATCACTTAATCGTATCTCTTTTTCATATTGTTGCCATTCGCTATAGTTTTGATGATTGAAATTTAATGGTTCTATTTTATCTAAGCCGAAAACTTTCAAATCTTCCTCAATACTTCGATCTATAAATTATTAAGATTAAAATTGTCAAACAAATGGATGGATAATCATTATCAAATTTTTATACTTTTTTGAATCAAATCATCAATTTCACTGTACATTATTGAGGATTTATTTGACAATTTCGATTAAAATTCAGTTAATGATTGTTGTTATTTGTTGTTGACAAAAAATCGTTCTAAAAAACGTTCAGTGAAGAAATTATTGGAAAAATATTTAAATATTCAAATGTTCTTGAAAAAACCGTTGCATCCGTTGAAACTTGTTCACACCTTGAGGGCAACAACATGATTAGATATCTACTTAGATAGACGTGTTCATATCGTAAGCAATATTCACGCAGTCGTTTTTTCTCTAGAAAATTGTTAGGTATACATAACAATGTGTACTTGCAATAACTATCTTGAGAAGGGGATTTTTCTTAGCGTAATTTTCTCCTTCCATTTACGCGTAAATTTCACATGTCAACTATCTCCTGTGACATTGTGAACCAAATGAAAATGTGAAAATTTTTTGTTTAAATAGAGAAAATCTGATACGAAATATTCATTCAGTCTAGTGCAATCAAGTGCTTCAGTTACAGTTCTAACTTACTTCATTCAATCTTAACTATCAAAATGTTCAAGCTTGTAAGTTTAAATTTGCTGAATTAGGATTATCAGCAAACTTACTCAAAAATATTCAACAAGTGACCAACGAATATCTTCCATTTTAGATCGTTCTCTCAGCTTTCATTGCTGTCGCTAGTGCCATTGTTGCTGCCCCAGCCTATGGACATTATGGTGCTGTTGGTGCCTATGGTGCTTATGGTAATGCATACCATGCACCACTTGCTGGTAAATTAAAGTTTAAACATTATTAAAACTTTTTTATAAATCAATATTTATTCTAATTAAAGCTGCTGCTATTGCCCCAGCTTACTCTGGTTACCATGGTGGATACCACGCACCTCTTGCCAGTAAATAGAAAAATAAATTTTCCTTTTTTGTAAGCATATTATTTTTATTTTCAAACCTTCACAGCACCTTATGCCGCATCTTACGCTGCACCTTATGCCGCATCATACGCTGCACCTTATGCTGTTAAGACTGCTGTAGCCGCCCCTCTTGCCACCAGCTATGCCAGCATCCACAAAGCTAACGTCTACTCACCATACAGATCATACGCCGCTGCTCCAATCGCTGCTGCTGCTTATCACGCTCCACTTGCCACTGCTGCCTATCATGCTCCAATTGCCACTGCTGCTTATGCCCCAATTGCTGCTGCACATCCAGGATACTATGGTGCTGGTTATCATGCATCTTATGCCGCACCAGTTGTTAAAGCTGCCTACCCTTCAGCATGGTAAGGACATCCTGTTTCATATGCCACCTACCAACACTAAGGCTCTGAATACTTGAATTGTCATACTTTGACGAACATCTTGTGTGCAAATCTTTGTTACGAGTAATAAAAAATAAGAATTGAAAAAAAAACAAAACTGTTGTAGATACCTTATAAACAAATCGGAGAAAAATGAATTTGTGATTAATGAAATGCAACTAAAAATTATATAACGAAATAACGAATTGGTCTAGATATATGAAAAAAAAATGCGTTAACTATGCCAACACTTGTGAGAATTTGTTGCCATATAATATGATAGACATTATTTAATTACGAAAGAAAATAGGTATGAATAACATGTTTCACTTGTAAATAAATCGACTATTATTTTTGATTATTGAAAGGTAGAGCAGAGGAAATTATAATGCAGTTTTATTTAGGACATGCGTTTGGTGTGTAGCATATATCTGGTTCAACATTAAAATTAACGGCCACACCTTTAAAATTGAATCACTCGCTATAGCAGGGTTAGGTAAGCAAGCTTCGTTCAGTGAACAAATATTCAGAAAAACACTTCGCTCTTAAAAGTCTTGAGAGAAAAATTTATTTTTCTGATATAAAAAGCAGTCAAGACTAATTCCAGGTTACCGAAATAATGCCTGCACCACCAATTGAATTAGGAGCACCAGTGAGAGTGTCACCTTTAATTAGGGTAAGAATAACAACTTGTATTTATTGAAAATTATGTGATGTAACTCAACTTTTGTATGAAAAAGGGGAGGGGAAAAGGGTTTGTTGTAGAACTTTTCTTTTACTAATTAGGTATTTTCATAAATAAGTCAAAATATCTATGTTTACATACAATAATCATATAATTTAAACTCTGTTATAGTTTGGACGCTGGTCATTCCTCGCTGTGGGTATCCTTTATGGTGCTTATCATCAGAACAGACTTGCTAAACGCGAGGTTGGAATCAGGGAAATTGAAAATAAACAGAAAGCTATTCGTGATGCCAAATTGGCTGAAGAGAAGAAAAGGAATGTAGAAGGTACATTTTTAATAATCTTTTATCAGCCAAAAATTGTAAAATATTTAACAAAATTTTTCATTTCTTTCTTTTAGAGGAAAATAGAGCGATTGCAGCATTATAAACAACAAGAACGAAGCTTGATAGATTTTTAAACGCAGCGATTAATCATTGTCTCGCTCTAAATTTAAAGAATGTGTTTCCTTAAATTTATTGTGTAATAAAAATTTAATTAAAATTGAAAATTTTTCGTTGTTTATTTTAACGGATTTTTATATTTTGAAAATCTCAGCCCCTTTGATGCTTTCCTAAGCTTTGCAAGTGTTTCCAACTCCTGAATTTAAAAGAATCATTCGGAACAAATATTATTCGATTTAAGTTAGTTAATTCGATACCTGCAACTTCAAAAGTGTAACAGTTGCATAATTAATCATCAGGCGCAGGTACATATCCCAAAAATATTATAATAGAAAGCGAAAATGATAGTGAAAATATGATTTCAATTTCTGATTTCGGATGGCTTGACAACTCATCGCTTTGAAATGGAAGAAAAGAGAAAAAAACATGTGAAAAACAAAAAGTGCTTAATTTCTAACGTATGGAGTGAAATCATCAATCGAAATTTGCTAAATTATTTCTGATCGTCATAGTGCTTGGGTTTAAGTCAAAACTTTCTTTGTTGAATTGTGAATTTAGTGACGAATTTGATGACTCACTTCCCCGTATTCTTTCTTTTCTCTCACTCTTTGGATTTTTCTTTTCGTTTTTTTTTCGGGGGGGACTAAAAATGTTACGAGTTCAATGGCGTCGCATCAGTTTCTTATCCGCTATCAATTTAATAAAATTATACACAATTTTGTGCCCTTCAAACTGATAACAATTGTCAGAATTTAAATATAGTTTCGAATTAATTTCATCTTCCAGATAACAGCGGCTTAGAAAGAAATTAATAAAAAAGAGAAAGAAAAGTGAAAACATTTGTGACCTGCGATCATTGAAGAAAAAGACTTAAAAGATGGGAAACGTATTTGCTAATCTGTTCAAGGGTTTATTTGGAAAAAAGGAGATGAGAATATTGGTGAGTTGGAACTTACTTAATTAACACATGAAACAACACAATACTTAAGTTTATGTCTCGCTTAGATGGTCGGACTCGATGCAGCTGGTAAAACTACGATTTTATACAAGCTTAAATTAGGTGAGTTAATCATTTTAATAATTTCGCAATGTTGAAATGTTAACAACGTGGAAGAAGTTTAAGTAACAAAAAAATAATATGTTAATTTTCTCTTCTTTTAGGTGAAATTGTTACGACAATTCCAACTATCGGCTTCAACGTCGAAACTGTAGAATATAAGAATATTTCATTTACCGTTTGGGGTGAGTTCATTACATTAAAGTGTTTGAATTTGAAATAATAAGAAAAAACGAAACTTTATGGTTGGTTTGAATCGTTTCAGATGTTGGTGGTCAAGACAAAATCCGCCCATTGTGGAGACATTATTTCCAGAACACACAAGTAAATAGAAATTTTATTGAGAAATTGTATAACGAAGTCATAAATACAATTAATATTTAATATGCTTTCAGGGATTGATCTTTGTCGTTGACAGTAACGATCGTGAACGTGTTGGTGAAGCACGCGAGGAACTGATGAGAATGTTGGCTGAAGATGAACTCAGAGATGCTGTTTTATTAATATTCGCCAACAAACAGGCAAGTTTTATTGTTTATTTTATTTTTGATTGAAAACTTTGATTAAATGATGATAGCCGTTCATTGATTGTATAGTGAAAGTGAACAAATCTTTTGTTTCAAGACGGGACTGATTCAATTCTCTCTTGTGAATTATTTACACAAAAAACTTTTAATTTTCCAAACATTTATCGAACTTTTTGTTTTCTTTTTATTTCTTCTAATAGGATTTGCCGAATGCTATGAACGCCGCTGAGATAACAGATAAATTAGGACTTCATTCGTTAAGGTAAAGTTTGTAAAACTTTTTTTTTATTATCGCAGCAGGTAAAAGAAAAACTTTTTTTGTTATTTTAGAAACCGAAGCTGGTACATTCAAGCGACATGTGCTACAAGTGGTGATGGCCTCTATGAGGGTTTGGATTGGCTCTCAAATCAATTGAAGAATGCCAATCGTTAAACTTCATCTCCGCCGTCGCATCTGCACTAATGTCGAAAGAAAAAAGTATTTTACAATTTACCATCAACCCTTTAAAACAAACAAACAACATTCGAGTTTTGTCGTCGTCCACGGTGTAAGATGATGAGAAATTAAATAAACATTACAAGTAAAAAAAAATATGAAATCAGAAAACAAAAAAGGAGAAGAAGAAAATTGCTGTCGTTAAGTAAACTAAAAAAAATGAAAAAGACTCGCTCTGGTGTATCTTTTTCTCTTCGATTATAAAATAAAACTTTAAGAAAGAATATCCATTAATTAATTGCTATTATTTAAAGTAAAAAAAAAAGAAAAGGAAAAATAAGACAAGAAACAGTTTTTTTTTTCTTATGAAGGATGTGAAGCTTTCGTTCAATAAATCTGAAGATTTCATCAGTGATTTCATGTCGTGTCGAAATGATGGAGAAATAATTTAATGCTTGCATGATAATAAAAGACTCATCGAGTTTAGCTAAAATTTCTCTTGGCATCGTTTCTTGCAGAGATTTTGTTTCCATCTTTTCACCAACATAACATTCGATTATTGATTGATGACGATGATCATGATGATGACGATGATAAAATGATATGAAAGTGCTCATAGAAATTGTTCTTAGTTCTCGTTTATTTTTAATCTCCAACAAAGTAAACAGTTGATAAATACACAAACACACACCCATCCCGAAACACACATACACACAAGCATGCTCTGATTATTGCCGGGGGGAGGGGTAATCAAAATAAATTAAAAAAATGCTTAGAAAGATTTATATGATGTGATTAAGATTAGCAAACTCATGGCATTATCACAATGAAAATTAAAATGTAAACCGACCGGACTTTCGACATAAAAAGAAAACAAAAGAAAAACTTTTTTTATGATTTTTGATGATAACTTAAGAATGATGAAATAAACAATTAAAATAAATGTGTAAAACATACAAGAAAAAACAATTTAAATTGCTTTATATAACGTCAGATAAAATTGCTGATCCTTCTTTCGTTGTTGAAAAACAGAAAAATAAATAAAATAAATCTTGGTTAACATTCTCTATGATACGAGCATCTGCTTCTCAACTATTTCCCTTCTTAAAGCTCGCTTTTCCTCTTTTCCGTTGAGTTAGGAAATGAATTCTTTTTACACTTCTCTATGAATGAAATGTTTGATTTCAGGAGAGAAAGCTTTCTTTTGCATTTTTGTTAGTTATCTTACATATTTCGGTTTATTTTATAAGAAGGAAACAACAACAACGTTTTCATGAATCAAAGAAAGAAGAAAACGAGTAACGAAATTATGTTTAAATGAATTCCAACTTAATTGTAATCAATTCTTATTTTAATAAAATTTATATAATTACGAAAACTCACGATATTGTTTTTAACTATGCATGTTGCTTGAAATGTAAATTGGGGGCAGATTGTTGATGTAATCAGTTTAGAATTACTAGAGAAAGCTTTTCAATTAAGCTCTTTATAATCATCGTCGTTAATTTAATAGGAAAAGCTTATTCCAAGCATATATTTTTACGTAAGTTTTAATGTTGAATCACCACCAACAGTTACTTTTTTTTCCACATAATTTATTTGAGTCACCAGAGACTTTAAATCGTTCATGAATTAATGAAAAAAAATCAAGGAACGGTGATGACATCATCAGATGCTAACAAGCATTTCATAACATTGCGTTGCTGATGAAGCTACTGGCTACTGGCAATGACAAACAATTCTCTAATTCATTTTACTTAAAATGTTTTTATTGATTTTTTTTCTTCTCTTTACATTATTTACAACACTTAACAAACCGAAAAAAGAAACATGTAATAATTTTTGTTTTCTTTTACTATTAAAGTTAACATTTTCCATTCTTTAAGTTTATGCTCCTAAGAGATTGATTAGGTTCTGGTGTGTCTAGATTCCACTTCAAAGATTGGCACGCAAACACATAATAAAATTTTGGACTCGAGAGACGAAATGAACAAGTAAATAAAGAAAAAAATTGAAAAGTTTTGCATCTCAAATATGGGTGGAGTGAAGAATTGGACTTTAATTTTAAATAACTTTTTATGATTAGAGAAGTATTCAAGAAGTTGGTGCATTTTGAGTTTTAAAAAAGTTTTCTTTTTGTTACCATTCAACAACTGCTTTTGAATTGAAGCATTTATTTAAAAATAAAACTATCAGATTGAAGAATGAGGTGGAAGCGTTTTTGTAAATTTTTCCAATTTCTTTGTCAAACATTTTCCTCAACAACAATTTTTCATTTAGATGATCAACAATTTGTCAATTTTAAAAGCTCGGAATTGGAGGCAAAGTATTTTTATTTTTAGGATACGCTATGTGGAAGAAAATTTATAAAAAAGGGAGAAACATTCCATTGAGTGAAGCAGCATCAACAGCGGCAGCAGCAGTTGTGAAAAAGTTTTTATTTCTTTTGTATGTTATTTTGATTTCTTTTTATGTTGCATGACTAATATTTAGATAAGATTTTAATGCTATAAGAATTTTATTTAGTTATCATGACAATTGGTGTTTGAAAGGATTGTTCTTATCTTTTCTAATTAATTTATTTCTTTTTTTATCATGTGAAAAAGACGAAACCCTGAGCAAAACGACCAATTTTGAGGACTTGCCGATGGATAACAAACAGAAGGAGCTTCACATAAATTTCACAAAATGGAGCATTAATCACATTTATCTTTTCACATACTTTTCATCAATCACCAAATGATTCACAATCCTAGCTAAAGAAGATGAAAATGTTTTTCTTTTTTAAAATTTTGAAAATCACAACATTTTTTTCATTTGTTTGTTTTAGTTCTCTCATCGCAACCTATGCGAGGCTTAAAAAGAAAAAGTTTTACCTTTGTCAATGTTAAAAGTTTAAAAGATTGAAGAGTGTAAGAGAAATTTCAATATTTTTTTTTGTTTGTCTAATATTTTGATATTTTTTTCATATTAACTAACTTCATTTGTCGATTAAAATTTTACATACATATCTCAGAAGAGGGAAAAGCTTTTTTTTCTGGAGATTGAATTTTAAGAAGCAACTTTGATTTCTTTTACCTATGTGTTAAAAATTTTCTAATGAATTTTATATCATGCAGCAGCGCATTAGAGGCGAGAAGAAAAGACGACAAAACAGAGTGTTTGGTAAGGCAGGTATTATAATTGTGTGTGTGGGTGTATGTATGGTATAAAATTGTTCACATTAAATATATATTTTCTTTATCTTTTCCTTATGGCTCTCTTGCTGCTTGCGCAATTCAAGTAATTTTTGGATGATTGAGTATTGCATGAGATTTCCACGAATTTGATTAAAATTTTCCTTTTCTTTGATGAAAATCATTTTGATATCAACATTTTCATCATCTCAATTTCCTTTTCATTTTTTATCTCAAACAATTCTGATTTAAATAAATTGAATTTCATTGAATCGTTGAAAAGAAAAATTCTTTCCGAAACTCGAGGAAAGCTCGCTTAATATTTTATATTAAAAACAACAAAATGAAAAAAGTTTGAATTTAATTCATTAATTTCTTCATATTTTCATTTTCTGTTACTTTTTATCATTACAGTAACTTTTTAGAAATTTCTTTTTTGTTTTATCTTTTAAAAGCTTCGTTTAATTTCTTACCTAATTAATTATGTAGATAATGATTTCATTTTTTATGGTAGAAAAAGGAAAAATAAAAGCAAAACTTTAACAATTTTTTTTTATTTTCAATTCTAGTAAGTGTTAAATGTTTATAGTCACACATTAAGAAAGACTTGATGATGATTCTTTTTTCTTTATATTTTAATTTAACTTTGTCCTTAAGTACTACATAATTCGAAAATAATTTCGAGTGTTGATAGCTTCAATTAAGATTTTCGCAATTTGTAAGGTCGAAAAGAGTTTCTTAAAGTCATACCCATAAATTTATATTCGTAACTTATTTTGTGTGTGTGTTTGTATTATTTTTGTGCACTAAATGGCTCTTGAAGTTGTTGTGCATTGAAAAAAGTCACTTCAAGGAACGTAAGTCGTTGTCAGCTAAAATCTTTATAAAATAATTATTCATCTTTGTTTTTCAACATAATTAACAATTGTAACAAAATGTTTAATTAATGGTAATCAATTCCTTCCTACACATCCTGATTTGAGATTTTATAAATTTGTAACAAAAGTTTCTCGTTTTCATTTTGTTTGGCTTAAATTAAAGTTTGTCACGATTGAACAAATAAGTAACACAAATCATAAAACTATAAAATAAAATGCAACATTTTTAGATTGAAGATCATTGGATTTTCGATTACGTAGATTTGAAATTCTCTCCTGCGATTATTTTTTTATGAAAAGCTTAAGTCGAAGAAAGAAAAAAGGAAATAGATAAGCGGATAAAGATTTAGATATTTTTTTTCTTGTTGCTATTTGAAAAGTTTTCATTCTCGTATAGCCGCGTCCCGGTCCCGGAGATTAAAGAATTATCGAAGGGAGAAATGAAAATAATGAAAAAACCTTCACGTCATGCGATCACGAAATTACTTTTTAAGTCTTTTAGTCGCCGCTTCGAGTATTTGTTGTATTTTTTCTACACTCCCCTTAGTTCCACTCTTCAATTTTGCAGCATCCGCTAGAATTGATTTGAGCTTTTTCGATGATGCGATTTCAGTTTGACTAAAGTTTGGCGTTTTTGGTGGAAATGCGGGGAGATTCTTATAAAGGGGATCGTTGATACGCCTTAAGTCATGTTCAATCTCGGCTATTTCACGTTTGATCTCGTTGTATTGATTGAGGTCGAGGCCATTCTTCTTCGCTGCTTTATGCAACGAAATTAAGTGTTGACGATCTTTAACATCGGGAAGAATATATTCCTGGAATAAAAGAAACAATTTTGTAATTAAATGTTTAATTAATTAATTTTGATGACCATACTTGTTTCGTAAGTACGAAGTAAGCATACGCAGCCATGGCAGTTCCATATGTGACAAAATATGTCACCGGTTCCATAATCTGATAAAACGTGGAAACAATTTTCATTATTCTCTACTCATAATAATAACGAAGTGAAGTCACACGCTACTCACATCCCAACTATATTCCCACCATGTCAATCGAGCTAATACACCAAATTGCACGGACATCAACCCTAGCCCAACCCATGTAAGGGCATTCGCCTTTCGAGCTGCTTTTTCATCCAATTCCACTTTTTTCTACATAGATATGAGAACAATTTTCATTTGTTTTAATTAACTTTTCTTTTTCTTATTCGATATATGAACAAATGAATGACAGAATGACAGAGTGGGAGAGAGAAAGGAAAAGAAAAAGTTCGGGAAATTGATTTTTAATCTACTCATATTAATTACCTGCTCTAATGGTCCTAACTTTGAATTTAATGTCTCTAGTTTCTCGTAAAGCTCTCTTTCTTTTCGAATTTGATGTTCACCTACGTGCAGCGCTTCATAAAGCTGTCATGGTTTATGGTGTCACGATGGGTGGTGATAGAAGGTGGCACGAAACGATAAAAATAAAGAAAGGTGATGAAAATTCATTTGAATGGGAAACGTTTGTATGTTAAGTGTATTAAGAAGTTGAATTTATTTATAAATGAAATCATTTGATAGCAACATAAACGAATGAACAAAATATGAAGAGATTTTCATGAGAGAATATAAAGAAACAAAAATATTTCGTCTTTGTCATCGCTTGTTGTTTACATGTCATTTTTCATCTTTCTTTCTTCATTTCATTGTTTCACTCATCACAATTGCCATTATTCGTCAACGATACTCTTCAATCACAGATTATTCCTGTTGCTCAACAACACCCTCAAGTTACAAACAAACCGCGACTACTTAGACATGAAAATCAAATTAAACACGAGAGTCACGCGATGGCAAACTTTTTGAGCGTTTGACATTCAAGACGAACGAAAATTGATTGATAAAAAAAGAAAAACCTACAAAATAAAAATGAGAAGCAAACAAAAGTTTGTTGATTCTTAACGAATCGATACAAAATTTTTTTTTGTCGTCGTCACAGCTCGACTTGCCCGCTGATTTATCATTAAAATGTTCGTTTTTTTCTTGACATAGGCCTGAGGATTCTGCGTTTATTCTTTAATAAACAACAGGAATATTTTTATTTGTTTTGTTAAAGAACTTTCGCAATTTGTTTCCTTTATGATTTCTCTTATAAAAAACTTTTGTGTATTTTTCCTTTTCTGTCTCACCTGTGCCACCAGCGATCTCACGTCGCCCAATTTTGTGACCTCTTCTGATGATATTTTTTCTCGCTTTGGTGGCTCAACAAAGTAATGTTTGTCATTTAAATGCAACCTGTAGAAGTAAAGATTATGAAATGGGAAATATTTCAGAGATTTTAAAGTTTTACCAGAAACTTTCGTCCATGAGATTCTCAATGGAACACGATGAAGCTATCCGAACACCATTTTTATTTAAAATCGCCGCACGATCAATGCCACGGTCTTCTGCTTTCAACATTTCTATGAAATCACCGACATTATGGGACACTGGCCGGAGAATGAATTGGCACTTTTCGTTACGGCTAGGCAGTGGACAGATGACATTCGGTAGCCCTCGGATGTATTGAACGGTAACATCTGTAATAATAATAATAACAATAATTAAATCCTAGAATCAATAATGTGAAAGTATAATGATATCTACCAAGTTATAAACTAATTTCAAATTTAGATTAATTAGTCAATGTTTAAGTATTTACTTGGGTGATGTTTGCCACATAAGACTTTTGGAGCGGAAAATATGAAGTGAAGCTTTTCATACTCATAGTGTTTAGTGATGTAAATAAATATCTTTGAGAGGGTTTGCGTGTTTCACACCAAAAGCGAATAAATATTTATGAATGATTTATATTGTGGGTGGATGAAAATCTCAAAAGGTACAAGAAGTTTTATTTTTTGTTTTTCTTCATAATTTCTCCACGAACCGAAAATGTATAAAATAAATCAAAAGTATTTTTAACATTCTAAATTTTCTTGTTATGTTATGCTCTGTGTGTGTGTGTGTAGTTAAACTGACATTGATGGAAATGAGAAGGAAAACGTTATTACAGCCGGAAGAGAGATGATAAGAGAATTTCAAATGTGAATGAAATTGACGTGCTTTTCATTGGCAATTTACTGGGAAATTGTTTCTTGACAAGTAATTTGGTTTGAATATTCACTCAACAAGTCAACAACAACAACAACATCATAAAAATAATGAAAATTAGTCTTTAAAAAATCAATTGCATTAATGTTAAAAATGTTATGCAGCGAAAAATAAAAAGTTTGTGTGCAGACTGCATGTAAAGAAAACTTTTTCTTTCTCTTTACGATGATGAATAAAGAAGAGATTTTGGATGGATTTTTAAACGAAATCTTCAATGTTTTGTGTTCAGTTTGGTTTTAAACTTCAACGGCGTCGGAAATCGTGAAAGAAGAAATAAGAAATGAAAAATTTTCTTCACAACAAAACTGACGTAATAAAGTTTATGAAAATTCATTAAACATTCTTTCTCGTTAATTCGAGTTCTTTCTACTTTTTCATTTTCGAGAGTTTTTAATTGTGTTATAAAAGTTAAAAAATCTTGAACCACGGTTATGTTTCGCAAATTTAACGAGAGGAAAAAACACAATGAAACAAAAAAAAGAGTTTTAATACGGTTCGAGTGCACCACGGGCTACTGACATTCGTTGTGAGATTAACAGATAAATGTTGAAACGCTGTCATAAATAAATATAAATCAACAAAATTTTGGATTTCTATTTTGCATAACACCCCAACAATGAGTGGAACAATTCCGAGTTTATGTGAAACCAATGAATTCTCTATTTGAAACAAACATTCTCAAACGAATTGTTGGGTGAATTGTTAAAAAGGCGAGAATGAGTCAATTTGCATAGATTGTAGAGAATTTTTATTTCGTTTAAACTTTATGCACTTGCAAAGTTGCCACTTGGTGGCTTTAACAAAATATTTAAAAGTGAAAAAGTTAAAATGAAAGCATGAAATACTTATGCATGGCTTATGGTTTCAACAACATAATTAATTAAAGTCTCGCTTATGCAATTTATAATTAAAAATCTCGTGTTGATATTTTGACACACATCAAATATCAAACATATCGAATTTCACAAATTTCACTTAAATTTACTTTTCCATGCTCTGATTTCCTGAATTAATATCGTTTGTGCATTCCATGTTAAGCAAACATAGAAACTTATATTCACTCCATATTAATTGCAGCGTAAAGAAAAGCGATTAGAAAATTTACTCTTTTCGTGCTAATGCGTGGTTTGAGGAGAAGCAATCGTTCGTTTTGTTAGCACAAATAGCAAAGAGAAACAAAATTGATTCGAGTGAATAACAAGCACAGAAGCAGAGTGTTTGCCATCGTCAGAAAAGTTTGGCAGATAAAACAATTAAAGAAAAACCACAAACCGAGAGAGGAATTTCTTCATTACATTTAACAGCCATCAATCAATTATTCAAAATAGGGTCGGGACAGAGCAATAGTCACTACAATGGAAGCACGAGAATGGGAAGTTCTCAAGACTTACAGAATCGGAGAAAGCGCAGGTAAATCAAATACAATTTTATTTATTGGGTCAATATGTTTGTTGTTTGTTCTAAATCCATTCGAAAGCGAAGACAAAAAGTGCTTTGTTGCATTCTTTATTGTTGTGAAAATAAAAATTCGCGCTTAACGTACGACAGAAAACAAAAAAAAAAACTCTGACAGTCAACGAATTATTTATAACAAAGCCGGAAGCAATTTATTCTTGATCTCTGAAGGGTTAATGTCCATATGAAACAAACAACAATAAACCAATGTTAATCATATCAAACATACACACACACACCCATAAACAATCATGAGACCACAACTCATGTCTTGACATTCTGACTCATTCATTTTCAATCACTCCGTTTTCAAGCAACATTTTATTTCCGGTTTTTCACCCTCGTCGTTGTGATCTCATCTGGAGAATTAAAGAAGAAGAATTAGGAGAAAAAGAGAAAGAGAGACAATTAAAGTAACATAGTAATTGTTAAGGTGGTTTAATTAAAAAGTTGTGAAACGATGTTTTGCGTAATATTTCAACAACAAAGTTTCATGCTTAAAGCCTTTGTGGTCCAAGCATTGAGCTTCCGTCGGTAGATTTTTGGTTGCGATTTTTCACATTTAATTTGGGTGAAAAGATTATAAATGTTTAACTAATAGAGTCACTCGTGTTCTTCTTATTTGTGTTATATTGTTGGTCTGTATGAATGTTGCGACTTTCGTTACGTTTAAGTGATTTTCATTCACTTTTTTTCGTGCTGTTGAAGCAGCAATGAAACAACAATAGCCCTCGTCATACCAACAACATTCGTTTTCTATGTTCAGCTTTAACTTGTAACTGAATTTAACTATGTTTTTTTTCTTGAGTCAACAGTTTAGTTTGTAGCTTTGACGACAACAGTTCGATTTTTCCTCTAATCTGATCTAGTTTTGCGTGAGTTTTCAATTCTCTTTCTGCTTCAGTAGCAAAATAGGAAAAAGAAAGAAAGAAAAAAAAGGTTTTTGCTTGCGTTATCTGTCTAATGGTTCGTTAGTTGTTAATTGATTTGGATGCGAAACTTATATTTATCTACTTTACTCGACTTCGACTTCAACCTTACTTAATAGTTAACTAACGAATTTCTTTTAATTTAATACATTAACAGAAACTCTGATTGCATCTCAAATTACGTTGATAGAGTTCGAATTTGTGATACAAAAAGTATCGAATCTGAGTCAATCTACAGCAAAGTGAATAGTCAAAAAACGGGTTGGCGTCAAAAATCTTTATCGAACATTGACTTGTCTTTGAGCAACAAAGAATTTCAGCCTGGTGCTGGTGCATTTCGATACCGAGACTTTGAAGCACATGACGATTTTTGTATAAAAAATATTAAGAACAACAAGAATATTGAGATTCAACGTGATTACGAAGACATTTGTAACGTCAATCCTAAAGGTAAATCTCGTGACTTATAAAAACGCACAAATAGTCAAACAATCTCCCATGCAATTAGTTTTCTGGATTATTACAGCTCAAGGTCAGAAACGCGACATCATTCAAGAACATAACAAACTTCATGTCAATAGTCGAGAGAAGGAAACGTGCAGTCTTCGAAGAAGCAAAAGCTTAGCAGTGATTAGAGAGGAAACTTTCAATGATTTAGCGATTACAGGGGCAAACAAGAGACGATCTCAATTAATTCCAAGAGCAAAGCTCATCGATAGAAGTTTCTTTAAAGATCGGTGAGTTGCATGAACTTTTCTTCATATCTTTAAAGATGAAAAATTTCAAATCAGTTTTTAGTAACGACAAATGCAAATTTGCTTTCATTCTTAAAGTTATTCAATAAAAATAATATTTGTATGAAAAGCTTCAATTACAATCTGTCTTAAACGATGAAAAGTTCAAACAATTTTTCTCCATTTACAGAATAAGTTTTCCACTCGATGAAAGTTTCAACTGCAGTAGCAGCTGCTTGAATGCGACTATTGATAATGTAAAGGAGGGCAAGAAATTGAATTCACATTATTATTCTTGGCAATATGATCGAAGTGATTTGGAAAGCATTGATTCAAGCATCTTTAAGAATTCCTTACATCAAAATTCACTAGAAAAGTCGAATTCATTGAGAAGTGAATCAACGAAAATAATTTCACGAGCTGAAATTCATAAAAACGATGACAACGACGACGACGTGCAAAAAACGTTTAATGCTGATGAGATTTTAAAAGACGGAAACGACACATTAACATCGATTAACATTAACGAAGATACGGAAAGTGGGATTACAATCATTGAAATAAAGGATCGACACGATAAAGGATCTTCAAGCGTCATATCATACGATTCAATTTATTTATCTTCAGAAAGTGATCAAGACACGGTTGTGAATGAAGGAAAGGTTAAAAACATTCACACTGATATTGATTCAAAGATCAAAGATTTCGAAGAAATAATTAGAGAGCTAAAAGTTGTCAATGGTAGTGTTGGAGGTGAAAGTGAAAAAGCAGGTGTCGAGTCAATTATCGACAATTTATACAGTCAGGTAGGAAAGGGACTAGGAAAAGCGGATGTGAAAACTGCTCAAGCGAAAATTACTCTCGACACGTTAAACAAATATTCTGATTATATCAGTAAAGGAACAGTGGAAAGTTTAACGAGATTCGTTGCTGATGGAATTGAGAACGATAAAAAAACATTGAAAATAAACGAGCACAACAAGTCAGTTTTTCAATATTCATCGCTTCCAAACGCAGACATCAGCAAATTACTACGAGATTGCGAACTTATAGATGCGAAATTAAGGGACGATGTATCAGTTGAATTGTCTGAACCTTATCCCGATTACGATTCAGTGTCTAATGATGTGAATGAGTTGTTGGCAACAAAGAAGCAAGAAGACGATACTCGAAAGTCAAGTGAGGTGAAAAGAGATTCAACCAAACGAGAAACAATTTCTATCGATGAAAATCCTAAAGGAGCGCCTTCCATTGAACTCGTTCAACTACCGACAAAGGAAATAATCGATAACAGCAATTCTAGTGATTTAAGAGATAGAAACCACACAACGAAGATTTATTTGCCTGATATTGGCGTGGAATTCGATTACGAAAATTCCATAGTAAGTTTTGAAACTGAAAGTGATTCAGACATTGAGTCGCCAACACAAAAGCCTCCGATTTTTAATCTCGTCACGATTACGGGACGAAAAGTTTATGTTGATGAATTAGCAGCAAAGGTTGAACAGCAAAAGGATAAAGCGACAACGCAAAGTGAAGTAAATAAAAAATCTGACGTTTCTGTTGACGCCATCAGTAAGAATTGTCCCAACGAAATTGTTCAGAAAATAATCATCGCCACCGGCGATAAACAAGACGAGATAAAAGTGACTAAGGGTAAACAAGACCTCGTTGATTGCACTGATAAAAAGCATTTAGCTCATTCAAAGGCAAACGTGAAAGATAAAGATAAGACGAAGAAAACGAAGACGACGAAGGTTCAACTTCAACAGTGCCAAGCTGACAACTGTGAGAAGAGTTTTCATCTAGTGCGGGAGAGAAATTATCACAGTTTCAACATGCCGCGCCCACAGCTATTAAGTATCATCGATTCAAAAAACAGCATCCCAAAGAAGGATCATCCAAAGCAGCAACACAAAAACATTGATGTGAAGGTTGAAAACAAGAATGAGCGAGTGATTAATCAAACAGAACGAGAATTCCTTCACAAAGTGGATTCTGTGAGAAATTACTGGTCGAAGATTCTCAATAATGAAAATTCCATTTCTAACAATGGAAACCTCAAGCAGATGTCAACAAAGTCATCAAGTGATATTCCTGATTCTTTGAAAGATGAAGAGTTTCAAAGCTTTTTTCCAACAGTCGAGATTGTTGAGCTCAATGGAGACACACAAGCGGCACTCGTCACGTCGCGAAAGTTGAACGAAGTTGAATTTGATCACGTGCGTTATAAGGTGATGAAATCGGACATGTTTCAGAAGAATGTGCTTGGAGGCAACCGAAAAGAGACGCAGTTTGATGGCTTGATGCAATACCTTCAAGATTACAGCTTTCAAGAGTTGTTGGCTAACAATAATGTCGTGATTATTGAGCCTGTGCGAACAAAAATTGAGAAAATCACCGAACAACCTGCAAAAGCACAATCAGCGTCGTGTAAAATCACCAATGGCGCTATTAACAAGAACAACTTGAAGAAACATTTCTTTTATCATCCGATACGAGTTAATAAAGAGCTCTACGAAGAAGAACTTCCGGTTCCTGATACAGTTCGAAACGTGCGAAAGCTTTTTGAAGGATCTCTTCGACGAACAACAACATCACCATCAAGGGAAAACAACTCAAAGATTTCGGAATCGAATGACAATTTACGAAGGAAGACTATTCGCTATCTTACCATCGACACGTCCTTCGACGGCAGTAATAACTTGGGTGTCTCGAAATGGGATTCAATAAGTTTGTCAAGCGGCGTCTCAAGTGCGGCTGATTTAAATTCCCCATGCGAATGTCAAGAAAGTTCTTCCAATAAAGAAATTAATTTTGTTTGCTCAAGCAAAGACAATCTCACATCAGAAGATAACGAAGATTACGACAGTGAACTTAAATCAAGTTTCGTAACTGCAGATATCATGGAAAAGATAAGAGAATGCGGTTCATCGATAACGTATTACGGCGGTCAAACAATAGAGAAGAATAAAAAGTCTGAAGTTCTGTCAAAGCCAATTGTAAAAGAGATTAATGGTACGAAATGCAATTGTCATTCACGACGTTCTTCTCGATCAAACGATAAATATTCTAGAAAGACAAGCAATGATTATTCGGGTGAGTTTTTTCGTGAATTTTCTGGTTTTCATCATTTAATGAACTTTACGTGCTTTCCAGGGATGAAATTTAAGCTTGTCAAGTCGAATAGTTGCAGTAGTCGTTTAGAACTAACAGGAACATGTTTAGAGAAAAATGCTGAAGAAATTCAAAACATGATTCATGATCATGACGACAACGACACGGACGACAATAATAAAGAGTTAGATGAACATGAAGAGACAGTGAAGGAGATGGTTAACCGTCTTGAATCGAAGCATTCGATTATACCGCCCACACCGACAAAGCCAAGAATTATTGAATCAAAATGTATTGAGAAAGCTAACAAAGATTTCATTCCGAAACTTACAATCAACCATCAAAGCTTCGATAAAGTTCCACAAATCAATGAAAATGTTTCTGTGAATAATCATTTAAATTCAGGGTCAAGGAATGCGACGCAAGATGATACCGAAACAAATATTTCAAAGCCAAAAGTAGTGCGAAATAAAAATGTCGATTTGGCTATGGCATCTGTGATGTGGAGGAATGAACAGAATGTTAAACTAAATTCAATGTCTGTTGACATGGAAAATCTGGCAACAAGAGAAGAACTTTCACATGCTAAAGATGCCAAATGGAGCAACATTTGCAAAATGGATTCAGTTGAGATGGTGAAGAATCAAGATAAGATAAACAATTGCGCGCACATTAAAAGCCGACACCAGCACCACCCACATGATGAGAAAGAGCAAACGGTGAAGTCAACGCAAATAAATAATTCTCATGGGGATGAGAAGTCCATAAAAATGGTAAATTGGAGTACAGTTGGCAGTAGTTTGGGTAAGGAATATATTGCAAACGATCGTAACTTGGTTCAAACGCGAATATATGATGAAATGGAGTTTGAAGAATTCGAGGTGATGGGTGAACAATATGACAGCTTAAATAGTAAATAATTTCCTCACTTTTCTGATCGTTAAACAAGCGAGAAAGAATAATTTGATCACGATTCAGTTTTTATGATATCGTGCAACTTTCAGATAGCTAATGAATAAAAATGTTTAGCGATTTGTTGTAGTTAAGCATAGAATAGAGCGAAAAAAAAAAAGGTTTCGGTAATTAGGTCAGATAATATTTATGTTGTAATATCTACAAATGTGGAAGCGGAAGGTAAACACTAAAATATTTTTGTTCAATTTAATTAACCATTGATATATTCTTTGTTAATACAATCATTACATCATTCATAATTTACTTCCCCCAAACAATTAAAAACAATTCAAATTTAAATCAATGAAATATGAAATAAACTTTGGCAGCAATGAATTTTCATTTTTATATTCATTTCCTTACAAAGAAGCTTACCATTAGTGTTTCTATTGCTTGCTAAGGGCTCTAATTTGCTATGTGGGGTCACATCTGATGTTGTTGACAGGAAACGTTGCGTGCAACTCCACGTAAAATTCTGAAACAACAGAAAGCATTTCTTATTTCGTTTTTCTTCTCATTCTCCTTATCGTCATATTTTTATCGATTTACTTCTCAATGGAAGAAGAAAGAAAAATAAGTTTCTTATGGAAAAGGAGGAAATCTCAATTTATTTATTTAAAGACGTGCTGAGAATATATTTAGAAAAATGATGAATATGGATCAATTAATTATGCTCGATTTACTCTCAAATATTAATAATTGTTTACTTAACATCACATTATAATGTTTACGACATCATAATTTGTGTAGGGTTATTTTTAAAGCTCGAAAATCATTTCCTTACTTTCCGGAAGAAAATACTTTAATAAAAAAAAGAAGTTTGTAGGTATTTAGAAATAGCTGTGGAAAATTACGAATTCGTTTCCGAGAAATAAAAGTTAATCAATAAGCTTAGGTATTTAAGTAAATAGGTTTATTCTCGAGCACATAACAATCTAAGTGCACCTATTAAATATGAATGAATAGTTTTAATACCAAATTTAATTGAACATTAAAATTCTTCGATTATTAAATATTTAGAAGGAAGAAAATGCTCATGCAAGCTTTGGTGTGAATAAAATGTCAATGCGGAAATTTATGCAAAATTATGGGGAAAATATTTTCATATTCCAAACGAAAGGTCTCCATTCATTTCTATCTTTCCCTTTACTTTTTTTTTGGGTGTCTTACATGAGAACGAGTTTCATTACAGCTGTCGGTTCATAAGTAAGTTGATGTGAAAACACAACAATGGAATTTCTTCTTGGGAAAATTTCTAGGTAGTAGAAGAGTAAAAAAAAAGTATGTTTGACGAGTCTATAAGAAAAATTTACATTTTTGGAGTATCTACTAAAGGGGATTATTCGTTTAAAGTGTCGCTTTTAGTGTCAACGGCTTGAAACATTACCTTTGTTTTGAAGAGTGAGAGGATTTATGAATAATATGGAAATTTTATGGTAATCAGACAGGCAACGAATAAATGCTTAGCATCAACATGTAAATAAATACAAACATGAATCTATGTGACATGTTCCTAACGCGTTTCCCTGTTATTTTCATTCCCTGCATTTTGAATAAATTTTCCGCGTGGTTTCGTTATTTGCTTTAATAGTTCTTATTTAGAAAATCAAAGAAATAAAAATAAATATTATATGTTTAACCAAACGAAAACTTTTTTAATTTTCTTCGAAACATTCTGTCTTCAATCCTTTGAAAATTGAATAATAAAAGATGATTAATAAACTTTTGCTTTGTGTACATTTTTCTCCTCTTTCCTTTTCAATGACTTCATTTCCTTTTCCATTGTTGGTTTATGTTGTGATAGTTCGAATAGACATAACATTTCTAAGTCAACACCCAACACTCTGTGTAATTTCCCAAAACTTAAACAAGATTTTAGATTCAAGGACAAATTGAACATTAGCAGAAGACTTGCTATGCTTTTATAGCATGAAATTTAATGGTTTATTCATTGAGAAAATGATATTAATAATCGACATGAAATAGGAAAAAAAAATCTAGAACATAAAAAAATATTGATTTTCATTTCTCTCCGATGCATTCGTAGGCATGAAATGGAAATTAAAGAAATAAAAATAATAAATTGAGAAAAGAAATTAAGCAAAACTGACATCTCTGGCACATCTCAAAACCGAGATAATTCAAAATAACTCTATCTACATTTTCTTCGAAGGAAAAGTTTACTCTTGGATCTAAATATAGATAAATATCTAATAGCTAACAGTCGCTCGTTTTACAAAGCCATTTATTTTCGCATAAATATCTACAAAATTTCCATTTCATAACTTCCGTCGCTTTGGCATTTTATCAATTTTCCGCGCCCCTCATCAATACATTTCACTTTCTTTGAACACTCGAAAGGCGCGACAGATGCGCTAAACGATAAATTTTTTCATGTATATTTGTCAAATTGCAAAACAATCAAAAGCCCTTATGTGAATGCACGAGCAAACCAATGACAGGTACTTAAACTCATTTTTTTTTCTTCTTTAAATGGAACGCATGGCACGTGCTAGGTAGGATGATAAGAAATAATTCCCGAACAGGTTTAGTGCGATATGGAGCATAAGAAATGTTGATTACATGTAATTTTAATTTTCTCTCGTCGCGATGAAGCCATCAAGCGTGTGACAATCAATGTCAGTTGTGGTAGCTTTTGTGATGGGTATATTTCTTTTTTGGCATTTTGATTATTGTCGAAAATTAATTCACTATGCTGTGAATTTACTAATGAACACCAAAAGAGATACTAGAAAATATTGAAGAGCGTTATCGTCGATTATCATTAGCCGTGACATTGGACACGCTATTATTCCATAGATAAGAAATTTCATTTCATTCTTAGAGCTTTTACTTCTTATTAGATTGATGAGAAATACACGACATATGGTAAGGCTTTAAGAAGACATTTAAACATTGTACAACAGCAGCATTAAACTTTTTTATTTCATTTTTTCTTTTCTCCCCACGACACTTTAACTTGAACATATTCTCGACATCATCCTAAAGACTTTTGCATGAAATATTTTTTTTATATATTTTTGCCCTGTAAATGAGTGAAAAAGTTATTTTTACAGACTGAAGCAGTCAACACAAAAAAAACTCCACAATTCATCATTTTTCTTGAGCTCTTGAGGTAGATTTTCTTTAATTTAGATGTACACTCAGCTATCTCTTTTCGTTCATTTTAAATCACTTTTGTGAATGCCATACCTTATTCCTATGATGCAAACTAGTTAAGGATTTGTAATCAAAACGCAAAAATAAAAGCGATGAACGTCTCGATGCCATTCTTAAAAGCCCTAAATATACTTTAATTTATCAACACTTTAAGAATCTTTTTGTGCATTTAGATAACAAAATCACTGAAATAAGTTATTTATTATTCTTTCACTACAATCCCGATGGATTACTAATCAAAAAATAATAAGTTCTCAAGAACTGAACTATTCTGTCGCACTCAGATGTTATTATACGAGTTTGCGTGACTTTTAGACCCGTTTAGACGATTTAAAGGAATTTTGAACCGGTTTCATGCGGGAATGTCATAAACATCTTAATTACTCAATTTCTGAACAAAATTTTAAGCATATTTCAGAAAACTACAAATGAGAATAATTAGCTTCATCATTATCTTAAAAACATTGATTTTGTTCACATACATTTTCAACTTCCAAAAATTTTGAACCGCTATTGTTCAAAGCTTTGCATTTGATGAAAGCTTCTCAATATAAATAGTCGAATAGGAATAAAATGTATTTAAATGAGTTTATTGAAACGACTTCAATATATAGGAATGGAAGAATAATTTTCAATTATGAAACACGTTGAACATTTATAATTCATATCTACATTTTCTCAATAATGAATGAAATTAAAATATAAAAATTAACGGAAAATAAATGTACTTTTCATGTACTCAATACCCCTCGGGGTATGAATTATTTGAAGGTTTCTCTTGAAGAAAGATTACAGAAAAAGAAAAAACTAAATTTATAAAATTTAATTAATTAATCTTTAATTGCTTAGTTTTAATAGTTATTGGAGTAAACAAATAATTACCGTCAGTCATGGGTAATGTTGGAGCAAGCTCAAAACCTATTCAAGATCCAAAATTCGATCTGCCTGCAGAAAGTCAAATCGAATCAAAACAGAAAAAGCCTCTTGAAAATCCTGGCACAATGGAAGAATTACATAAAAAATGCAAGGGTGAGTTATCTTTCATTCACATTCATTGCAGTTTTAAAATAGATTTCATGAAATCTTTATATCAATCGATTCCAACCTCCAATGTGTCTTGTATTAACTTTTATCTCCTTCCAGACTTAATGCCAGTGTTTTTCGAAGGAGCTAAACTTATGGTCAATAAAGGCTTGAGTAATCACTTTCAAGTCTCGCACACAATAAATTTATGTTCATCAACACCAAGTGGATATCGATTTGGAGCGACTTACGTTGGAACAAAGCAGTATGGACCATCGGAAGCCTTTCCCGTCATACTTGGTGACATTGACCCATCAGGAAACTTAAATGCTAACATCATCCATCAGTTTGCGCCAAATATAAGATGTAAATTTGCATCACAAGTAAATAATTCATAATTAATTTCGATTCGCATAAATGTCAATATATGATTTATTTCAGATCCAACAAAATAAACTCACAGCCGCTCAACTGACAACAGACTACAAAGGAAGTGACTTCACAAGTTCACTGACAGTTGGAAATCCAAACCTTATTAATAGTTCTGGCGTCTTAGTTGGACATTATTTACAAGCTGTTACGAACAAATTATCGCTTGGTTCTGAAATTGCGTATCAATATGGACCGCAAGTGCCGGGTGGTGAAATAGCAATTGTATCTGCAGCTGGACGATATGGTGATGAGAACTCGGTGTGGAGTGGTACGATTGGATCATCAGGTGTTCATTTGTGCTATTATCAGAAAGCAAGCGAACAACTTCAGGTTGGTGTTGAATTAGAGACAAGTTTCCGAATGCAAGAAGCAACTGCGACCATTGGATATCAAGTAGACTTACCAAAAGCCGATTTAGTGTTTCGAGGTATGGCTGACACCAACTGGAATGTAGCCGCAGTGCTAGAAAAGAAGCTTCAACCTCTGCCATTCTCATTCGCTCTCAGTGGACTGCTGAATCACCAGAAAAATTCCTTCAGGCTCGGTTGTGGTTTAATAATAGGTTAGTCAGTCATTTGTAATGTCCCAATCATAAATGGGCTGCCGAGTCTTCTTTTGTAGAAAAAAAACGAGAAATTAAAAAAAAACTCTTTAATCTTCGTTGAGAAAAACAGAGAGAAATGGCTTAGTAGAGATTTTCTTTTATAGCGAACTGAAAAAAATTATGATTAATTGAAGAAAAAAAAATGTTGCAACATAAAATATATAATTAAAATAAAATATGAAAAGTTTCCGAAAACAAGAAAAAAAAACAAAGCATAATAGGCTCAGCTTACCGCTTAGTCCAATTAAGAAGAAAAAAGATAATTGCATTTAAAAATCCATTCTTGTAAACAAAATTCTTAAGTTGAAGCTCTTCGGTTTTGACGGTTTTGATTTTAAATTGGTTTTTTTAGTTTTAAATATAAATTTATGTTTTACTTTTTGCAATGATGAATTTCAATTCAGTCTCTCTGCCTTAAAGCGGTGAATGATAAGAAATTAAAGTCAACAAATTGTGTAACACAAACAAATAACAACAGTAAAAGCAAGCAACAAATGAATTAAAAAAAATGTAAAATAAAAAGTTGAAAAATGATTTTTTTCTTCTTATCATTGTGGATATTATTCGAAGGTGGATAAAGGTTGGCGATGACGATTAATCTTGTCACATGGATACAATCAAAGTTTACATTCTTTTGTGAACATATTATATCAGAATTTCAATTGATTGATCTTTTAGCGGATTGGCATAAAAAATATCAATTTCCGACGAGAATTTTTTCCTGATGAAAAAAGATCAAGAAAAGCTTTGAAAAGTTTTAAGCAGATTGTTCATGTAATCTTTGTCAATCGTGGGGTGAGAACATCATAGTCACGTTTTATTTTCATGCCAGCGAGTTTATATAAACGAGTCTACCATAATTTTTCATACACTTCACTATCAAACTTTTTACAATCATTTTGTTGGTAAATTATTATAAAAAAATATGCGTGAGGTTCTTACCATGCGTTGAGAATTTTTTTGTTGCTGAAACTTGATTGAAGTAACATTCATGAAAGCTTTAAAGAACATTACAATGTGATTGTAATCAGCTTTCGTCCAACCATGGGTGAGCTGCATAATATAATTTAAATCAACACAATATAATTTAATTCCAACACAATTCTCACTTCTCCTACAAAATATTCATAAAATGAGAATCACATATTTTCATCATTTTATTCTGACAAAATTTTTATCATAATTTATTTTCTTTGTCGTTAGTTTTTGTTGATGTTTGTTTTCAACCCCACAACCCCAATTTTATTTAAATATTTTATAATGTTAAACAACAATTATGTAATAAAATTAGGTACACTTTAAAAAATGTTTTCATTTTTTTTCTTTTCTCTTTGGCCAATTAGTAAAATTTTGTTTTCTCTCACTTTAATAAGTTTTTCTTTTGATTACATTTAATAAAACACGAAATGGTCATCATCATCATTTTATACTTAATACTCTTTTATTAATTTCATTAACAAAATGTTCTTCATCAATTTAGGATGAAGTAAATATAGTTTAAGATAGTTTGATTCAGCACCTTTTTCGACATATCCTTTTTCCGAGGAAAATTTATGACTTTGACTAACTAGATATTTTCTTTCATGCCTTTAATGATGAAACCATTGATGAGGAAAGCAATTTCTTCTCAGTAAAATCAAACAGATGCCACAATTTCACGTGAATCGTCTTCTAAATGATATTCGTTGGAAAAGATGCTAACATTAAACGTAAATACATCAGTAAGAATGAAGATAATCATCTTTCAAGATGGATAATGATTGAGAAGATTCAAGAAAGTTATTCAAAGGAAATGAAAACGAAAAATGAGAAAGAAGAAAAAAAAAAGAGCATGTAGTGAAGAGAAAAGGAAAAATCCACAAATCATCATAAATAAATCGATTTATGTTTTGAGAATTTTTTTTCTTTTCCCTTCTCGACATTTCGACCGTGAAAAGATAGATAGACAGATCGCAGATGGATAGGACTAAGGGGAGAAAGGAAAAATGAAAAGTAAGTGGCATTACAAGATCGTTTTATTCTCTAAAGAATTATTAAATTTCGTTTCTGTCATTATCATGTTATTGGCATTGTAATTATGACAATGAATATTATTCAAGTTACATTGCGAATGTGATGTCTTAGCTTTACTAATATCATATTGATAACGCCACAAAATTTCGTTATTCTTCTGTTGGTCATCACCATTCGAATGGTTGCCACGGCTGAATGTTGTTAACGTTACCGGCGGTGATTTGTTGAATAAATGTAAGCATGATGACGCTTTTGTTTTTAATTCGATGGTGCAGTGATGTGGATTTGTATACAAAACCTCATTATTTATTTTCTTAAAGCTTCGCTTCAAGGAGTTGTTTCGGAACAAAATCATTCGTTCGCCATTCTTCAATCGATGTAATGAATTATGGTGGGTGTGTAAAGGGGATGTAAATACGAAATTCGAGTTATGATTATTAATAGCCCCAGCTGCCGCCGTTGCTGTTGCTATTGTAGTTGATGATACAACCGGTGTCACAATGGCGGACGATCCTTCATAAAATAAGAAATAAATGAAAATTTATAAGTATAAAGCAAAAGCAAGAGTTTGTAATCACATCACAGTATAAAGAAAGTCAGTTCACACCTGATCCAGGACTTGGAGACGGAATTCGCTATGAATTGTTATCAACTTCGTATTTTTTTAATTCCATCATAGGTAAGGAAACATTCTGATATTGAATTTCTTGCTGAGTTGTGAGAAAGTCAAGTGAAAAAGAAAGAAATAAAGTGAGTAAGTGAATGGATTAAGATAGCAAATGAAAAATTACCCCGTAGTGATGAGGTGGTGGAAGGTTGAAAGTCGATGGAACGTACGTGTGCGCTCCCGGACTACACTTCGTACAATTACGCTTAAGGGCTGGACGTTGACGAGATCCATGGCATCTGACAGCAAATCTTAGTTCTTCTGCCATTTCCGAACATAACGATTGTCGATCATTTTGAGCGTTTTTCTTTGAATTCCAACAGAATTCTAATATCGCAACGAGAATTGCAAACGCCAAACCACATAGCAAAACCACAAACACTCCACCAATATTCTCGACACCCAAAGCATTTGCTTTCGATTCTTTGTTCTTCTCATCACGACTACAAATCTCTGCATTGAAAAATGGAAAATTTAATGAAGACGATTTATTTTGTGTGTTTTTTTTCATAGGCTTTAAATAAGCTCACCACCAGTATTCTTCCACCATTTGTCGTAAAGAATTTGAATCGTTCCTTTCTCCTGCAGTTCAAGAATTGCTAAAGAAATTCTATCGCGCCATATGCTTCCTTTGGGAGTCGCGATGCCGTAACCTTAACAACGGGTGGTCGAGTTTATAAAAAAAGAAAAATTTAAGTAAAAAAGGAGAACGAAAGAAACAAAAGTTTTGTTACAGCTCAGTCACTTAATTAAAGACCAATTTTAAAGGATGAAAATTGATAAAACATGTTCAATGAACCGTTCACTTAAAATGTTTTCATCTCTTTTTTGGGTTTCGTTTTTATTTTTTAATTTTGTTAAGCTTCAACTTTTCGCCTTACCTTTCGAATCCAATAATCCTTTTAAAAAGATTCGCAATGTGATGAGGGAGAAAGAGAGAGAGAGAGAACGAGGGAAAATGAATTTTAAACTTCTAAACGAATGAAAATGTTTGAAACTATTTTAGAATTGTGGGAAAAGGGGAAATGGAAGATGACACATCATGAAAAATTCCATTATATATTTTTTAATTAAGGTTAAATGTAGAAAACAAAATGTTTTTAAAGTAATGGAACTTATGTTTGCTTTCAACATCTTAATTATCATCCGAGATGTGCTCATTTCTGTTTTCTCTAATTTTTGTTCTGTGAAAATATTTTTTCTCATCTAATGTTGTCGTAATCAGAAGCAAAATTACGATAAGAATTTGATGGATATTTATTTATGTTAAGAGAAAAGTTTGAGAAAACTTTTTGAGATGTTTTAAAAGTTCTTTGAACTTTTCATTAAAATTTTTATAAGGATGAATCACCTCCAATTTGTGTGAGATTGCAATCCCTTTGGACCGCGAAATCAAGCATCGTACTTTCCATGAGAAAAGCGTAATCTCCTTCAAGAACTCGCTTTATTCCATCTTCATATGTTGCTACAAACACAGATGGCTTTTTACTCTATAAAAAGATGGAAAAAGGTAGATAAGTGTGGGAGTAAGAAGACATTAAAATTTTAGTTGCTTATCATCGGAAGCGGAAATAAGGACAAAAACTCACTTCCATAAACCGCCACATCTTCTGATAAATTCCTATTTTCGAATCCTGCAACGAAACGGGAGACATCAAAAGACGATTTACACTCAATGACATGAATGAGAATTTGATGACATGAATAAAGTGCTGAGGCATGTGACGCCACAAATGAAAGTGATAACAAATGAAAGTGGCTAAAAAGGATATTCAAGATGCTTCCACTTTCCACAAACACAAACACACACTCAGATGGTAACACTTACACGAAAGAATGTCATCGTTGATCCACCTTCAAGGGTTCCATAAGAGATGTCTTGTTGATCTGCTAAATCTGCGGCATTCTCGATAGGCGTTATCATCCTTTCAACAGTCAAGAAAGCAGCCAAGTTTGCTGTGTAACTTGAAATAATTATGAGGGTGAAAAACCACCAGATGCCGCCCACAATTCGTGTGCTTGTCGCCTAGTAGGCAAAAGAAAATTGATCGTAAACTTTTTGATGTTCTTGTGTGACACTTAAATTTAACATCAGCAGTAGCAGAAGTAGAAGCAATTTTCTAGAAAATTAATTAAGGGTTGCTTCGAAGAAAGAGAGCGAGACATTGTTTCAGGCGATAAACTAAACAAGAGAATTGACTGGCAAAAACCAAGATTACAAGATACATAAGCACATAGACACATATTTTCGTAGCCATCTACATTTCTTATCTATTAACCTTTGGAGACAAGTCAGATGTCGTTTGAATTAGCGTTCCCATTGCCCACCAAAATGAATTCTTCAGATTAAAATTGTTCTCATAACTTATCAGTTCAATGTTCGAAGCAGCATCATCAAAGGTCGAGAACGAGTCATGAATTGAACTTTCATAACCAATCAGACCATCGTCGTCGATGTCTAACTTTCCTTCGCTTTGTTTTACTGACCCATTTTCGCTACTTTCATGATGATGATGACGACGCTCGAGGAAATTTCGACGATATTCGATGTTCATCCATGCGTCGCTTTCTCTACTTAACTCGCTTACATTCCTTACATAACGTTCCAAAGTACTGTAATTTTCACCACAATTTCCCTCCATCATCTCATCTTCATGCCCATCAAAGGAATTCAATGAATTTTTACACAAGTGAAATTCATTTCCGTCGTTTTCAACGTCATCATCATCATCATTATTAATATCATCATGATGATGACAGAAAGCAGCTTTACTCCATTCTAAAGGGGTTATTTGTGATGCGATATACATGGAAAATGACACGATTATATAACTAATAGCCTGAGAGATGAAATAATAAAAATTATCAAATATCCTTATAAACATTTCCACTCTTTATTCTAACGATATCTAACCATGCTTATCCATATTGACGAAGCCAGTGGAGTCATGAATGAAAAAAGACGATTTTCCGGCCGTTTGTGGGTCTTTAAATCGGAAAACGAATATAATAAAAGTTAATAATTTCCTTATGTAAGACATTCAAGAAGTTTGGATATGATTTCATCATAAAATGTTATTTTCGTTCGATTGTTGTCGGTTAAAGCAAGGAGAAGAAGCAGAAGAAGAAATGTAGATGACTCTGTGAAGATATGCGCCAACTTTAATATTTAAACCATTGAACTAGTTTCCTTAAAGGTTTTTTTCTCATTCAATTCTTTTGATTTCAATGCTTTCTTCAATTTTTTTTTATGTTTTGTCTCACATGCAACAATAAAGTTTGGCAACGTAGAGTAAAATGAAATAGCAAACAATACCTTTGGATTCAAGCCACTTGATTGTCTATTGAAGTTTATTTCGGGTGGTGATGGTGTTGGTGGTGGTGAAAAGTAATTAGAAAGTTTAATCAGATAATCGTGATGGCAGAAAGAATAGAAAGTGTCAAGTATAAAAGGACCTCAATCCCTTGAATTATCTCATCATTAACCATTCTAAGTTCACAGCTTTCTCATCGTTCATGTTTCATCATCGCTATGAAAACTTTTTTTGGCTTTCTTCTGACTTTTTTTAGCGTAAAATCGAATTTAAATATTTCATCTAATTTGAATATTTGGTGACGCCGAGTGCTTTGTGTGTCACTCATTCATCCAGATTGAGACGAGACACGAAGGAAAGCGAAGAATACTTACTGATGAGATAATTATTATCATTAATTTTATGCTAGAATTGAATCATCGTGTTTAATTATTTTCCTTTTTTTTCGTTATTGGACATTTCTGAGTATTTTGGGATGAACTTTATTTTTTCGCATGCTTCATCACATTAATAATGTTTGGAAAAGTTTGGAATGCTTTCGTTTTAACATTTAATGAAATAATTTCAACTTTCATTATCAGTCAATAAACGCGTTTCACTTCAAAATATGAAGTCAAACTTTTCAAATAAATATCTTCAGCAAATTCTCTTAATCACTACGACCAGCAATAATAATTTTCTATCTCTGATAGAAATCAAAGGCAAACATTTTTTGCTGTCAGAGATGTTTATAAATGTTCCAATAACGAAAAGAAAAAAATGAAGAAACAGCAAAAAACAAAAACCACACAACTTGCCTAAGAAACACTCCGGTTATGAACCAAAAGCTGTCGGAATTCGAAGAGAAGAAATAATTTTTAAGGGTTAAACGCAAAAACATAAATTTGAAGAGTTTGAAAATGAAAATTAATTGAAAAGTTTATTTAGAGACCGAAACTTTTCTCTCTTGCGCTACTAATTGGATTTATAAACTTTTCAATTTTTCAACAATTAAATGTCGAAACACTTTACCTATTTGATACACTGAATTGATTCTCAACAACTTGCTCTTGATGGCAAAAGTTTTTCGCCCATTCGTATGGTGAGAATCGCGCCATGACGAACAATGTGAAGGATACTGGAAATATTTAATGATTTAATTTCTTCCTTGAAGCATCTCTTCAACGTAGTTTTATATTTATTTTCATCAAAATTCCTTGATCTACTTTAGTCTGAGCACTTTTTAAAAGAAGCTTAAATTGGATTTATTTATTTCGTGAACTGAAGGAGAAGAAAAAAATGAAATGGCTCTAGTGGAATGTTGTAACAATTTAATCCGGTTGTTCAACCATTTTTTGATTCGATATTTACTATACTCTCATGGTATGCACGCATTTAAGAGCAACAAAGACACGAAATAGTCGATTGGAGAAATATTCTCGATTCTCTTCATCCAATTCTCGCTTCTTTCAGTCTTCATTTCATATTACAGTGCTATGCAGTGATGTTAAATGATGTGAAAGAATTCGTTCTCCACCCACAACACTTAAATTCACACTCAATCAACATTTAACATCACTGCAGTTTTATAGATATGTCTCTCTTTTCTTGCTTCATATATTACCGAGTGTGTATGCGGCTAAAACGTAGAGCCAAATTTCTATTGCCAAAGGATTCATAAAACTGAAGAGTCTCGTTGGTTGTGATGTTGGAACCTATTTTCATGTTATCATAAAGACGTTCAAAAGGTTAGATTATAAAAGCATAGAATGAAGGTAAAGATGAGAATAAAAAGTAAAAACATAACTCTCATCGTGTCTTCTTTTCTAAGACACAACGAAAGATGATTGCGCAATTTAAATTTCCTTTTTTTCCTGTCTTTTTTATTACACAGTGTAATAGACGATGTCATAACTGTTCGCATGTGGTGCTTGCTAAATCATCTCATATATTAGTCATTTCAATCTCATTTACATCCTCCTATCTCCATAAACCTTTTCTTCAAACGACACATGCACACTTTCAATTTTAATTCTCTAACTTTCTTAAAAAAATCATAAGAAAAATCTCACCTTGAATAAAATTCCAATTCCGAGATTCATGAAAGGTTTTGTGAAGTCGATAACATTCTCTCGAGCGTAGTTTATTGTCATTGATGCGACAGCCAAGTCCGATCGCCTTTCAATCAACTCACGAACTGTTGTTGTGAGTAAATAACAAAAATTAAGTGCTTTTTGTTTGTTGGAAATTGTTTTTCTCTTACCAATGCCATTCCATGATTTTGTTTCGGGATTGTAAACGCCATACATGTTGTCCGGAACTAATCGAATTGTATATTGAAAACCAACTTGTTGTCCAATTCCTTTCAATAAATCTATGCAAAAGCCTTCAAATCTATCGTTTCCTGTGAAGTTTCCTTCTTTTAACATCAAATACGGTTTCTCCTCACGTGTCATTACAGTTAATGTGATGCGCGTGTTGTTCGACTCGTAGAATGCATTTGGGTCTTTGATCTCAAGTCCATTTTCCGACGTCCATTGACCCACTTTTAGAAGCTCTTCCCGTTTCAATTTCAATAAATCTAACTTAAAGTTTACTCGCTTCCCTTCATTAAATTCAATCTTTCCTGTTAACCCCGTTAAACTGACGGAATCTATATAGTTGAAGAGAGAAAGTCCATCGTTCCATGGTATCTCTGAATCGCATGATAAATTCACTAATTTTAATTTATGTCCACTATCTAACTCTGACAAGCCATGAGCATAAACTGTGACAGCATCAAACATGAGAGCTGAATCACTCTGTCAATGAGAAACATCAAAAGCATTTTAATTAAATTAAATTCCATTGAAACATAAAAGCATATTTCGAAAACCTTGATATGAGTTTTCTGAGTAAGAAATCTTTGAGTCATCCTTGAAATGAACAAAACATAAATTTAACGATTTAGGTTGAGATTAATTTTCAATTAAAAACAATTTAAATGGTAATTTCTGTCTTCTGACTTTTAATCAAAACATTAATAAATTTAATTAACGTTGAAGTTTTTAGATGCCACAAAAATAAATTTCTCTTTCATTTCTCCGTAGCCTTGCTACAACTCTTTATCAAACATTCGAGAGAAAAAAAGAAATAATTAAAAGCTCATTAAACTTTCAAAGCTTTCTCATTCTGTGGAAATTCTTAAAGCTTTTAAAAGAGGTTTACAAATTTTTTGTTTCTCTTCAATGCAACCGCAAAAACTTTGATACTTTTAATGAAGTCAAATTGTTAGTGAAATACAAAATAAACAAAATTAACTCAACCTACCATAATGACTGAAGTTCCATTTGACGCATCCTTAGCATTCGGTTGAAACTTTTTCATCTTTTCCATGATGTCCATCACTTTTGGACTCTCGACATCAACAAGACGAAAAGCTGTTATATTAACACTATTGTACTTAAAATCTTCCAAATCAAATGTCTCAATGTCCTAATGAAGTCAAATAAAAAAATGAGAAAAGTTTCTGTTAAGTATCTTCTGAATTAAGTGAATTAATGTACGTGACGAAAGTACACAAGAATTGTAAGAGAATGAAAGAAAGAAAAACTTACAAATGTAGTAAACATATAATGATACCGGAAATCATTCATTTGAAGCTGAAGGATCTGAAATCGAATTCAAATGAGATTAGATATTATATGTGTACCAAATCTATTGAACGAACAGTTTATGAAGTAAGTTTTGTAAAAGTTCAAATACTTGGAAAGTTTTATAAATAAAATAAGTAAAGTGAGAAGTGCCAACTCACCGTCCGGAAAAATTTATTTATATTTTGTGGACTCGTGTCGATGATCAACTTGTAAATTTCTTTTTGTCTAATTTCTCTGTCGATGAAATTTCAAATTGAGAAGAAGATGAAGAGAAAAACAAAATTTATTAAAAAAGGGTAAATGAGAGAAGTCTTCACATGAATGGTTTTGATTCATTCCCTTCTATGATTATTAAAAAGAAAAAGAAAAAAATTTCTGGAAAATCTCATTATGACTCGACATTTCTCACCTCAAAACGAGTCGATATGTTTCAGGAAGAGCTTGTCGAATGTAAACTTCCATTCCGCGCTCTGAAGACTTCATAAGATCCTGTTGTTTGAAAACGCCTGGGAAAATAAATTAAATGAATTTCACCCTCACATCTCCCACGAGAAGAAAGGAAAACTTTTCCGACACCTTTAGGTGTTTTTATCATGAAAAACACGACACGAGACTCTTTTTATGGATCTTTGAACGTTGATCGAATTGGGTGTGATAATAAAATATTTCGGTAAGGCTTTTCCCTGAGAAAACTTTTATTTTTCTATTTTTCAAAACAAAATTTCTTCTCAGTAGTGAGAGTGAGTGAGTGAGAAATAAAAGTTTTATAGAGGAAGACTTTTTTGGCCATAAATTTAAAGCAATAAATTTTCCTACATTTTTATGTTAGAATAAACACAAATGATGTCGTTTTTCATGTTTCTTTGTTATCCAAGGATGAGATTTTGATGATTTAGTGATGTCAATACAGGCATTTTTGAATATCTAAATGATGAACGGTTGGATATTAATGACAATCACATTTATCACATATCGATAATCGAAATTGATGATAAAAATGAATATTTCCAAGACAAGTGAGTTTAATAACTTTTGATAATCTCTTTCTGTTCTATTTTAAGCTTGACATGATTGTAAACTACTAAAATAAATAAATAAAGCTTTGTCTGCTTCCTAAGCACATCATAGTAAAGCTTTTGGGTTTATGATAAAGATGTTAAGAGAACAGCAATGAAAGAGATAATTAATGAGGAAAAGTCCCTTCGAAAAGTTACTTTCAAGGCTTTAACTAAACATGAAAAGCTTGACTTGTTCAACTCTTTTGTAATGTTGTATGACGGAAATCACGTACAACCCAATTTGAAAACTTTATTTTGATAAATTGCTTGAGGGATGGCCAATTTACATCCTTCCTTTTTTTCGCTCTCTCATTCTTTTTGAGAAATAAATAAAAAAAAATACGATAACAATGCTGATTGATCCATAAAGAAAATTTATCATTCGATGATGAAGATGATAAAAAAAGAAAAGAAAGGAAGAGAAAAGATTCTAATTTTCTTGATGAATTTTTGGCCGTAAAGTTTTCATCTTCTTTTCGTCATTTCCCATGCTAATTAAGTCTTCAGGCCAAATCATTACCTTCGTAAATTATCGCGTAACGAGTCCAATTCAAATACTTCACAGTCTCGAGAATCGCTTCATTGAGCTTCTGCTGTTGTGGGTAGAGATTAATGGAGAATTCTTTAGCACCAGTGTCAATATCAAATCGAGTCTCTAAATGAGGTATATCTAAAGCTTCACAAATCGATTGGATGTGTGGCGAAAGCAGCGGATCTGATGGGGGTCCTTTTTAATGAAAGTTAGTTAGAAATAAAAGCAAAATGAAGTCATTTCGGGTTGAATTGTTGTCGATCGTAAAATCAAATGTTATCGTATTTTGTTAACAAAGTAGGGCAATATGGCTTTTACAGTACAAGTTAAAAGTTCTTGCTGTTCTTTCCCTTCATGAATGTTTAACAAAGCATTCATTGCCTAAAGATTCTGATGAAGTATTGGAAGGATTATCGAACTTTTTTACGAAAATCAAGTAAACTTTGTTGCACTATAAAACGTCAATTACCCTAAATACATGTAAAAGTTCATCTCACCAAAAATCGCTGTGACGCCATTCTCGATTTGCTTGCAAACCTTCTTCGACGTTCTAAATGAGTCAGTCGAGTCCGGTACGTACTGTGAAAATGAACGTTTAGTTACATTATCAATCGGAATTTATGTACGAAATGTAAACGTACTTGTATATCGTAAACTAAAGTGGTTTTCGGCAATATACTTCGATCCTTGTTAATTTTGTATACAGCATATTTAAATGCTAATTCTATGCTAGTATCCCTTTGTTCTTCGCTAAAAATCGCCCCTAGAGTATCATCATAAAAGCAATAATAAATTAAAAACTTTTTTTTGTGCAAAATACCTAATAACGCCAACATAAAAGTTTAACTAAGGGATGGTGATGGAGAGAGACATTCCCCAAATTCCCCAATGCAAATTTAATAATCGTTATCATTAAACATAATGTTCGAACATCGAAAATAAAGGAAAAATCACCATCGACAACATTTTCATACATAAATAAATAATGAATGGAAAATTTACGAACCTATTCGGATGATTGGTGGCAATGAGCATGTCTGATAGCAACAGTGCGCTAATATTGTTATCCACAGATAAATGGACATGGCAGTCGTACTTAAATGAGAAGCTCTGTAAATCCGATTCATTGAGCAATGACATTTCACTTTCCATTCATTTTCTTTGGCACTTTCAAGCATTTTCACTCGCGATACATGAAATTCTGCATCAATTTTTTGTTTCGTTTAAACTTTTTTTTTCTCTTCTTTCAAGCTTTTCGTGTCTGCTCGTTTCTTTTTTTTTGACTTTTATTTCTGTTGTTAAAGTCTTGAAGACAAACTTTTTCCCATCATTCTAATCCTATAAGATAAGAAGCAGATGGTGGATTAGACCTTTTCATTTGAATCGAGCTAACACGCATAGCGAATATCTTTAAGATGGGTTGGCAATAAAAGCGTTTTGCTTAATCAGATTTTCGTTATGGCTTATCAGGGATGTCACTTGGGAATGTTTCAGCAATATTTATTGTGACTAATTTTGAATTTACATGAATGCAAGGTCTTAGATTCAAGCATAAATAGGAATAATTATTTAGATCAAGAAGCATCTATTTAACTACTTAAACATTATCACAGGATATTTAATATAAATGTTATTTCTGCTTAGATCAAAACTGAGATTAACATCATTAATCGTCCAAAATGGATTGATATAAAACGTTTTTATTATTTTACACTTCACGTTGCCGAAAGTGTGTTTTCTTGCTTCTTCTTTTTAATCGAAAATTGCTTATTTGACACCCAACAAGTAACAACTCTACCAGCAACACTTAGAAAATACAATTTATCACATTTATTACATAAAACCCGAAAAAAATAATAATAATAAAATAAGATCCTTGAATTACACACAACGCTTCTTTATGGAATTGATTTTTCTTCTTTTTTTTCTTCGCTCAACTCCATTCAACGGCTCCATTAAAATTCTTTTCTGTTTTGCCTTTCATCACATAAGGCAAGGAAGAGAAGGAAAAAAACGGAGCACAGCAAAATAAAATCCTTGATAAATTCAAATTACGACGAAATATCTCGCAAAAATACATAACATACACACAGTCACAATGGAAGAAGCTTTTCTTGAAATTCTTTTATTCTCTCCACTCGCCTTACGCCCCCTCCCCTCCACGCCAAAATCACATTAAAAACAAATTTTTTTCTGTCTATTTGCGAACGCAAAATTATTTTTTCTTTCACTCGTATCTCCAACCATAATCTGATTTGAGCGGAGCGCAGCTAAAAAGAAGAAGTAGGTACTTTGATTCCTTTATTATAATGTTTGCATAAACATAAACATACCTTTGCAAGCGCATAGTCGTCGTGTATGGAAAAAGACGAAAAAATATAAAGTATATTAATAAAAAGATTGTTTCGTTCGAGGGAAAAAGTTTTCTCATCGAAAAAATATAATTTCTCATACTTTTGCTATGCGCTTCACTTCGCTTACTCATGTATTTCATGAAACCCGAATCACAATCATTTATGACATTTTACATGTGACATCGTGTATGGTTGGAAGATGATTCAAAACATAAAAAATAAACTTTTGAATAGATTACTTATGCTTTACTAAAGCTTTTCCAGATTAAAGATTTTCCTTGTAAATATCGCTTTAAATTTTTCCCATTTTTCTTATAGTGACAATATGAAACCATGCGAGAATTTTAAAAGAAAGGAAGAATGATAAAAAAAGAAAAGGCAGAGAAACAGCCGAAAGCAAAGGTGAAGGAAATGTTCGTGGTGGCATCTTTTTCCGGATAGTAAGTTTACATTTAATATAACTTTAACGACGTGACCTAAGTGCTCTATTGTTCAATTCACTGTGGCTTTGTCGTGCTATACGCACATAAAAATGATTTCAAATAAAAAAAATATTAACGATCCCAGAGATTTTCGCCAACTTCCGTTCGTTTTTATTTTCGTTTCTTTGGGATATTGATAAATCTTTTGTTTTTCTTCTTTTCTTCCACGCATTTCACATTCACCACCTACAACATTGTCTAACTGCAAATATCTTTATTTCTTCATTCTATCTTCCTTCTGTAAATTCGTATTGATTGATAAATCAATATTTGAAAGTGATTTCTCTTTATTTTACTTTTTGTTCGCGTGGTCTTCCTAGACTGCTTGCTTCTTTATAGTTTCACTTTGGTCAGTGAACAATGTAAATATTTGTAAGGATTCTCGGATTATTTTTCTCTTCTTTCACTCCCATCAATTCACCAGGCCAACAACCGTCAAGTGATTGAAGAAAGTAGGACGAGGAGATTGAGGAAATGCTTTTGATGAGGATATGACTTTTACTATTCACATTTCACTTCTCGGTTTGCGAGGACTTTCCTTGTTCATTTTTAATCACTGTGATTGATGATTTTAATTACATTCATTTAATCATCCTCTATTCATCAAAACAATCCTGAACGGTTACCACAAAGAGCAATAAAGTGATCGAAAGTCAAAATGAAATAAAAAGTAACAAACTTTCCATCCGTAAAGTTTAAAATTCCATCAAATTCTTTTCAATGTCTTTACACTTTTTTACGACCTTTTGTTATCACTTGCTATAAACGTAAATCGATTACATTTCCGTCTCGCGTTCATTGGATTTTTCATTCTTTTCTCTGTGTTATTTTTCCTTGTTTTCCCTTAACATTATTTAGATATTTGAATAAAAAAAAATTCTTTCTTCCCTCACAACAACATTTCTATCCAATTAGTTGAAGAAGACACGAGACTGTCGTTAAATTAAAACGCCAGTTGACAGAATGAAGTCCGACACTCGACTGATGGTTGAGTGAATTTCTACAGAGATAAGTAAGCATTGTGAGTATGAGAAATGAATTTCCAGCGTCCGGAGAAGAACATGGAAATGTTGTAGAAAGGAAAAACTCATTGGAACGAGTGTTGTTCAGTTTGGTATCCAACTTTCTTCTTCTTTTCACTTCCGAAGAGATTGTACGAAAAGTCAAACCAACAGAGTAAATATTTAAGTAAATACGGGGCGAGTATGTTATCAAACTTTAGTCCCAATTATTTGCTTTTTGTTTATAATACACAAGCACACACACACACACACACACACACACACACAACAATGTAAATACATAAACCATCAATCCAAATATTTGACTTTTTCCAGCCTTCATTCATTTTTCACCATGATAGAAAAGCTTTCAACTCTTGAGCTTAAGCGTCGAGACGTCGTAAACTCGTAGATGGTTCAGTTGATCCCATAATTAATGAACTTTTTCAGTGGCGTGTTGAATAGGAAAATTGTTTTTGACATTGACATGGTAGATATTTTCTCTCTTTAATTTTCTCTCATGTACATTATTTTCAATTAAAATTCCACCCCGTTCTTAAGCGCTTAATTTTCATGATAGTGCTTTCACCAGTTGATTAAAGTATCTTTTTAACAAGGGTTTAAGCGAACGGGTACATCAATCAAACGCACTGCTTACTCAGATATTTATTTTATTTAAACCTTCTTTCCCTTATCTAAATATCTATTGCCTTCATTCTTTGACGCTTGAAATTAGATTGTGGTACGGGTCGTGCGAGAGACAGGAAAAGCACCGAGTCGAAATATTAACTAACTTCATAACATATTCATTTACTCGGCAATTTTCACACACGACTCACGAAGTGAAAAGGAAGAATAAAGTCTTTATCGCATATTATTTCCATTATCGCTTTGTTTATCGCGTTGATAGCATTACACACATGTATGTACATATATGAATAACATGATACGGAAACCTATCATGAAGCAGAAAAGCTCTCTTATGGAAACATGAAAAAGAAAAAACGAAAAGTTTTCATCATTTCCAATAACCCCAAAAAAAGGGAGAAGGAAAATAAATTTTTATGTGTATAAAATTTCTTCATCTTTCTACGAATATCATTTGAGAAGTTCTTGATGTTTTTAAGCCTTTTAACTTGAAGATGTGAGAGGAGAAAGGAAAAAATTGAAATATCACTTGAGATTCTTCGAAGTGCTACTTTGAGGCGAGGAAGAATGTACCCAAAAGAAATTTTAATAAAATACTTGACTGAATTCTTATATGTCACCATGAGTCGAAAGGTTTTTTGGCTTTTCCGGGGTTGCTTTTCATTTTGGGATGCCGATAAAAATTTACGGAAATGTTGCTTTTTTATCACTTTTTATGAAAGATTTTTGTAAAGGCGAATTAAATTATTTTTCACTACCTAAATCTACTCTTTAATTGAATTTTCTCCGGTCTGGTCAGGTTTGCTTTTCACAACTAAATTAGATATTCTAATTTTTATGCTTTCATTTACTGTCTACAAATATATAAAGTAAGCTCGTGAATCGGTCTTATCACTTTGAGCGCTCGAATTATACTGAAAATGAAAATGGAAAGCTTTTCTCATTTTCTCTCTTACTTATGGAAGGAAAATTCTTCTTCCGATTACTGAGAACTTTCCATTTATAAGGAAAATAAAACAGAATGAAAAACATGACTTTCGTGTGGTTTCTAAATAATTTCTTCTTTCTTTTTTTAAGGTTTTTCTTCATTTTGGCGGCAAATCTTTTCGCTGACAATTTCTAAGAAAAAAGTTATTCAATAATTGAAAATTAATGTCGGGATCACGAACTTCATGATTTTTCCATGGAATTGAATTAAGCATGAATTGAAATTAAATTGCTTCTTAATTTATTGAATTAATGTAAATATATGATAAGGTTTCTGCATCGCATGTAATGCTTCCTTTTATGTTGATCGAGAAAATTAAATTTGATATTCTTTTTACGAGGCATTCTTTAAACATTGTAATTGTCTATTGTTTCTCTTCGTATTATGAATTCCGCTTTCACCACTTTTAATTGGATGCTTTTCGAGAACGTCACGCTGAAAGATTTATGAGATTGAATTTAATATTTTTTTGAATCTCATTCTTATCCCGAAATATAATGCATAATTCATTCAACCTTTTTCTCATTCCTCATTCTTCTTCGTGACAAATTCTGTGCTGAAATCTTAAAGACTTTCATTGTTTATCACTTTTTTCTTCACATCTCATAAGATTGAATGTCTACCGTAGTGCTGTTGAATGAGAATTTATTTCATAATTCCCGACAGGTCATTCAGAAATTTTATTGTTTTGTTTATTTTTTTTCTGTCGAGATGTTAAGAAAACGACTCAGATTTATTCTTATCACCTCTGCTGCCAAAAACGAAACGTGGACAAATGAAAATTCTTCTTAAATGAAAATTTATGGAAGTTAAAAAGAAACAAAAAGCTTAATTCAATGATGTAAAGTGTAAAAAGGAATGAAAACACTTCTTGCGGTTGGAGGATGCTTCATGTTAAAGTATGTAGATATAATGTAAACAACACTCGTGACACGGCTGAGCAATCTTTTCCTTATTAAAATAAAGCACAACGGCAATTTCACAGTCTTTTGTTAGTCGCGAAGAATGACGATGATATTAAATGAAGTAAAAGAAGGAAAAGTGGCAAGAAAGAAACGCAAGCATTTAAGATTCGAAACATTTATTCTCAACATTAAAACTAAAAGCAAGAACAATAGTAACTTGTTGTTGTAGGTCGCATTTAAATATTGCTTAATGACTCATTTCAATTGAAGGCATCTACATCGATTAAATAAGTTTAATGAGCTTCGTTTTAAATGTAAAACTTTTAATAAAAATATTTCACTTTGTTTGCCAAACATTTATAAGATTTCCTTTCAACATCACCTTGATTTCGTTCAAGTTTTTTAATTTCCTGATGTTTTCAAAGAAAAGTTTCCTTACAATTATATTTGTTAAGTTAAGCGAGATGACATTAAAACTTTCTTAAAGTTTTCACATAATTCAATTTCTAAGTAACATTAAAATGAAATCAAAAATTATTTTTATTTGCACATGAGAAATGCTTTTGTTACATAAATACTGATGGAAAAATTCATCATGTCCATATGCAATCTTCATTCTTTTTCCTTTTTCATAACGATGAATAAGAAGAATAATGTAATCTACATAAGATGAAATAAAAGCAGCGTCTTCTTGTATGATGGAAGTGTTCCGTCGTTTACATTATGTCATTTATCATATTTGACTGAGATTTAAGAAATAAATTGTTGGAGTTTCTGCATTCATTGCAGATCGTTTTTTTGAATGCTTGCCTTTGGTGATTGGCATTTTTACAACTCAAAGCAAAGCATAACTCATCCGTCATCTCAGCACAGAGAGAATTCTTTGAGTTTATTAAATTTAATGGATCATTAAAATTGTCTTTCTTCGTTTTGTAACAGAATTCAACAATTGCTACAAGCACAGCAAATGCCAATCCACATAGCAACACGACAAAAACTCCACCGATGTTGCCAACACCAAGTGAATTTGCTTTCGTATCTTTATGTTTCTCATCTCGAGTACAAGTTTCTTCAGTATTTTTCCACCATTTATCGTAGAGCATTTGTATTTCACCTTTCTCTTGAAGTTCGAGAATTGCCAGCGAGATTTTGTCACGCCAGATACTTCCCTTGGGTGTCGCTATCCCATACCCTAACATTTTATTGGAAAGAAAAAAGTTTTTGATTATGAAGTTAACAAGTTGACACTGACGATATCAACAACACTAACCTTTTGTATCAAGAAGACCTTTGGGGACGAGACAAAATAGACATCGAGATGGCTCATAAATAACCACAAGAAATGTAAAAGTAAAAAAAGCGTAAATAGAAAGAATGAAATGTGGGGAGAATAAATTACCACCAATCTGTGTGAGATTGCAATCCCTTTGAACATTATAATCAAGCATCGTGCTTTCCATCAAAAACGCATAATTTCCTTCCAAAACACGTCGAATTCCTTCTTCATATGTCGGCACAAACACCGAAGGTTTCTTATTCTTAGAAATGGAAAGTTTTAAAAATCAATTACGATAAATTGCTTTTTTCTTTAAGGGAAAACATTGCATGATGCGTTACGCGTTATGATTTTATTAAATTTAACGCAATATACAAATATTTCCCCCCAACAACTTGCTTCAATGTCAACACATACTTCCATCGTTCTCCACATCTTCTTGTATGTTTCTATCATCGAATCCTATTTGAAGCAAACATTATTCTTGTAAATCATTTCATTAAAAAATATTGTTGCGTTAAATTACTCTGAAGAATGTCATTGTGGAGCCGCTTTCAAGCGTCCCATAAGAAATTTCAGTTTGTGTCGCCAAATCTTCAGCATTCTCGATTGGCGTTATCATCCTTTCGACAGTCAAAAAGGCTGCTAAATTTGCTGTATAACTTGAGATGATTATCAATGTAAAAAACCACCAAATACCCCCCACAATTCGAGTACTTGTCGCCTATAGCAAAGCAACAATGTTTTAGATTTATTTATTTTAATACATTTTCCTCCTATTTTCACGCTTACCTTTGGATTCAAATCTGATCCTTGTTGCATCAATGTTCCGATAACAAACCAGAAACTAAGTAACGATTGAAATTCGATAACATTATTACCCTTCCAAGAATTTTCATTACTTTATTTACCTGTTTGAAAGTGTGAAATGATTCTCGTATAGCCCCGAGTTTGTATTACATTTGGTTGCAACACTCCACTCACTAAAACGGGCAACTATCCAAACAGTAAATGAAACCTACATGGAGATGACTGACGTTACCAGAATGTTTAACTTAAACTTTTATTTTTCTTCTTCTTATACATACCAAACAATAAGCAAAGAAAACGAAAATCCAAATTTCCACAGCCAATGGATTGAGAAAGGAGAAAAGTTTCGTTTCTTCTGACTCGGGCACCTGTATGGAGCAAGCATACAAAGTGTACAGAACGTGAGGTTACATAAATGACTTACCTTAAATAAAATTGATATTCCCAAGTTCATGAAAGGCTTCGAGAAGTCGATGACACTTTCCCTTGATGAAATAAAAATTCAATTTGAAAAGAAATCACAAGAGAATTTCGTCTCAAGTAAAGGGCATCGCCTTACCTCGCGTAATTGATTGTCATCGATGCTACAGCAAGGTCAGCTTTCTATGAAAGGAAAATTATTCGATCGTGATAAGTTAAGAAGTAATTTGAGTAATTATCGTTAATCTTTACTTACATGCTTCATCAATACACCGACCATCCCTAGCAGACAAGAATAAAACGTTTAATTTATATGCTTTACAATGTTAACAGTTTTAAAAATCTCACCATTCCAATCTCCTGATATCGGATCTTTTGCTCCATACTGTACAAAAGAAATTTACGTCAATAAATTTCCACTCAACAAAATTGAATCTAAGATAACTTCTCATCCCACTCACACTCCAAAAAAGGGGAAGAATGAAAGTGAAATAAAAAGAAGGAAACGAGCTCACTTTTCTATCATGAACCAAATCCAAAATGTAGTTGAAACCAATGATTTTGCTTATCCTCTCGAGAACATCAATGCAAAAGCCGTAGAAACTGTGAACATATTGATTATGAATATCAAGAAATCGTGACATAAAACCCAAAATTATTCTCTACTGACCGGGCATTTCCGGTTGTGTTCTTCCCTGTGTGAATCATCACATATGGCACTTGAAGTATTGTGACCACAACAAGTCTGAATAAAATTTAAATTACAAACTCAGAAAGTGTAACAAAAATAAAAGAAAAAATCTTTTACGTTGTGTTCATTTGATTGCCTTCGAAAAGTGAATCATAATCCGTAATGTTAAGGCCAGTTGGATGACTCCATTCTCCACATTTAACAAAAAAGTTCTGCTTCAACTTTATCAAGTCTAATTTAAAAGCATTCCTTTGTCCCTCTTTAAATTCAATTTGACCTGAAATTCCTTTGAATTCTACCTGTTTACATATGTACGATTGTAAATTACAAAAGGGAAGAGAAGAGATGAAAGAAGCTTTAAGTAACTTTTACTTGCATAAATTTGTCATGCTGGATGAAAGTACTTTTGTTAGAAATCTTTTTATCACAAGTTACAAGTTATACGAACAGTATTTATGAAGTTAATTAAGCTTGAGCCACTATGTAATGCCTTTTCGTCCTTGCAGCTGACATTGGAGAAAAGAATCTCAGATGAATGTTGCAGAGTTTGTAAGCCGATTGCGAACACGAACACGGCATCGTATATGAGTGAAACTTGTGTCTGTGATGATAATAATTAAAAGTAAAGTTTGTTAGTAAGTAGATATTATGATAGTTATTAAGAAGAGTAGATGAATGAGTGGGTGGGTGGATTGGTGAGAACATTTATGTATATGACGATGATTAAATGGTACCAAAGTGTCATGCTTATGACACTTCATAATGACAATTTGTCTTGAAATACCTAAATCTTTGATTTTGAATTATTTCAACTACTTAACTACATAAAATTGGCCTATCAGAATCAAATCGCATTATCTTCTCCTAACAAAATAAATAAGCAATTGGGGAAATTTCATCAAAAATCATGCTTCGCTGTAAAGGTTAACGAACATTTATTACTTCAAGAAATGGAATGAAATTCAGGACTGGGAATTGATTATGATTAATGAATAAGTTCAAGTACATTGCTGGAAGTACAAAATAATCATCAAGTGACAAAAAATTGTCTTAAACTTCTTAAAATATCTCAATCCACATTCCCATCTCTGATCACAATCGTATATAAATTGCGACGAATAATTTTAAACGTTTCAAGCAAGACTGGGTTTATGAAAGAATCGCAGCCTAGGAAACAAGTTAATCTTGTTAAAGGAAAATTTCCATCTACCTCAACAGCAAGATTTCTCTTGAACTTGACGTTGTGTTGTCGACTGAATTGTTCCATTTCCTTGAGTATCTCTTTAACAAAAACATCATTTGTATCAACTAATCGGAAGGCGGTAATGTTAACAAAGTTGTATCGGAAGTCTTCCATTTCAAACGTTTCCAAATCGAATGACGTGAATAAATAGTGGTACTTAAAGTCGTTCATTTGCAGCTCGAGAATCTGTTTACGAATGAGAGAGAAAGAGATACATAGAAGCCTTTCCAAATCAATAAATCAATCTTACAGCTTTGAGGAAGTCACTCATACTCTCCGTGTCATGAATGTCGATGATCATGTTATAAATTTCCTTGTCTTTCAACTCTTGAAGTATTCCATGATATGACTTCTGATCAGCCGTTTTAACTAGAATGTCAATCGGTGAGAAGCTTAACAGGTCACGCAACCTTATCACCCCTAAGCAAATACCAGAGAAATGTCTATGTTTGTCACAATCGTATCTAAATCAATTCAAATTGTAAGGATACATGCCTGCGTCTTGTTCATAGATTATCGCACATCTTGTCCAATTGAGAAATCTCATAACATCAAACATTGCCTTGTTGAGAATCGTTTGTGATGGGAAAATGTTGATTGAGAATTCTTTGTTACCATCAGTGCTATCAGCATCTAAATGTGTCTGAATATGTGGAATATCTAATGCCCTCGTTGTCGACTGAATGTGATTGCTGAGTGCTTTCTCAGACGATACAATTGTTATCGATCCGTTTTTAAATTGCGAACAAACTATCGATGTGTGGAGAGATGAAAGAACAAACAAATCATTTTTTAAGCTAATCGACAAGCATCGATGCTTGAGAGGGGATGTTAAGTTGACTTTTTTATTTAACTATTTTTCAATCTTCAAATAAATCACCTTGCTTGTTCGCATGAAACGAGTCATCAACTCTCACATATTGAATGTCGTAAATCAATGTTGTCCTCGGCAGAATATGCTGATTTCTGTTGATTTTATGGATAGCAAATTTAAAAGCTAAATCGTGAAGTGAATTCTTCTGATCTTCCCGAAAAATTGCCCCTGAAATTGTATGAAGAAGATAAGACAACAGAACCCGAAAATCAGTCATGCGATGATGGAAAATTTAATGGAATCTCATCCCACCCACGCATTTATTTTTCTTTTTTGTTCTGTTCATGTCATTACCGATTTTGATGTGTGGTGGAAGCGCAGAGACTTTTAAGATGTGAACGCAGATTATAAAGCATAAACTTTTATAAAAATTCTTAATAGATTTCATTTATGTTTCGTAGTTTTGCTCTTTTTACACGGTTCAATGAAAGGAACTTTCCGATTGTTAGCTGATTCTCTTCCAACGATGCGAGGATAACTGTCACAATCAAATATTCTTATCTCTCTCTTTTATTTATTACACAAAATGATTAAGATGTTGAGCTAAAAATTGTATTCTTTTGCTTTCCTCTTTGGAGACAACAAACAAGAGATTTTATTTATTATCATTGAGTGAAATTATTTTCATATCTAACCATAAAGCTTTCTTTCCGCTTCATTCACATTTGCTGAACTTTCTTCCTTTCTCTTGATTGTTTAATGCTTTTTCCTGGACTTTTTCATTTGCTTTGACAGCTGTTTGGCATTAATTTTATTGATTTTATTTAAACAAAGACGACTATTACGCAACCATAAAAAGGACAGACGATGTATGGTAATTGTTGTGGCACTTCAGTGTAAAATTGTCAATTTGAATGCTTTCTAAAAATTCCTTCAACATCATACAAATTTATAAAGATGAATGACAAATAAAATTTTATTTTCAGTAATAAAAAAATGAATCTTCTCCCTCACTTTCGAATCAATTCGTAAACTTTTACAGGTTTAAACTTTTTTTAAGTCATCTTTTTATGTTGAATATAAAGTTTGTCCATTGATTTTTACGACAATATTCACAGCAAACAACCGACCCCGAGCGATGTTCAGCAAACACTGAAAATGTAGTTCAAAGCACACAATGACAGAAAGAAGGGAGAAAAGAAAAGGAAAAACTTGTGTAATTCCTTGGCTTTCAGTTAGCAAAGCTAAAGTATGAAGACATTAAGAATAAGAGAGGAGAAAATAGCGGAAACGAGAATATCGTGAATTGATTTTGTTCCCATGTATAATGTAATAAAATATAATACAAAAATGTATCTGACGCCACTCCGAACTTTGCAGCCTCAACTAAACTGTTACAGAATTTACATGTTCTTCTATTAAATACACGCCGGGAGTTTACGATGCGCATGCTTTCGTGACATGTGATGTTTGTTTATTGTTTGCTTCATAGAACATGTGCTTTTAATTTGTATACAACTTCAACACTCTTAAAGTAGCTTTTCTGATGAAAAAATAAAAAGGAAAATTCCTACGAAATATTTTTCTCTGTCAACACGATAAATAACATGGAAAAAGTTTTGAAGTAAAAGAAACTTTATTTGTGCAATTTTACATAATTTTTAAATTATATTCAATACATTTTCATGAAGGCATTTTGAGTTATTACAATTGTGCTTATGACTACTGAGCATGTTATTCATCTCTAAATTGATTTGCATTTTATTCCATTAATATTTATGAATCACAACACAATGTGACTAGACAAATTATATTTTTTTATTCTTCTTTTCAACTTTAATAAATTAGATATTCATGACAAGGCAAAAAAGTTTTCTTTGAGCTTTCATTGAGCTTTTGTGTTGCATTTATTTGCTAATAATACGGATTTCCTCCTGTGGACGGATTATTTAATAAGGATTGCTTTTGAAATACGAAAATTCAATATACTGAAGGTATTCGTACATATGTAACATCACACTTAATATTTTTGATTATATTTTGTTACTATCCCAAGAGGTTTCCAGTTCATAGCGTCATTAAATCTTACTTTCATTACAATATTTTGATATTAAGTCATTATTTAGAAAAGAATTTCGTGTCCACTATACATTTTCACTTTTGAAAAATTGACCAGTCAAAATTCACAAACAAACCCTAAAGCTTTTCAAAAGCTTTCAATCCTACAAAAGCTTTGCGAATTTTTCTTCTTGTTGCTTATAAAAATTCTTCGGTTTCATTGCTGTAACTTAAAAAGTCATCAATCAATTCTTGATCATTCATACAAATTAATTGACTCAATTCATTATCATCAAAACTTTCGATTTGGTTAAATTGACTGAATTGATAGCTTGGAATAGCTTCAACGATAACATTCGGGCTTTCAAAGATTGGATTGGAAATTATTATTGTATGCTGATTATCGTCGATGATGTTGTTAATATTTTGCTGTTCTTCAATTATTTCAATTTCTGTCATAGTCTGATCAAAACCAGACATATTGGAGTCGTCGTTGATATTTGAAGGGCTGCTTAGAAATGCATCAGATCCCATGTTGCTACTGCTTACAGATTTCACAGACGAATCGTTACATGAACTTGTTGACTTCAGAACTTTCTTGCTAACTTTTGTCTTTGGCGTCTTTGAAATCCTCAAGGAATTAAATCCAAATTTCTTCTTGCGCTGTCTTATTCGCTTTCTTAATGTTTTATTGCAGTCAACAGCCAACTCCCAATAGCCACCTTTTCCCTTCTCATTCTTATCTCGAGCGACTTTTGAGAAGAAGAAATTCAACGACAAGTTATGTCGAATGGAGTTCTAAAAAAATTTTCAATTTATGGTGAATTGAAATTACAATAAATCGATTTTAACTTACATTCCAATTCTTATGAATTTTATAGTATGCAAAACGTTTTTCAATCCAATCGCAGATCTGCTTGAGCGTCATTCGGCCTTCATCGAGCATAGCCATTGCAATTATTTGAGCGTAATTGTATGGTGGCTTCTCTGTTGACACATCTCTAAACACTTCACTTCGCTTTTCATAATTCTCTTTGATTTTATGTACTTGATTTATGAATTTATCGAAGCGTTGTGATGGTGGATCGCAAGGCTTCTCAACCACTTCATTGGTTGTTGGTGGTAGGTTTGTGATATTTTTCAGCTCTGTCAGCCAATTCAAATTTGTCAAATCTTCCAAATCATCGTCGTCATTATCGTCCGAAGTCACTTCATGGCATGAATTTTCTCCATCATTTTCGGAAAGCTCTTGTAACCCATTCCCAATTGGAATTATTAAATCCTCGATTATGTTGATTTTGTTCTCATTGCTTTTATTATTGTTTTCCTCAAACTTTCTTGTATCGATCAGGTTGGCATCAATTACATCATTCTGTGTAATTTCAGGATTAGCTAAATTTTCTGTTAAAATTTCATATTCGCAAGTTATTGAACTTTCATTTGAGCTTTGTGATTGCTTTATTATATCGGATATGTCAAATGTGAAATAGTTGACAACGAAATTACTTTTCTCAGACGCCATCATGATAAGGCAAATTGTAATTTTAAAATATTGATCACTTTCAAGGCTTTTTCTTTTAATAATTTTTAATTTTATATTATTGAGCAAGGCACTGAAAGTTTCGTGAATTTTGATTCAAAAGCTCTAAAATATTATTCTCATTCCAGAAATTTTCTGTTCAATTTTTTAGGCCACGAATAAATCTGCGTCATTTTTCAAAATTTCCAAGCTTTATTTTCTTTTTTTTTTCAAGAAAAATAGAATTTTAATTTAATTAAATAATTTTACTTCAACACACATTAACTTTATAAAGTTTTATAAAATGTAAAACAATTTTGAGCATCAAAAATCCAAAATATTAATACTTTTTTCACTAAATTAGGCTTCTTAAACTTCTCACAAACTATTCACGACGCGCAATGAGCAGTGTAAGTGTATAAAGGATATTCGTGCTCTAAAAAATGGACAGAGTGACGTCATGACTAATGATTGTGAAAGTTCTGTCACGCAAGGTTCAGGTTGAATAACTCACTACTGTCTCAAAGAGTTTAACAACTATTTTTTTGAAGGGACGTTATTGCCTTTGAAGCCTTCATCCCTCGCGATTGTGTGCCATACATGAATATTAACATACTTTTTTACTTGCTTTACGGCAGGTGGACGACGAAATGATTCAGTCAAGTGTAACGACTTAGGGGAAATATTTCGTTAAGTGCAATATGTATTGCTTATCAATTGCTGATGTGGGAACCATCAACATTTTATTCAACTGAAAGTAAAAGTGTGAAATTAATTGTGAATTTTATTAATAAAATTTTTGCCATTCAATATTTTTTTAGAAATTTATTCATACAAGTTTACATAAAGGAATTTTTTTTTATTAGTAAAATTAATTGAACAGTTTTTTTTTTATGTTTCAATATTTTTTTATATTAACACAATGGATCAATTTTGATTAGGTATTTTTCTTAACTAACTAACAAATTAAAAATCTTATTCTTTTTTCTTCAATTCCTTAACGGTAAAATTAAATTGCGTTTCATGCTCGTAACAGTTCAATACAGCGTCTGTAACGTTAATATTTTAAAAAGTTCGTTAGATTGACTTACAAAATACATTTTCTTAATTCTATCAACGAGCTTATAAAATGTAAATGTCATTAAAATATCTAATAAGAAAAACATGTGAGATAAAAAAAACTACCAATGTTGCTTGAAATATCTTTTAAAAAGTCTTTAACCTTCGAGAATAATTCCTTTCGAATTAGCTAATTCTCAAACAAAATTCATTGTCCGAATCTTGTTCCAATAATTTTCCAGTTCTTCACGAGAAAGTTCTTTGTGTACCTTCAAATGTCTTTTCATGGAATCTCTTCTTCTTACTGAGTATTTGCATCGATTTCCAACAGAACATGGTTCACCTTTTTTTTTTATGAACGGTTAGAATGTGTTTTTTAAGATTAGATTTTGTTTTGAATTTCTTTAGACATCTAAGAATATCACAAGCAAAATTTCGCTCTTCATGCATGTTTTGATGAATCTGTAGGGAATGTTTAGTAGGGAAACGTTTTCCACAAATATCACAAGGTAAATTATGAGGAAGTAACTTATGATCTTTTAAAGATTCTTTGTTCTTAAAAGTTTTTTCACATAATAAACAGGTAAGCTTTTTTTCATGAACATTTCGTATATGGGCTTTAAGTCCACTTCTAAAGAAGAAGGAGCTTCCACATATTTGACAATGAAAATCTTTTTTTTGGTGTTCCAAACCAATATGCATATTCATATGAAAAGCAAGATAAGATTTACAGAATTTCTTTCCACAAATATCGCATTCATATGGTTTAATGTTGAAATGCATCGCATTCAAATGTGTCTTGAGTATATCCTTTCTAAACATTTTCCCACAGATCTCACAAGGTAAACTACAGGGACGTATTTTATGATTTTTAAAGCCTTCTTCTGTCATAAAAGTTCTTCTACATAATGAACAGTTAAGATGCTTTGGTTTTTCATGAACACCAATCATATGGGCTTTAAGTCTATGTTTATCAAAGAAGGAACTTTTACAAATTTGACAATGGAAATCTCTTGTTCTATGTTCCAAATTGATATGTGTAATGATGTGATGAGCAAGATTTGCTTTAGTACAGAATTTCTTTCCACAAACATCACACTGATATGGTTTAATACTGGAATGCATTCTTTTTACATGCATTTTGAGACTTTCCTTTGAAATCATTTTTCTGCAGACCTTACAGCTTTCCTTTTGAGGTAAACGATGAGTCTGAGTATGAGGCTGTAACTTTTCACAAGGTGAACGGTGTGGACGTAACTTATGATTTTTTAAGCCTTGCTCGGTCTTAAAAGTTCGTCTGCATAATGTACAGGTGAGATGCTTTGGTTTTTCATGCAAATTCAGGATGTGAAATTGAAGTGCATATTTATTGAGGAAGGAGGTTCCACAAATTTCACAATGAAAATCTTTTGTTCTAAGCTCTGTGTGTATATCCACGTGATTAGCAAGATTTGTTTTTCTACCGAATGTCTTGCCGCAAATATCGCACTGATATGGTTTTATATTGAAGTGTACCAGATTTAAATGTCGCTTGAGTTCTTTGCTCGACATTATTTTTCCACACACTTCACAAGCTAAACGACAGGGACGTAACTTATGATTTTTTAATCCTTTTTCGGTCCTATAAGTTTTTCTACATAATGTACAGGTAAGATGTTTTTGTTTTTCGTGATTACTTAATATATGCGTTTGAAGTGTATCTTTACTGAAGTAGGAACTTTCACAAATTTGACAATGAAAATCTTTAGTTCTAAAATCTTTGTGCGTATTCACATGTTTAGCAAGAAGTGTTTTATTATAAAACTTCTTTCCACAAACATCGCACGGATATGGTTTTATGTTAAAGTGTACCATATCAAAATGTGTCTTGAGTTCTTTCCTACTAATAATTTTCCCACAGATATCACACTCTAAGCGACACGGACGTGACATATGTGTTTTTAAGCCTTCTTCGGTCCTGAAAGTTTTTCTGCATGATGAACAGGCAAGATGCTTTGGTTTTTCATGAATATTCAATATATGTCTTCGAAGTTCATGTTTATCAAAGAAGGAGGTTCTACAAATTTGACAATGAAAATCTTTTGTTCTATAAACTTTGTGCGTATTCAGGTGTTTAATCAGAGGTTGTTTTCTGCTGAATTTCTTACCACAATTATCGCACTGATATGGTTTTATTTTGAAGTGTACTATTTTTAAATGTCGCTTGAGTTCATTGTTTAAAATCATTTTTCCACAGACCTCACAAGGTAAACGATGAGGACGTGACTTATGATTTTTTAAACCTTCTTCAGTTCTAAATGTTCTGCTACATAATGAACAGGTAAGATGCTTTGGTTTTTCATGATTTTTCAAAATATGATATCGAAGCCCATTTTTATTAAAGTAAGAGTTCCCACAAATTTGACACTGAAAATCCTTCGTCCTAAATTCTTTGTGCGTGTTCATATGATCAACAATGCCGGTTCTGGTTTTCATTAATTTTCCACAAATATCGCACTGAAATTTATTTTTGAGATATTTTTTACGACGTCGCTTGATAATGTGATTATTTTTTATTACTTTCACACCAGAATCACCTAAAATAAATTGAGGATTTGAATGATCCTGCTTTTCAGGTTCATCTTCCTCTTCATTCTGACATTCATCTGTTTCGGTTGCATTTCCATCTTCAGAAGTTTCTTCTTTGACTTCAATTAATGTAGAAGTCATCTCCATCTCAGCTGATAAATTCAATTCGTCTTCAACTTTAATTTCATTGTCGTGAAATGGGACTGGTAGTTCATTTCGGGCGTTTTTAACTTTTTGGTTACTAAACTTCTCATAACACTTCAATTTCTCATTTATTTTGAACTTAAACTGATGAGAATCATTTAAAATGGTTTCACATTTTGAACACATAAATTCTGATCCTATTCCATCCAATGACAAATGAATCTTCAAGACAGAATGAATTTTGTTCTGAATCTCATCTGTGATTTGTATTCTTGAATCTTTTTCGGTAACGTCTTTGAAACACAGACGACATTTCTCGTGACAGTTTATAAAGTCAGAAAAGATGTCCTCCAGAACCACTACGGCCTTCAAATCTTGTTTTTTCATGACAATCCTTTTAGCACGCATTCTAAAATTTGATTAAGCTGAGGCCTTTTGAAGTTTCAAATATTTTACAGGAATATTAAAAACTCGTTTTGAACGGATTTGAGTTTGTATTCTTAACTTTAATGTCCTCCTTGTCTTTTATAGTTTGTGGCGAGAATATAAACTATTTCACTAAGTTCCAATAAAGTAACTTGATTAACACTGAAATTAAATAAAGTTTGTCTTCAAAATTTACAAATATTTATTTAGAAAAACCAACCGTATTG